GATAGGTTTTTACTGGTGTGGGGGCCAGATTTGAGTCCTTGTTTTTTTTCCTCTCTCGCACTGCTCCCATGTCCCGCCTCTCAGTTTAAAATGCGATCTGTCGCTTTTAGACATTTGATTTGCGGTCGCATTTCACTGCGTAGAGAGTAGCTACATGGTTGGAGGAGAGACGCAGCATCAACCTGGAGCTACTTCAATGTATTTTTAAGTAAAAGTTAGTAGACGGGCTGGTTAAAAAGAAAACCCAAACGCCACCGAAAAATCTGTTTGTTAGATATACGGAGCTTCTTCAGCAAAAACAGCAACGAATACGAACATATTCCAAATGCTTTAAATGAATTTGACCGTATACCAGCTCTTTGATATAAACTTTGGTTCTCAAACACAAAATTCATGTGAAACTGTAAAAATTCAATTCTATTCAGTTCATTTCTATAGCTCCAATTCACATCATGTCATCTCAGGTCACTTTCCAGTTCACCAGATCATCCAGTCAGATTGATTCAAAGTTTTCTATCTAAGGAAAACCAGCTGATTGCATCGACTCATTGACTCTTCAGCAATCCCTCACACTAAGCATGCTTGTAGCGACAGTGGAGAGGAAAAACTCCCTTTGAACAGGAACAAACCTCCAGCAGAAAAATGTTTGCCTTGCCACTTATGGGCCCAGAAGAAAAGGCTCTGAGAAGAAGCATTGAAGAAGCTGGTAGACGGTGAAGGATGCAGAGGATTAGTGTAACAGAGACGGATGCTGCGATGGGAGAAATAATCCGCTGCAGTAAAACCATAAATGCAGCAGCTGATGGAAAAACTTCAGAAATGTCCAGAAGGCCCCAAACAATCATAATACCTTCCAAAGATTTATGATGATGTCACATGAGAAGGGCCTTGGGGTGACGTTTGCAGCCAACGGCCGCAGCATACATCAGCCCATTGATTGGTTAAAGGTTCTTTTATTATAAACATTTTAAGACCAATGTCTAATAAAATAAACCAGAGGGACTTTGTTCTATTCATAAAAAAAAGTAACTAAGTAACTTTTAATAAAAGCGAAGCTTTAATGAGGTGCTTTTTACTTTTATTTGAGTAACATGTTATCTTTCACCGTCTGCATGGCGCAGGAGGGACATGCTGTTGAGACATGTCAGTTATCCGGGGGAGGGGGGGCAGCCAATCAGATTATTTCATGTTTTTTCCGCCTCTGCAGGTCTTTAACCCAGTTTAACTGTCAGACAGTAAAAAATAAACAGAAAACAGCAGACTGACTTTCCACTGCTTTTAATGAAATCATTCTTCAGGTTTTAATTCTGGATTGCCTTTTCTTTTTAGTTTTAAATTTACAAAGTAGCTTTTTTTTTCTCTCTGCAGCAATAATGGAACCAAGTTCCCTCCATAGTGGCCTCCTTCCTTCGGCTGAGCCTCTGTAAACCTGAAGGAGAACTGGGAGGTCTGCATCATGGAGGTCCTGCTTGGACCAGATAAAGGAAGAAGCTTCAAAATAAGAGTCAGTTTTATTTATTTACAGAAACGCTTTTTATGGATTCATTCTGAGCCAAGCACAGGGTTTTACCATCAAAAAATACAAGGCAGGTGCCTAGGGCCCCAAGTTACTGGGGGGCCCATAAAACTCCTTTAAGGTATATGGTTCATACAACTATTCCTTATTTGTGCACATTAATTATGTGTTTCTTAAATGTTTTTTTGCTAAAATGCCATCAGAACGCTGATAATATTAAAGGAATAGTACACCCAAAACATGATTAGCCTTCATTTTCTACTCACCCCCATGCGGCAGACCAAACCAGATGAAAGTGCGCATTCAGCTCGGCAAAGAACTCATGCTCTTCCTCAACACTGAAGTCCTCAGACGTTTTTCTTTCGTTGTTTCTTTCTTTGCACAGGTAAACAGCACATTTCTTCTTCTACGCTTGCATTATCGGCAGAGCAGACGCTGAATGCGCACTTTCATCTGGTTTGGTCAGCCGGCTTCCGTAGCGTCATGAACGCGCATGTGCGCGCTTTCAGGAAATCCTATACACTACTGTTTATGCTCTAAAAACATTCTAAATGACTTCGTTTCGAGTAAATTCTGGATGCTACCAACTCAGGACACTTGGAATACATTGGACGAGCAGTAAGGAGGAATATTGACACGTTTTTTTGTGGACTTTTATGGACCTTTCTGCCTCGGGCGCCATAGACCTCCATTATTTGAATGTCAGCAGACAGCAAGAAGCCTCCCAGATCTCCAGATGCATTTGAGATATCAAAAAAGTACTCCAGAGTGTTGTTCAGCATGGGGGTGAGTAGAAAATGAAGGCTAATCATGTTTTGGGTGTACTATTCCTTTAAGTGTGTCTCAGCCCCCCCCCCTTCAGTGTCCACCATATTGGATCAGTCCATTTGCTGCACATGTTCAGAAAGGTCCAAACAGACAGCAGCAAACCATTTGAAAACAAACCATGCAAAGAGCAGTGTTGCCAACTTAGCGCTTTAGTCGCTATATTTAGCCACTTTTCAGACCCCTCTAGCACTTTGATTTCTAAAAAGCTCCTAGCGCCAAATCTAGAGACTTTTTTCCGCTACTGGAGACTTTGGAGACAACATCTAAAAGCAGCGAACTCTGCTCTCCAGAGCGAGTAGATTGGTAACCCCGCCTCCTGCTCTCCTCTATCTTGTCTGCTGTCATGATTCATGCAGCTATTATTTCATCCAAATGAAAAATGGAGAACAGATAAGCAGATCATGGCTTGTCTACAGTGAAAAGAAGGACTGGGTTATTTACTTTGGCCTTTTTGGAAACACAGGAAGGAGCAATCAGCTAAGTGAGCTTAGTGCTTGGAAAAAATCTTTCATTCCTTTAGAGACAGCATGAAAAGTCAGCTGAGTACAAAACATAGAGAGGAAAACAAGAAGAAAAGGGACAAGAAGAGAGGGACACAACCTAGAACAGATAATGGATGTCTATTCTATTAACATTTCTATATCTGGAGAATGGGGCTGTTTATGTGTTGTCTTCTCCATTCAGAGGGCCTCACATTTCCTAAATCCGCTCCTGACTGGGAGGTCTGCATCATGGAGGTCCTGGTTGGACCAGATGAAGGAAGAAGCTTCAAAATAAAAGTCAGTTTTATTTATTTACAGGAAACGCTTTCTATGGCTCCTAACAGCAGAGGGTGGATCCTAAGTAATTTTTTCTTAAAATAAGTGCATTTGTTCTTTGATTGAGGACATTTTGCCAATGGAAGACAATTTATACTTAAAATAAGAAAACACAATTTTATTGTCTTATTTCAAGTTCATATCATCTAATTATCTTATTTTAAGAGTAAAAATACTCATTTCGTTTGCAAACTATCTCATTTAACTACTCAAATTAAGGATAAATGCACTTAATCTAAGAAAATTTTACTTGTTTCTGAATCGTTTTTCTACTGTGGTGCTCGCTGCTGGCTGGGGGGGGGCGGCGTCCTGCAGGTTCAGTCAGGAAGCAGCAGGTGTGTCCGTGCAGACGGAGGTCTGGGCTGAATTATTGATCAGCGGTGTGTGTGTGTGTGTGTGTGTGACTGATTAAAGATGGATGCTGATGGATCAGCAGAAACCTTCTGATGAGGCAGAGCTTCATCAGATAAGGAGAGATAAAGTGTTTTTAAAGTGTGGAGGCCAAAGGAGCTGCGGCCCGGTTCTGAGTCCTGTCCCAGTCCGGTGGATGGTTCTGAATTCACGAACAGCAGGACTAGAGCCTTAGAGGAGAACCTAGCAGGTGAAGCGTGGACCAATGAGAACCTTTACAACCTTGTTACCATGGTTACTGATTGGAATCATTTGGTTCATATTCAGAGTGTTTGATTTTAACAGCATCATTTCCATTTCACTTCCTGCAGGTTAAGGTTCAACCAAACCTTTTCAGGGAGGTTATTTAAGGCTTTATATGTGAGAAGGAGGATTTTAAATTCTATTCTGGATTTAACAGGAAGCCATTGAAGAGAAGCCAGGATAGGAGAGATATGATCTCTCTTTTTCATTTTCATCAGAACTCTGGCTGCAGCATTTTGGATCAGCTGAAGGCTTTTAACTACAGTTTGTGGACTTCCTGATAGGAAAGAATTACAATAGTCCAGCCTTGAAGTAACAAATGCATGGACTAGTTGATACTCAGGTTACTGCTTTCCAAAAAAGGTGAAAAAAACTATTCACTGGACTTTGTTTCCAAGTTTGAAGACATTTCTCTTCCCATCCAGGAAGCTTTTTCAATTCAAAATGTCAGAAATAGCGTTGAGTTCTATGCAGACTATTTACTTTTGGAGGTTTACTAAACAAAAACAAGGCCTCGTTGGGCTGCTGTTTAAAGCCTTCTAACATTTTGAATTAAAAAACTTTCCTGGATGGGAAGAGAAACGTCTTCAAACTTGTCCAGCGGATCGTTTTTTTTTTTTTACTTTTTATGAATGACTATGACCTGGATTGTTTTCAGCAAATTTCATTCGTGCCTCTCGATTCTTGATATGGGTAAATTAAGTTAAATGTGGGATTGTAAATGTCTTATTTACAGGCTATTTATCAATGTGTGACTTGGTCTCATAATATCATTTATGCCTATAAACTTGAGTTGCATCTCTCAGGTTAAAACAATCTTGTTTAACATTTATATATTAAGAACAAGAACATTTTGCAATCCTTATATTTATTTTCACTGACTTCCATTTAAAAAAATCATTCATCTAAGCATAAGGAGGGACCTGCTTGACTCTATGGAGTCCAGGTAAAGTTTGGTGGAAGGAAGATCATATAGTGGGGCTGTTTTACATGAGCTGCAGGCTCCTTGCTGTCCTTAATGTTCCGGTGAGACTTTCATTAAAACCTCAACTGGTTTCCAGAGAGTTCTGGGCAGAACCCCCAACAGAACCTCTTTGGGTTGAGTTAGAGCAGAGACGGTGAGGCCAGGTGGCGTGGGACAGATGGTCTGCTGCCGAGCGCGGCAAAGACAACCGTGGATCGTTTGCAGACCCAGTTAGCCAGTAGAACCCACACATCCACGTGGAGAAGTTAAAAACTTAGCTAAGATTTGGACCTTCTTCCTGTTCTGCTCCAGCAAGTTAACAAACTGGGGAAAAATGTTTCCATGGCGACACTGACATCAAACATGACAAGTCGGAAAACAAAGTTTTAGCTTCGAATAATTTACCGATTACAGCAGAACCAATCGGGCTGGAAAAAAAACAGAAACGGTTCGCGTTTAAACCCGGAAACGTATCCGAACAGAACTCTGTCTAAACGGGCCGGTCCAGATCGGGCAGAGAGAGGTTCTGTAGACTGGATCTGGTTTAGGAACCGGGTCCAGGTGAGGAAAGTGCCATGTTTGTCCAGGTTTGGGTTACATCTCATCCGCGTGTGCAGGTTTGCCCGTGTCGGGACCTCTCCTCTGATCCTTCACAGTCTGCCCGGCGACAGCAGCCGTCCCGTTCTCTGATTGGCTCCTTCCAGGGACCTCATCCTCAGCTGAGCTCTCCGGGGTTCTGATCCGCTCTAGGAGTGCAGCGGAAGGCCCTGATTGGCTGAGCTCAGCCAGAGGGGAAGAGGAGTCCGATCGTGAAGCAGGACCGTCGCCGTCGTCTGTTGGGCTGGAAAAGTTCGGGTCCGTCAGGATGTTTCTGGATAAAACTGCAGAAAAAAAAAGAAGAATAAATCCTCGACGTTCTGACCCGTCTGCTGGGGTCTCGTTTAGATCGACAAGGAACACGGACCTCCTGTGGTTCTGTAGTCGTCGTCGGCTGACAGGCGGCGGCTGAACGGACTGAAACTGGGCAGGATGATCAGACTGAGGGACACCAAGATGATCTGAGGAGACAAGAGGAACTCAATCCCTGAAGCTTCTCTCAAACCGACCCGCTAGAACCAGACCTTCCTGGTTTATCGTTACAGTAGAACCCAGAGGCTCCCAGTGCTCCTTACCAGTAAGCAGGTGCTGGTCTGGGCTCCTTTACTGGCCGTCTGCTTGATCAGCGAGCGGAGCTGCTGCAGCTGAGCCAGCAGGGACCTGAGGGAGGAACGGAGCGGTGATACCAGCTAAAGGTTCTGCAGGGTTCAGAACCACAGATCACAGTTCCTCCAGAGGAACCAGAGAAAACAGGATGAAACCGAACGTGTCGGATCATCAGCCTGCAGGCAGCAACCGTCGAACCGAGGCTCATGATCTCACATCGAGACGAAGACTCTTTACCAGGAAAGAGCCGAACATTCGATTATTCATCTTCTGTTCTGCTCTAAATAAAAGTAATGAATGCTGTGAATTCACTTCTGCTGTTAGCTCTAAGATGCAGACTTCTGTACGACGGTTTCTCTATGTTGCCTATGTCTACGTTTTCTGTCCCTTTCAAATAAACTAAATAAATAAACCATCTGCCAGTTGCAATTAAATCATCTTCTAGTTCTTCAAATCAAACTAAATTAGTGTTGGTAAATATTTGGAGTGAATTTAGTTTCATTATTGTTGCTAAAGGAAATGTTTGGTAAATGGAAATGAAAAAAAATGCAATCTGGAAACAAAACTTTATAAAAAAAAACTTCCTGATAAAAAAAAAAAAAAAAGGGGTAAATTAGCTAGGGATGCGCGATATAATTGGCCCCCTATCGGTATCGGCCTTAAAACGGAACATCGGACATCGGCCACCCCACCGATATTTAACCCGATATTTTATCAGCTTCTGAGTTTCTAAAGTCTAAAAAGAAAAAAAGAAAATACTACTTCTTCTTCCTCAAAAACTTCTTTTTTACAGACTTAAAAACTTCTAAAGACGAGGGAAAAAATATTGATACATTAAAATATCCCAATATCTTCCTATGCTGATATATTGCCATTTAAAAACACCATATCAATCTCTTTTACTAATGAAATATTGCTATATGTCATCGTTACGCTACGAAATCCCCCGAAAATCCACGAAATGTTGCCATATTTTTATATGTTGATATATTGACGCGGTATCGATCTATTTTACTAACAAAATCTCACAAGAATTTGCAAAATATCACGAAAGTTTGTAACTTTTCGTGAAATTTCACCAGATTTTGAAAGTAAAATAGATCGATACCGCGTTTTTAAAAATCTATTTGATATCAGCATATGAAAATATATTTGAGTTTATTATTTTTCAAAGTGTCAGAAATGGATAACAAAACTGCTATTTTCAATGACTACTTATTTTTGTCCAGCTTTAACATCGGTATCGATATCGGTTATCGGCTGCATGAGTTTTAAAATATCGGCATATCGGATATCGGCCAAAATCCCAATATCGTGCATCCCTAAAATTAGCTGTTTTCTTAGATTCTATTTGATCAAATTATTACAATATTTTTAATTCATATATTTCTAATATCTTTTTTTCCCTTTTAAATCCCTCTTTTTCGGGGTGCTACTGTGGCGTGGAGATGGAGGACATGATGTTGCAGCTTTGGGTCCCGGCGTTCTGTCAGACCAGCATACGCATACTCCTTTATCCCTTTAGTTTTATATAAAAAATAAACTTTAAACTACCTAAATGGGCGTGTATCCCTTTAATCATGTACAAAAAACTATTAAATTAGGTAGTGAAATAGTTTAAAGTTTATTTTGATACAAAACCAAAGAGATAAACACAAATCTGACGTCTTGCGTAATAACTATAGGTATGCTGGTCTGAAGGAACACCGGCCCGCCAAACTTTGCCAAATTTCCCTCCTTCTCTTTAATCCCACTTTTCTGAGTGGGTTCTGTCAAAAAAGGCCACATGTACAAAAAAAAACATGTAATAAATAAATAATAAATCTCTTTTTCAGATCGTTTTACAATTTTTTTTTTTTTTGGATTGGGCTTAAAGTGACTCTGAAAGAGTTAAAAATTGGTTAAATACGGTTGTCCTTTAATAACCAACGCCTTTTACAGTTGCTTTTTGTATCTATGCTTCTTTTTCTATGTCTGCTTCTGTCTCCTTGAACCCCAGTGGGCCTCAGCAGATGGCCGCTCACACTGAGCCTGGTTCTGCTGGAGGTTTCTTCCTGTTCAAAGGGAGTTTTTCCTCTCCACTGTCGCTACAAGCATGCTTAGTGTGAGGGATTGCTGAAGAGTCAATGAGTTGATGCAATCAGCTGGTTTTCCTTAGATAGAAAACTTTGAATCAATCTGACTGGATGATCTGGTGAACTGGAAAGTGACATGAGATGACATGATGTGAATTGGAGCTATAGAAATAAACTACATTGAAGTCAGTTTAACAGCAATGAATGTGTTCTGAATGCAGCAGCTCTATATAAATATATATATATATATATATATATAAATATATATATATATATATATATATATATATATATATATATATATATATATATATATATATATATATATATATATATATATATATATATATATATATATATATATATATATATATAACCTTAAATAACAATTCATTGTTCCCCATTAGGAAGCAATTTGTCAATAAAAACATCTGCAGTCTGGAATGCTAAAGACCTGCAGGTGAATATTTAAAACCTGTAGAAAACTGAAGGCTGCATCTTTCCCTTCGTATTTTTATGATGTACTGCTACTTTACAAAGAACCAAGGCATTTTAAATGAAAATACAACAGATCCAAACAGCAAAAGATTCATTGAATTTTGCCAAAGCTTTGCTGTTTTAATTTCCTCTGCTCAGCCTGTTATAAGATTCTGAGGTCAGAAAGGAAACCTCCTGTTTATGCCTTTACTAAAGGTCTGGCTGTGTATAAGTGGATGATTGTCTCCCTCTAGTGGTCAGGAGAACCTCCATTATGCGGCACGTTTTTTTTCCTTTGTATATGTTTGGGGTTTGTGTGTTAGGATTGCTTTTTGTGTTTGCTGATCTAATGTTTGACTTTGCAGGACCCTTTAAATTTGCTGTAAAATCAAATATTTACTCAACCTTTGCACTCCTGGGCCACCGTACCGTTTATCCGGAGGTGTCAAGTAAAGTACAAATGCTTTTTTCACTCACTTAAGTAGAAACATTAGCTATCTATGCTTTACTGGAGTAATCATTTTTTTAGACAACATTTTACTTCAACTCCTTACATTTAAAAAAAAAATAGATGAAAATTGTTAGTTTTGTTTTATTTAAAGGTATGTTGGAGGATTTTCGTGAATTTTTGAAAACATCCGCCCACTTCCTTTAAAAAAAAAAAAAATCAAATGCACAACCTATTCCCGCTCTCGGGAGGGAACGCCCATAAAAGTGCATGAGCCCATTTCTCCTCCAGGAGGTGCGGGACGCAATGATAAGATGGACGCTCCATTGGATCTCATCTCAATGGATCTCTTAATTATAATAAGTTTACCCGCACATAAGACTACTGTTACATTAAAAAAATCATGACCTGCTTGTATGTGTGTGTGTGTTTGTAGTCCAAGGGAAATGTGGGCATGTTTGTGGGGTAAATAAGGATCTGTGGCCACCGTATATCTACTAATGATGCAAATGACAAAATAAATAAACCTATTTTATACCAATATAGTGGTAGATAACTTTTACCAGCATTTCTCCAAATAACCTAATTTTAACTGTCGAGTAGAAACAATGGGAAGCCCGACCTGTGCTTTCAGTGCACGCCATCGCGTGAAAGAATCTACCAAAAACACTCTAGTCTTGTTTCTCTCTTCTTCTCTTATGACCTCCGTCCATTTTCAAAGAACTGTGGTGAGAAAGGTGAATTTCAGGCCCCGTCCACACGAAGTCAAACCCTGGCCTAAACGCACAAATTTTTCACCAAACCAGCCTCTCATCCATACGAAGCCGGCGTTTCGGGGGTCTGTAAACGATCTTTTTTTTATTAAGCCTTCAGAGTGGGAAGATTTTGAAACGCCGTTTTCGCGTTTCCATCTTTAAGCTCTAACCGCATTTTTTTTTTTTTACACGCATGCGTCATAGCGTCGCCTCTAAACACGCATGCGCGACACAGTATCACAACAACAATGGCGCCGTACTGTGTTGAATGGTTGCTGCTCATGCTACTCACCCTGCTGTCGGGCTTACAACAGAATCTTCTTCTTCTGGAATATCTCCAGGAAGAACAGAGCAATATCGACCACATAGTTCAGCACCTGAATTTGACTGAACCACCAAAATGGACCCGCAGGGCAACCATGTGTAAATATTAGTGCGCATGCCCAACATTTCGTCGCCTATTTTTGCTTTGGCACCACAGCGCCACTTACAGGCCTGGCATACATTTTGCAGCGTTTTCATGCATTCGTGTGGGCGATCACATTTATTTTTATGTCTCCGTCTTTACGGCAAACGTTTTGGAAAATATTAGCGTGTTCGTTTTGACTTTGTGTGGACGGGGCCTCAATGACCGTCTGAAACTGTAGCTTACCACATAAAAGTGCGCACGCGGAGAAAAAGATGTGTGGACGAGCACGTAGGACGGCCTTACGTACACCAGAATGATTGACAGGACTACTTATTTAGATGATCCACCCGGGAAAAGAACATCCTCCACTCTACCTTTAAAGTCGTAGGGAAGCGGCTAAAGTGAATGTGATTGGTTGATTATCAAGGGGGCGGGCTTGTTGTGGTGGAAGATGCGCAACCGTTTTGGTTGTGACCGGTTTGTCGGAAGCATCATGCTAACCAGTTAGCATCTTAGTGCTAGCAGGTTCCCAATGGGAAATTCCATTGGGACCAAGAAGCACTAAATTGGTGACTTAGAAACGACGCTGTCAAGGAACGCTATGGACAGCGGAAACATGCAAGAGGAGGAGAGTTTAGTGTCGGAGGTCGTGGATGAGTCTCCTCCGTCATCCATTTTTTATTTAGAGGAGGAAAGCGGGGACGAAGATGTTGTGGAAGAGGACGCCAGGGCGGCAGAAGCTTGGTTTGGTGTAGAAGGCTTCCAGCCGTACATGTTTGAGCCGTTGCCTCGCAACGCTGCCAGTTCTGTTAGCTCTACGCCTGCCGAAGACACAGACGTCCATCCCCGTGAACACTGGGACGCAACTCAATGGGAAAGGAAAGTATTCTGGTTTCAACCGTTAAATTAGCTGCGACACATGAATTAAAATGCTGTGACCGAAAACATTTGATTGACAGATGACCGTCGATATATGATTGGCCGAATTTAGGTGTTCAGGCTGACGTAGAACTAACTGGCCTGCAGAAGATAACGAAAAACACAGATTTTAAGACAGGATTTTTTTTCTCTAAATTTTGGGACAATATCATCTGATAAAGAGAACATTTATATACATGTTTAAGCCAGAATGATTTGAAATTTAAATATGATTTACCTACAACTTTAAGCTAATTTTCATTATTGCCTGTTGGTATTCAAAAAAAGAAAACATAAAAATAATTAATTTCATCAAAACAATTAATTTCTTTGTGGTTGGATTCGGTGCTGCCCCAACTTGTTTCTCACCACATACCAAAATAAATAGTTTTTCAAGATGATGCGAAGTTAAATGTGATGCTGTTACCATTAGTTATAAAACTAAGAAAATGACGTCTAAGGAAGTTATCATCCGGAATAGTAGAACGATGTTCCTTCAGTAGGGTAGTGCAGTAAAGCTGTTGGCCTTAACTGTTTTTTCCTGCATTAATTTTAATTTTATACTTCAAGTAGTTTTAAAAATTGTACTTTTACACTTTTACTGTAATAAGAAGCTGAAGTTGATCTTAAAACAGTAGGATTTCTACTTCTACTGGAGTAATAAACATGAAGACTTTTGAAACCTCTGATTTTATCCTGTTGTAACAAAAACATTGTTAGATATTATCTGAAACTGCAGGTTTCTAGAGGTGTTGAAAACAGCTTCTGGACTTGCAGATAATTCACAGACAGCGTGAGATGCAGATTAATCTGGATTATTTTAATTTCTGACAGGCGAGATGTTTTGATGCCCTGCATGCTTTGATCGCCTGGTCAGCCTGACTCCCCGTCACTAAGGGGTAGTCCTGTTTTTCAGTTCAATTTGCATGTTTTCTAAGCCATAACGAGGCGTATGTGGGGCTACTCTATAAACCTGGAACTCAATGCTAATCCAAACATTTTGAATTAAAAAAGCTTCCTGGATGGGAAGCAAAATGTCTTCAAACTTGGAAACAAAGTCTAGTTTTTGGATTGACTCTGACCGGGATGGTTGAGCGTCTTCACCAGCAGTGTGACAGAAAACTTCCAGTGATGATTAATCTTCCAAAGACGACCTGAGACTGATGCGTCTGTCTGCTGCAGGAGTTTCCCTGCTGATCCAGAAGCTGCTATGACCTTTATTCAAGGTCGTTTCCCACAACAGTAAAACCTTCAGCTGATATCTGCAACCGTTTGTCTGTTAAAATACGATAAAATCCTGTTGTTTACGTCTTTCTACGGGTCATTTATCGTGTTATTAAAGTGATTAACAGAGTGATCGTTCAGAGCGCTGAGATTAGCCTCAGCTACAGAGCATTAGATGCTGTTAGGATTGGTGTCATGAGTTTGATGTTGAAAAGCTTTGATCTCCAAAGTATTTCATATGCCCGTTTTTTTTTTTCTGTTTATTTATATTTTTTCTTCATTACTTTCATCCTCGCCAAGTATGTCCTCAAGAACATACTTTAGAACAACGTTAGCTCGCCTGCAGCAGCCGGGGCTAATGTAGCTCGCCTGCAGCAGCCAGCGCTAATGTTAGCCCATCTGCAGCAGCCAGGGCTAACGTTAGCTCGCCTGCAGCAGCCAGGGCTAACATTAGCTCGCCTGCAGCAGCCAGGGCTAACGTTAGCTCGCCTGCAGCAGCCAGGGCTAACGTTAGCTCGTCTGCAGCAGCCAGGGCTAACGTTAGCTCGCCTGCAGCAGCCAGGGCTAACATTAGCTCGCCTGCAGCAGCCAGGGCTAACATTAGCTCGCCTGCAGCAGCCAGGGCTAACTTTAGCTCGCCTGCAGCAGCCAGGGCTAACGTTAGCTCGCCTGCAGCAGCCAGGGATAACATTAGCTCGCCTGCAGCAGCCAGGGCTAACATTAGCTCGCCTGCAGCAGCCAGGGCTAACGTTAGCTCGCCTGCAGCAGCCAGGGCTAACGTTAGCTCGCCTGCAGCAGCCAGGGCTAACATTAGCTCGCCTGCAGCAGCCAGGGCTAACGTTAGCTCGCCTGCAGCAGCCTTCTCTCTGCATGGCCGTGTGTGAAGGCCCGCTGGCTCTGAGGGCTTTTTTTGTTCTATTTTGCGAAATTTTTATTTTATTCGTGTTTTATTCGTATTTTATTATTATCTAGAGACTATTAATAGGTGAAATACAGCTCCAGCCGAGCTGAGCGTGTGGTGATGTCATCAGTACGCTTCTGTTCCAATTGATCCAGATTTATTCTGCGTGCTCCCGTTCTCACCAAGTCCAGACTTTCCTGTGTTCTTATCAAGAACAGACTTGGCGAGGACAGGAGTCGGTACTCGCATTCTAGTGAATTGAGAAACGGCCACAGTCTCTCTTTGACGGCATCGTTGCCATAGTCACTTAGTTCTACTGAAACCTAGAAGGGTTCGCTCACATGTCTTGATTTTCCATCTCTGAGCTGTTTTTTTCTGGGTTCCTGTAAAGGTTCAGGCTCAGCGCGCTTTGGGTCACCGGGTCGAACGTGAGGAATGGATCAGAACCAGGTGAATAATCAGATTTCTTACATGTTGTGCTTCTCTAAGTGCTCCACGGTCCTCTGCAGCTCCTTGTTCTGGGCCGAGCACGCCGCCACCCTGAAGACACACAGATCCAGCTGAAATGACCCGGCCCACTGACACCGACTCACTGGGCTGATGACGTACTGGGTCAGGCCAGCAGGGGGCAGTGCTGTTCTACCTGCTCTCCAGGCCGTCAATGTACTCCTTCCTCCTCTTCCGGCTGTCCTGAGCCGACTGCTTGTTCCGGATCTTCCTGCGAACCTTCTTCAGGATCCGTTCCTCGGCCTGTGAGGAAAAGCGTTGGAGAATCAGGCGAAGCCGTCTGTGTTTTTGGCAGAAGGATCCGAACGCGGCGCGGTTTGACCTTAGTGAGAGGAAGGTTGCTGGGCAGAGAAACTCCCTCCTCCGTCAGCAGCTTCTGCTCCTCCTCCGTCAGCCGCAGGTTGGGAAACAGCTGCACCAAAACAGGAAGAGTGAGTCCAGGATCAGAGCTGCACCCCGATCCCCTTTACTCACAGGAAGGCGTACCTGGTGTCCACCTGAGAAGGGGGTGGAGCTTATGTTGGCGGAGCTGAGGCAGCCTGAGGATGACGACGATGATGAGAGCGCCGGCAGCTCGTTGACGACGCACGAGTCAGAAAACAGCAGCTGGGAGCTCCATTCATCTGGAACAGGAGGGGGGGGCAGGAGGACATCATCATCATCATCATCATCATCATCATCTGTTCAGAACCGCCTCTGACACACGACAGACTAACCCAGCTCTATGGAGATGATGTTCTCCTGGCCGGGTTCTGCCCTGGCTCCGCCCACAGAGCCGAGGTCATAGACCACCTGATAGACTGTTGCCGGTGCCGGCTGGCTGGTCGCCGTGGTTACAGCTGTCACTAGGGCAACGGGGGCCTCCTCTGAGATACCGCTGTCGCTCTCCGATGACGGGTCGGACGGCGCGTTGCAGAACACCTCGTTCGGGTCGACCGCTAGCATGACGTCTTCTGATTCGCTGTCGTTTCTGGTCACCTGACAGGAAACAGAGGAAATCATGTCCAACCCAGACCTGACGGTTCTTCAGTGCCGACCTGATCCAGGTAGAGACCACCTGATCTAAGGATGGTTACACCTGTCCTGACACTTACACAGTCCGGGTCCACAGCCCAGTTCTGCAGAACTTTCTCTGAGCCACCGAAGTCCAGTCCGGAGCAGCTTGGAGCGATGAGCTGCCATCCGGCCAGCGGCCCGGTTTCAGGAACCACCTCCCCGCTCTCAGCATCCATCAGCTGGGAAACACAACATAAAGAAATAAAATTTAGCAGATTTGGAGAATTCTGTTCAGCAGGGGGGGATTTACCACTAGCGTCCGCCATATTGGATCAGTCCATTTGCTGCACATGTTCAGAAAGGTCCAAACAGACAGCAGCAAACCATTTGAAAACAAACCATGCAAAGAGCAGTGTTGCCAACTTAGCGCTTTAGTCGCTATATTTAGCCACTTTTCAGACCCCTCTAGCACTTTGATTTCTAAAAAGCTCCTAGCGCCAAATCTAGAGACTTTTTTCTGCTACTGGAGACTTTGGAGACAACATCTAAAAGCAGCGAACTCTGCTCTCCAGAGCGAGTAGATTGGTAACCCCGCCTCCTGCTCTCCTCTATCTTGTCTGCTGTCATGATTCATGCAGCTATTATTTCATCCAAATGAAAAATGGAGAACAGATAAGCAGATCATGGCTTGTCTACAGTGAAAAGAAGGACTGGGTTATTTACTTTGGCCTTTTTGGAAACACAGGAAGGAGCAATCAGCTAAGTGAGCTTAGTGCTTGGAAAAAATCTTTCATTCCTTTAGAGACAGCATGAAAAGTCAGCTGAGTACAAAACATAGAGAGGAAAACAAGAAGAAAAGGGACAAGAAGAGAGGGACACAACCTAGAACAGATAATGGATGTCTATTCTATTAACATTTCTCTATCTGGATAATGGGTCTGTTTGATGTGTCTTCTTAATTCAGAGGGCCCCCTGCCTGTCTTTGCCTAGGGCCCCACATTTCCTAAATCCGCCCCTGCTAATCATCATCAGAATCAGAGAACGGGCGCCGCTCCTGATGCTGTTCTGTCGGTTTGGAAATGGCCACCAAACAGAATCAGGTGTCTGGAGCTGCTGTTGGCTGCAGGTGGAGGCGGGCCAGGTGAGCAAACGGATCCGATGACCTCAGCGCTCCAGGACATCCTGCTGAACACGCCCACAAACTCAAACAGTTCTTCCCGTTTTCCCATCCCGTCTGTGGAACCGGAAAGACCCGTTCTCTGCTGCATTCACAGCAACTGACAAACACTCTGCAGGAAGAACCAGCAGAACCTGCAGCCGCCGACTGAAGCTCCGCCTCTGAAAGGGGCTCCAAACTGGGAACGCTGGGTGGAGGTTCCTTCTTCCACAGACGACTGCACAAAAATCTAAAAACTCCGGCTTTAACCCTTTTTTAGGGCAAGTTACCGTTTTTCATCACTTGCATACTCTTTAAAATGGATCCCCACCCGTCCCTCAGTGAGAACTAGAAGCACTAGATCTATATCCATCCATTCAGCAGAGATCCTGCTACATGGCTGCACATCTGATTTTGACATTTAGCCAATTTGATGAGGCCTTCAATAATAGATTACCTGGAAATTAAGTTGGAAAAATATTTTAAGTCGAGAAGAAAAGATAAAAATCTGAATGAAAAGTTAAAAAGTTAATAAGTCTAGTTAACACTTATATTTAGGTTTTTTATTGGTTTATGTATGTACTTTTTGAAATCTTAATTTGAATTAATTTAAATCAATTTTATTTTTATTTTTATATATATATATATATTTTTGTTTTGTTTTATATACTAGTGTGCAATGAGGTTGACCGGCTTTTCATTATGCAAACAGTCAACATGTGTTTGTATGTTCTTATTGGAAATGAATAAAAACATTGTTCAAAAAAAAAAAACAGTTATATTTAGGTTTATAAACTAAATGATGTCAGAGCCAGTATCAGCATTAATGCCTCTAAAGTCATGTTAGACCAAAAAAAATGTGTTTATTTCGCTCCCAGAGAGTTTTTCATGAATTTCTTATAGAAGCTTTTTTGTTATTTTTCTTAATATATTCAGGAAAGTTGGCGTTTCTTGTTTTTACATTTATATTTATTTTTACCATCAAATTATATAATTATTTTTTTTTATGTTACCAATAAATACCATAAAACTCTGTTTCCATGTATGGTTAATACAACTATTCCTTATTATTTGTGCACATTAATTATTTTTTTGATACCAACAGTCCAACATGGAAAGAATTTTATTGGAAAATAATTGTTAGATATTTCAAAACTCCGTACATTATTTCCAAATTTGATCAAACTAAATCAAACTTGTGCTGGAGACACTAGTTGGAGATCAGACTCATGTCTTTTGGGATTGCCCAAAGATTAAGAAATTTAGGAAATTTCAAATATCTTGCATGCTGATATTGATTGGAATCCCCGGATCTTCGTTCTGGGAATTCCACCAAATAATTTAAGTAAAGAAGAGCAATAATTATTTGGTATCCTTGTTCTCGTAGCCAAAAAAACAATCACAATATGTTGGTATAAACCTTCACCCCCTACTGTGAATCGATGGAAAGAGAAACTAGTGAATAGGATGGAGAAAATAACAGCAAAGTTAAAAAGATGGAACCCTTTGAAGACATATTTCCAGTTATTACGGTAGTAAGATAAATGTAAACACACAGATACATATTTTATAGGCGTATTTAACATATATCTCTGTTATGATAAAAATAAAAGTCACTTGAGAAAGATCTTTCCTTTGTCTCATCCTCCAAGTAAAAAAAATTAAATAAAATAAAAAAATAAATAATAATGATAAAGAAGAAAAAGAAAAAGGAAAAAAAAACATGGATCTTCAGCTCGCCGACCTGTTTGGTTGTTGTTACCCATTTTTTTTTTATGGTTGTATTGAAATTGTTGTTTCTAATTGTAGGAATCATTGATATTAAATATTAATCTGATAAAATAAAGTCTTTGTTAAAAAAAAAAAAAAAACTTATGTTTTTGATAAAAATCCTTTCACTAAAATGCCATCAGAATATGAATGGTGTCTCAGTGTCTCCAAACTGGGTTCTGGGAGCAGGTCCAGTTCAGGACCAGAACCAGGATCAGTGAAGGTCTAACAGCTTCTTATCTCTCTGCTTTTTGTAGAGATAAACAGGATCTCAGTGTCAGCTGATCCATCAGAACCTTCTGAATCCTCCAGAAAAATCAGAAATCCCAGAACCGAACCGAAAGCAGCGAAAAGGTTCTGGATCTCAGAACCTTCCAGGCAGAACTCAGCAGAATAAATCCGGATCAGAGCATGCAGAAAAGTTTCACCCACCAGACCCAGACCCAGAACCAGAACCAGAAGCAGGCTGATACTCACACAGAACTTCTCTGTTCGGAGCTGATTCCGTTTTTTAATAAACTGGGTTCATCATCGGAACAATAAGGCACTTAAAGCCCACCGACTCTCTGCAGAGGATCCGCTCAGACTTCAGGAAACCAGCAGCTGCTACAGGCAGCTTTACAGCCTTCCGCCTCACTGGCTCCCCCTGCTGGTCGGAGTCGGCACCCGGTATGGCAGGACGTTTTACATTTATTGGCTTGACAGAATATGTAATCCAGATAAATGCACTTCTTCCTCGTCATCTATCTATCTATCTATCTATCTATCTATCTATCTATCTATCTATCTATCTATCTATATATATATATATATATATATATATATATATATATATATATATATATATATATATATATATATATATATATATATATATATATATATATATATATATATATATATATATATATATATATATATATATAAAGTATCCTCTGGGATTCTTAAAGTATGTCTGATTCTGAACTTCCAGATAATTCAATTCAGTTTTTTTCTATAGCTCATCTCAGGTCACTTTCCAGTTCACCAGATCATCCAGTCAGATTGATTCAAAGTTTTCTATCTAAGGAAAACCAGCTGATTGCATCGACTCATTGACTCTTCAACAATCCCTCACACTAAGCATGCTTGTAGCGACAGTGGAGAGGAAAAGCTCCCTTTGAACAGGAAGAAACCCATTTGACATCACTGCTGGTAAAAGTTATCTACCACTATATTGTAACTTTCCAGGAAAAATATGTTTATTTATTTTGTCACTTGCATCGTTAGTAGTATCTGGCCACAGATATTTATTTACCCCACAAACATGTCCAAATTTCCCTCCACAAACACACACACACACACAGGTCATGATTTTTTTAATGTAACAGTATTCTTATGTGTGGGTAAACTTATTATAATTAAGAGATCCATATAGATGATATCCAATGGAGCGTCCATCTTATCATTGCGTCCCGCACCTCCTGGAGGAGAAATGGGCTCATGCACTTTATATATATATATATATATATATATATATATATATATATATATATATATATATATATATATATATATATATATGTATACTTTACAGATTGATAAAATACTCTGTACTTTACAGATTGATTCAAAGTTTTCTATCTAAGGAAAACCAGCTGATTGCATCGACTCATTGACTCTTCAGCAATCCCTCACACTAAGCATGCTTCTAGCGACAGTGGAGAGGAAAAACTCCCTTTGAACAGGAAGAAACCTCCAGCAGAACCAGGCTCAGTGTGAGCGGCCATCTGCTGAGGCCCACTGGGGTTCAAGGAGACAGAAGCAGACATAGAAAAAGCAGCATAGATACAAAAGGCAACTGTCAACCAGCTCCACAGGCGGCCCCGTCCAGGAAACACACAGCCAGGCAGACGAGCTCCATCTACGTTTATTAAAAATAAGCAAATACAGTAGAAAAATATAGAGTTTAAAAAACGGTTGTTTGATCTAACACCATAATTTAAATAAAGTTTACAGTAAAATATCCTAAAATGAAATAACAAAAATAGGTCAATACAATTCTAAATACTGTAATTTGTTAAAATTTAATTTGCGACTCTGAAACTCCAAATATTTTTGGAATGAACAACGTATACAAAAATAATAAAAATAAAACGTAGGTAAATTTCATAGAAGAAAACGGAAGTTGATTTCGAATAAAAATAAATATAAAAATATGTGCAATAACCTGTTTCTCTATATCTGACCCCCAGTAAAATAACTATATATATAAACATCCATCTATATTAATACCCATGTAAAAACCCTGTAAAATAACCCTGTATAATGATCCTACTATAAAAATATTTTAAAAATCTGCCATATAGGGACGCACTGTATATTCTGTATATATCCCATGAAACTTTGTTCTTCCTTTGGCTCATTCTTTGTCTTCTTTGTAACGAGTACATCTCTCCGCTGTAATTTCCCTCTGGGATTATTAAAGTATGTCTGATTCTGATTCAATAAAGTCAGTCAATCAATGAAGAAATCAATTAATCAATCAAAAAATAGATTAAAACGAAAACCAGAACAGAATAAGGACACAAATTAATAAACTGCCTGTAATTAAAAATGACAAAAAATAAGAACTTTTCCGTTTTTATTCTGTATCCACAGATTAAAAAAAATAAATAAATAAAAAAAACTTCCCACACACTGTAATGCTTTATGTCAAGGATATAGCTGTGACCTTCATCAGATATGCATTATACGCTGAAATTAGCCGTCAAATTATTAGTGGCACAGAGGTTTAATCTAGAACATAAAAGTGCCCAAAGTCCAAATTACATATTTCATAAAGCCCTGAGGTTCAAAACCATTTGACATATTCACAATGAATTAATAATAAAAAACCAGAACAAGAGTTTAAACATACATTTTTTATAAATAAAAGTAAAATCTGTAAAGACTCTGAGATCAACGTGTAAAGTATTTATCCCACTTTAGTTTAAAAAACAACAATGGAAGAGGATTAGAGAAAAAATAACTGATTTTGTAATTTTATTTCAGTTTTTATCTAAGAATTTTGACTTTAATCTCAGAATTGTGCATCTTAATGTAGATGGGCATCATGAAGGCAGAGATGTGGAGCACTCAGCTTCACTGACAAACATGTGAGTTGTTTGGGAGAAACAGGAACACATTGGTGGAAAATGACGGAATTAGGCGACTTTTTACGTGCCTGAGGCTATTTCATTAATGGAAGAGCAGAGGGTGATTAAAACCATAGAGCTAGTTTACTTTCTACCGATATTAAACTGAAATAATATTTAGAAATCAGTTATTATTATTATTCTTTTTTTATCAGTGGCCCTAATCCTCCTCCGTAACAACAGTGAAAAAAATGTGTGGATTCTTTTTTCTTTTAAAAACAAAAAAAAATGTTGTAGCGTAAATTCCCCCCTAGATGGCAGTGCTGCGCGATAAACGAACTCCTGCCCACAGAAGAAGAAGAAGCACCAGAAGAACAGATCACCTGCGCCCCCTGCTGGATGCCAGCAGAGATGACAACGAAACGGAATAAATGGAGGCAACAAACTACACATGAGACGTTATTTTTGCGCAACTAAGTTGTCAACAGGTAACAGCAACTCACCTGTCCACACGCGACACGCCACTTCATCCGTGTAACTCGCCTAGGCGCGCGCCGGAACAAAGCTGACAGAGTTAGCAACAGTTGGTTTAGGCTGAGAGTAGCTGTTGTTAGCTCTGAGCTAGCAGAGTTCAAACGGCGGCTGTTAGCTGCTGCTAACAGTCTGTTCATTTTAAACGGTTGCCCATTAGCAGGGCTATCCGAGTGCAGCCTTCTGAAGCTGCAGCTCTCCGTTATGTCGAGCAGTCCTGATGGTCTCTGTGGGTCACTGGGTTCGGTTCGGTTCGTCTGCTCCTGTTTGGTAGCGGATTATAAGTCTGTGAGCCCCAAACAAAAACAAACCGAAACGATTAATTCTGACCCATATTCAGACCTGGATTAGTTTACCATTCAGAATAATGTGCAGAAGAACTCAAAGTTTTTTCTCTTTTCTCAGCCAACATCAGTGATTAAACCCGAAGCTAACGGTGAGCTAACAGCTAGCATTCCAGTCCAACATCCAGAACCGATCAGGTTCGGTTCTTTTCTTTAAGAAAATTCAGTTCAGAGCTCAGCTCCTCAATAACTAAATCGTACTCTACTTACATGAACAAGTTTTTACTTTATTTAAAACTAGTTTGAAGTGAAATAAGGTTGTAAATAGGTCATGACGTCATTATGTCGTGTTGATATGTTTAATAATGTATAATAATAACTGGCAACCGGCGCTTTGGAGCCGATTTGTTGTAACTGTGTCAGAGAGAAGAGCTGGGACTCTTCCGCTGCTGCTACTTCATCAATTATTTACTTGTTAATTTAAAAGCCAAATGAATTCACTTCTAACAGTCTGGGTGGTGTAAATATTTGCCTTTAAATAGGAAAATATGTGCTAATGATAATGATTTAAACTGAGGTGCAGGATGTTTCATAAAACATCTAGTTTTTGTTTAAAAAAGTTACAGAAATGGGAAACCTTAACCTGAGCTGCAGATTATTAAAGGAAGACACAACTTTCCTGACTCTTCAGACAAAGGACGCCTCAGACCGCAGCAACCTGTTGATTATTTATCCATTAATGTCTCAAATAGTTTTTAATTGATTGTAATAAACTAACATTTCTTAATAAACAAATATGTGCACTATAGAAAAAAAAATATGCATGAATTTTAATGAACTGCAACTGGAAAAGCCTAAAAATATACATAAGAAATAATTCAAAGCTATTATGCCTTTAATGCCCAAAGGGGGTATTTTATGTTAAAAAAATGTTTATATTTGAGTTTTATTTTCTAATGGCTTCTAGAAGTGCAATTAAATTCTATTCAGTTTATTTCTATAGCTCCAATTCACATCATGTCATCTCAGGTCAGTTTCCAGTTCACCAGATCATCCAGTCAGATTGATTCAAAGTTTTCTATCTAAGGAAAACCAGCTGATTGCATCGACTCATTGACTCTTCAGCAATCCCTCACACTAAGCATGCTTGTAGCGACAGTGGAGAGGAAAAAAATCCCGTTTAACAGGAAGAAACCTCCAGCAGAACCAGGCTCAGTGTGAGCGGCCATCTGCTGAGGCCCACTGGGGTTCATTCTTTAATTCTTTTAGTGAACGGCCTGTTTTAGAGACTGTATATTTTACTTTAGGTAACAATTCCATCCATCCATTATCTGTCACCCTTATCCCTATCTCCGGCTGTCTGCGGGCGAGAGGTGGGATCCATGATGGACAGGTTGCCAGTCCATCGCATGGCAACACAGATACAAACAGGACAAACATTCAAACACACACTAAGGAGGATTTATAGAAGCCAATTAACCTAATAGTCATGTTTTTGGACTGCTGGAGGAAGCCGGAGTACCCGGAGAGAACCCACACAGAAAGACTGTGAATCAAACCCGGAACCTTCTTGCTTGCTAGGCAACAGTGATACCCGCTGCTCCACCGAGCAGCCCCGTCTGCAGAGTTGAATCAGCTGCTAAATCAGTTGAGGACTGCTTCAATTATTGATTATTGTTTCAGTGTGAAGTAGAGTGATGGTTAATGAGGACTGGAAGCGTTTCACATGTTGCCAAACTGTATTGATGCTGTGTTGATCCTGTCTGACTGAATACTGACACCTGCTGGTCCTTTAAAGACACTACAGGCAGCTTATTTGACAGACTGAACTGAATTGATTTATTGACCTAATAGTGCAATGATGTGATTTAGGTTATATTTTATTATTTCATGTCTATATTTAAATTGAAAATATCTTATATATTTTTAGATGCAGCCAATAAATAATGTAAACATATAATGTGAACATTTAGGGGACAATGTGAATGAGGATGCTTGTGGACTAAATCCTATTTTTAAAATAATAAGTACAGTAATAACATTAAATAAACTAAGAGTAAATTTGAAATGATCTTTAATTCAGATCATAATCAAAGATCGTACCGCGTATGCGCGGCTTTAGAGCGATTAGCAGACATGCTTTGATATCATGTGATGTTTTGTTCGATTTGTTAATGTTTTTTGTTTTTGCTCATATTAAGACTCGTGTAATGATGATGTCACCACTGGCCTGAAAATATCCAGCATCGTTTGATCTCTATCGGGTAATCCTGCTCCCGCAGGCCTTCCTGGTGACCTGTATGACCTCTGGGCCGTGTTTCTCTGTTTCAGTGGCGGTGGGCGGAGCCTCTCAGCAGCCGTTATGGAGGACACACAGGAAGATCTTTCTCCCGCCCCCTCTGGCCAGAACAGCCCTTCCGTCTCCATCAGCTCGTCCCCTTCCCAGTCCCTTCCCTCCACCCCTTCCTCTTCATGTGGACCCCCCCAGACAGCCACGCCCCCTCTGTGCGTCATCAGCGAGGGCGTCAGCGAGCTGAGCCTGGTGATAGACCCTGAGGTGGCCCAGCGAGCGTGTCGGGAGGTCCTACAGAAGGTGAAGCTGGGGCAGGTGGACGCCGAGCCCGACCAGCGACAAAACGGGCCGGCGACGGACAAGGCCTCCCACGCTCCTCCCACGCCCGCCATCAAGACGCCACAGATCCGCGAGGAGGATGACGACCCGACGGGCCCAGCGCCCGGCTCGGTGAAGAGCGCGCGGCGTCGGCAGAGACACAACCCCTCCAAACAGTCGTGGCTGCTGCGCCTTTTCGAGTCTAAGCTGTTTGACGTTTCCATGGCGATCTCCTACCTGCACAGCTCCAAGGAGCCCGGCGTGCAGGCGTACATCGGGAACCGGCTCTTCAGCTTCCCGCACGAGGACGTGGACTTCTACCTGCCGCAGCTCCTCAACATGTACATCCACATGGACGAGGACGTCGGCGACGCCATCAAGCCTTACTTGGTGGGTGTGGCCTCCTGTTCTCTGTTTATGTCGGTTGCCATGGTGAAAACCACTGTAAGGTTATTGTAGAGGAGCAGGGAAACTTTTAGAACAGCTGAAGGTCGCCATCTAGTGGAGAGAAAGATGTCCATTTATCAGCATCAAGTCGTTTTGATTGAAGTTTCTCTCTGTGTTTGTGTGTGGGGGTTATTTCACCCTGCGTTTGGTTCTGCAGGTGCACCGCTGCAGGCAGAGCATCTCTTTCAGCCTGCAGTGCGCCTGGCTGCTGGGAGCGTACTCCTCCGACATGCACATCTCCACACAGCGCCACTCCAGAGGAACCAAACTCAGGAAGCTCATCCTGTCAGATGAACTCAAACCCTCCGGGCCCCGAGCCAGAAGGGAGCTGACTCTGACCCCGTTCTGCCCCGCGGCGTCCCCCGGGGGCCTTACGACGGAACACGCCCTGTCTCCGTCCAAACGGACCCATCAGCGCTCCAAATCTGACGCCACGGTCAGCATCAGTCTGAGCAGCAACCTAAAGAGGACGGCTAGCAACCCGAAGGTGGAGAGCAGCCAGGACGAGGTGAGACGTGATGTCACTGTCTGAGGCGACGTCATCCAATCAGCTTAGAGTCAAAGAAAGTTCACCTGGATCCCGTCTGCTGCTCACCTGGTTTTAGTTTAAGCTGCTTTTAATCAGGGAGGCTGTAGACGTCCCAGAGAACACGACAGAGCATTAAAGGAATAGTACACCCAAAACATGATTAGCCTTCATTTTCTACTCACCCCCATGCTGAACAACACTCTGGAGTACTTTTTTGATATCTCAAATGCATCTGGAGATCTGGGAGGCTTCTTGCTGTCTGCTGACATTCAAATAATGGAGGTCTATGGCGCCCGAGACAGAAAGGTCCATAAAAGTCCACAAAAACGTGTCAATATTCCTCCATACTGCTCGTCCAATGTAATCCAAGTGTCCTGAGTGGGTAGCATCCAGAATTTACTGGAAACGAAGTCATTTAGAATGTTTTTAGAGCCTAAACAGTAGTGTATAGGATTTCCTAATAGCGCCCCCATGCGCGCTCACGATTCTACGGAAGCCGGCAGACCAAACCGGATGAAAGTGCGCATTCAGCTCGGCAAAGAACTCATGCTCTTCCTCAACACTGAAGTCCTCAGACATTTTTCTTTCGTTGTTTCTTTCTTTGCACAGGTAAACAGCACATTTCTTCTTCTACGCTTGCATTATCGGCAGAGCTGACGCTGAATGCGCACTTTCTTCCGGTTTGGTCTGCCGGCTTCCGTAGAATCGTGAGCGCGCATGGGGGCGCTATTAGGAAATCCTATACACTACTGTTTAGGCTCTAAAACGTTCTAAATGACTTCGTTTCCAGTAAATTCTGGATGCTACCCACTCAGGACACTTGGATTACATTGGACGAGCAGTATGGAGGAATATTGACACGTTTTTGTGGACTTTTATGGACCTTTCTGCCTCGGGCGCCATAGACCTCCATTATTTGAATGTCAGCAGACAGCAAGAAGCCTCCCAGATCTCCAGATGCATTTGAGATATCAAAAAAGTACTCCAGAGTGTTGTTCAGCATGGGGGTGAGTAGAAAATGAAGGCTAATCATGTTTTGGGTGTACTATTCCTTTAAGATCTATCTGTAGATTTTATCCCTGCACGGCGTCTTGCAGGCTGTAATTCATCAATAGTGCAACTGATTTTCATACTGCTGACAGTTTTAATGATGAGCATCAGACAGGAAGTGATTCTTGCTGACAGGAAACTTAACTTCTTCATTCTGTTGGGTTTAAAAACAGAAAGTTTTCCGTTAGAATGAAGGAGAAACCTGCTGAGTCATCATTCATCCATCATTCATGAAAAAATGTTGCACGCATCAAAGGATCATTATTTACACCTGAAACTAAAACGTTTGCCGTGATTTAATGAATTTAGCGTTAACTAGTTAAGAAATAAAAGCAATTTTCGTCGCCATCACTGAGTCTGGGAGCGGCCATTTTTGCCCAAATATAGTAACCCCTCCCTCCTGCCATCTTCCAGCAGTGACGTCACGGTGCGGTAAGCCTAGCGCCATTCTCCCCGCTTTCCAAGCTAAATCAATGGGGACTACTAGACACATCTGCAATCAACAACAATTATTGAAGATTTCCAGAGGACTTCACCATTGAAATTCACCAGAGCTATAGTGAAACTGACAATGCCCACGTGCATGGCAGCTGGATGCTGGAATACATCGGGTAAAAGTGAAAAAAAGAGTTATTCCACCTTTCTGATTCCTGATCCTCCACGGACGGGTTGGTCGTTAGATCGCCAACTTGAAGAGGGAGGATTTGCCATCGAACTTCTGGCCAGAGAAAAAACCCGTAATATGTAGCCAACATTTGGAAGAAGAATGTTTTCAAGATGACTTGGATAATAGCGCGTTGTGACAAACACCAGATACAGCACTGGGACTTGATCAACAGCCGATACCGCACCGTGACAATGTCACTAACCAGTAGGTGGCAGTAGTGTTCTTTGACAAACATGGATGCCTCCAGTAAAGCACATTCACATGAAAATTACTCTGAATTAAAAACACTGATCATTTATTGAACAGGATGGAATCATTTCAGATTTAAAGAACTTTCAGAAGTTTGAATTCTGAATATGACCCGACTATTATTTTTATTTTGTTTATTGATTAACACTAAATCCATGAAATCACTGCAAACATACACTATATTGCCAAAAGTATTTGCTCACCTGCCTTGACTCACATATGAGCTTAAGTGACATCCCGTTCCTAATCCATAGGGTTCAATATGACGTCGGTCCACCCTTTGCAGCTAGAACAGCTTCAACTCTTCTGGGAAGGCTGTCCACAAGGTTTAGGAGTGTGTTTATGGGAATTTTGGACCATTCTTCCAGAAGCGCATTTGTGAGGTCGCACACTGATGTTGGACGAGAAGGCCTGGCTCTCAGTCTCCGCTCTAATTCATCCCAAAGGTGTTCTATCGGGTTGAGGTCAGGACTCTGTGCAGGCCAGTCAAGTTCATCCACACCAGACTCTGTCATCCATGTCTTTATGGACCTTGCTTTGTGCACTGGTGCACAGTCATGTTGGAAGAGGAAGGGGCCAGCTCCAAACTGTTCCCACAAAGTTGGGAGCATGGAATTGTCCAAAATGTCTTGGTATGCTGAAGCATTCAGAGTTCCTTTCACTGGAACTAAGGGGCCAAGCCCAGCTCCTGAAAAACAACCCCACACCATAATCCCCCCTCCACCAAACTTTACACTTGGCACAATGCAGTCAGACAAGTACCGTTCTCCTGGCAACCGCCAAACCCAGACCCGTCCATCAGATTGCCAGATGGAGAAGCGCGATTCGTCACTCCAGAGAACGCGTCTCCACTGCTCTAGAGTCCAGTGGCGGCGTGCTTTACACCACCGCATCCGACGCTTTGCATTGCACTTGGTGATGTATGGCTTGGATGCAGCTGCTCGACCATGGAAACCCATTCCATGAAGCTCTCTGCGCACTGTTCTTGAGCTAATCTGAAGGCCACATGAAGTTTGGAGGTCTGTAGTGATTGACTCTGCAGAAAGTTGGCGACCTCTTCGCACTATGCGCTTCAGCATCCGCTGACCCCGCTCCGTCAGTTTACGTGGCCTACCACTTCGTGGCTGAGTTGCTGTCGTTCCCAAACACTTCCATTTTCTTATAATACAGCTGACAGTTGACTGTGGAATATTTAGGAGCGAGGAAATTTCACGACTGGATTTGTTGCACAGGTGGCATCCTATCACAGTTCCACGCTGGAATTCACTGAGCTCCTGAGAGCGACCCATTCTTTCACAAATGTTTGTAAAAACAGTCTGCATGCCTAGGTGCTTGAATTTATACACCTGTGGCCATGGAAGTGATTGGAACACCTGATTCCAATAATTTGGATGGGTGAGCAAATACTTTTGGCAATATAGTGTATTAGTTTTAGGTATAAATAATGATACCTTCCTGACTATACTTATAAATCTGATTATAAATACCTTTCCTTATCATTCACTTTAAAAGTAAATAATGTTTCCATTATGGATGCACGATATAATCGGCCCCCTATCGGTATCGGCCTTAAAACTGAATATCGGACATCGGCCACCCCACCGATATTTAACCCGATATTTGATCAGCTTCTGAGTTTCTAAAGTCTCTTAAAAAAATTTAAAAAAATACTTCTTCTTCTTCCTCAAAAACTTCTTTTTTACAGACTTAAAAACTTCTAAAGACGAGGGAAAAAATATTGATACATTAAAATATCCCAATATCTTCATATGCTGATATATTGCCATTTAAAAACACCATATCAATCTCTTTTACTAATGAAATATTGCTATATGTCATCGTTATGCTACGAAATCCCCCAAAAATATTTTTATATGTTGATATATTGACGCGGTATCGATCTATTTTACTAACAAAATCTGACAAGAATTTGCAAAATATCACGAGAGTTTGTAACCGAACGATGAAATTTCACGAGATTTTGAAAGTAAAATAGATCGATACCGCGTTTATAAAAATCTATTTGATATCAGCATATGAAAATATATTTGAGTATATTATTTTTCAAAGTGTCAGAAATGGATAACAAAACTGCTATTTTCAATGACTACTTATTTTTGTCCAGCTTTAACATCGGTATCGATATCGGTTATCGGCTACATGAGTTTTAAAATATCGGCATATCGGCCAAAATCCCAATATCGTGCATTCCTAGTTTCCATTTCTGTTTTCTTTATACCCGACATTTAAATCTATCTTTAAGCATCATCTCTCCTCTCCATTCATTAACTGCTGCTTCTGTGTTTCCCTTTTTCGTTTAGTTTAGTGCGACTCTTGGTTTATAAGCTGTAGCTAAAATGTTTAGAAACTGTTAATAGGAGGAAACTTAACTGTAAATAAGCTGTTTGGTCGGTGATGAAAGTGAGAAAGTGAAAAGATTCTAAAAAATAAATAGAAATGTAAAAAATCTGACCCTTTTTATATGTGTGATAAGAAACGGTATTTATTATCAGATTAATAAATGGTGGCTTTTCAATCTGAATTTAACAATAAGCTTTGAGGATAATTTTGAATCAATTTGTAATATTTATTAGGGATGCAGGATATCGGGATTTTGGCCGATATCCGATATTTTAAAACTCATGTAGCCGATAACCGATATCGATACCGATGTTAAAGCTGGAAAAAAATAAGTAGTCATTGAAAATAGCAGTTTTATTTTCCATTTCTGACACTTTGAAAAATAATATACATATACTTGATATGGTGTTTTTAAATAGCAATATATCAGCATATGAAGATATTGGGATATTTTAATGTATCGATATTTTTTCCGTCGTCTTTAGAAGTTTTTAAGTCTGTAAAAAAGAAGTTTTTGAGGAAGAAGAAGAAGTATTTTTTTTTTTTTAGACTTTAGAAACTCAGAAGCTGATCAAATATCGGGTTAAATATCGGTGGGGGGGCCGCTGTCCGATATTCAGTTTTAAGGCCGATACCGATAGGGGGCCGATTATATCGTGCATCCATAATGGAAACATTATTTACTTTTAAAGTGAGTGATAATGAAAGGTATTTATAATCAGATTTATAAGTATAGTCAGGAAGGAATCATTATTTATACCTAAAACTAATATGTTTGCAGTGATTTCATGGATTTAGTGTTAATCAATAAACAAAATAAAAATGTCTGGTCATATTCAGAATCCAAACTTCTTGAAGTTCTTTAAATCTGAAATGATTCCATCCTGTTCAATAAATGATCAGTGTTTTTAATTGAGAGTAATTTTCATGTGAATGTGCTTTACTGGAGGCATCCATGTTTGTCAAAGAACACTACTGCCACCTACTGGTTAGTGACATTGTCACGGTGCGGTATCGGCTGTTGATCAAGTCCCAGTGCTGTATCTGGTGTTTGTCACAACGCGCTATTATCCAAGTCATCTTGAAAACATTCTTCTTCCAAATGTTGGCTACATATTACGGGTTTTTTCTCTGGCCAGAAGTTCGATGGCAAATCCTCCCTCTTCAAGTTGGCGATCCAACGACCAACCCGTCCGTGGAGGATCAGGAATCAGAAAGGTGGAATAACTCTTTTTTTCATTTTTACCCGATGTATTCCAGCATCCAGCTGCCATGCACGTGGGCATTGTCAGTTTCACTATAGCTCTGGTGAATTTCAATGGTGAAGTCCTCTGGAAATCTTCAATAATTGTTGTTGATTGCAGATGTGTCTAGTAGTTCCCATTGATTTAGCTTGGAAAGCGGGGAGAATGGCGCTAGGCTTACCGCACCGTGACGTCACTGCTGGAAGATGGCAGGAGGGAGGGGCTACTATATTTGGGGGAAAATGGCCGCTCCCAGACTCTGTGATCACCCCGAAAATTGCTTTTATTATCGGGTTAAATATCGGTGGGGTGGCCAATGTCCGATATTCAGTTTTAAGGCCGATACCGATAGGGGGCCGATTATATCGTGCATCCCTAATATTTAATAATTAATTTATATTAAAACATCCAATTACAAAAGGCTTTTCTAACCGTTAGATTTAAACGTTTAATCTGAAGCTGCTCTGGTCGTCTTTACGTTGTGTTTCCCGTAGGAATGGTACAGTCTGCGACTTTTATCGGTTTATTTGTCGCGTTCTTGATCAACATCCGACCTCTGGTCACTTTGGTTTACTGTTGGTAAATAAACAAAGCGATGCTTTTATTGACAAATGGAGCGAAATAAATGATAAAACAGAGAAATAAGCCAAGAGGGACTGATTAGTGAAGTAGGTAACTTTAGAACCCGGAACATTGCTGGAACTTTCTGCGTGTTTAAACGTCTAACCTGACAGGAACCAATCAGCAGCTTCTTCCTCTGACCCTCAGGACAGCGCTTCCAGCTCCGACAGTCTGGAGTTGGATTCTGGTCCCGTAAGTTCAGCCCGTACGTCTTCCAAACTCAAAGGGAATTGTGGGAAATGAGTTCTGTCGTGGAGTCTGGGCTGCTGGTTCTGGTCCGGTCCATAGAAGTTTAGCTGCTCCTCTGTGGACTCGGACGGTGTGATTGTCTTTCTGTCGTCTGTTGAAGGTTTTGGGTTAACCAATCAGAATTGGACCTGTCTTTATGTCTGCTCCTGCTGATCGGTTCTGGGTCTGTGTGTCAGGTTTCCTCCCTGGTTCTGATCCAGATAGTTCAGCTGATGGCTGTCAGGACATCAGCTCTAACATTTAAACCTGACCCACAGACAGCAGCCGCTCTGTTCCGTCTGTCCTGACCCCTCCCGGCCCAGGCTCCGCCCCCCTGTGTCACCTGATCTCCTTTGCTTCCTGCAGCCGGTGCGCCTGGCTCCTCAGAGGGAGTTCATGAAATCCCTGATGGGGATCGGGAAGCGGCTGGCCACGCTGCCCACCAAAGAGCAGAAGACCCAGCGGCTGATCTCCGAGCTGTCGCTGCTCAACCACAAGCTCCCGGCTCGGGTCTGGCTGCCCACCGCCGCCTTCGACCACCACGTGGTCCGGGTGCCGCACACGCAGGCCGTCGTGCTCAACTCCAAAGACAAGGTGAGACGACCCGTCCTCCGCTCGCTGCCATTGGGCCTGGTGAGTCTAATCCGTTCCTGCTCTCTGCTCAGGCTCCGTACCTGATCTACGTGGAGGTTCTGGAATGTGAGAACTTCGAGACGTCCAACGTTCCGATGAGGATCCCGGAGAACCGGATCAGGAGCACGCGTTCAGTGGAGAACCTGCCGGACTGCGGCATGATGGTGGAGCAGCGAGCCGGAAGCCTCTCTGTCGTCCCGAACTACGACAACAACGACGAAGCCTGGTCTGTGGACGACATCGGAGAGCTCCAGGTGGAGGTAAGACTCCACCCTCACAGGAAGTGATGTCACGTTTATGTCACAAAGCAGCGACTGTCGCAGGACGAACAGTAAACGTTTGATCCTGTCAGGACCAGAATATTTCAGTTCTGGACCCAAAAAAGAAGTTTTTTTTTAACTGAAATAAAAGCGCGTGGGCCGAGGACACAGCCCTGAGGGCGCCATGCGTCCAGCTCTGGTTTAACAGACATGTTGCCCCCACCCCCAGCTCCCAGAGGGCCACGCCAACAGCTGCGACAACATCAGCCAGTTCTCAGTGGACAGCATCACCAGCCTCGACAGCAAGGAGCCCGTCTTCATCGCCGCTGGAGACATCAGGTACCACGGAAACCAGAACCGAGGTTCAGATCGGAAGCAGCCGCTTGGTCCGACTTCCTCCTGTGTCTTCATTCCAGGCGCCGTCTGTCCGAGCAGCTGGCCCAGGCCCCCACCACCTTCAAACGGGACCCGGAGGACCCGTCAGCTGTGGCCCTGAAGGAGCCTTGGGAGGAGAAGGTCCGGTAGGTAACATCTCTGCAGCTTCTTCTCTTCACCAGGCCTCGCAGACAGACGGAGCTCTTGCGAAGTTCAGGAGAAACTGAGAAAATTTTCAAATTTATTTAACGTCCTCAGACGGAGAGATGGGGCTCTGACTGGGCAAAGCTCAGTACAAACATTTATACAACAACTCCCAATAAACACACTCTCCCTGGAACTATCCCACCCCTACATAAAGAACTTTCTCACCACGAACATTTGAAGGAAAAACAACTTGAGTTCATCATGGCCGCTCCCAGATGGATCTTTTCAAAACAACAGTCCTCCCCTTCATACCATGAAGGAGACTTTGTGACTCATTCTTGTCTCTCATGACCTTCGTTTGGAGCCTGTGATCCTAATGCTACGTTCACACCGGACGCAGCAAAAGCAGCAAAATCGCGTCTGCTGCTTAAGTTTTGCTGCTTGTACCAGTTTAGTTCTGACGCACAGCTGAAGCAGCTTTGCTGCTCTGGCTGCGCGGTGCAAAAGTGTGTCTGAAACTCGTTGGGCGGAGCTACTCTCTCCTTTCTTTGCCTTGCAGCTATATTTGCTGTGATCAGTGGGAATAAAGTAGTTTTAATATGTTTTTAAGTGAGAAAATCCACCTGAAAACTTAATCATTGCAGTCAGTTCATCCAGATTATCATCCTGCCTTCCAATATTATTTCTGTCGGAGCCGCTCAGACCCCCACATACCAGCAGTGCTGTCAGTAGGAATCCCTTCAACAGCAGCCTCTGGCCGGGTCGCCTCCTCACGGTTCACAGCGGCGGCTGGAAGGTGGTTTTCATCTAAATAATCCAAACTGCAGGCAGCAGGATAATAAAAGCCAACATATTCTGCCGGCAGATTTCTGCATTTTAAGTTACCGTATTTTCACGACTATAAGGCGCACTTAAACGTCTTTTTTTTCCCTCAAAATGTGCGGTGCGCCCTTTGGTGCGGTGCGCCCTATGTGTGTTGTAACTGCGACTTTTGAGACCACCTCATTGAGGAGATGATGAAAGAGTGGCTGAATGTAAGGAGACCAGGTGTTTTTTTTCCACCCCTCACCATCGCTGTTAATATGTAACTCCATGCGTGCCCATCTCACAGCTGATGTGAAAAACATGGGGAAACAAATTAACGCTGTGCTCGCTGTTCAACCGCTCGACATCGGTGTGAACCGGACCCAGCAGGTGCAGCAGAAGCAGCGAGTTTACATGCAAAGTCAATGGTTGACGCGCGTATAGGTGCAGCAAAAGGTCATGCAGCGCGTTTTGGTGCAGCAGGCGCAGCCCGTCGCGCTGCTGCTGCTCAAGATGGAAAAGTTGAAGTTTTGCTGCTGGACGCGCCGCATCAACCAATCAGAGAAGCTGATCTGGGAGCTGACAGCGAGACAGACACAGCGCTCTGATGACATATGATATTAACGCAAATGAAAAAGGCTGGATGAATGAGGAGATGATGCAGGCAGGTGTATGTGAGGAGACCAGGTGTTTTTTTCCACGCATCACCATCGCTGCGTGCCCATCTCACAGCCGATGTGAAAAAAAGGTGAATCAAATGAACGCTGTGCTCGCCGTTATCCCGGGGGGTCTGACAAAGGAACTTCAACCGCTCGACATCGGTGTGAAGCGGCCGTTCAAAGTAAGGCTGCGAGCGGCGTGGGAGCGATGGGTGACAGACGGCATTATTTCTGAGGAGCTGCGCTGCACGGAAAGTGACTCTGACAGCGAAGAAGGGGAAATTGGCATGTCTGATTTAGCGCAGCTGTTTTATTCAGAAACAGAGGATGATGACTTTGATGGGTTTGATTAATACCTTGTAATAAATACATGAATAAAGCACAAACATCCTCAGGTTTGCTCCCGCTCTATTTTTCTACCTGAAAACTTAATTCAACAGCAGCCTCTGGGCGCGTCTCCTCCTCTTCAGCGCGGTGGCTGGCAGGTGTTTTTCCATCTAAATAATCTAAATCTTGCAGCTATATTTGCTGTGATCAGTGGGAATAAAGTAGTTTTAATATGTTTTTAAGTGAGAAAGTCCACCTGAAAACTTAATAATTGCAGTCAGTTCATCCAGATTATCTATTTCTGTCGGAGGCGCTCAGACCCCCACATACCAGCGGTGCACCGACAGTAAATCCCTTCAACAGCAGCCTCACCGCGGCTGCTGGCAGGTGTTTTTCATCTAAATAATTTTAACTGCAGGCACCAGGATACCGGCAATAAAAGCGAACATATTCCGTCGGCAGGTTTCAGGATTTTAAGTTAATTTAGGAGTGATCACAGCGCTGTGTCATCTGCGATGTGTCTGTCTCACGGCCAGCTGCCAGGTTTGATTAATACTTTGTAATAAATACATGAATAAAGCACAGTCATACTCAGTTTTGCCCCCGCTGTATTTTTAAATACGCAGTAGAGGTATTTAAAGGTAGTAGAGGACATGTACCTGTATATAAAAAACGCGCCCTATAGTCCGGTGCGCCTTATGTGTGTGTTAAATACAGAAATGGGACACATAACTGAGAGTGCGCCTTTTAGTATGGTGTGCCTTATGGTCGTGAAAGTACGGTAATTTAGGCGTTAATAAACTTTCAGAGGAGCGAACACAGCGCTCTGTATCATCAGCCATGTGTCTCTCTCCCTGTCAACTCCCAGATCAGCTTCTCTGATTGGTTGACGCGCGTCAAGCAGCAAAAGTTCAATTTTTCCATCACGAGCAGCAGCGCGTCACGCGCGTCAGATGCTTAAACGCTCCCGATGCGCTGCTTCAGCTGCTCAGAGGCCCTGCGCCTGCTGCTCAAAACGCTTTTGCTGCGCCTTGACGCGCGTCAACCATTGACTTTGCCTGTAAACTCGCTGCTTCTGCTGCGTCCGGTGTGAACGCAGCATTAGAACAGACATACCTCAGCATTTTTTTTTCCTCCACACTCTTGTTAAAGAAAGGCTCAATGTCTGCACCTTCACTCTCTATCTCGGTTCTTTTTCCTGGAAAGAGATCACTCAGGACAAACTCTCTTTAAATAAAAACATCATAACTTATATGTATTAAATAACCAGGAGATGTGACACAATATTCTGATAGAAATTGTAATCTTACTCAGATCAGAGAAATTTCTGAATATACAGAAGGCAGCTGCTCCCTTCTGGGCAGTTAAAAAGGTATTTTATCCATCTCCAGTCTGCATCATCATCTTATTTTACATCAGACACATTAGCAGATGATTAGACATCCATGGCTCCAGCCTTATCAAAATATTACACTTCGTTCTTAGCTGAAGGATCTCATTCCATTTCCTAATCTTTGCCACGTACAGAGTGAAGGTTATAACTGCATATCCAGACAGAGGAACTGTCCTGATCAGTTCAGACACGCAGCAGGCAGCCAGGGAGCCATAAACTCACACATCTTCAATGATAATTATCAGCAATTCCCCCTGAAACCTGACATTCTCAATGTCACCTTTAAGCAAACTTATTGTTTGCTAATGACCAAGATATTAATCATAGAAGAAACTTTAAGTGCTGTTTCTTTTAACATCATAGAAACATGGAATAAATTAATCAGGGATCAAAGGTAATGACAATCAAAACTTCACAGACCAAATGTTTGATGATTATCTTAACTCTTCTTCTGTCTTCATCCCTCAGGAGGATCAGGGAAGGTTCTCCTTATGGTCACCTACCAAACTGGAGGCTTCTGTCGGTCATTGTGAAGTGCGGCGATGACCTGAGGCAGGAGCTGCTCGCCTACCAGGTGCTGCAGCAGCTGAAGGTACGTCGGGTCTTTGGCGCCGCCTCTCTTAGCTTCTGTTTCTCTGAGTCCTCATGCCTTCCCGCTCCTCCTCCCTGCAGTCCATCTGGGAGCAGGAGCGCATTCCTCTCTGGATCAAGCCCTATAAGATCCTGGTCCTGTCCCACGACAGTGGGATGATCGAGCCCGTAGTGAACGCCGTGTCCATCCACCAGGTGAAGAAGCAGAGCCAGCTGTCTCTGCTCGACTACTTCCTGCAGGAACACGGCGCTCAGACCACGGAGGAGTTCCTCACTGCTCAGAGGAACTTCGTCCAAAGCTGCGCCGGTTACAGCCTCATCTGCTACCTGCTGCAGGTCAAAGACAGGTGAGGGCCGCTCGCCGTTCACGCCGCTCGCTGCCTTCGGAAACCCAGCTGCAGATTCTGTGCTCTGTCCTCTCAGGCACAACGGGAACATCCTGCTGGACGCCGAAGGACACATCATCCACATCGACTTCGGCTTCATCCTGTCCAGCTCTCCCAGGAACCTCGGCTTCGAGACGTCCGCCTTCAAACTGACGGCGGAGTTTGTGGATGTGAGTCGGATCAGACCTGAAGGTTCTGTCTGCAGGAGGCGGACGAGTAGACAGAGAAAAGGTTGAGGAACATCTCCCAGATTAGAGCGCTGCTGCTTCTGAACAAAGTAAACCCTCAGTAACGTCTCTCAGGCAGCAGTTTCCATCGTCTCCTCCCTGTCAAGTGAATTTAAACCCTCATCTTTGTCTAACAGGAATGGTTTGGTTCCTTTTGAATGCGAACGATTCCGATTCCTTGTTTCCATTACAAGTCCTATCGATTAAGAATCATAAAATCGTGATAAATTAGTTCTATCTGGGTGAATTAGTCTGAACTTCTGGATGTAATTTAATTCCTTGAAACATCTAATTTTGTGTGAACTTTACTAAAAATAGTATTTTCTACCAGTATATTAATATGCAAACTACTAACTCTAACAGTTTTATTTACATTTTCATAAACAGGGTTCCAGCGGGTCCTTAAAAAGCCTTAAAAGGCATTGAATCCTTCAAAATAAAACTAAGGCCTTAATTGGTATTAAAATGTCTTAAATTAGTCTTTCGTAGGTCTTAATTTTTAAAACATCATAAGTAGGATTATTTTTATTATTTTTGTAATCTAAATAAAACGAAAAAAGTGACACATTTTTTTTCTTTTTAGAAAAAAAAAAAAATAGCGGCTCTCCATTATTGGTTCCGTCCCGATAGCGGAACCAATAAAGCGTTGTTGCGGCCGGGACATTTGGGAGATGCACCATTAACTTTTTGTCTGGAAAATATGAGCAAGTGTAAATGTAACCAAAATTGTCTCCAGCCAAGAGTTTCCTCCATGGCTAAAACCAGGGAACATACATGAGGCTCAGTGGATTTAGTGCAAGAAGTCATTAAAGCTCAGAACGACGGGAATTAAAGGAATAGTACACCCAAAACATGATTAGCCTTCATTTTCTACTCACCCCCCTGCTGAACAACACTCTGGAGTACTTTTTTGATATCTCAAATGCATCTGGAGATCTGGGAGGCTTCTTGCTGTCTGCTGACATTCAAATAATGGAGGTCTATGGCGCCCGAGGCAGAAAGGTCCATAAAAGTCCACAAAAAACGTGTCAATATTCCTCCATACTGCTCGTCCAATGTATTCCAAGTGTCCTGAGTGGGTAGCGTCCAGAATTTACTCGAAACGAAGTCATTTAGAATGTTTTTAGAGCATAAACAGTAGTGTATAGGATTTCCTAGAAGCGCGTTCACGAGTCTACGGAAACCGCGGCAGACCAAACCAGATGAAAGTGCGCATTCAGCTCGGCAAAGAACTCATGCTCTTCCTCAACACTGAAGTCCTCAGACATTTTTCTTTCGTTGTTTCTTTCTTTGCACAGGTAAACAGCAAATTTCTTCTTCTACGCTTGCATTATCGGCAGAGCAGACGCTGAATGCGCACTTTCATCTGGTTTGGTCTGCCGGCTTCCGTAGCGTCGTGATCGCGCATGTGCGCGCTTTCAGGAAATCCTATACACTACTGTTTATGCTCTAAAAACATTCTAAATGACTTCGTTTCGAGTAAATTCTGGACGCTACCCACTCAGGACACTTGGAATACATTGGACGAGCAGTATGGAGGAATATTGACACGTTTTTTGTGGACTTTTATGGACCTTTCTGCCTCGGGCGCCATAGACCTCCATTATTTGAATGTCAGCAGACAGCAAGAAGCCTCCCAGATCTCCAGATGCATTTGAGATATCAAAAAAGTACTCCAGAGTGTTGTTCAGCATGGGGGTGAGTAGAAAATGAAGGCTAATCATGTTTTGGGTGTACTATTCCTTTAAGGCAGTGGAGTCGCACATGCGAAGCACGAAACACAAAGCGTCAAAATGGAGTTACAGAGAAACAGCCGGTATTTCTCAGTTTAGTTCCACCCTTGTCTCTGCAACGCCTCCACTTATCACCAAATCAAACATACTAATAAAACCATTCAAAGAAAAATAGCTGCAAAAAAGACTTAGCACTGGTTATGTTGGGGCTGGTTGACAGTTGCCTTTTGTATCTATGCTTCTTTTTCTATGTCTGCTTCTGTCTCCTTGAACCCCAGTGGGCCTCAGCAGATGGCCGCTCACACTGAGCCTGGTTCTGCTGGAGGTTTCTTCCTGTTCAAAGGGAGTTTTTCCTCTCCACTGTCGCTACAAGTATGCTTAGTGTGAGGGATTGCTGAAGAGTCAATGAGTCGATGCAATCAGCTGGTTTTCCTTAGATAGAAAACTTTGAATGATGTGTTGTGAATCGGCGCTATAGAAATAAAGTGAATTGAATTAAACCCTCGGTCTTGTCTTGCAGGTGATGGGCGGCCCAGATGGAGACATGTTTAACTACTACAAGATGCTGATGCTGCAGGGGCTGATTGCAGCCAGGAAGCACATGGACCGAGTGCTGCAGATTGTAGAGATCATGCAGCAAGGTGAGCAAACAGGGCGTCCCACTACGCCCCTGTTCCCGTACCGCCGCCCACCTCAGCTTTCTCTGTGGTTTTTCCTTCAGGCTCCCAGCTGCCTTGCTTCCACGGCTCCAGCACCATGCGAGGCCTGAAGGAGCGTTTCCACATGTCCCTCACTGAGGAGCAGCTGCAACTACTGATCGACCAGCTGGTGGACGGATCCATGAGGTCCCTCACCACCAAACTGTACGACGGCTTCCAGTATCTCACCAACGGCATCATGTGACCTCCGCCACACGTTCTGGGAATTCTCCGCGCTTTTAGAAACTCTTCTTCTTTAATTCCAGCTTTGTGTTTGTTGTCCTTTTCCTTTAGTTTCTTCTTCCTAATTTTTTAAATCTCCGTCTTCCTCCTCTTATGCTTTGTTGTTCTGAACTGGGTGGAGGCTTCTGATTGGCTGATCAGGAGGACTTCTGGCCAATCGGAGAGCAGCCCAGTTTTAGTTGAACTGTGAACAGTGAGCAGGACGTTTGAACGGACCTCTGTGTGTTTTCCATGACTGACGTCTGTGAATGTTTGAGCCATTAAAACCAGCCAGTGTCCACCTGCAGAGTGTCGTCTGTCCCTGTTTACCTGGTGGACCCCCCCCCCCCCCCCGAGCGAGCTCTGCTGGGGCCTCGTGCATAATAGTGAGCAGCTTTCGTACTAAAAATGGCCGGAAGCACCTGCTGCTTACAGGTATCACCTTTCCTGAATACTTCCTGATTCTGCAGCATCTGCAGACTCTACCTGGACCGCCCCGTCGTTGCCATGGATACATAATATGCACTGGTATCAATTAGGCTCACGTATTATAGGACATCGTCCGGTGTCAGGAAAACATTTTATAAGGAAGAAGTCGTTGAGAAAAAGCTTTTACGCATCGGGAATAAACTCAGGAAACGATTGAGTTCGATTTTTTTTTTTTTTCTTTTTTGTAATGAAATCTTCTCCATCTTAGCAGATGTTTGAGTTCAGCAAAGCTACATTCCTGCCAAAAAAATATCTTCAAGAAATATTTTGGGTTTGTATACCGATCATTTCACAGGAAAGTAATGAAGGTCGTCACATTTCCGCTTTATTTTGTTTTTCATATCCCGTATTTCTCCAAAGGAAGCGAATGAACGCTTCAGGATTGTCCTTCATGGCCACCGTAGGATCGAATTATTGAAGCTTTGACAGCAATGGCTGATGATGGTGATGAGAAGTTTGTTCTATTCACTCCCTACTAACCGCAGCGCTACGGTCCTCTGGGATTCATAGAACCGTAGTTACAATCGTAACTTTCTTTTAACCAAAATAAACTTTTAAGATGTTTTAAGAAAAGAATCAATCTTTGTAAAACTTCATTTAACAAAAGGGCTTCATGCTGAGTCTTCAGATCCGAGAATGCACCCGTATCCTCGTAACCATGGCAACCCTGTCTCCACAGGGTTGTTTTTTTTTCTGTGGACTAAGAGCTTCTTGGCCGACATCAGCGACTCGAATTTGCTGAAATAAAAAGAAAAACTGGCTTATGAGGGTTGTTTGTAAAGTTAAGCAGTCAAAAATTAGGATATTAGATTAATAATTATATTAATATAGTATTTAATTTGTAAGAGAAAAAATTAGGGGGTTATTTTTTCACTCTGTGATTCATTAATTTTTAAATCAAATCCCAAACTAAATGTTTAGATTGTCAGTTATAAAAATTGTCAGGAAGTTAAATATTTATTTTCTAAACTAAATATTTAGTTTGTCAGGAAAATGTTTAGTTTGAAGCTAAATCTTTTTATAACAAGCTGAATATTTAACAAATATTTTGTTTGAAATTTTTATTTTTTATAAATTACATATTGAAAAAATTACTTCGGAAAAATTTGTCTGCAAGTAAATATTTAATTTCCAAACCATATATAATTTTAACGAAATCATTTTTTAACACACTAAATACTTAGTTTGTTAAATATGTAGTTTGCAAATTAGGTGTTTTGTTTTTTAAATATTTAGCTCCAAACTGTATTTAATTAATAAACTAAATATTTAATTTTCAAACTTTAGATGGCTTGCTGCTAGCTAAATATTTAATTTGTTAGATAAACATCTAGCTAAATATCTATTTAACAATAAATTGTTTGATTCACACTCGTGAATCTGTGATTAGTACACTTAGATTTGTAATACTTTCTCCTAAATTTGTGATTTGTACCCTTAATTTATTCTGTTCTACTGATCTTTGATTTATACACAATTCTATTTAGTTTATTTCTATACCGCCAATTCACATCATGTCATCTCAGGTCACTTTCCAGTTCACCAGATCATCCAGTCAGATTGGTTCAAAGTTTTCTATCTAAGGAAAACCAGCTGATTGCATCGACTCATTGACTCTTCAGCAATCCCTCACACTAAGCATGCTTGTAGCGACAGTGGAGAGGAAAAACTCCCTTTGAACAGGAAGAAACCTCCAGCAGAACCAGGCTCAGTGTGAGCGGCCATCTGCTGAGGCCCACTGGGGTTCAAGGAGACAGAAGCAGACATAGAAAAAGAAGCATAGATACAAAAGGCAACTGTCAACCAGCTCCACAGGCGGCCCCGTCCAGGAAACACACAGCCAGGCAGACGAGCTCCGAGCCAGCTCCCATGTCAGAGGATGAAGAGAGCACATCCAGTTAGTCACAGTCAGAGAAACAGGACTACACTGGAAAACAGGCCAAGCTCCAACATCTATAAACAAAGGTGTTGATGGCAGCAGCACAGCTGATATTTCTCTCCAGGATGGAGTCACAGCCAAACAGGAACAGACCAGATGAAGCTACTATGAGAAAAAGCAGAGAGAGCAGAACGTTAGAGATTGAACTAACAGATTCTGCAGAGTGGGAGAATAGAGATAGAATGAAGCAGAATGATGAAAAAAGGGGTCCCTATGTCCTCCAGCAGTCTAAGCCTATAGCAGCAGAACTATAGTTGTTGGCCTTTTAAGCGAACCCAACAATGACTCTAATCACTCCCCAATTCAGAGGCATGGGCCAGTTTCGAGTTAATTTCCATGCTAACAAAGACCTGAATGACTCCCCTTTACAAAGGTTGGACCTGTTTTTCGTTTCAATGTGCAGGTTTTCAAAGCCATAACAAGGCTTAGTTGGGCTGCTCTATAAAGCCTGGAACTCAACGCTACTCCAGACATTTTAAATTGAAAAAGCTTCCGGGATGTGAAGCTAAATGTCTTCAAACTTGGTAAACAAGTTTTTTTTTTGCCATAACTAGAGGAATTGCCCTTTCTATATATCAGGGGTGGGCAATTCCAGTTCCTAGGGGCCAGTATCCTGCAACTTTTAGATCCACCCTTGGTCAAACACACCTGAATCAAATAGTGGAGTTTCCTCCTCAGCATGCAGTCAGTTCATTATCATTATCTAATTATTTGATTCAGGTGTGTTGAACTAAAGGCGCATCTAAAAATGGCAGGAAACTGGCCCTGTTATATATTGTAATGTAATTTGATGTTTTGTATATTTGTAAATTTGAGAGTTGTACTGTTAGATTATTTATTCAGATTTATACATTACTCATTGGTACTTGAATGTTTAAGGTTTTTCCTTGTAAATGTTTACTAGATTCTAAGTTCTTTTTTAAATAGTTTTCTTATAAATTTAACATCTCATTCCACATCTATATATGAGTTGAGAAGAAAATAATCTTTAATTTGTTCACAGCGACTTACATTTACAAATTCAGACAATGACGTACGGTTTTAATACCCCATGCTAGTATTTATTCAGTTTATGTTTTTTATTCTTTTTTTTTTCTTTTTAACCACAGCTGAAAATGCTTCCTGTTGTCTGCAGTTTAGGTTCTGACCACAGGGTGGCAGCAGAGTTCAACTAGGCAGCTCTAAGACTCGGTTACCCAGAGTTCCAGGGGCTTGAGGAGGGGGGAGGGGCGTACCTGTCCACACCTGCAGAGAGTTTAGAGTCTGAAGAAAATAGAGAGGTGTCTGTCGGTCAGGGAGAGAAGGGGGGAATGTTGAGAGGTCAGTGAACCGAAGCTGAGGGCTGAGATCCGGACTGAGCAGGTCCAGGTTCTGCCTTATTCCACCTGGATAAATCTGGATCCACCTGGATCCAGATTTCTCAACTCTGACTTGAAGCAGGAAGTGAAGAAGCAGCAAACATGGTGAGTTAATGTTCTTTTAAAATAAACAGAACAGAACCCCCCCAGGAGCAGAAGGAGCTTCTGCTTCTGGTTCCACTTCTAAAGACTCCAGTTGTCTGAATCTGATTTCTGGAATTATTTTAACTTTAAAAAATAAAAATATAATAAACCTCCCTTAAGAGAGAGATTTATCTTTTGATTCTGGAAGTTTCAGAAATCTGAGATAAACCTGAAAAATGTTAAAAATCAATAATAAGGAAACTATAGAAGCAAATAAATAAATTTGATCAAAGGTTTAGTTAGATAAAAAAAAAAATAATGATTCACATCAAATGTTTTTCTGTCCAGATTAGAGCTGAGATTGAGTTTTTGATTAAATCTAAACTCTTGCTGGTGTTTAAAATTTAAACAGGTTTTGTTTCCAGGTTCAGATTAAAACCGACCAATCAGAAACAAGCTGTGGGCGTCGGCTTGTCATTTGGCTTCATTTAAGTCAAATGTTTTCCACTGCTAAATGGTTATCTCTGGAAACATATTTATTTACCCAGAAGAGAAAACAGAGCCAGCCCGGCGCTCCATTGGGTCCCTTGGGTCCTCGTGTCATTTTATTTAGTTTTCTTTATCTTTGTCTAACCTTTAAATCTCAGGGTTACTTTGTAAAATCAGTTTTATTTGCAAATGAATCTTACTGTGATTTTACTGAAGGGTAATCACATGTAGTGAGGCCCATACATTGACTTCCATTGAGTTTTTTACATTTATTTTGCCATTTTTAACACTTTCTATGTCTTTATCCTGACAATAACCCTAACCTAACTTTAACCTAAACTTAATTTACACCTAACTTCTTAACCTAATTGTTTGCAAATCAGGAAGAGAACTTAATTTGATGGTGAGATGTGAGTATTGGTCCTCACTCTGCTGCCATAACAGGAGCGCACACACTCTGCCGTTCTGCAGCACTACATGTCTTCACAGGACTCTGGAATGCTGGAATTCAGTAGATGAGGCAGCAAATGGAGCCACCGGGAACATTTCAGAGGGCCCACTGCCTTGGGTGGGTCAAGGAAGGGTGGGGCTGATGACATCACGCTATGGTTAGAGACGGAGCAGCTGATTAGAGAATAAAAACTCTTTCCCGCTGAAATTTAGCGGGTTAACGCAGGTTTTTCAAACACCGGCTAAAAATTAACATTTGGTTCCCTTCCCATTGCCCAAAAGATCCTGGGTCTGTCCCCCGCTGCTGTGTGTCTGGTGACATCGTCATGCTGGGTTAGCGTTGATGATGTCACCAGGGCAACAGGCTGTGTCTGAACGTCCACCCTTACCCCCTCAATCACTACACAGAGCCGGTTCTATAGTAGACTTTATAATGAACTCAGATAACTGACCGTTCGGACAGATGATCATTGCTTTTCGCTCCCCGTTGGTCACATGACTCTAACCTGACTCCGCCAGATGGATTTGCTCCGCATATCCATCTGGAAACCTTCCATTGAAGTAATTTTGGGAAGGGGTGAAAATACTGGTTAGCTGATTGGCCTATGTTGGTGATAGACGGGCCAAATAAACCAATCAGATCAACGAAGCATATGACGTACTAACAGAGCGACGACGAAGAGGAGCCAATTGATAGATCAAACTCTTGCCGAAACCAGTCTGGAGAAGAGCAAAAACATCTTTTCCTCTGAGAAAAGCCTCCAGAGCAGTGTTTTGCTCTTCTTTCAGTGAAGAAATGCTCTGTAATTCCGATAAAACTTGCTCGATAGCCACGCTAACGCTAGTTTCGTCGGCTGAAGCCGCCATGTTCTTTAGACTGAACTGTCGCGCATCTCGTTGCGTCACACCTCAACCCGCCTCAAAGCCAACGCTGATTGGACGTTCGTTTGGTGAACGGCTCCAAATTTTCTTTAACGGAGAGTCTCCAGACTGATCTGCGAATGAAACCTTGAAAGCTTGCGAGATCAGGATGGTCTCACGAGCAAGTGTTGTATATTGCTTTAGCTCTTTTATCTCTACAAATCCCTCTTACTAGCTCTGTGCCATGTTTGTCAAATAGCAGAATTGTTTCGGCTTGTTAGATCAGACGTGACAGGCGCAGCGTGTTGACGTCCATACATTTCGCTCATTGCTGTCACGTAAATTATCGGTTCTACCCAAGTCTGATGTTCCCCTGCATGTCAACCAGAGCCAAGGCGCTTTTAACCCTGGTCGCTTTCCGAGTCTTTTGTTCCAGTTAGACAGGCGTCAGTGAGCTGCTCCCACTGCCACTAAAAGCCAATTGTTCCTGGGTTTAAACTGGGTCTGGGAAACGGTGTTTTAGTATGTTTCCATGGAACCGTGTCATAAAATATGCTCCCAATGAACAGAAACCTGGAACCGAATTTTAACTTCAGATTTGGCCTACAGCCAAAACAGCTGTGAGGGTTAAATATAAGATCGCCAATGCAATTAGTTACTGATGGACTGTGTTCTGACCCACAGGGCAGCAAGGAACGGTACCACTGGCAAGCCCAGAATGTGAAAGTGAGTGGGGTGGACGACATGGTTCTACTGTCCAAGATCAACGAGGACGCCATCACAGACAACCTGAAGAAGAGATACATGGATGACTACATCTTCGTATCCTTCTTCCACACACACCTCTGACCTGAGGGGTTTATACAGGCTCCAGTAATCAGTTTCCAGCTTGTCTAACAGAGGAAATCTGCTGTCCCCTCAGTATAACTCAACAAAGCTATTAATGTCTAAACTGGATGGAACAAATATGATCAGAACCCTGAGTGAAATTAGATGTTTTCCTCCAAAGTATTGTGAAAAGTTGGCTTTATAGGGTCTCTGGTGTAGACCCCAGTGGGCCTCAGCAGATGGCCGCTCACACTGAGCCTGGTTCTGCTGGAGGTTTCTTCCTGTTCAAAGGGAGTTTTTCCTCTCCACTGTTGCTACAAGCATGCTTAGTGTGGGGGATTGCTGAAGAGTCAATGAGTTGATGCAATCAGCTGGTTTTCCTTAGATAGAAAACTTTGAATCAATTTGACTGGATGATCTGGTTGAACTGGAAAGTGCCTCGAGATGACATGTGTTATGAACTGGTGCTATAGAAATAAACTGAATTGAATCAAATGGATAAGGATTAGGTGGGTTGAATATGGGGTTATCGCTCTTGCACTCTCTCACTGGAATTTAAAGCAGCACAACATAGCAGAGAATCCCTTAGCATCTAAAAAAGAAGAGTTGCTGACCTACATAAAGATGGCAGAGGTTGCCAAAGTGAGCTGCAACGCTGTACCCAAGCCCACACAGCAGGTCAGTGGTACTGGTTCTAACAGAAAGGGCCCGGCCACGATCAACAAAACGGGAAAAAAAGGCATGACAACATCTTATGAAAAGGTTATCTTATGAAAGTTAGTGTAGGAATTCTGCCAGGATTGCTGCAGAAGTCTAAGGGGTGGGTCAGAACAGACGTGCTGCATCAAACTGGTCTTAATGGTTGTCTTTCCAGAGAGAAGTTGCCTTCTATTCATCATGCACCAGATAAACCCCAAAGAGTTTGCTAAAGATCAGCAGACTGAGGACATGAATGGGTTAACCAGTGTCCTTAGGTCTGATGAGTCCCTGATACACCTGGTTCAGATTGTGTCTCTGGCTGAAACCAAGTGAGGAGTGCAAAGACTCCAAAAAAGTCTAGTATGGTGGTGGAAGTGTCTTGTCATTGGCTGTTGGGTGAGACTGTACATTTTGGGAACCCAACCCTGGTCCCCAGAGACCCCTGCCCTGCATGCTTTAGATAAATCTCTGTTCCAGAACACCTGATTCAAATTAGTGCGGCTCCTCTGCAATTCATTAGCTACAGAAACCTATCGATCCATTCTTTCCTGGTGTGATGCAACAAGGAAACATCCAAAACATGCAGGAGCAGGGTCTCTGAGGAGCAGCACTGGGAACCACTGATTTAAACCAAGCAGAGCTTTAGGGACGTGGTATTTCAGCATCTCATTGTGGGCATAGTTTATTTATTGCCATCAGTCATTGTAACCCACCATCATTGAGGAGTAAACAAGGACTCCAGCTATCTGGGAACCTCTAGTTAACTCCGTCTGACTTAAGGCAGAACTTTATGGTTTGGCCACATTATTTACAGGGAAACAGAAGCCCTCGCCTATTCAGCCAGGCCAACAATACCCTTTAATGACCCCCCTTTCAGAGACATAGACAGGTATGGGGCATTGCAGGCTAACAAAGAAGCCAAACGACCCCCATTCCAAAGAGGTGGACCTGTTCATTCGTTTCAACTTGCATGTTTTCTAATCAAAAACCAGGCTTTGTTGGACTACCGTATTAAAATCTGGAACTCAACACAGTTTGAATTGAAAAAGCTTCCTGGATGGGAAGAGAAATGTCTTTAAACTTGGAAAGAAAGTCCAGTGGATTGTTTTTCTTTTTTTACTTTTTTTGGAACCACATTATGGAAATTCTTACAAATGTTTACTACTTTTACCACTTCCTTTAGTGGTTTAGACGTTAATATCTGAGTTTTCTGAGAGTACAGCAGATTTACCCTGACTAATGTCTCAAAGTGTCATATTCTCTATGTATTCTCATCTAAAGATGAACTACGATATTTAAAGAGACGTGAAGGGTATGCACACAAACCTGTCAACTGGAAATACTGTTGAACAGAGAACATTCTGATACTGTTCCTTGACCCAGCATGTCAGACCTATATTGGCCCGGTTCTGATCTCGGTCAACCCATTTAAACAGCTGCCATACTTCACTGACAGAGAGGTGGAGCTGTACCAGGGAGCGGTAAGAGCCACACACACAATAAGACTGACGGATGGACAGAAGGTGAAGAGACAGAAAGAGGGGTAGCGACAGGGATGGAAAGACTGATGGTGAAATCAATGACCAGGCAGGAAGACAGATGGACCGATAGGAGAGTCAGACAGAACGTTGGAAAGAAGGATAGAGGAGTGGATAAAGAAGGATATGAAAAGGAGAGAGAGGATTACATAGGTGGGCAGATTACATCCAGACATGGACGGGGAGACAAGAACCTAGAGAAGAAGAGAAGGATGGATTGAGAAACTGACAATTTGTGAGACTGATACAGCGGTGGAGAGCAGGATGGACAAAGAGACATGGACCATTGGCATTAACTCTTCCCCTCCTCCCAGGCTTCATACGAGAACCCTCCCCACATCTACGCTCTGGCCGACAACATGTACCGGAACATGATGATTGACAGCGAGAACCAGTGCGTCATCATCAGGTGGGCAGAACTTCAGTCAAACCTGAGACCCTCAAGGAGTTTGAAACCGTTTGGAGTCCAGAAGTTTTTGAGTTTCCCAGATTTAAATGCATCAACAATTGGAAAATATGTATTACATGTTATGTGTCAAAATATATATATATATGAACATTATTAAAGCATTTGTTTTAAATCCATGTGACATCAGCGGTGAAAGTGGAGCTGGAAAAACTGTCGCCGCCAAATACATCATGAGTTACGTGTCTAAAGTGTCCGGAGGAGGAGAACGAGTGCAGGTGCGTACTGGCAGCCCTTCTCTTAGTAATGGACTCGGCTGCTGTACAACTGTCACCATGGCAACTGTCATTTTGAGCTCATACTACTTGTTAGGACCAAAGTTTGTGATTGGATTACGATAAATGCTGTAACCAAGGAACCACCTCTGCTCACGCCTCTGCAGCACGTTAAAGACATCATCTTGCAGTCCAACCCCCTGCTGGAGGCCTTCGGAAACGCTAAGACTGTCCGTAACAACAACTCCAGCAGATTTGTGAGTAGAAACACACACTGGTACTAACGACCAACTGCACAGAGTGTATACAAAACGAAATCTTGTTGCATACAGCTTACAACAATCATATTGCAGTTGGAGTAGATAAACATTACCAATATAAAGTGCAGCAGTGATCACAATGTAAACGATGTAGGAGAAAAAAAGAACCCAGTTTAAAATAATGTTGCAAAAGGGCATTATTATGAAAAAGTTTATCACGCTTATCCCAAGCTGGTGGCGAGGGGTGCTGGTGTCTTATCTCCAGCTGTCTACGGGTGAGAGGCGGGGTCCACCCTGGACAGGTCACCAGTCCATCACAGGGCAACACAAAGACAAACAGGACAAACAACCATTCACCCACACTCACACCTAAGGTGGTAGGTGTGAATGGAGCGGGAGATGGATCGGTGCGGCCGCTGCTATAAAATCTGGATCATGACTAGGAGAATATACAAACTCCATGCAGAAAAAACCTGGCCGGGAATGAAACCCGGAACCTTCTTGCTGCAAGGCAGCAGTGCTACCCGCTACTCGACCGAGTAGCCCATGAAAACGTTGAGCCCAGTGCAAAACTATATATGGTGCAAAATGCAGTAGAAACATTGAGTTGTGTCTTATTTCAAAGGATTATAAAAATTCAGCAACATTGGTAGTGTAAACTAATGTGATGCAGAGTCCAGTGTAGAGTTCAGCAGTTCAACAGTCTGATGGCAGCAGCGAAAAAAGCTGTTGCAGAACCTGCTGGACCTGCAGCAGGTGCTACAAAGTCTCTTGCCAGAGGGCAGCAGGGAGAACAGTCCGTGGTGGGGGTGTGAGCGGTCACTGATGTTACGGGCTCGGGACACGCAGCGCTGGGATGAAATGTCCTATGGGGATTGTTGGCCTAGTGGTTAGAGCAGTGCGCTTAGGCTCTGAGAAGTTTGCAACTCGGTTCGATCCTCACAGGCTGCACTCTGGGTCCCTGAGCAAGACCCTTACCTCCAAACCGCTCCTCGGGCACTGCACAGTGATGGCCCACTGCTCCCTAAGGGGATGGGTTAAATGCAGAGTTGAATTTCTCCAATGAGAGATCAATAAAGCTCAGTTATTATTAAAGTCGTAGGGACGTCATGTTTAAATGTCAAATCATTCTGGCTTAAACGTGTATATAAATGGACTCTTTATCAGACCATATTGTCCCAAAAGTTTCTATTTTTAAAAATTTTTTAATTTCTATTTAAAAAAAAAAAATCCTGTCTTAAAATCTGTGGTGGTTTTTTCCCCATTACCTTCTGCAGGCCAGTTAGTTCTACGTCAGCCTGAACACCTAAATTCGGCCAATCATATATCAACGGTCATCTGTCAATCTAATTTTTTTGGTCATAGCATCTTGATTCATATGTCGCAGCTAATATACACTGCAATATACGGTATAATAAATCAGAATCCTTTCCCATTGAGTTGCGTCCCAGTGTTCACGGGGATGGACGTCTGTGTCTTCGGCAGGCGTAGAGCTAACAGAACTGGCAGCGTTGCGAGGCAAGGGCTCAAACATGGACGGCTGGAAGCCTTCTACACCAAACCAAGCTTCTGCCGCCCTGGCATGCTTTAGATAAATCTCTGTTCCAGAACACATCCGTGACCTCCGACACTAAACTCTCCTCCTCTTGCATGTTTCCTCTGTCCATAGCGTTCCTTGACAGTGTCGTTTCTAAGTCACCAATTTAGTGCTACTTGGTCCCAATGGAATTTCCCATTGGGGGCCTACTAGGGGTGTAAATAATAATCGTTTTGTATCGATGCATCGATCCAAAAGCCGACGATCCGATGCATCGATACGTCTGCAAGATAATCGATTCATGTTTTTTTTTTCCTCCGGTCTATTTTTATCCATTTGCTCCTGGGCGTAATTCTCCCTCCCGTGCTGCGGTGCCGCTAAACCTATTTTGCCCTCCTACCGCGCTTCCTGGTTATACTCTTACAGCAGTTTGTTGCAGCAAGCTTCACACAGACATTTTTAAATTATGCTCAGTATTGAAGTGTGGTCTGAGCTACACACTGTGGGTCTAGATACGGCCGAGGCGGTGAGGAAGTGGGGACGAGTTTAGTCCAACGACGGAGGGACATGAGGGCAAAAAGAGCGGAGATTCAGCTGGAAAAAGGGTCCCAGCGTTCTCGCGCACCTCGCTCTTCTAGCGGGTCAAACTTCACGAGTTGTTTTCCGCAATTTCGGTCATAAAAACAAAACAAGCCGGCCTCCTGTCTGGTGCACTGTTTGCGGTCAGCTACAATCTGGGAGAGGAGCAGCGGAGCGTCTCTCAAGGGGGCGGTGACGTCAACACTCTGAAGCCTTCTTCTTCTTCTTTTTTTTAATGGCGGTTGACAAACAACTTATAGGTGCATTACCTCCACCTTCCAGAATGGAGTATGGACCAGACAAACTATTATATTCTCCCTAAAATACCCGTTCTTCTTAGAAAATTAAAAATACTACCAAAAACTACATCCCCAAATGACCTTTGAAACAATTCCCTTATATGTAGTTTATTTTTATTCCTGTCTAACTCTCTAAGCAACATCTCTCTTTCCTGAGTATATTTATTACATTCTAAAAAAATATGTTGGACAGTTTCTCTGGAGCCGAGGTATTGCATTGAACTCATTACAGTGATATTCTGCAGTATTTTTGCAGTATTTTTTGATGCAACTTTTCTACTTCTGTTATTTGCTGTTGTTTCTAAAGAAAATGCATAATGATATTACAGCTTTCATTGATTTATTTCAAACTTGAAACTTTGTTTAGCCTGTAAGGTGTAAAAAAATAAATAAATAAAAAAAAAAAAAATAAATAATCGATTAATCGAATCGTGGTGTATTCTTGAGTATCGAAAATAATCGAATCGTTGGGTCAGGAAATCGATACTGAATCGAATCGCCATGATGGATGTGATTTACACCCCTAGGGCCTACTAGCACTAAGTTGCTAACTGGTTAGCAAGATGCTTCCGACAAACCCGTCCTCTTGATAAACAACCAATCACTTTCACTTTGTTCACTTGTGCAAAGTCGGGCACCACTCGGGAGAATTCGGAAATGCAACGGTTGGAACAGCCGCTTCCCTACGACTTTAATGAAGGAAAGAGGAACCCAGATGATCCTCTCTGCTGTTCTTACCACTCTCCTTACGTTCTTCTAGTCTTAGGCACTGCAGCCTCCACAACACACTGAGACAGCTGGACACCAGTGCTGCCATTAAGTACTATAGACATCTATTAATGTACACACCAATACTACCCACTGGTAATACAGAACACTCTTAAATTCCACTACTACACACCAGTGCTACAGTTCTGTACTATCCACCAGTACTATGCTCTGGTATTCCAAATGAGTCCTACAGACATATTTACTACAAACTGGTATTTCACCAGTAGTATGCACTGGTACTATGCTCCAGTTTTACAATCTAGAACTGGAATCTATAAAAGTCTTCCTCCACCCTCTACAAAACCCCAGGACTACAACTTGGTTGTAAGAAATGGTTTTAGTAGTATTTATATCCCAGTGCTACACACCAGTAATGAAATTCCCCTACTACATACCATTACTACACAGTGGGACAAAAACCTGGTACTAAAGACCATTACTATGAAGCAGTACTTCACTCTAGTACTTCTATGTTCAAACAAACCTCTGTGTTTCCCTCCCAGGGAAAATACTTTGAGATACAGTTCAGCCGAGGAGGAGCACCTGATGGAGGAAAGATCTCTAACTTCCTTCTTGAGAAAAGCCGAGTCGTCTCCCAGAACCCCGGAGAAAGAAACTTCCACATCTACTACCAGGTAATGCTCTGTGAAATACTGCTTGGCTCTAGGACAAAGTGAGTGGAGATGTTGGTGTGAAGATTGTGTCTTGATACCAATTGTCTTCACCTGTGTGATGTCAGCTCCTGAACGGAGCCAGCAGGGAGCAGAGGGAGAACCTTGGGGTCACAACCCCCGACTACTACTACTACCTGAACCAGTCTGGAACCTACACTGTGGAGGACGTCAACGACAAGAAGGAATTTGCCGACACCATGGTGCTCACCTGTCTGCCTACCTGTCTCCACCTGTCTCTGTCTCCAGCGGAGTGTAACCCTCTTTGTCTCTCTCAGGCTGCGATGTCAGTGGTGGGCCTCTCTTTGGACGAGCAGGATTCGGTTCTCCAGCTTGTTGCTGCAATTCTTCATCTGGGAAATATCGGCTTCAGAGAGGAGAACAATTATGCTGCGGTGGAGAGCCAGGACTGTATGGGAACCTCTACAGAACACACAGCTGGCAACATAATGTTCCTCTGCAGATCAAGGAACAGCTCCTGCAGGAGCTGCTCTCATGAGGAGGAATATTGTGTCCTCTGGCAGGTCCTCAAGGCCACTGTCTGCATGTTTTAGATGGATCTGCTTCAGCACACCTGAATCAAATGAGCACATTCGGTTCTCAGTAGCCTCCAAGAGCTGGATAGGTCTGTTAATCTCAAATTTGTTTAAGTCAGGTGTGTGGAGGTAGGGAAGCACCTAAAAGATGCTGGACAGTGGCCCCTGAGTACCAGGGCTGAAGATAGCTGGTCCTTATGATGTTCATGCAGTAGTGGTTGTTGTGAAGCTGAGACTTTATGTCCCTCTCTCCTCTAGTCCTGGCCTTCCCGGCCTACCTGCTGGGGATACCTCAGGACGGTCTCTGCAGCAAACTCACCAGTCGGGTCATGGACAGTAAGTGGGGCGGGAAGACGGAGTCCATCGCTGTCACTCTAAACATGGAGCAGGCCTGTTTCTCCAGAGATGCGCTGTCCAAAGCACTGTACACCCGGCTATTTGACTACCTGGTGGATGTGAGTCCCGACAGCAGTCTCCTCGGTTTTCCCTCTGTCCTTCTGTGGTTTTTCTGCTCACCTGGTGTCTCCTGTGTTTCAGTGCGTTAATAAAGCCATGCAGAAGAAGACGGAGGAGCTCAACATCGGGGTCCTCGACATCTACGGCTTTGAGATCTTCCAGGTAAACCCTTCTTGGGAATTGATCTTCAAAATTTCCTGAAGATTAGCTGAAGGTTCTCTGTGTGGAAACCTTTCCGATGAAACATCTTCTCAAGTCAAGGGTGAACAGAACCACTAGTGATGAGACCAAAATCACCAGACTGGTTTGGAGCCTTATGCTGCGTTCACACCGGACGCAGCAGGAGCAGCAAAATCGCGTCTTTTGCTTCATTTTTGCTGCTTGTACCAGTTAGTTCTGACGTGCGGCTGAAGCAGCTTTGCTGCTCTGGCTGCAAAAGTGTGTCTGACGCGCGTTGGGCGGAGCTACTCTATCCTTTCTTTGCCTTGCAGCTATATTTGCTGTGATCGGTGGGAATCAAGTAGTTTTAATGTTTTTAAGTGAGAAAATCCACCTGAAAACTTAATCAGTGCAGTCAGTTCATTCAGATTACCATCCTGCCTTCCAATGTTATTTCTGTCGGAGGCGCTCAGCCCCCCCATACAGCGGTGCGCTGTCAGTAGGATCCCATTCAACAGCAGCCTATGGCCGGGTCGCCTCCTCACGGTTCACCGCGGCGGCTGGTAGGTGTTTTTCATCTAAATAATTCAAACTGCAGGCGGCAGGATAATAAAAGCGAACATATTCTGTTGGCAGGTTTCAGCATTTTAAGTTAATTTAGGCGTCAATAAACTGTTTAAGAGGAGTCATCACAGCGCTCTGTATCATCAGATGTGTCTTTCTCTCGGCCAGCTCCCAGATCAGCTTCTCTGATTGGTTGACGCGGCGCGTCGAGCAGCAAAAGTTAATTTTTCCATCTTGAGCAGCAGCGCGTTTGCGGCGCGTCAGATGCTTAAACGCTCCCGAAGCGCTGCTTCAGCTGCTCAGACGCGCTGCGCCTGCTGCTCAAAACGCGCTGCGGGACCTTTTGCTGCGCCTTGACGCGCGTCAACCATTGACTTTGCATGTAAACTCACTGCTTCTGCCGCGCCTGCTGCGTCCGGTGTGAACGCAGCATTAGAGTCTGCTTCAGGGAATCTGATCAGATAAACATCTTCAGGAAAGGAGTAGCAACAGCTCTAGTCTGTTTTCCTCTAATGTACTGGCCCCGGCCCCCACAGAGGAAGCTCATTTTAGCTCCTAGTATACAGTCTATGTTTCTTTTAATCGTGATCCACGTGTATGATGAGCATTTTAGGACTCAAGTCTTAGGAAATACGTTATCTGGTCTTAGGGAAAAAAAGCTATTGGGTCTCAGGTTTCACGAAGTAAAGGGAGAAGAATTGACAATCTTTGTTATGAAATGGTATGGTCAAATTTAGCCTGGTTTACTTTGCCAGAAACTCTCCTTACACTTGAAATCTAATTTTGATGAGATTTCTGCCTCAGATAGACGGAACAGGCCAAACTCTGCCATCTAAAGGTGAAAGTAGATATTGCACATTATCTGAAAAACGGAACGGTTTCTCTTCTTTGTTTCAGCGAAACGGCTTTGAGCAGTTCTGCATCAACTTTGTGAACGAGAAGCTTCAGCAGATTTTCATTGAGCTCACCCTGAAGGCCGAACAGGTACCTTTTCTTAGACGACATTCTGTTTTATGAAGATGTTCTTACAGGATCCTTGGGTCACATGTCCATATTGTCTTTTAAGGGTCTTTGTTTGTATTGGTTCTGATTCTGGTGTTTGGTTTCTGCAGGAGGAATATGTTCAGGAAGGGATCAAATGGACTCCAATTGAGTATTTTAACAACAAAGTGGTCTGTGACCTTATAGAGTCTAAACTGGTGAGTTGAACAATCACAGAGCATGACTCTGTTAGTGGGCAGAGCTTTCATCACATATCTCCTCTATCTCTCTGATTTCCCAGAATCCTCCTGGAATCATGAGCATCCTGGATGATGTTTGCGCTACGATGCACGCCAAAGGTGAGGGGGCGGATCAGACGTTGCTACAGAAGCTGCAGGGACAAATTGGATCGCACGAGCACTTCAGCAGCTGGAACAAAGGCTTCATTGTCCACCACTATGCTGGCAAGGTCCTTTCCTGCACATCATTCCTGTCCACCACCACACCATTCCACTGTCCCCCACATCCACACCTTTCACCCCCCACACCTGTCCACCACTTGTCTGAGTTAATGGCAGCACTTTTCTCTACTCCTCAGGTGTCATATGATGTTGGCGGGTTTTGTGAGCGGAACAGAGATGTTCTTTTCAATGACATCATCGAGTTGATGCAGAGCAGCGAGTTGTGAGTACCGGGGTTGTTCTGATTTGGGGACTAAACCATCTTGACAGGGTATAAAATCTGATGTCTACCAGAATGGGCACAGACGTACTAAATACTGATATGATCAGTTCCATTTAATCCCTGCTGACCGCCAGAAGGCAGGGCTGAAAGCATGGAATATATTGCCTTAGCGTATGCACAGTTCTGGTAGTTATATATGATTGGTGTCAAACCTGTGTTTTTGCACTCCCCTTCGCAGTATAACTGACACTGTGGTCTGTTTTTGTGATTAAGCTGCCCATTTTTTTACCATTTGGATTTGCTACCTGGTGACAGCAGAGGTTTCCCGCCCCCTCTCCCAGCATAACAGACAGGTTAGCTGCCATCTTGCCTAGTTGCCTCGTTATAGTTACTATCTGTTGGACGTTTTTCCATTTGCCTGTTCGGTTTTAATCATTGATGCTAGCATCCCCCCCCCCCCTCTCGATTTGAGCCTATTTCCTATTCGCCCCACTCAAGCGTTCAAAGTACTGTGGTGAAACCACCTTCTCTGCACCCCCTCTAGTAGAAAGAGAGCCTAACCTGACTACTGCCTGGCGTCGAGGGTTAAGAAATTATCGACAGGGTTGGCGGAGATTAAGTTGCTGTTGCAGGCACGTCAGTCTGATGCCTCACTCTCAGCGACTGGGCTGTCCTCCCCTCCCATGCCTGATTTGTCTGTAGAGGAGGGTGTTTTGTCTCTTGCTACATCTGCCTCTCACTTTAGAGATGACAAGAATTATGTGGAGGGGCCTTTGAGACTGGCTCTTTTTCATTCTGGAGCACAGTTGGCAAACTTCAGAGAAGTACCTTAGGGAGTTGTATTGGTGCGAACCAAGGGCGTTTTCACGTCTGTCCACTGATGGTTGGTTGTTGGCTGCCATGCACTAGCTCATCCCTTGTCTCAGGTTCTCCTGTACACTTTCACATCCCTCTTGCTGATTAGGCCTCCTCTACAGAGGGTTCTTGAGAAAGGCCACAAACTGCTGCTCGTGGCTCCGTCATGGCCAGTGCAAACGTGTTTTTTCGCTGCTTCAGAGTCTGTGTCACAGGGTCCTGTGGCGTCCTCCAGCCAGGAGGGATCTGCTGTCTAAGTGGAGGGAGGGATATGGGTATGGTTACTGGGAGGCTGACTTACTGTTTGTGCTAGGGCACCCTCCACTGCAGAGCAATACAACGATAGCTTCCATTTTCTAGGTGGTGCTCTGCCCACAATGAGGACTTTCCTTCCTAGGGCCTGCTGTTCTGGAGTTTCTGCAGTCTCTACTTGATAAGGGTTGTTCTCCTTTAACTCTTAAGGGGCATAGGGCAGCAATCTCATGTCATAATGCATTTGTTGATAACCGTCCGGTGGGGGGCAATGGTCTGGTCTGTTTTTCTGCACAGTGTTTGTAGGTTTTGCCCACTGATTGCCTGATTGAGATCTACCTTTGGTTCTCAACGTTTTGTGTTGTTCCCCTTTCGAGCCCTTGTGCAAGCGGACCTCAAGTGGCTCTCCTGTAAGACTGCCTTTTTGTTGGCCATTGTTTCACCCAAGGTGATTGGTGAGTTACATGCCCTTTCTATCAGTCTGTTATGTCTCCGATAGGAACCAAGTTTTTCTGGCATTACCGTTTAGACCAACACTGCGTTGTTACCAGCCATTGAGGTTGGCCCAATCTGGTACAACTGAGGAGGGGTCTGAGTTGTTGTGCCCTGTACGGGTTCTGGAGGCATATATCGTCGTCTCTACAACTGTAAGGTGCCAAAACCAGGTTTTTCTTTGCTATGGAGGTTCCAAGTGAGGCTATCCTCTTTCTAGATGTCTCTCCTACTGGATTGTGGATGTCATCTACAATGCCTAGAGTGCAGGGCACCACCTGTGGTCGCTCAGTGTGAAGGCCCATTCTAGCAGGAGTGTCTCAACTTCCTGGGCTGCTATGGGGGCCATTATACTGGAGGTCACATGTGCTGCAACATCGTGGATTTCTCCAAGCACAGGGTTCTACAATGTCAGCGTGTCAGCCCCTCTTCCTCTTGGCCAGGTTCTTTTATGAGGTTCGACTGGGCCCTCTCAGCATACAGTATGTGCTAAGGATTCCTTGTGACATGGTTAGTATTAGTCTTTCAGTGCTTTCAGCACAGGCAGTCAGTAGAGATGAAATGGAACAAAGTTGCATATGTACCTACCCACTCAGAGCGTCTGAGTGGTCAATCAGGGTGTCACAGCTGTGACTCTGTTGGTATAATTGCTCGAGCAGGAGTGTCTCTGCTTCCTGGGCTGCTATGGGGGCCATGATGCTTTTAGCACCAACCCTTGGGGGTCATCCGGGATTCATAGAACCATAGTAACAGACATAACTTTCCATTTATTCAAAACAAATAAATTTACATTACTAGCCCTAACTAGCAAGAAAACGGTATTGTCTCAAGAGATTGAATTTCCTGAAAAATAGCCAATCACATCGCAGTTAATTTTTTCAGTCTGGCTCCTAACCTTTGTAATGAAGGTGGTCGGGGACACTCTAATGGTGGTAGCTGATGGACCTACAGTTACTCCACTCAGTTTGAGCCTTCCAAAAATATATATATTTTATTGCATGTTGCACATTCCTGTAAATCTGTTTCATCTTTAAATCTGCAGCTCTCCCTACTTCTCTCTGTGCTCTGTTTAAAAAGATTTTGGAACCTCTGCCAGAAACAAAATTTCAAGATAGCAGGCTTTAAAGCTTATTGGCTTTTAAAACCTGCTTATAAATTATTTGTTATGCTTTTAAAAGTTTAACAAAAGAAACCAAACCTCTTTTTCTTTCTCTTATGATGTACTGCCTTATTCCAGGTGGGGTGGTTAGAAAAAAAAAAAGATTTGATCATTTTCAAGTAAAAAAAAAAAAAAAAAAAATAGATTACTGCCTAAACCTCCACTGGTTGTTCAGCTTTATTTTTTTTTTTTCTTAGTTCAGAGAGCAAAACTTAAAGAATTGACCCTTCAAAGTAAGGTGTCATGGTGAAAACAGATCGATGCAGCCATGTTTAATTTGACTTAATCTCATTTGTAATGTGTATTTTGGTCAGTCCGTTCATCAAAGCTTTGTTTCCGGAGAACCTGGAGGCTGAGAAACGAGGACGACCAAGCACTGCCAGCAGCAAGATCAAGGTGAGACCAGCAATCAGGTCCTGATCCAAAGTTCAGAGGAAGCATTTAACCAGCAAACATCATGCTGCTGGAATATCAGATGGGTATGTGTGGTCCAGGGGCATAAACATTTGCCTTTAACCTTCCAGAAACAAGCCAATAGTCTGGTCCAGACCCTGATGAAGTGCACCCCCCACTACATCCGCTGCATCAAACCCAACGAGACCAAACGACCCCGAGACTGGGAAGAGAACCGAGTCAGGCATCAGGTGGAGTACCTGGGGCTCCGGGAGAATATCAGAGTCCGTCGAGCTGGATATGCCTACCGACGAGTCTTCAACAAGTTTCTGCACAGGTCCCACATCAAACACAGCAGAAACCAGAACCCTTTCCTGTTTCCAGTGTGCTAACTGGGCCCGATGTTCTGCAGGTACGCCATCTTGACCAAAGAGACCTGGCCTGAATGGAGGGGTGAGCAGCGGCAGGGAGTTCTGCACCTTCTCCACTCAGTCCATATGGACCAGGATCAGTTCCAGCTGGGAAAGGCTAAAGTTTTCATCAAAGCTCCAGAGTCTGTAAGCAGCACAACGGTTCAGGGGTTCCGAAGGTTCTGTTCTTGTTGTTCATTAATGGGTGTTTTTCTTGGCAGCTTTTCCTGTTGGAGGAAATGCGGGAGAGGAAGTATAATGGTTACGCTCGTGTCATTCAGAAGGCTTGGCGCAAACACATTGCTGTCCGCAAATACGTCAAAATGAGGGAGGAAGGTCTGTCTTGCTCAAACAAAATGATGGAAGAGTCTTAGCCCACTTGGAAGATTGACTGATTTCTACTTTTCAGCCTCTGATGTCCTCCTGAACAAGAAGGAACGCCGCAGAAACAGCATCAACAGGAACTTTGTGGGCGACTACATCGGTACCGACAACCATCCTGAGATCCGACAGTTCGTGGGTCGGAGAGAGAGGATCGACTTTGCAGACGTGGTGGTGAAATTTGACCGGAGATTTAAGGTAAAAACGGCCGACACACTCCCAACAACTTCTTCTTATGTCCCGTTCTCTCCAACATAGACATGACTGGGGGCTACACTCCTGGGACATCGGACTGCGGTCAGATTTTTTTCTTCCTGTATATAATCCTTCTCTCCATTGAGTGATGGACTCCAGATGTTAGAGACAGCCTTGAAATCCCTCTAGGTGGATGGGCTGCCTGTCTGAGGTCGTTGTGGATGTGGCATTGTGGTCACTCATACCTGGATTCACTTTACTGGTCATTCAGGGTTGGATTTCCACCCAGAACCACCCCACCAAACTAAGCTAAAAGTTAGCCAACCAAACCTGGAAAAAATATATTTCTTTTTCTCCAAAGTGGGATTAAATCTAGAGGGGTGAATGTGAACTTGTCTTTTGGTCCAAGGATGTATGACTAACCACTTGAGCCACCCAGCTGACTATTCTAAACGGGGGAACTGTTTGATTTCACAGTGCGGTGGCCTTTAGGAGGGCTAAACCAGGAAGTTACAGGTCTAGCTCCTCCGTCACTGAAGATTTGTGTAATTTTAAGACTGGGTGTCTTAAAATGCGCTGGTTTTCCATAGAGGCCACTGGTTTCGCAAGTGGAACCTGACATTCTCCAAAATGTTCCTCTTCCACAGACAGTGAAACGGGACCTCATCCTGACCCCAAAGTTCCTGTATTTGATTGGCCGAGAGAAGGTGAAGCAGGGTCCCGATAAAGGCCAGATTCAAGAGGTTCTAAAGAGGAAGATTGAACTGAACAGGATCCAGTCAGTTTCTCTCAGGTAGGCCACCAGAACCTCAGATGATCAATCATAACTGGAACTGGGAAACCATCTGCCTCCAAGCTAGTAATGAAAGTATGGGTTATTTCTTCCACATGGGGTTCTGATGTTTCCTTGATCCACCCGTCTCTGCCAGCACTCTGCAAGATGACCTCTTCATCATACACGAGGATGAGTACGACAGCGTTCTTCAGAGCGTCTTTAAGACAGAGTTCCTCAGTCTGTTGGTGAAACGCTATCAGGAGAAAACCGACAAGAAGCTGTCACTGAAGTTTAATAACCTGTAAGTACCACCCCTCTGACCCGGCCTGTGTATCTTTATAAGTTGATCTCAAACTCCGGTCTTCAAAGGTCAATTTATTTTCCCCCAAACATTCAGTTCTGTTCCATCCCTAATCTGGGATTTCACCTAAAGATTTGTTCCTACAAAAACTTCTTGCCAATTGCAAGAATTCTGTGAGATAGAAGACAAAGCCGTCAACCATAGTTGTATACGTAACTGGATGCGTCTCTTTCCCCTCACACCTGAACCAAACTGTCTCCTTAGCAGCAGTCTGGTTGGACAGAGGTTTAGGCCACTGCTTTTAAAGTTGTAGGAAAACGGCCATTCCAACCGTTTCATTACCGAACTTTACAACTGTGAATAAAGTGAATGCGATTGGTGGTTTATCAACAGGGCGGGATTGTTGTGCCGGAAGCTTGGCAAGCAAGTTTGATTGTGGCCGGTTTCTCTGAAGCATCTTGCCAACCAGTTAGCAACTTAGTGCTAGTAGGTTCCCAATGGGAAATTCCATTGGGACCAAGTAGCACTAAATTGGTGACTTAGAAACAACGCTGTCAAGGAACGCTATGGACAGCGGAAACATGCAAGAGGAGGAGAGTTTAGTGTCGGAGGTCGTGGATGAGTCTCCTCCGTCATCCATTTTTTATTTAGAGGAGGAAAGCGGGGACGAAGATGTTGTGGAAGAGGACGCCAGGGCGGCAGAAGCTTGGTTTGATGCACTTTAAAGTTCATCAGGTCATCCAGTCAAATTAATTCAAAGTTTTCTATCTAAGGAAAACCAGGTGATTGCATCGACTCATTGACTCGAATGCAATCTGTAAAATGCGGCCTGGTCCAGGAAACACTGAGCCAGCTCCCATGTCAGAGGATGAAGAGAGCACATCCAGTTAGTCACAGTCAGAGAAACAGGACTGCACTGAAAAACAGGCCGACCTCTAACATCTAGAAACAAAGGTGTTGATGGCAGCAGCACAGCTGATGTTTCTCTCCAGGATGGAGTCACAGCCAAACAGGAACAGACCAGATGAAGCTACTATGAGAAAAAGCAGAGAGAGCAGAATGTTAGAGATTGAACTAACAGATTCTGCAGAGTGGGAGAATAGAGATAGAATGAAGCAGAATGATGAAAAAGGGGTCCCTATGTCCTCCAGCAGTCTAAGCCTATAGCAGCATAACTATAGAGATAGCTCAGGATAACCTGAGCCACTCTAACTAGAAGCTTTATCAAAAAGGAAAGTTTTAAGCCTAGCCTTAAAAGTAGACAGGGTGTCTGCCTCACGGACTAAAACTGGTAGTTGGTTCCACAGGAGAGGAGCCTGAGAACTAAAAGATCTGCCTCCCATTCTACTTTTAGAAATTCTAGGAACCACTAGTAAACCTGCAGATTGAGAGCGAAGTGCTCTGTTAGGAACATAAGGAACAATCAGATCTCTGATATCAGATGGAGCTTGGCCATTTAAGGCTTTATATGTGAGAAGGAGGATTTTAAATTCTATTCTGGATTTAACAGGAAGCCAATGAAGAGAAGCCAGGATAGGAGAGATATGATCTCTCTTTTTCATTTTCATCAGAACTCTGGCTGCAGCATTTTGGATCAGCTGAAGGCTTTTAACTACAGCTTGTGGACTTCCTGATAGTAAAGAATTACAATAGTCCAGCCTTGAAGTAACAAATGCATGGACTAGTTTCTCAGCATCACCCCTGGACAGGAGATTTCTCATTTTTGCAATATTCCTCAAATGAAAGAAGGAAATTCTAGAAACCTCTTTGATATTACGACAAAACCCCCACAGATTTTAAGACAGGATTTCTTTTAAATAGAAAATTTCTAAATTTTGGGACAATTTTGTCTGATAAAGAGCACATTTAAATACACTTTTAATCCAGAATGATTTGACATTTAAATGACTTCCCTACAACTTTAAAGAACTTGTCATATTCTTCTGTGGCTGGAAGTCCTGTTTTGATGGCAGACATGTTTGCCATTCTTTTTTTTAATTAGAAATAGGACAGACGTTCTAACCCTTAAAACTGTTCCTGATCCACCTTTTTTCTCTCTATCTAACCAGTCTGGAGTTTAAGGTGAAGAAGGGACGCCATATTTTTAGCTCGTCAGGCTCCAGGCAGATCCAGTTCCAGGTGGGTCAGGGAGATGAGGCGGTGCTGAAACCCAGCGGGAAGGTTTTGCAGGTCTCCATTGGACCGGGTCTCCCTAAAAATTCCAGTAAGCTTAAACCGAGTTTGTTGAGGCATCTGTGGCCAAACTGTGTTTGCTTTACTTGCCGTTCTGTGTTTGATCTCCAGGACCGACAAGGAAAGACAAGCGCAAGAGCCGGTACATGGGGAACCAGTCCACCCCCGCCAACCAGAACACCTCAGGTACCAACAGGCTTTCTTCTGGACCCAGATCATCTTAAGATTTTCTTTTCATCCTTTGTTGGTTTGCTCTTCCTTTAGTGTCTCACAGCAGGGGTGGCGGAGCACCTAGAGGCCACGCCCCCATCTCAAGAGGGTCCACTCTGAGGACTCAGTCCAGTATGGAGCAGCCCACCCTGCCTCGCCTCCACAACCAGAACCGTCCCGGTAACCAGCTTCCCCAGAACCAGGACATGGGCTTCATGAATGTCCCAGATCAGGGCGCTGCAGGGTGAGATGCCACTGGATCCTGCACTCTAATGTCAAAGGTCAAGTAATGATGCTTTTTTTGCCTCACAGTGGTGACTTTAATCCCTTCTCCTTACTGCAGGCTCCACAGGCGCCTTTCAAAGGAGGTGAAACCAGTTCCAGGAGCGGGCCGACCCAAACCGAAGCCCCGGTCTCCTCAATGCAAAGCTCTGTACGCGTATGATGCCCAGGATACGGACGAGCTCAGCTTCAACACCGACGATATCATAGAGATACTGACCGAAGGTACCGCTGATGCTCTGATAGCCTAGAATGACCGTAAAAACTTCAGAGATTAGCCTTGTGCCCAGGGTCCAAAATTAACACTCGCCACTCCCCAAAATGCGACAAAATTTTTCATTTGGCGAGTTAATGCACTGTCTGGGGTCAGTTACAATTGGGAGAGGTGCAGCGGAGTGTCTGCGGAGGGGGTGGGGACGGCTTTTTGTTCACTGCGACACCTACGCAGAGGACTTGGTTTCGAAGTATAAATCGGCCTTTAATGCTAGAACACGATTAGCCACAAGGCTAGCAAATATTTGAACCACAGATGCGTTTCAGTCACATCCTTTTAGCTTTTATACTGACAAATGTACAGAAAGCACAATTCAATTCAGTTTATTTACACAACACTCCGTCAATTACCAACAACTCTGCCGCTAGCTGGCTAAGTTGGAGCAACCAAGCCTTCTAAAAGGCAATATGCAGATGAGGAGTGAGGATCTACAGCCCCCTAACCTGACTCCGCCAGATGGATTTGCTGTATTTGCTCCACATATCCCTCTGGAAACCTTCCATTGAAGTAATTTTGGGAAGGGGTGAAAATACTGGTTAGCTGATTGGCCTATGTTGGTGATAGACGGGCCAAATAAACCAATCAGATCAACAAAGCATATGACGTACTAACAGAGCGACGACGAAGAGGAGCCAATTGATAGATCAAACTCTTGCTGAAACCAGTCGGGAGAAGAGCAAAAACATCTTTTCCTCTGAGAAAAGCCTCCAGAGCAGTGTTTTGCTCTTCTTTCAGTGAAGAAATACTCTGTAATTCCGATAAAACTTGCTCGATAGCTACGCTAACGCTAGTTTCATCGGCTGAAGCCGCCATGTTCTTTAGACTGAACTGTCGCGCTTCTCGTTGCGTCGCACCTAAACTCGCCTCAAAGCCAACGCTGATTGGACGTTCGTTTGATGAACGGCTCCAAATTTTCTTCAACGGAGAGTCTCCAGACTGATTAGTGAGTGAAAACTTGAAAGCTCGCGAGATCAGGATGGTCTCACGAGGCTAACAACCCCCAGGGCGAAGAGAAAGTTTGTTGAAAAATGGCACTTGTAGGAAGACTGTTTTGTGTTATTTATGACTCTGCTAAGCTAATGAGCTGCCCAGTATGCAGCAAATATGCAAAAGAGAACAAACACGATCAATTCTTCGCTGGCTGTCAGTCTATGAAATTAGTGAGAATCTGTTTAAACAAACTCAGTAAATCCCACATTCTGTGGATGTTCGTGTCTCAGGCTCAGTCAAAACAACTCAGGCTACAGCAGCTGTGAGAGTCCTGATGGATATATATACACCATATCAACACAAAGATAATATTGTTCTGCACTCCCCATGCCACTGGAAGAAAGGCTTCAGTTTTTATGGACAAAAAAAACCCCAGAAGGTTATTTTCATTTGTCATATTAATGGTTTTACTCTATCAGATGAAAAATGTAGAACTTTTTTAAAGAAATCTAATGAAATTCCAAATTACAACTTTTTTTAATGAAAGTACATTACCTATTACTGTCATTTTGTTTGCATTTAACATAATGCTCTAAGGTAGGGTGACCAGATCTGGGTTTCTGAAAAGGAGGAAACTTTTATGCTCAACATTGAAGCATGGTCTGCGCTATGTTATTCCACGCCACAACGCCAGAGGGCCAATCAGGAACTAGCTGTGGGTCTAGATACGGCCGCGGTGGTGAGGAAGTGGGGGCAAGTTTGTGCGACAACAGAGGGACATGAGGGCCAAAAAGAGCGGAGATCCAGGTGGAAAAAGGGTCCCAGCGTTCTCGCGCACCTCGCTCTGCTAGCTGCTCCATCTTCACCAGTTGTTTTCCACAATGGCGGTCATAGAAACAAAACAAACCGGTAAGGAACCAAACAGGAAATCCGCATAGAGTAGAGCGGATGTAGATTTGACCAATCAGAGGCCTCCTGTCTGCGCTCACCTACAATTACGCAGTCGGGGGACGACTCCATTTGTAAGGCATGTGATCAAAAATGCTAACTTGCCCTATAAAGGGTTAATGGGTCCAGAAGTTGATGTGTTTCAGGAGAACATCCACACTTTGCAACAGAGGTCCCAAAAATATTGCAGTACTGCGGTATCCAGTAGAAATGGGTCTGGGAAACCATGACTCTACCTGAATAGACCCAACAGTTTACCGTAGTCTGTTCTCCTTTGGCGTTGATCGGTAAAGGACGCAGGTTACGGCGGTTCCTTACGGACTGTTACAGGGGTGGTGGTTGTTCTCTGGTGACCTCCAGGCTCCCCAGCTCTGTTTCCTCCAGGCGGAGCAGCTGGAGATGCAACTTCAACCATAAAACTATCAGAGTGACTGTTTCGGAAGATCTATTGCTTTGGTTCTCAATGATGGTCCTCAACTACTGCTGTCCTGCATGTTTTGGGTGTTTCCTTGGTTGTAACAACCCTGACTTATCTGAAGGGATGATTAACAGGGTTGTGCAGCACTTGCTGGCTGCTGAGGAGCTCATGCAATCATCTAAAGTAGATGTGCTTCAACGGAGAGACATCTAAAACCGCAGTTCTAGTATGGCAGGCCGTTTTTGACGTTTGTTAGAAGCTCTGTCCTCTCTGTTGTTCCATTTGTTTATCTGTAAAATAGGATTCTTCCTGGTCAAAACTACATTCACACTAGCTAATAATGTACATACAGATGTCCTAAATTACATTTTTGCTTGCAAAAATTACTTTTCAGGATGCCAAAAAGGATGCAGTGTGTATTATCCAACCGTGGTGTTTGTTTATGGACCCCTGGTTCTGGAGGAGCTGAAGAACTCTAATTGCCGTCTTCTTGTTTCTGCAGATCCATCAGGTTGGTGGTTTGGTCGGCTGCGGGGCAAAGAGGGAATGTTCCCTGGAAACTATGTGGAGAAGATCTAGATCTCCAAGTTTCAGGGACTCTGAGGTTCTGATCCTGCAGCTGTGGATCGGGTCAGAGGTCGCTGACAAAAAATTTAGATCCCTGGACACTCGAGAAACAAACAGATGCATGTTCCCTCAGTCATTCACCCAGAGTTTTATCATCCTCGGAGGTCAGGGGTAGGTCCTGGTCCAGCCGGTTCCGGAGTATTCCTGGAAAAAGCCTCAGAGTCTGAATAAATGTTTCCGGCTCTCTGATCACCTCAGGTACTTTTAAAGGAGCGGTCCAATCAATGTTTACATCAGAATAACCACAGACCTACAGAGCTCAGGCCCCATTGTGTGTGTTTTTTTTTTTTTTATAAATCGTAAAATTATAACTACAGAAACTGCTCATCCAATGAGTTTACTTTTAAAAATTATTTTAAATGTAAACTGGTTCAGGATCAGTTTAGATCATTTTAGAAAACTAAACCAGTATTATTAATTTTCTAATTTTTTTTCCCCCCTCGTTATCAAAACCACATTTATTGAGCTGGTATTTTAACAATTCATCATTACATTATTTTCAGCCTTTGATACAGCTGAAGGCTTGTATCTCTATATAAACAAACCTCTTAGTACTACATTACCCAGAGTTCCTACAGGAAGAGGAGCTGCCTTCAAGTGTTGTTCGAAATTAGACTTCTGATCAATCCACGATTCTATACACTAATTGTTTCAAATTAGCTCTTATGCTCTAAATTAAACTTTTAAAAACTGTAAATGAATAAAATGCTGATTCTGTATTACAAACAAATAAAAATAATTTTTGAAAGCTGATGTACTCATCTGAAACTACGGCTACTGGACTGGGGAAATTATTTCACCTCATGTACTGTTTGGGTGTAAGTACGGCTCTGAGCAATCGTATCTAATCCCTGGATGCTGCCTGCTGGAGAAGTTCCTTCTGAATGTATCGAATTTTTCCTTTCCAGGGTAGGAAGGGAAACCTGACTACTGTGCTGAACCTGGACAGTTACTGTGCAAAAGACATGCACACGGATGATGCTGGTCAAATCGTGGAGCAGCCTTCTGGGAAATGACTACAAAAATCAAAAGTTACACAGATTTAGGGAAAGGCTGAAAGTCGTCTTTACAAAAACCGAAACACTTTGAAGATGTGTGCATCAGCATGTGTCCCACAGCCTGGCGCCCCCTTTTGAGCACCGTTATGTTCAAGCTGCTGCTGGTTAAATAAAATAAACCTGTTAATTGCTTTTATAGTTAAAAGCAGGATGTAACAAACAGGCTGCTGCTTCTGAACAAAGTAAACCCTCAGTAACGTCTCTCAGGCAGCAGTTTCAATCGTCTCTTCCCTTTCAAGTGAATTTAAACCCTCATCTTTGCCTAACAGGAATAGTACGGTTTCTTTTGAATGCGAACGATTCCGATTCCTTGTTTCGATTCCAAGTCCTATCGATTAAGAATCATAAAATCGTAATAAATTAGTTCTATCTGGGTGAATTAGTCTGAACTTCTGGATGTAATTTAATTCCTTAAAACATCTAGTTTTGTGTGAACTTTACTAAAAATAGTATTTTCTACCAGTATATTAATATGCCAACTACTAACTCTAACAGTTTTATTTACATTTTCATAAACAGGGTTCCCACGGGTCCTTAAAAAGTCTTAAAAGAAATTGATTTCTTCAAAATAAAACTAAGGCCTTAATTGGTATTAAAATGTCTTAAATCAGTCTTTCGTAGGTCTTAATTTTTAAAACCTCATAAAAAGGATAATTTTCATCATGATTTATTTTTGTAATCTAAATAAAACATTAAAATTGACCTTTTTTTTTTTTTTTTCCAAAAAAAATAATGGCTCGCCATTATTGGTTCCGTCCCGATAGCGGAACCAATAAAAGCGGCCGGGACATTTGGGAGATGCTGCAAAAAAAAGACTTAGCACTGGTTATGTTGTGGCTTTAAAACTGATTTGTTTTGTTCCCTGCTAAAGCAAAGTTTGTGAATTCAGTTAAATAATTGTTCAAATATATCTGTCATTTCTGTGTTTTTAGCTTTCTTCCTGTATGGGAAGCTTTTCAAAATTTAAAGCATTAGTGCAGTGGTTTATGTTAGAATAAACCTTTGGGTTAAGTTGTCGCAAGCAGGTTTTTCTTGTGTGAATTTGGTCTTAAATTTTTATTTCAAGTGGCATTAAAAAGTCTTGAATTTAACTTGCCTTATGCTGTAGGAACCCTGAACAAAGTAAAGGACAACTTGTATATTAAAGTTCCAGAAAATGTATGAAACTATATAAACCTTGAAGGTGCAAAACAAATATGAAAGTAGCAATGAGCCAATATACTTTGACTTTAGGTAAAATTCAGTCAAGGAAACGGTCTGAATCACGGCTCCTTCTATTTTACTACGTCACTAGATTGAATACTGAGTACTTTATAATCCCGTCACTTGGTGTTCTCACTACTTTCCATTTATTTTAAAATTAGACTTTTGATCAAGAGTATTAATTTTGCACCTTGTTTTGGGAATAATCGATAAGTATATCTGGGAGATTAACCTTTAGTGTTTAAAACTTATTTAGTTTTATATGGATTCTGACGTATGATTATGTTTCATTTGATGTCATGATTAAACTCATTGGGTGAAGTGACTCCTGGTTTAAACTGTTCAAAGCAGCTCAGGGGAAAACTGAAAAAAAGGTTCCTGAGGAAGAGGATTAGGGACACTGAAAAAAAAATTAAAAGTTAACTGATTTTTAATTTGTATTTGTTTAATGTGGGGAAAAAGTCACAATTCTGACTTTCATTGGCCCTTTTTACATTTATGGATATAAAATTTGGCCAACAGAAGCAAAATATTACATAAAAAGAAATGGCCAGAGTCCTTTTCTATATTCTGTAATTCCACATAAAACATCCTTAAAATAAAGTTCAAATTTGTCATAAATATTGTCCAGAATGAAGCGATGAATAACTTCCTATAGCTGCCTGTAGGACTCAGAGTAACAAAGTGCAGTTAAATCATCCAAAATGATTTAACTGGATAACAGCTGTGAATAATCTTAAAGGAAATCTCTTTAACATTGTTAACTAGAAAATACTTATTGACTAGCGACCATGTTTTGTTCCAACATACAGGGGGAAATTATTTCTGTTTTCCGAGCTACCAGTGAATGCCTCCTCTTGACCTTTCACCCCGTTCCGTACCAACAGTCCCCTTCAGCTGCGGGCCGTTTACCCGCTTAGGTTCTGGCTCGGACGTGTTACCCGCTGAGCCCCCGGTACCCGCTAACGGTTCGGTTCGGTCCCTTTAACAGAACCGGAGCCAAACCGCCCAGAAGCTAACGGCTAGCTACCGCAGATGGAGGAGTTTCTGCGGGCCTGCCGGCGGACCTTGCAGGTACCGATAACCTCCAACGTTCGGTCCAACTAAGTTAAAGCAGCCGACTGCAAATAATGGACAACAGCAACCGATGTGATCTCAATTTGATTTATTACTATTTGATGGGATAAGCTAGCAAAAAATAGCACCGTTATATGGCCATTTTTCAAAGTGTATTTCCGGTCATCTTTTCAAATTAAGAGCATCGAAGAGTTTCAAATGAATTTCTAGTTAAAGAATCATTTTCTGCATTGCATGAGGTTTTTTAAATGCGATACAATAAAAATTTGTTTATTTTATAATTTTTATTCCATTTCATTTGTAATTAGCACTGTCTCGTGTTGTGCGTCTTCAGTTTTCATTTATTTTCTCTTCATCAATTCTAGGTTGACACATCTATGCTTCACTGTGCATCCACATCCGATTACTACCAGACCAGAAGAAGGGAAGAAATTACTTAAATAGATGTTGTCTGACATGAGGCAGATTTAGAGGCATCAGCTTGCCAGAGATCATTTCCTGATCTAAAGAAATTCAACAACAGATGAAAAGCAAAGTCTTTGGTAGCAGCATTACTCCACATGTTCATCAGAGACAAAGAACACAAAGGTTTAAAGTACATTTAACACAAAATAAAACGATTCTCAAGATTTGAAGAAAAGTGTGACTTTATGTCTGGAGTAAATCTAGTAGAATATCAGATACAGAGCATCATACTTTACAGTAAAGCACGGTGGGGGTGGTGTGATGGTCTGGGACTGCTACAGCTCTAAACAGACCAAACTAATCCTTCTGTTACTGTGGAAACAAGTATGAGAAAGGAAAAAGGGGGCAATAAGTGACACGAGTGCTCCTAACGGACCTGGAATCTAGTAAATTTGTTTCTACGTTCATTCCGGTTTTAAAGGAAAAGTTCGGTCAGCAATGAATAATCAATGGATCATCATCATTTAACCCTAAAACTAATATGTTCTCAGTGATTTAATGAATTTAGTGTTAATCAGTAAAAAAAAAATAATTTTTGTCTCAATCACTGAGTCTGGGAGCGGCCATTTTTGCCCAAATATAGTAACCCCTCCCTCCTGCCATCTTCCAGCAGTGACGTCACGGTGCGGTAAGCCTAGCGCCATTCTCCCCGCTTTCCAAGCTAAATCAATGGGAACTACTAGACACATCTGCAATCAACAACAATTATTGAAGATTTCCAGAGGACTTCACCATTGAAATTCACCAGAGCTATAGTGAAACTGACAATGCCCACGTGCATGGCAGCTGGATGCTGGAATACATCGGGGAAAAGTGAAAAAAAGAGTTATTCCACCTTTCTGATTCCTGATCCTCCACGGACGGGTTGGTCGTTGGATCGCCAACTTGAAGAGGGAGGATTTGCCATCGAACTTCTGGCCAGAGAAAAAACCCGTAATATGTAGCCAACATTTGGAAGAAGAATGTTTTCAAGATGACTTGGATAATAGCGCGTTACCGCAGCGTGACGTCACTAACCAGTAGGTGGCAGTAGTGTTCTTTGACAAACATGGATGCCTCCAGTAAAACACATTCACATGAAAATTGCTCTGAATAAAAAACACTGATCATTTATTGAACAGGATGGAATCATTTCAGATTTAAAGAACTTTCAGAAGTTTGAATTCTGAACATCATCTTTGTTTGACGCTGTAAGGGAGTTCCAATATGGCGGCTGGTGACTTCACAGCACCATGTAATACCAACAGCCAATCAGATCCAGTTATAATATAAAAATCAGACCTTTGAAGCCAGACAACAACAAGAAAACAAAATAATCCCAAAATAACGGAAGATGGTTCTCAGGTGCGGCCATATTTGTTTTATTATCTGCTCACATTGTTTCTAAGCTCTACATGTTTTGTCATGTTTACATCATCAGGACGCTCTCCGGTTTACAGTAGAACCCACTGGGTTCTCAAACAGGAAGTGAACAGGTGTCCTTCAGCTCCACCTGGCTATCAGGTTCTGACTGCTTCCGTCGTCTAACTGCCCTGTCTTGGTTGTCCAGGAAAACGTGGGTCCGGCCGGTCCTGGTGTCCATGTGGTTTTAGGGAATGAAGCCTGTGATGTGGACTCTATGGTGTCCGCCCTCGCCTTCGCCTACTTCCTGTTCAGGGTGAGATGCTGCCCAATCAGCCGCCAGCTCTCTTCGGAGCCCCATGTTTAGGTCTCTGTGTGTGTCAGACTGCAGGTGGCGACCCGCCGGTTCTGCCCCTGCTCAACATCCGACAGTCGGAACTGGTGCTGCGATCAGACAACCTGTTCCTGCTGCGGCGGACGGGTCTGTCTCCAGACCTGCTGCTGTTCAGGGACCAGCTGGACCTCAGAGCTCTGCACACAGCAGGCCGCCTCCGGCTGACCCTGGTGGACCACAACGTCCTGCCGAGGTGAGACACCAACCTCACACAGCTGCCGGGTAATCTGTAGAAAGGCCTTAGTTTACCTGAAAACGTCTGAGTGCTGACATTTCACAACACGTGTACTCGTGCGTTCTCATGTGCTCGGAAAACATCATCAGCCTCAACCCTACTATGGTTCCAATTCACAAGAACAAAAAGAAAGAGAACGGACAAAGCCCCAGGATGTTGTTCTGGCCCCTCCCTCTTTACCCAGCATGCATCAGAGCAGACTTATCCGTTCTTGAGATTGACAGCTGTCCCAGCATGCACTGCAGCAGCAGCAGCTTCCAGGTTAGCGCTCACAGAGCTCAGCGTTAAGTTAAAAGTTCTCTTTTCTGTTGCTGTTGTTCAATAAAAGTACGTTTTAGGATCATTTGAGCCAAGAGTATTATACTTTAAGCCTCGCTATAAGGCCCATTTCCTGATTTAGTGCATGATTAAAAAAATAAAAGTTCTGATGTTGAGAGACCACAGCAACCAGCAGAGCTCCAAGGCTAACCGCAGTGTCACTACCCGATCCGTCCCGGAAGCACAACGCATTTTACTCATGCATCATCAGCTCAATTAGGCATGCAGATATACATCCGGGTCGCCCTCGATTTTATTTTGTTAAAAAGACCTAAATGAAGTTTTTCCCTCCCCAAAAATAGTAATCTATTAAATAAATGCTTTAAAATCCTTTCTGTTTTATCACTCATCTGTTCCCGATCTGCACCGGAAATGTAATCCTACGCTACTTCCAGTGGCTAACATTTTTGGCTTTGGATTTAAACATAAATCTAGTCTTTTTGAGTTTTATGGTATATAGTATATATTTACCTTATGGTATATAGTGTGTAACCTAAAGAAAGAAACAACTGAAATGCAGATAGACTCTTATTTTGCACTGAGAGTGTCCCATGATGACGTCAGAGAAGCTGTTTAACAAAGAAAAAGTGAAAAGCATCAAAATTGTCTCACAAAAGTCATAAAACATTTTTTAAAGATGCGTAATATTATTCTTTAGTGAGTTAAGGAAAGAAATAAGTAATTTTATAACCATCATTACATTATTTATCAACTCCCAGATGTATATCTGTTCGTGCTTCGGTCATGAATTCGGTAGTGACACGCAGCCAAGGCTAACATTAGCCCGTCTGCAGCAGCCAGCGATAACGTTAGCCCGTCTTTAGCAGCCAGGGTTAAGGTTAGTCCGTCTTTAGCAGCCAGGGCTAACGTTAGCCCGTCTGCAGCAGCCAGCGATAACGTTAGCCCGTCTTTAGCAGCCAGGGTTAAAGGGATAGTTCGGTATTTTTGACATGAATCTGTATGGCATCCCCATCACCAGTGGCATGCAATCACACTGACTTACCCCTGGCAGCGTCCTGTGAGCAGAGTTATCGTCCAGTTTTGGTCAAGCCGAAAGTAGTCCGGCAGGTTTTTAGGAACAGCGAAATAAAACGTTTCTCTTCCCAAAACATTATGTGTTCAAAAGAGCGATATTTTTGCATCCCAAAAACATTGTAGTGGAAAAAGTAACACGTCGTTATCACTTGGTCCTATTTTCTCTCTGTTCGTATCAGTGCGCGCCGACGTGTTACTTTTTCCACTACAATGTTTTTGGGATGCAAAAATATCGCTCTTTTGAACACATAATGTTTTGGGAAGAGAAACGTTTTATTTCGCTGTTCCTAAAAACCTGCCGGACTACTTTCGGCTTGACCAAAACTGGACGATAACTCTGCTCACAGGACGCTGCCAGGGGTAAGTCAGTGTGATTGCATGCCACTGGTGATGGGGATGCCATACAGATTCATGTCAAAAATACCGAACTATCCCTTTAAGGTTAGTCCGTCTTTAGCAGCCAGGGCTAACGTTAGCCCATCTGCAGCAGCCAGCAATAACGTTAGCCCGTCTTTAGCAGCCAGCGATAACGTTAGCCCGTCTGCAGCAGCCAGCGATAACGTAAGCCCGTCTTTAGCAGCCAGGGCTAACGTTAGCCCATCTGCAGCAGCCAGCGATAACGTTAGCCCGTCTTTAGCAGCCAGGGCTAACGTTAGCCCGTCTTTAGCAGCCAGGGCTAACGTTAGCCCGTCTTTAGCAGACAGGGCTAACGTTAGCCCGTCTTTAGCAGCCAGGGCTAACGTTAGCCCATCTGCAGCAGCCAGCGATAACGTTAGCCCGTCTTTAGCAGCCAGGGCTAACGTTAGCCCGTCTTTAGCAGCCAGGGCTAACGTTAGCCCGTCTTTAGCAGCCAGCGCTAACGTTAGCCCGTCTGCAGCAGCCAGCGATAACGTAAGCCCGTCTTTAGCAGCCAGGGTTAAGGTTAGTCCGTCTTTAGCAGCTAGCGCTAACGTTAGCCCGTCTGCAGCAGCCAGCGATAACGTAAGCCCGTCTTTAGCAGCCAGGGTTAAGGTTAGTCCATCTTTAGCAGCCAGGGTTAAGGTTAGTCCGTCTTTAGCAGCCAGGGCTAACGTTAGTGCGTCTGCAGCAGCCAGCGATAACTTTAGCTCGTCTGCAGCATCCAGGGCTAGCGTTAGTCCGTCTGCAGCAGCCAGGGCTAACGTTAGCCTGTCTTCATCAGCCCTCTCTCATGCGTCTGTTCCAATTGACCCATATTTATGTGCTGCCATTTTCCCAGAGTCCATACTTCCCTGTTTTCTTCTCAAGAACATACTTGGCGAGGAAACGAGTCCGTACTCGTGTTCTCGCAAATTGAGAAATGGCATTAGACTTTACCTGCTGATAAATCTGCCAGGTGTCTCTGTTATAAAAACTCTCTGCTGCAGTTCAGACGCTGACCTGGAGGGGGCAGTGGTGGAGGTACTCGACCATCATCAGCTTGAGAGAAAAGCTTCCCCCAGCTGCCCGGTTACCGTGGAGATGGTGGGATCCTGTGCCACCTTGGTAACCGAACGCATCATCCAAAAAGCTCCACAGATCCTGGACCAGCAGCTCGCCCAGCTGCTCTACGGTACGGCCTGTGACAAACACACACACCTGGATGAACGCGCTGATCCGGTCCACGGTTTGCAGATTACCGATCATGCTGACTTGCAGGTTTATGACGAACGACCGTTTGCGGTTATTGTGTGTGTGCGTGTTTGTGAGCAGCAGCGATGGTGCTGGACTGCGTCAACATGGCTCCTGCTGCAGGTAAAGTGACGCCTAAAGACAGTCAGTATGCTGCTGCGCTGGAGACACGGTTCCCTGCTCTGCCACCGAGGGGCGCTCTGTTCCAGGAGCTGCAGGAGGCAAAGTTTGACGTCTCAGGTGAGTTCATGAGTTCCTGTTCCAGCGTCTGACGCCTGTGGCATCGTGCGACAACTCAGTATGCGAACTTTACCAGACAGTGGAGCGTAGTGTAGTAGTCAGTATCACCATCCACTAGGATGAATGTTTCTACTGATCACAGCTCCATCATTCAGCTGTTAGAATAAGGAGCTGCTAGAGTAGATGACATCTGGTAGCTCTAACAGTGTCTCTTAGTTGGAACCATTGTTATTAGAGTAGACCCGCATCCACAGCTTTCGTCTCCGGGCGCTGAAGTGATTTGGTGGCGCCATCTTAGGGCGGTCGACAGCTCCCCTCAGTGCGATGTGTCGAACAGACAGAATCAATTTTAATCAACTTTAACTCTTTGAATATTGAACTAAATTTCATGTTTGTTTGTTTTTTTTTGCTGAAAACAATAGTTTCAGTGCGTTTAAATATTCTTAGTGGGATTAAGAGTAATAGAGTATTCTGATTGGATGGATGCATGTTGCAAAGCTTAGCCACTCATACATTTATAGATATTTTTTATTACTATATACACAAACATTTATACAGGTATACACAAATATATATCTGTCACACATCTCTCTTTCATATATATATATATATATATATATATTTAAAACACTGTAAAGTACAGTATTTTATTTCTTATACTTTTAACTCTGTCATTTATTCTGTTATTTTTATACATTTTTTTAGGGTCAAATTTTCCCATTGAGGGACAATAAAGGGATTTTCTATTCTATGTCTATATATGCTGTTTATTCAGTAATGTCTTACAAAGCTCCAATTGCTGCACAAAGTTATCCCTCTTGTCGTCCATCAGTTCAATTCTATTCAGTTTATTTCTATAGCTCCAATTCCCATCATGTCATCTCAGGTCACTTTCCAGTTCACCAGATCATCCAGTCAGATTGGTTCAAAGTTTTCTATCTATGGAAAATCAGCTGATTGCATCGACTCATTGACTCTTCAGCAATCCCTCACACTAAGCATGCTTGTAGTGACAGTGGAGAGGAAAAACTCCCTTTGAACAGGAAGAAACCTCCAGCAGAACCAGGCTCAGTGTGGGCGGCCATCTGCTGAGGCCCACTGGGGTTTCAAACCAAAACATGCCGCAAAGTGATGAGGCATCCTTTGTTCTGGTTAAACCAGCTGGTTAGGGGAGCAGGTCGACCTCCCCAAGATGGCTCCTGTAATTCCTGAGCTGCGACACTCAATGCTATGGTTCTAACAGTATGCTGTGGTTCTGGTTCTAAGTGTTGTGTTTGGTCCTCAGGTCTGAACGTGGAGCAGATGTTGTTAAAAGACATGAAAGCCGTTTCAGGAAGTCTCAACATTGCTGTTCCTGTTCTGTACATTACCTTGGAGGTAACACAGTTATAGACTGTACCCTAAACTGAACACAGACATACGCAAACATCAGCCAAAGTAGCGCCTGTCTGCCAGTAGGGGGCCACCTAGCAGCGGGTTTCCCCTGAGTTTTCTTTCACAGGCAGAGCTTCCTCTTGTCTTCCAGGAGTTCCTGCAGAGGCCTGACCTTGAAGCAGAGCTTTCAGCTTTCTGTCACAAGTTTGGATACGATTTGCTGATCATGATGACAATCTCCTTCACTGAGAGCAAAGAGCCAATCAGAGAGCTCGGTGTGTTCAGCCACAGCACCACCTGCAGGGAGCAGGTACCTCATTAACAACACACAGATCTGACTCAATAGTTCTGATAGTTTCCTGATGCAAATAAATAAGTACTGCAAAAGTTACCTGGTAGCATGTGATAGAAGCCTCCATGCAGGTGTCAGTCTCTGTTACCATAACAACCAGTGTTGTGCCTATTCACAGAGTATAATGAGGGACGCACACACAGCTCACCTTTGTTTGCTTATAATGTCAGTGTTATGGCCATTTATAATAACACTAATAATAATAATTTATGCTAAATTTTATCAATTTGTTATTTCTACCAATTTAGTTTTCTTCTTTTGGTATGGAAAATATATTTAAGTTAATTTAGAACCAATATTTGTAATTTATTTTTTATATTTGGAATTGTTGTTAATTGTCAGACCCTCCCATTAATTTGAGTAATTAAAGTTGTAGGTAAATAATATTTAAATCTCAAATCATTCTGGCTTAAACGTGTATATAAATGTACTCTTTATCAGATGATGTCACAAAATTTAGAAAATTTCTATTTAAAAAAAAAAAAAATCCTGTCTTAAAATCTGTGTTTTTTTCCATTATCTTCTGCAGGCCAGTTAGTTCTACATCAGCCTGAACACCTAAATTCGGCCAATCATATATCAATGGTCATCTGTCAATCAAATTTTTTCGGTCATAGCATTTTAGCTAATATATGCAACGGTTGAAACCAGAATCCTTTCCTTTCCCATTGAGTTGCGTCCCAGTGTTCACGGGGATGGACGTCTGTGTCTTCTGCAGGCGTAGAGCTAACAGAACTGGCAGCGTTGCGAGGCAAGGGCTCAAACATGTACGGCTGGAAGCCTTCTACACCAAACCAAGCTTCTGCCGCCCTGGCGTCCTCTTCCACAACATCTTCGTCCCCGCTTTCCTCCTCTAAATAAAAAATGGATGACGGAGGAGACTCATCCACGACCTCCGACACTAAACTCTCCTCCTCTTGCATGTTTCCGCTGTCCATAGCGTTCCTTGACAGCATCGTTTCTAAGTCACCAATTTAGTGCTACTTGGTCCCAATGGAATTTCCCATTGGGAACCTGCTAGCACTAAGATGCTAACTGGTTAGCAAGATGCTTCCGACAAACCAGCCACAACCAAACTTGCTTGAGAACCTTCCACCACAACAATCCTGACCCCTTGATAATCGACCAATCACATTCACTTTATTCACGCGTGTAAAGTCGGGCACCACTCGGGAGAATTCGGAAATGCGATGGTTGGAACGGCCGCTTCCTACGACTTTAATAATAAATAACATGGATTTAGGCCCAACTCAACTAAGGTCAATTGAACATTAACTTAAACTAAAACTGACCTACTGAAAAAGAACAGAGGCTGCATAAGTTGGGGTGGAAAGACCTAAACTTGCCACATGAGGGCGGCACAATATAACAGAAAAGCAATAAATAAATAAAAATCCATACAAAACTAAAACACATTAAACAACTCTTTAACTTAGCATAAATAATAAGTGAATATTAAGGTGATAAAATGACTTAAGGTTAACTTAAACAAAATCCCTCCCTCTTTGAGACAGTGGTTTGTTCCCAGCTTCCACCTCCAGCTGATCTGCATTTATAGAACCTCAAAGCAAATAAACCATTCAGACATGGTAACTAAAGTGTGCACCCATTAGAAAATAGACATGTAAATGGAGTAAACTAAATCTGGAACTAAATAGGAATTATAAAACTATACAAACACTTTGTGGTGGAGGTAGAAGGATCCACACCACACGTTCTTTTCAGATTTAAAGCCACGCATGGAGTTAAAGGATCCAAGCTTTCTTGGGAAATATCTGCTGCTGAGTGAAGAATGGAAGAAATCATTTTGGATCCAGATCTTTTTTAGCAGAACCTGATTGCTCCCGAATGTTTCTGAAATTCTGTGTAATTCTGTTAAATAGAGGCTTCACTGCACATCCAGTAGACATTGACTCCATCCAGTATTTTCCATTTCTCTCTATATATTATGCTCAAACATTTAAAGGATTAAAAATGAGGTTCTATTGTGGAGGATTGTGGCTTCATTTACCAAATCAACTTCAACTAGTTCATTTATAGGTTTGTGAACTTCATTAATTTTTTCAATAAGTGAAGTATGAACGTTAGCTAGCTAGTTTTCGACTGTTTGAACTAGCTTCTTTAACTATGAACTGAACCAACATGGATAACAACCTTGATGTTCTCCTTTAGGTAAGCAAGTTCCTTGAACAGGCCCGCACCCTGGACCTCAACCTCCATCCAGTCAGCTCCTCCCACCCTCACATCTCAGCCTATCACCAAGGTGGGATTTCTACCTGGCTCTCCAGGTGAGCGGGAAGCTTCTGTCTGTTCAATCAAAAGTCTCATTTCGTCTAACAGGGAACAAGCTGGCTTCCAGGAAGAAGCTCCTCCCCATCGTGAAGGACTTCCTGAGGGAGTGCGATGGAGACTGTTGCCTTGGAGACGCCGAGGAGGAGTCTTTGGTCCCCCCCACCCCCATGAACAGTCTGGTTGAGGGCTGTCCTCTGGATGAAGGCCTGCCGAAGATCACTGCTGAAGACCTGCAGGACAAATTCCGCCAAATGGACTCCGCTGACCTCTGACCTTCTTTCTGTCAGTTTCAGGGCATCCCTGGTCTCCTCCCAGCATCCCTGTTGCCGCAGCAGCGTCTAAGGACGGCGATGGAGGGGCAGAACATCGGTACTTTTGACAATAAACCTTTTCAATCCCAGAGATCCAGGTGGAATAAAGCTGGTGCTACAGAACCAGACCAACAGAACTGGGCTTTTCTCAGTGAAATACGGTGTTACAGCAGATTCTCAACAGAGCCAGCGTTGAAGGAGCCCAACTGGATCGTCCCGCAGTCAGTTCAGGATGTGTTTTCTAATTTAGATCAAAAGGACAATCTAAGCAACCAAAGAGTAGCTGAGGTACGTTCTGTTGGAAACCGTTAAAACTAAAGGCTTGATTTCACCTTTTTTATAACCTTTGTGTTGTTTAGAGAGTTTCCACTCGTTTGTGAGATCCCACCAAGAAAGATAAGAAAACAGTATTATTGAATATGCTTAAGCGATCAAACCTCAACACACCAATCACCTCTGCTTACGTTAACAATTGCATGTCAGTTTTATCCTCAATAAACTGCAAACGTAAAAGTCTGTCTGAACAGTTCCTTCACAGCAAGTCTGTATGAATCCCTTCAGAATAAAAGTCTGTCTTAGAAGTTCCTTCACAGCAAGTCTGTATGAATCCCTTCAGAATAAAAGTCTGTCTTAGAAGTTCCTTCACAGTAAATCAGTATGAGTTCCTTCAGAATAAAAGTGTCTTGGCAGTACCTTCACAGTACATCTGTATAAGTTCCTTCAAAATAAGTGTCTGAGCAGTTCCTTCACAGTAAATCAGTATGAGTTCCTTCAGAATAAAAGTGTCTGGGCAGTTCCTTCACAGTAAATCTGTATAAGTTCCTTCAAAATAACAATCTGAAGTTGATTCACAGCAAATCTGTATGAGTTCCTTCAGAATAAAAGTGTCTGGGGAGTACCTTCACAGTAAATCTGTATAAGTTCCTTCAAAATAAGTGTCTGAGCAGTTCCTTCACAGTAAATCTGTATAGGTTGCTTCAAAATAACAATCTGAATTTCATTCACAGCAAATCTGTATGAGTTCCTTCAGAATAAAAGTGTCTGGGGAGTACCTTCACAGTAAATCTGTATAAGTTCCTTCAGAATAAGTGTCTGAGCAGTTCCTTCACAGTAAATCTGTATAAGTTCCTTCAAAATAACAATCTGAATTTCATTCACAGCAAATCTGTATGAGTTCCTTCAGAATAAAAGTGAAGTTCCTTCAAATCTGTATGAGTTCCTTCAGAATAAAATTGTCTGGGCGGTTCCTTCACAGCGAGTCTGCATGAGTTCCTTTAGAATAAAAGTGAGCATTTCCTTCATATTAAGTCAATATGAGTTCTTCAGAATAAAAGTGTCTGAGCGGTTCCTTCACAGTAAAGGCTGATTTATACTCAGAAACCAGATCATCTGCGTGTGTGTCGCAGATATGCCCCCACCCCTTCCGCAGAGGCTCTGCTGCACCTCTCCAAAATTGTAGGTGACCGCAGACAGGAGGCCTCTGATTGGTCAAATCCACATTTGCTCTACACTATACGTATTTCCTGTTTGGTGCCTTACTGGCTTGTTTGTATGACCGCCATTGTGGAAAACAACTCGTGAAGATGGATCAGCTAGAAGAGGGAGGTGTACGGGAGCGCTGGGACCCTTCTTTCACTTGGATCCCCACTCTTTTGGTAATTTATCATGGGTCGTATGCGCTAACCACTGCGCCATCGAAGCACGCCCCTGATATGGTCAGTTTGATGCAGAGTCTGTGACATGATGTAGTTTTTTCAATATTCATCAGTCTGATAGCGGTGGGGAAGAAGCTATTGCAGAAACTGCTGGTCCTGCATTGAATGCTGTGAAGCCTCTTCCCAGAGGGCAGCAGGGAGAATAGTCCATGGTGGAGGGGTGAGGGGTCATTGATGATGTCATGGGCTCGGGACACGCAGCGCTGGGATGAAATGTCTTTAATGGAGGGAAGAGGAGCCCCCATGATCCTCTCTGCTCTTCTCACCTTCTTCCAGTATGAGGCGCTGCAGCCTCCACACCACACAGTGAGCAGCAATTCTGCAGATTGGCAAGCATACAAAATCACTCTGGAATAAAGTCCAAAATTAACAGGCAAAAGGAAAAAAAAAACCTACTATCAAATGAAATTTAGAGAATATGATAAGAGTAAAGAGACATGGAGGCTAAGACATTAAATTATGGTACGGAAGCTGAATAAAATACCTTCCTTTATTGAGGTGGATAGATTATTTATTACCAAACCTTTGGCCATTGCAAACTACCAAAACACTGCCTGGCTGAGCAGAATTGATAGTAAATATTTTGTAGGTATTGCACTTATGTACTTTAGTGCAGCCTTTGATCTTGTTGATCATTGACGGTTACTTGAGAAGTTATCTGCATATGGATTCAAAGGTCATGCATTATGTTTCATGAGTCTGCCTGGCTGTGTGTTTCTTGGACGGGGCCGCCTTTTCCTGTTGCCTTTGTGTCTCTTCTTCTGTCTCCTTGAACCCCAGTGGGCCTCAGCAGATGGCCGCTCACACTGAGCCTGTTTCTGCTGGAGGTTTCTTCCTGTTCAAAGGGATTCTTTCCTCTCCACTGTCGCTACAAGGATGCTTAGTGTGAGGGATTGCTGAAGAGTCAATGAGTCGATGCAATCAGCGGGTTTTCCTTAGATAGAAAACTTTGAATCAATCTGACCGGATGATCCTCCACGGAGGTAATTGCCAAGTGCCTTGTTGCCATCTTTCTCTTCCTTAAAATGAAGCCAAACTTTCGATCGGTTTACCCAATGGGACACCATTTTTTTGTTTTGCTTTAATAGACTTACGCCTGGTCACATCCTACTTGTTTACTGAATGCTGTGTGCATTACTTGCGCAAAAAACGTGACGTAAGTCGTGCTGCCTAGAGCCCGCTAGGCCCTGGTGCTGGCTGGAATTGATTAGAGAATCGTTAAGCGAGCTGCCAAATGGTGCCATGGAATTGGAACACACGCAACCGGTTCTGAACAGGAACCGGTTTTCGATTCCCATCCCTATTGGGACGGGTGCGCTGACATCAGCTACCTTCTGGAGATGGGGGTGGACAGTGCCGGGCCCCCCCTTTGGTACTCCCAGTTTTGATTACACCTGAGAACAATACGCAACAACACAACATTTGAGCGGGTGCAGGGAGGATCGGGGTCTTTTTCCCACCCCGGTTCTCCGGTTGCCGCCTGGAGTCTTTGGCCTGGAGGAAGAGCGGACCTCCTGGTCCGGGGTCTTGGGAAGGAGGTTGTTGCGGGGCTTGGACTCCGCATTGCGCAGCAAGACTGGCTCTGGGCTGTACATTTCGAACTGATGTTGCTGTCTTGCATCAGAGACGTTCATGGATGAAAGTCAAAGATAGATTGGGTTGTTGTTCTTTGGCGTCTGTGCATAAAATCTTAACATCACACAAACCCCTCAGCCTGTTGTCTATACTAGAGCCCACTTACAGCAGACAGGATCAATACAAGATCAGCTGTTAATCTGACCTTTACTCTGCCTACTCTCATAGAGACCAATGGAGATCCTTAAATAAATATATACAAAAACATGTATGTCAGTTATTGATGCTTTTGAATCAGCAGCTCGGCTTTCAGCTGTGGAGGCCAGGAGAGAAATTAAAGGAAAAGCTACAGTGAAGCTGCACTCTGATCTACAGTCTTGCAGTATGAACACTGTGGCACTGCAACAGAATCTGTTGCATTCAGGGCGGACTTAGAGGAGGGCCCCCTAAAGTTTGCCTGGGGTCCCTATATAGCCATTAGGGTGGACGTTCAGACACAGCCAAAGTGTTTCTAAGGCACTGGGTCCACAGCAGGAACCATGATCTGCTCACAGAGAAACTGTTACTGTTACGCGTGGTGTAACGGTAACAGCATTCAGCAAAGTATGTTGATCGTATTTACAGTTAAACATTATAGTAGTTGTGTAATGGGCTTGGCCAGGGGTCTGCAACGTTTTCCAGGCCAAGGACCCCCAAACTGATGGTGAGATGGAGTAGGTACCCCTAATTATATATTGTATGAAATTGTGTTATATCAAACTGGTCCTATAGTCACTATGTTACAGATGGAGTAATGGAACCAAAGTAATTTCGCCCTGGGATTATTAAAGTATTTTCACTGTTACTTGAGATCCCATGCAGTACCTCCGTGGACCCCTAGGAGTCGCAGACCCCCTGTTGAAGACCTCCGGTCTGGGCTGTTTTGATGCGTTAGACCCTCTAGAACGCAACGTAATGCTCTCTATTATATTTAATGTTTGTGACCTTTAGCTCAAGCTATTTGCGGGACAATGTTCCAAAGAATAAATAAAAAATTTAAAAAAGATTATAAGAGGCCTGGTTAAAGCCTGAACTTCAGCTTTGATATGGCTCTGAATATTTGCTTTGAAATCAATCATTTTAGCTCCATTTTAAACATTTAAATAAAGAAACTTATTTATTTGTTGCTTTCTTTCTGTCTTCTCTTTGTTACACAGCAACAGGAAGTGCTTTTTCAGTTTAGCTCATGACGTCATAGATTCTGACCCGCCCCCTCAAAAACTGAATCCAAAATGGAGGACTGCCCTGTATGTGTTTTCCAGTTTTGTCGCCGCCAGGGCGACATTCTGGCACTGGTTGCTGTTTATTTGTGTGTAAACGGTAATGTACTGCAGCCCTACAGGTCACAGAGTTTACTCCGGTCGAACAAAACCGGGGAATCTTTGAAAATCTGAAAACCCGCAGCACAGTTTAGTTCCTCCACAAAAATTCCCCCCAGCCAATCAAAGCCAAGGCTGCGTGATGTGGGAAGTAACGTGTGCCACAGGGAGCCAATCAACGACCCTCAGACAAACGCTGAGGCGGAAGACCCGCCCCCCCTGCGATCGAACTGCATCGCATGTGAAGAAGAAAGAGTAGAATCACCCGAATCGGTCCAGACCCACTGCCGATCTGAGCTCCCGGCTGCAGGTAGGAGCAGTTCGGTTGGATCCGGAGGGTTAGAAATGCTAGCCGTGGGTCTGCGGGGGAGGCGGGGCTCGGTGCATAGCTGCTGGATGAACGGGGAGGGGGGGGGCGGACAGAGGCAGAAGAACTGCGGTTCTGGACGGACCCGGTCCGACCTTAGATCTAGAATGAACCGCAGCCTCCTTTATCAGGTCCCGTTGCGGTCTGGTCCGGTGCGGGACTCGGAAGTTTGTTCCTGCCGGAACAGAGACCCTACAGGAGGAATCAAAAGAACAGATAGGAGCTGAGGGGTGGGTGAGCGCCCCATGCGGCCGCGGCTGGTACTGCATTGACGCGGACCAGAAAACAAGCCGAGGCTCAGGTTCATTCTATCAGGAAAACTACTTAATCTGTCATTTTTAACACATTTATGCATTTAGAGAAATACAATAAGCCGCAGATCATCACTATAAGCTGATCCTCATCATCATGTTGGAAGTTCATGAAGCAAAGGGCTGCTAAGAAAAACTGTTGGCTCATTATTTCAGATGTCCACCTTTCAATCTGCTTTCTAACAACACATTTGGCTCAGTGCTGGCGCCCTCTGTCCACTGTCCAGGCATCAGGGGACATTAGTCCCTGACTAAGGAGGGTTAGGACAGAGGAGGGGACAAGGTGAGGATGGAAAAAAGAAAAAAAACAATATTTATCTGTTTTTTTTATAGTATAACTGTAATACAGCCACATTCAGGGGCGGATTTAGAAAATTTGGGGCCCTCTGAATGGAGAAGACAACACATAAAACAGCCCCATTCTACAGATAGATAAATGTTAATAGAATAGACATCCATTATCTGTTCTAGGTTGTGTCCCTCTCTTCTTGTCCCTTTTCTTCTTGTTTTCCTCTCTATGTTTTGTACTCAGCTGACTTTTCATGCTGTCTCTAAAGGAATGAAAGATTTTTTCCAAGCACTAAGCTCACTTAGCTGATTGCTCCTTCCTGTGTTTCCAAAAAGGCCAAAGTAAATAACCCAGTCCTTCTTTTCACTGTAGACAAGCCATGATCTGCTTATCTGTTCTCCATTTTTCATTTGGATGAAATAATAGCTGCATGAATCATGACAGCAGACAAGATAGAGGAGAGCAGGAGGCGGGGTTACCAATCTACTCGCTCTGGAGAGCAGAGTTCGCTGCTTTTAGATGTTGTCTCCAAAGTCTCCAGTAGCAGAAAAAAGTCTCTAGATTTGGCGCTAGGAGCTTTTTAGAAATCAAAGTGCTAGAGGGGTCTGAAAAGTGGCTAAATATAGCGACTAAAGCGCTAAGTTGGCAACACTGCTCTTTGCATGGTTTGTTTTCAAATGGTTTGCTGCTGTCTAGTGATGTTATGAGATGAGTTGAGGCCTCAAGGCGCGTATCAAGGCGTGATTCATTTGGGGGAGGAGCCAAAATGGATGACGTCCGAAGCCCCGCTACCCGCAATACCATATGATCGTTTCAGGAAGTGGTTCAGCTCGCCTGGAACCGGGCGTTTAAACAGCCTCAGTATTCAGTCAAGGTGTTGGAGTTTGTAGGAGAGCTGGTTAGAGTTTGGATATGTTCTAAGAATAGATTGATTGTTTTTCCAACCAATCTAGTTGATAAAAACTAGTTTGGTTTGATCACAGTTAATATTTTAAGCGTTCTGATGGAATTTTAGGGAATGGATTTTTATAAAACAATGTGCTTAATGTGCTGTATTAACTATACATGGAAACAGTTTTTTTGGGGCCTGCGACCCGATCGAAAAGTCTCGCACGACTGGAGAATCGGCCCCAAAAGGGCAAAAAATCGTACAGTGTACGCCCGGCTTAATGATACGGAGAATAGACCATACCCGTCCTTCAAAACAGGTGGAAATAAGGTCGCATTTGGCCGCATAGTGAGGAGTCTTCCAATCAGAACAGACGTGGCGCCGCGTTATGACGTAAGCAGGCGAGGAATCTGGCCTTTGGAGGACGCTGAGTTAAAATTCAACAAATGTTTCTCACTGCGGTTCTCTGCTGTCCGAAGAGTAAAATATCTGATTATGCAGGTCAAACGTGTGATTTCTTGGTAGAGGACAGGTGTGGCAGTAATCAGGCCCATGGAGAGGGGAGGGGTCGCTCCATGCAGGCCATAAAGGATTGGAACCTTTTCTTCACTAACAATAAAAACCTGCAATTAATTTTTTTGTCTCATCTTTGACTTATATATAGATCAGGTTTAACTTCATGTTTAGCCTGTAAAGCTGCCTCCACTGCTAACCGGGCATTGATGGTTTCTTTCCTAGTCTCCATAGCAACATGGACACCGAGCTGTTTATGGAGTGCGAGGAGGAGGAGCTGGAGCCGTGGCAACAGGTGGACGACAGCGTGGAGGAAGATGACATGGAGATCATGGACAACTATGGAGAGCCAGGTAGGACAATAACCCGCATTCCTAAAGGTCCAATCGGAGCTTTAGAACCGGACCGTGCTACGCAGCTTCAGATACGATGAAACGTTCTGCGGGCCTCAAGGAGAACCCGCTCCGTTTGGTTCCGATTCCGTGGAACTGAGCAGAATCTGAACCACAAAGATGTTCTGAGCGACTTTCGCTGAGCAGCCGACCGGTTTTGTCCGGATTCTGGCCAGAATATTCTAGGTCAGAGGTCTTCAACGGGGGGTCTGTGACCCCTAGGGGTCCACGGAGGTACTGCATGGGGGTCGCCAGTTTTGGTTGATTAGACTTTTTTTGTTATATTCCTCCCTGAAATTTTTTCCACCAATTGAAATGTCTTTAAATCCACATGAACATGAATCCAACAGACTGTAATAAACAGATAAATGGAGGCAGAAGATGTCTCTCAGTCATCAATGCTCACATTCAGCGACACACAGGAGCTCTTTCAAGCTGGGCACCGTTTCATTCACAACACCTGTCCCATCAACCAGGAATCAGAAATACTTTAATAATCCCAGGGAGGGATTACTTTAGTTACATTACTCCATCTGTAATAGAGTGACTATAGGAGCAGTTTGATAGAACACTATTTCATACAATATATATATAATTAGGGCCCCCGCTCCATCTCGCCATCAGTTTGAGGTCCTTTGCCTGGAAAACGTTGAAGACCCCTGCTATAGACTTTCTGTCCAAATGCAGTTTGATTTATTTATTTATTTATTTATTTATGTTTGCAGACCATGAATCGTTGATTATAAACGATGTTACAAGATGTAAAAAATGAAATATTTCACAGTCTCTCTAAAATCTACGGTTTAGTCGGAAAAGGTCTGATGTGTTTTGATGACAGGAACTGCTATTTTTCTTTCTCTTTTAGTTTTATTAAGTTGTAATAATTTTCTTGTTTCTCTAGAATTAGTTTGTATGAAAAATTATTAAGGCCACTGAAAAAAAAAAAGAAGTTAACTGATTTTTACATTTTATTTAAGTTTAGTATGGGAAAAAAGTCAGAATTCTGACTTTTTTCTCAGAATTCTGACTTTAATCTCAAAATTTTGACTTTTTTTCTCAGAATTGTGACTTTTTTCTCAGAATTTTGACTTTTTTCTCGGCATTCTGACTTTAATCTCAAAATTTTGACTTTTTCTCAGAATTTTGACTTTTTTCTCAGAATTCTGAATTTAATCTAAAAATTTTGACTTTTTCTCTCAGAATTCTGACTTTAATATCGACTTTAATCTCAAAATTTTGACTTTTTCTCTCAGAATTGTGACTTTAATCTCAAAATTTTGACTTTTTCTCTCAGAATTCTGACTTTAATCTCGACTTTAATCTCAAAATTTTGACTTTTTTTCTCAGAATTGTGACTTTTTTCTCAGAATTTTGACTTTTTTCTCAGCATTCTGACTTTAATCTCAAAATTTTGACTTTTTCTCAGAATTTTGACTTTTTTCTCAGAATTCTGACTTTAATCTAAAAATTTTGACTTTTTCTCTCAGAATTGTGACTTTTTCCTCAGAATTCTGAATTTAATCTAAAAATTTTGACTTTTTCTCTCAGAATTCTGACTTTAATATCGACTTTAATCTCAAAATTTTGACTTTTTCTCTCAGAATTGTGACTTTAATCTCAAAATTTTGACTTTTTCTCTCAGAATTCTGACTTTAATCTCGACTTTAATCTCAAAATTTTGACTTTTTTTCTCAGAATTGTGACTTTTTTCTCAGAATTTTGACTTTTTTCTCAGCATTCTGACTTTAATCTCAAAATTTTGACTTTTTCTCAGAATTTTGACTTTTTTCTCAGAATTCTGACTTTAATCTAAAAATTTTGACTTTTTCTCTCAGAATTGTGACTTTTTCCTCAGAATTCTGAATTTAATCTAAAAATTCTGACTTTTTTCTCAGAATTGTGACTTTTTTCTCAGAATTCTGACTTTAATCTCAAAATTTTGACTTTTTTTCTCAGAATTGTGACTTTAATCTCGACTTTAATCTCAAAATTTTGACTTTTTTTCTCAGAATTGTGACTTTTTTCTCAGAATTTTGACTTTTTTCTCAGCATTCTGACTTTAATCTCAAAATTTTGACTTTTTCTCAGAATTTTGACTTTTTTCTCAGAATTCTGACTTTAATCTAAAAATTTTGACTTTTTCTCTCAGAATTGTGACTTTTTCCTCAGAATTCTGAATTTAATCTAAAAATTCTGACTTTTTTCTCAGAATTGTGACTTTTTCCTCAGAATTCTGACTTTAATCTCAAAATTTTGACTTTTTCTCTCAGAATTGTGACTTTTTCCTCAGAATTCTGAATTTAATCTAAAAATTCTGACTTTTTTCTCAGAATTGTGACTTTTTCCTCAGAATTCTGACTTTAATCTCAAAATTTTGACTTTTTCTCTCAGAATTCTGACTTTAATATCGACTTTAATCTCAAAATTTTGACTTTTTCTCTCAGAATTGTGACATTTTTCTCAGAATTCTGACTTTAATCTCGACTTTAATCTCAAAATTTTGACTTTTTTCTCAGAATTCTGACTTTTTTCTCAGAATTCTGACTTTAATCTCAAAATTTTGACTTTTTTCTCAGAATTCTGACTTTAATCTCGACTTTAATCTCAAAATTTTGACTTTTTTCTCAGAATTCTGACTTTAATCTCGACTTTAATCTCAAAATTTTGACTTTTTCTCTCAGAATTGTGACTTTTTTCTCAGAATTCTGACTTTAATCTCGACTTTAATCTCAAAATTTTGACTTTTTTCTCAGAATTCTGACTTTAATCTCGACTTTAATCTTAAAATTTTGACTTTTTTCTCAGAATTCTGACATTTTTTTCCATACTAAACTGAAATAAAATTTAAAAATTAGTTTCCTTTTTTTTTCAGTGGCTCTAATCCTCTTCCATAAGTTTGCTAGTTTTTATAAGTAACTTAAATAATGCTTGGCTTTACTTTAGCTTTCATCCGTTCTATCAGCAGATTTAGTTTTTCCATAATTTAGTTCATTTTTAAAAGCAGAATCCATAAAAGTTCAGGGAGAACTGATTGGTTGGCCGGCTAATTCTAGAAGATGAGGTTAAACTGATCCTCCAATGCCTAATATTTCGACAAAGATTTGAAAATCGGTTTCTGTCAATCCTCTGAGATTCATATTTACATCGGAGAGCAGTACCAAATGAGCAGGTCAACCAGTTTTTATCATATTCAATGATTTTCAGTAGGATAAGAGTGGAATATCGATGGTTTCTTAATGCAGGTTTTTGAAAGGTCGTTGTACCTTTAGTTGTGGTGTATTTGGGAAATTGGGTCCCTAAGTTTTAAAAAACAACAAAAAAAACTAGTTCAATTAAAGCTTTTCCTGTCTTGATAAACAATAAATCCATCATTAAAGGATAAAACCACAGGATAAGTTTTAAAAAGCTCATTAATTAAAGTTTGAATGTTGTTTTTTTGTCTCTTTCTGTTCAAAAAGTCTGACAAAAGGTTTTATTCTTGAATGTTTTTTGAATATTTTTAAATTTCTTATATTCAGAAACATATTTTTTTTTTACCTTATTTCTTCAGATTTTATGTTTGTAAATTTCCCTGTTTCAGATTTTATTTTTATTAATGAATTGTAATGTTTTCCAAACATGTCTCAGATCACATTGACCAGTACTCCAATACAAAAACACTCTAACCAATAAAAACGTTGTTACTAACGTCCAGCCGACCAATAGAAAAGTGTTTTCACTCCTCACTCCAGAGAAAGGCCCGCCCCCACATGTGAAAACAGGATTTAAGAAGATCGCTATCCATAAAACTCAATCTTCAAAAAATAAAATCTGAAAAATTTATTGAAATTTTGCAATATTTGAAAAGCAAAGTTTCTCTCCAAAACCTTTTTTGATTAAGAACTTTTTTTAAAATTTGCATTTAAGAAATGTGTTCTTTGCAACTTTAATTGAACAAAAAAGAGAAGCGAGGCAGAGAAATGCTTGAGATGAAAAAATAAAAACTAATGCCCCAGCAGCAGAGTAGAAGAACTGTGGAGTGAAACTAAACATCCGGGGAAAAAACAGGCCTTTCACATCATGCAGGGCTAAAGAAATGGATAAACATTTGTTTTTACTTAACTGAGGTTTTTATTTATTTCAGTCCCAAATAGATTTTCTTAATTTCTGTTTGCTAGTTGTTGGATGGGATGTTGCAGACACCGTCTCCAGCCACTAGAGGGCGCTGCAGGAATACTGATCCAGATCAATTAATCTTTCAATAATTTTTTTATTTATCGATTAATAATCGGAAAGCCAAAAGTTCCTTTAAAGAAGATTTTTTTACTACCATAAATGAAACAAGGGGAAACTAAAACTTTTCTGCTTGTTCTGGATGGAGCGTATTAACAAACTGAAATGTTTTGGTTTTTTTCCCAATATTTTTTTAAATCTTGGTATGATTCCTGCCCTAAGTGGGTTTTTCTGTCAGTTAAATGCATATTTTAAAGTCTCTATATTCCAGTTAACGATTTATCAATTACTAAATTATTTCAATAACAGCTTAATCGGATTATTAATCTGATAATTTCAGCCTTAGATCAGCAGCTGCTGAAAGTTTTTGGTGAATTTGACGTGATGTTTTTGTCTCCAGTGGAGGATCTGTCGTCTTCCCCCCCTACCTCTGTCAGTCGGTCGCCCAGTCCTCCTCCGTCCAGCGCACCTGTCCCAGCAGGTGAGTGTATCTTCCAGCAGGTGACCTGGGGTCTCGGGTTTTTTTTTTTTTTTGGTGAACCTTTCTCTATTTTTCCTCCTCAGCGGCACTGGCTCCACCTCCACCTCCTCCGTCCATCATAACCACCTCCTCCACGCTCTGCCTCACCACCACGTCCAAGCCGGCCGCCTCGGCCCCGCCCCTCAGGGCTCAGGGTCCGCCCCTCATCCTGACGCAGACGGCGGGCGGAACGTTTCTCCTCCCGGCGGCTCCGGGGGCCGGCGGCACCCAGCCCATCATCCTGACCGCGCAGGTACCGGACAATCCGCCACGCCTGGCTAAGATTTGCAGCGCGTTTCCATGGCAACAAAGAGGCTGTGCTTCTCGTTGCAGGGCTTCCAGGTACCCACCATGATGAACCCGGGGGCTCCGCTGGTTTTGAACCTGCACCCGGGTCAGACGATGCAGCCGCTCACTCTGATCCAGTGTAGGTCCAATCGATCCCGTCTCTGCTCTGAACGCCGCTCGCTGGTGACTAATCCACTGGGTGTCCTGTCTCTACAGCGCCCTCTCTGGGCCAGCTGGTCCAGTCCGGGGTGGGCTTGTCCACAGTGGTCTCACAGAAACAGGTAGCACCAGGCCCCTCCCACCCGGGCTCCACCTTCACCAGCGTGCAGCTGCCCACCACCCTGACCATCCGAAGCGGCGCTCCAGGATCTGGTTAGCGTGTTGGAAACGCTGGGAGGGGTTCTCTGCTGAACTGGTTGGGTCGGTGCTCTAACTGGTCTGTCGCTGTTTTCCAGTGAACCTGCAGGTGTCGCGGGTCAGCAGCAGCAGCTCCCTGAAGCTAGCAGCCTCTCCTGCCGCTTTGTGTGCCTCCACGAACGGAGTCCTGAAGGCCACGCCCCTCAGCAGCACCAAAGGTCAGACGACCTTCAATCCGCTCTCCTTGGGTCTGAAGTTAATGCAGATTGGACGGTTCTGTCCAGCTTCTGTCCAGCGGCATGTCTATCTGCTACAGGAACATTTGTTAATTGGTTCTCTGTATCTTGTCCCTTAGCTTCTGGCCCCACCCTCTCCGTCGTCTCCACGGCGACAGCCTCTGAACCACCCCGGGTGGTGATGAGTGTCGAGGAGTTTTACTACGGCAGATTCGGTGGAGACATCAGTCTGAGGAAAGCTCCGCCCCCTGGAACCTGCGGCTCCTCCTTCACCTGCAGCATCTGCTCCTTCAGGGCGGAGAACAACCTGAGGTGGGTCCACGGGTCGCCCAGACGCGCCTGAACCTGGACGGCCCGCCCGCCCGCCTCACCCGTTTATGTGTGCGCAGGTTGATGCAGCACTCGCTGATCCATTCGGAGCTGGTCGTAGACCGCAAAGACCAGCAGTGCTGCCGCTTCTGTTACCGACTCTTCTCATCGGTGGCTCAGCTGAAGGACCACCAGGACCAGGTTCACGGCCCCACCCAGTCTTCCTGTAAGAACCTCAACTGTAGACTTCTGAGGTGTCGTCCTGATTTATGTTTTGCACTCAGACTTAATGCTGCGTTCACACCGGGCGCGTTCTGGGGGTCAAAGCGTCTGGTTCACATGCAAAATCTACAGGGGACGGCGTCAAGAGGTCCATTGGTGCATTTCGAGCGTTCTGGCATCCAAGCGTCAGACGCTGCATGCTGGAGCGTCAACCGATTAGAAAAAGCTAATCCAGGAGTTTTTTTGGGGGAGACAGACGCTACCTGCAAGCTGTCATCGCTTCTGCAGACATTCTGCGTATAAAAATAAATAAATATCAATGGAGTAAAACTGCAAAAGTAAAAAAAAGCCATGAGAATGGATTGTTATGTAGAAGGAAAAGAGAGCGAGCTCTAATCATTATGGCTGCACTAAAACATTATACTATTGAAAAATGTTCGATTGTGTGATCTGGTACTTGCAGTTTTTAACCCAAAACCTTAAAGGAAAATTCTGGTCAGGAAGGAATAATCAATGGATCAATATTTATATCTAAAATTAATCTGTTCCATGTGATTTAATTGATTTAGCATCACTGAGTCTGGGAGCGGCCATTTTTGCCCAAACATAGTAGCCCCTCCCTCCTGCCATCTTCCAGCAGTGACGTCACGGTGCGGTAAGCCTAGCGCCATTCTCCCCGCTTTCCAAGCTAAATCAATGGGAACTACTAGACACATCTGCAATCAACAACAATTATTGAAGATTTCCAGAGGACTTCACCATTGAAATTCACCAGAGCTATAGTGAAACTGACAATGCCCACGTGCATGGCAGCTGGATGCTGGAATACATCGGGTAAAAGTGAAAAAAAAGAGTTATTCCACCTTTCTGATTCCTGATCCTCCACGGACGGGTTGGTCGTTGGCTCGCCAACTTGAAGAGGGAGGATTTGCCATCGAACTTCTGGCCAGAGAAAAAACCCGTAATATGTAGCCAACATTTGGAAGAAGAATGTTTTCAAGATGACTTGGATAATAGCGCGTTGTGACAAACACCAGATACAGCACTGGGACTTGATCAACAGCCGATACCGCACCGTGACGTCACTAACCAGTAGGTGGCAGTAGTGTTCTTTGACAAACATGGATGCCTCCAGTAAAGCACATTCACATGAAAATTACTCTGAATTAAAAACACTGATCATTTATTGAACAGGATGGAATCATTTCAGATTTAAAGAACTTTCAGAAGTTTGAATTCTGAATATGAGCGACTTTTCTGGTTCTTTCTGTTCGCTTCCAGACGCTACAAACGGTAGCAGAGAGGTTTCAGTGGGGATTTCCAGCGCTCCCTCCCTGCGGAGCGCTTCGTAAACAAGACCTGCATATTTTAGTGGGATAATAATCCTGATAAACTGATGGTTGGAGGTGGAATTTTTCCCCATCTAAATAAAGCCAAGCTGCTCCCAACTTGAAGCTACAGAATAGAGCAGTGCCGAGCATCCAGAGCGGTAAAGCAACCTAACCACAGATTGATCCAGCATCTGACCCAGCGTCCAAACTTCTGCGTTTGCGTGTTCGTGATGCCTTTGGAGTGAACGCAGTATAACGGTCCCCCCTGTTCGATTCAGAATCAGCAGCTATGACGTTCTTGTTCTGACTCTCTGGCAGTTCTAAAGGGTTGGTTATCCTCTCGCAGCCGTGTGTCACAGTTAGCTTTTTCTTTTTTGTGTCGGTTTTAATGAGCTTGTTCGCCGTCTACAACCCCTCATCGAACGCCGGATGACACACAGTTCACCAGTGAGTGTTCCCCAAAGACTGGCCGTGGCGCTGCATGTTTTGGCTTTGGGTGCAAACCAACAGACCGTCGCACAGAGATACAAAACCTGAGTGAAGTTGGCCCCCCCACCTTCTTCAAATCAGACAACATTGGTGTCAAACGTTTGTGCAGCAAAAATTTTCGTTTGTGCCGCTGTCGTTTTAAAGGTATAAAGAAATATTTCTAGAGGTCATCAAAGGTCAACCAGCCCCTCCCACCTCATTCAAATCAGACGAAATAGGTGTCAATTAACTCAGCTCTGTTTGTGCTGCAAAAATTTTCGTTTGTGCTGCTTTGGATTTGAAGATTTGAAGAAAGTGGGGGGGCTGGTTGACCTTTGATGACCTCTAGAAACATCTCTTTATATCTTTAAAACGATATCGGCACAAACGAAAATTTTTGCTACACAAACGTTTGACACTCATTTTGTCTGATTTAAAGAAGGTCGGGGGGGCCAACTTCACTCAGGTAGCTACAAACTAGCGTCCTGCACGGCGTCTGGGGTGTCAGAGGTGTGCCAGGCGCTGTAGATGGCACTATAGCCACAGTTTCTGCCATTAGGAACCAAACAGGAAATATGCATAGTTTAGAGCGGATGTAGAATTGACCAATCAGAGGCCTCCTGTCTGCGTTCACCAACAATTTCGTAGAGGTGCACCAGAGTGTCCGTTAACTGCGACACACGGCCATCTTTAATCTCTGTGTTAACCCAAGTCCGTCTGTGTGCTGCCGCCAGGTCTGTGTCGGATCTGTGAGTGGGCCTTCGACAACGAGCCGGCCTTCCTCAACCACATGAAGTCCAACCACAAGCCAGGCGAAATGCCGTACATCTGCCAGGTGGGTGCACCCCCCTGCCCTCCCCCACCAGTTCTCCTCCCCACCGTCTGACCCCCGGCCGTGTTTGCAGGTCTGCTCGTTCCGCTCGTCCTTCTACTCGGACGTCCTGCAACACTTTGCCACCTTCCACAAAGAGACGCTGTTCCTGCTCTGTGTCTTCTGCCTGAAAGTGAACAAAAGCCCGACCAACTACCAGCAGCACCTGTACCGCCACAAGGTGACCACTCTACGTTCACACTGCAAGCCTTAATGCTCTATTAACATATTTTTTTTGCGTTGCCATTCACATTTCCAAATATATGCCACTCGTATCTGATCTCCTGTGTGAACTGCATTCATACGAGCGTCCCACATGCGCAGTAGAGGACGTAATGATGTCACAAGACAGCGTGCTCCGCGTTTACCGAAGTAAACATGGATGGTAGCGCCGGAGTAACCTGACTCCGCCAGATGGATTTGCTCCGCATATCCATCTGGAAACCTTCCGTTGAAGTAATTTTGGGAAGGGGCGAAAATACTGGTTAGCTGATTGGCCTATGTTGGTGATAGACGGGCCAAATAAACCAATCAGATCAACGAAGTATATGACGTACTAACAGAGCGACGACGAAGAGGAGCCAATTGATAGATCAAACTCTTGCCGAAACCAGTCGGGAGAAGAGCAAAAACATCTTTTCCTCTCAGAAAAGCCTCCAGAGCAGTGTTTTGCTCTTCTTTCAGTGAAGAAATACTCTGTAATTCCGATAAAACTTGCTCGATAGCCACGCTAACGCTAGTTTCATTGGCTGAAGCCGCCATGTTCTTTAGACTGAACTGTCGCGCTTCTCGTTGCGTCACACCTCAACCCGCCTCAAAGCCAACGCTGATTGGACATTCATTTGGTGAACGGCTCCAAATTTTCTTTAACGTAGAGTCTCCAGACTGATCTGCGAGTGAAACCTTGAAAGCTCGCGAGATCAGGATGGTCTCACGAGGCTAGCGCCAGAGGGCATCTAGCGATCTTTCACAACCTTAAAAACAATCCTTTCAGTATAAAGACTGCTCTCTGCATCATCGTCCGCCATGGTTGCTGTTTTTCTTCATAGCAAAACGCAGAGTAGTGACCTTTGTCGGGTGTTAATGGCGTTCAGGTTGGATGAATGCGACCTGGCTTTGGAAAAGATCAGATTCGTATCGGATTTGTATTGAGTGGAAAAAAAATCGTATCTGAGGTGTTCAGACATCTATGAAAAGATCAGATCCAGGTAACGTATGGGCAGAAAAATCGGATTTGGGTTACTTCAGGCTGCTGTGTGAACGTAGCCTCTTAGCGCGCCTCTTTCATGACGCATCAGGATGAAACCGTTCAAACAGCCTTGTCTTCCTGTTCCAGCTGAGCCAGGCCTTCCACTGCAACAGGTGTCGCCTTCAGTTCATCTTCCTCAAGGAGAAGATGCAGCACAAGGCGGAGAACCATCGCAGCTTCCGCAGGCCGTCGCAGCTGGACGGGCTGCCGCCGGGGTCCAAGGTGAGGATAGATCCAGCCCACTTTGGGTCCCAGCTCTTCCTACGTCCACTGATTGCTCCGTCTGCCTCCAGGTGACAATCAGGACCTACGGGAAGCTCAAACCTGCAGCGGCATCAAACTCCATTTTCCAGCCTAACAAGATCAAGACGGAGCAGCTAAAGTCTCCGATCCAGAAGAACCCCACGCTGTTCAAAGCTCCTAAATCTCCGACCAGGAGAGTTCCGGGCCGCAGGAACCACTGCAGGTGAGGCGTTTGTCCTGAAGGTGGCAGCAGAGGACAGTCAGGGCTCCAGAGTGGTCAGGAAAAGTCTAGGAAGTTCAGGAATTCTCCTGATTTAAAAAATCTTTCTAAAGGAAAGAAAGGAATGCGGTACATTTATTTACTGAAGCCGGTCGCTCTTTACCGTGGAACTAAACCCGATCCAAGAGATCTAATGCTGACATTATTAGCCATAAATAGGAAGAAAACAGTACTGTTTTTACAATTCAATTTAATGCAGTTTATTTCTACAGCGCCAATTCACATCTCAAGGCACTTTACAATTCAACCAGATCATCCAGTCAACAGACATATCTGTTGACTGAATGTGATGTTTTTTATATTTTAGGGCTAAAATAATCACAATTATTGAAATTATTGTGACAAATTTAGTAGTTGAATGCTAAAACATGCCTTTAGCCAACTAAAGGCATTCAATAAGATCCATAAACGTTAGATTATTTGATTCACCGATAGTTGTAATAGTGACTTTAGTGGCTGTAAATGGAGAAGATGAGCTGGAACCCAGCTCCTCTGAGAATACAGCACACAGCTCAAGGTTATGGAGAAAAAACAAAAACCATTAAACCCAGTTACATTTATACAACGGAGTATCAGGGCCAGGGTAGATTTTTTTTTTCATTACATTAAATTACGAAAAAAAATCTTTAACATTACGAGAATAAAGTTGCAACGTGAATATTCATGAAATGACAAGAATAAAGACGTAACATTATGAGAATAAAGTCGTAAAATTACGAGAATAAAGTTGCAACGAGAATATTCATAAAATGACAAGAATAAACTCGTAAAATTACCAGAATTAGGTCATAAAATTACGAGAATAAAGTTGCAACGAGTATATTCATAAAATGACCAGAATAAAGTCGTAAAATTACGAGAATAAATTCGTAAAATTACGAGAATAAAGTCGTAAAATTACGAGAATAAAGTCGTAAAATTACGAGAATAAAGTCATAAAATTACGAGAATAAAGTGGTAAATTACGAGAATAAAGTCGTAAAATTACGAGAATAAAGTTGTAAAATTACGAGAATAAAGTTGCAACGAGAATATTCATAAAATGACAAGAATAAAGTCGTAAAATTATGAGAATGAAGTCGTAAAATTACGAGAATAAAGTTGCAACGAGTATATTCATAAAATGACTAGAATAAAGTTGTACAATTACGAGAATAAAGTCGTAAAATTATGAGAATAAAGTGGTAAATTACAAGAATAAAGTCGTAAAATTACGAGACTAAAGTTGTAAAATTACGAGAATAAAGTTGCAATGAGAATATTCATAAAATGACAAGAATAAAGTCGTAAAATTACGAGAATAAAGTTGTAAAATTACGAGAATAAAGTTGCAACGAGAATATTCATAAAATGACAAGAATAAAGTCGTAAAATTACCAGAATAAAGTTGCAACGAGTATATTCATAAAATGACAAGAATAAAGTCGTAAAATTACCAGACTAAAGTTGCAACGAGTATATTCATAAAATAACAAGAATAAAGTCGTAAAATTATGAGAATAGAGTCGTAAAATTACGAGAATAAAGTTGCAACGAGAATATTCATAAAATGACAAGAATAAAGTCGTAAAATTACCAGAATTAGGTCGTAAAATTACGAGAATAAAGTTGCAATGAGTATATTCATAAAATTACGAGAATAAAGTCGTAAAATTACGAGAATAAAGTCGTAAAATTATGAGAATAAAGTGGTAAATTACAAGAATAAAGTCGTAAAATTACGAGACTAAAGTTGTAAAATTACGAGAATAAAGTTGCAATGAGAATATTCATAAAATGACAAGAATAAAGTCGTAAAATTACGAGAATAAAGTTGTAAAATTACGAGAATAAAGTTGCAACGAGAATATTCATAAAATGACAAGAATAAAGTCGTAAAATTACCAGAATAAAGTTGCAACGAGTATATTCATAAAATGACAAGAATAAAGTCGTAAAATTACGAGAATAAAGTCGTAAAATTACGAAACTAAAGTTGCGACGAGAATATTCATAAAATGACAAGAATAAAGTTGTAAAATTACGAGAATAAAGTCGTAACATTACGAGACTAAAGTTGCAACGAGAATATTCATAAAATGACAAGAATAAAGTCGTAACATTACGAAAATAAAGTCGTAAAATTATGAAAGTAAAGTTGCAACGAGAATATTCATAAAATGACAAGAATAAAGTCGTAAAATTACGAGAATAAAGTCATCGTACAACAACATGTTTCAGAAAGAAAGCTTGGAGCTCCGCCCAGCAGATGACGGCCGACCAGCTCCACCAATCAGCAACCAGAGTCCACTTTGACATCCTGCCCAATAAATTTAAGATTTAGTTTACAAACATTTTGACCCCTTTCTGACTCCATACTTAAGGGCTCAGTTTCACAGAGAAAGTGGAGAGACTTTAAATGAGACCCGTGTTCCGGTTCGGTTCACTGTTAAAAAAACGGATGTTTGTTTTCCTACGTCACCCTCAGTGATCTGGTTTTAAACACACCGACCCGTGAGTTTGGATTAGTAATCCACAAACTTCACTGTCAAACTTCCTGATAAAATCTAAAACTTTGTGAGTTCAAAAAAAAAAAAAAAGCTGAAATGAAAATGTGAGAACCCTTAAGATCAGAACTCCAGGATGTTCCTCAGTCCACCTGTCTCCTGCAGGCTGTCCTCAGAGGACCGGTTGCTGTGCTTGGAGTGCAGAACCGACGCGTCGGACCTGACTGCTCACTACCCGACCTACGTCCACTGCCTGCTATGTCCCTACAGCAGCTGCTGCTCCCGGGCCTACGCCACCCACATGATCAGGTACGCCTCACAGAACACTACATCACATTACTACTGAATACTATACAGAATACTTCTCCAAATACTGGTCATAGTATTATAATGGTACTTAGTTTTAGAGGATAGTACACAACATATGACAGAGAACCACTGGTTCTGACTGGTTCTGATGTCTTTCAGCCACCATGTTCGCGGCTCCAAGGATAAGGTGCTCCCCGTGCAGAAGGCCCCTCCCCCCTGGTGAGGATCAGTCTGAACAATCAGCGATCTCCTCCTCGCTTCCCGACGTGTCGCTTTAACCTGATGCTTCTCCTCCTGCAGCGCCTTCCAGCTGCGCTGTGCAGAATGCGACTTCCATCCTCGCTCCGCTGATCAGATGGCCGAACATTTGCTGAGGAACCCGGAGCACGATGGCGCCATCTGCTGCTCCCGCAGTAAGCCTGCACACTGCACACAGACCTACAGCTGATCACCTGCAGAGTCCAGCTGCTGCAGCTGGATAAAAAAAAGTCCCGAACCGTTACCTTCTCAATCCTTTGGCGATTCCTCTATCAGCGTTTAGTTTTTTTCCCTCCATCCGGTCAGACCTGGAATTGTAGTTTGCAGCTGCGGCTGGACTACAAACCCATAATGCTGTGCTGCACAGAGGGGTCATTGCTGCTGCTCATGTTAACCAGCTGAGGTTCTGCAGCTCGGCCGTCTTAAAGCTTAGACGCCGTTGGAGGCGTGTAATTCCTGAGTTATGAAGTTTAGATCAGATTGTTGAAGCTGGAAAGCTTCCCGTCACGTCCCCCTCCCCAAACCGCAGCGTTTCCTGACGGCGTCCAGCTGTGACCAGTCAACCCATCTGACCCGGGGTCAGACTGCAGCCGGCTGGACGCCATGGTGACAGGGAGACGGAGGAGCAGTAAACAAACTGATGCTTTGGAAGCTAGCGTCATGCGGTTCGATCCAGTTCCGACCGGAAGACGTCCTCAGCCTGTTGGAACATCTGCAGGGAGGTTTTCTTTCACTCAGGACCTCATTCCAAGTGGAACTACATGGTTCTGGTTCTGTTGATAACAGCCTGGATTAAAACATCTGGGGTACTTTTTTTAGGAACCAGAGTAGAAAAGGAAGGTTTAAGTGCAGCTTGAAATCTGAAGCATTGTGGGAGTTTCCTGTTTTTATTGGAAGAGAGAAACATGTCAGAACGTTTATCAGAACAAATCTAAAACACAGAATCTGATACAAAACATCTGTACAGAGCAACCAGCGGTTATCTGGTTAATATGAGAGAAAGCCAGAGGAGAAGAACATCTGTTTTTAGCATTTTTGGTCGGAGCCACATTTCTACAGCAGAACCTGCAATGCTGGGAACGTTGTAAGATGACCCAGATGTCCAGAACCAGGTCCAGTTTTACCAAAGTAGACATAAAGGCAGAAGCAGTTTCCAGCTGTGGAGACTTAGACTTAAAGTTGCAGGAAAGTCATATTTAAATTTCAAATCATTCTGACTTAAACATATGTATATAAATGTACACTTTATCAGACCATATTGTCCCAAAAGATAGAGAATTTCTATTTATGAATAAATCCTGTCTTAAAATCTGTTTTTTTTTCCATTATCTTCTGCAGGCCAGTTAGTTCTACATCAGCCTGAACACCTAAATTCGGCCAATTATATATCAATGGTGTAGCGACTATCGACCACCTTTCAGTCGCTTATGGGTGCGTGGAATCTTGTACCCCATTTACACTACCCTTGAAAAACCATGCCAAGACCGGTCCGAGCTCAGTAACTGAGATAACTTATCGTGTTTAAATTTAAAGCAAACTGAACTGAACCGAGCTAGACACAACCGGGCCGAGCTAACTGCAGACCAGTTCCAGAGGTGGGCTCGGCTCGGTTTTTCCCTGGCTCGGTTCTCTGATAACAAGAGCGCATGAGCAGAAAGCGTCATCTCCGTTTGGCTGCACATCCCGATCCACACTCAATTCTAGTTGGCGGTAATGCCTGACCGTCCGCAAACACCGAAGTACAACAATAATAATCAAGCAAAACTTTCTGAATGTGACGGGCGCCGCCATTTTGATTTGCTTGATTCCCTCCTTCTTCGTCGTCGTCTTCTTGTGTTTTATGGCGGTTGGCAAACAACTTTTGGTGCATTACCGCCACCAACTGCTTGATTTCCTCCTTCAATACTGGCAGTAATACCGCAGATCGTCACTAGGAGGCGAGGAGTCGAGGAACCAAGATAGCGTGATGTGTAAAGGGTCGTCAGAACCGAGCTCGGCCTGGTTAACCGATCCGACCTTGGACCGGTCTTGGCATGGATCGGTTTTTTAAGGGTACTGTAAATGGGGTATTTGTATTAACGCAAATTATGTCCAGACCGGAAGATAAGTTATGGGCTTTCCCATTTATTGAAGTCAGTTTGTGCATGAACAAACTATCTGAGTGGTGGTCTTGTACATCAGTTGAGATGGACAGGTAGCTATGGAGAGTGGGGATATGACACAGGCTATTGTGTGCCAAAGAAAGCAGTAAAAACCGTATGACTTCCCGTCACCCAAACCCTCTCTGCCCTCTCACCTTTATAGCTTTCCCCTCCACACCACCAGTAGTGGCAGAGCAAAACATGTGTCAACCTAAACATCACCACCCAAACCAAAGAAACCAGAATCAAACCATATCTTAAACACCAACAACTATCAATGGCTCCTACAAACGGTCATCTGTCAATCTAAGTTTTTTCTGTCATAGCCTTCTACACCAAACCAAGCTTCTGCCGCCCTTGAGGCAGATGCTTAGATCGGCCCACAGATTAATCGGTCGGGCTCTATCAAGGGGTTTAAGGTGACACTAAATGAAGCTTCTCTCTTCTTCTCCTCAGATTATGTTGAGCCGGACATCCAGTTGTGCCTCAGTGCACAGCAGAGAGCTTCAGAGGAACCAAACCAGAACCAGGACTTGCCAGAACCATTCTGGAAGCTGGCAGATAGTTGGAAACCTGCAGATGAGAGCTACAGGACCCCTATCCTGCCCTTCACTCACCCCTGTGGACCGAACCAGTACCTGTCTAAGAACTGTGATGCCATCGACTTCTTCAACCTGCTCTTCCCATTTGAGCTCATCGAGCTAATAACCAAGGAGACCAACGCCTACGCCAGGGCCTGCCGTGTCTTAGGTTTCTCCCCACCAGACTGGGAGCCTGTCACCACCCACGAGATCAAAGGATTCATTGGTCTTGTGATTTTGATTGGGATCCATAACCTGCCTGACCTGTCCCACTACTGGTCCTTCAATCACTTCGACAACAGCTACACCTTCTACCGGGCCATGAGCATCAAACGCTTCCAGCAGATCGCCGCCCACATCCGGATGGGGAGCTTCATCAAGGAGGTCCAGGGATCTGGCCCCTCCAGCGACCCGCTGCATGTCTTCAGGCCCATGCTGAGCATCTTAAGCGGCGCCATGTGGGATGCCTACAAGCCGAACTGCTGCCTGGCCATAGACCGCGCTCTGCTGCCCAGTCTGGAGGATGAGGAATGCTCCAGCACCCAGGGGAACCAAAAAGCCAGCCTCAGGTGTGGCTGCTCTGTGATTCCAAGTCAGGCTACTGTCACCGCTTCCTGATCCAGATCGGGGAGAAGTCAGGCCAGGACCTGGGCTTCAGTGTAGTACCGGAGCTGGCTAAGGACTTGAACGACAAGCATCACCAGCTCTTTCTGGCCAACTCCCTCATATCCATCCCACTCATGCAGAAGCTGCTGGATCAGAACATCTATGTCTGCAGCTCATTTCCTCCACCAAACCCGATCCTGCCCAGAGAGCTGTGGAAGGACGGTGAGCTGGAGAAACCCGGAGACTTCCTACAGAGGCGGTGTGGCCCTTTTCTAGCTACCCGCTGGAGGGACACCAAAGAAATGGGCTGCCTTTCAACAAATGCAGCGGCAGGTCAGGCAGATGCCGTTTGGAGGAGATCCCCCACCAAGGCGGGGGCGCTGGTCACCATCGACCGCCCCATGGCCTTCCGCCTCTTGCAGGAAAACATGCGAGGGGTTGATATTTGCAAGCAGCTGCTGGCGTGCAACCCGCTGGGAGGGATCCCCCAGGACCGCCACTGGCGCAACCTGTTCTGGTTTCTTGTCAACCTGAGCATCGTCAACGCCTTCATCGTGCTGCGCGAGACACGCAAAGAAAACCCGCCAGCCTGGGTGCAGGACGGCCTGTTCAGCCAGGTCAACTTCCGCAAGCGCTTGGGCAACCAGCTTGCCAAGTGCGCCCAGAAGTACTTTGAGACCCTGGAGATGTCCAGCCCCCAAGGAGGGAAGAGCGATGGTCCACAGGAACCAGTCAAACAGCGTCACAGAATGGTGAAGATCAGCAGCATCTCCAAGAGGTGCAAGAACTGCAACATGAAGAACCTTCGCCATGAGAGCGTATACGGCTGCGTCATCTGCAAAGCCAACCTTTGCAAACAACCCAGCTGCTTCTGGGAGTTCCATGGCCTGTCGCCTCTCAACAAAGGTGAGTCTGGTGCCAGGTACTCAATCTGAAGGCCTTTTGTTTGGAACTGGTGGTAATGGACATCTGGTTTGTGTTCCTGCAGGATCAACAAAGCTTGGATTCCTCAAGGACAGGGTCAGGTAAGACTTGCTAAGTACTGGACTCTTCCTGCATTCATGTTGTGTGTAAAAATGTATCGTTTTCTTTAATCATTTAATATTCATCTCGCCACAGCGGAGTGATCGACGTTGACGAGGTCAAAGATAATGTAGATGAGACCATGGGCCCGGTTGAGGACCTGGACTTCTCTGATGATGAGAAACTGGACGATTCTGAGGACGACAGAGAGGCGGGAACACAAAGAAAGGACCTGTCAAGTGAAGGTCCGTGGTCTCAGCCGCCACCAGAGATGAACAGACAAATTCAGCCAGAACCGCCATTATCGGGGCCTGTGAAGCAAGATGATTCCCTTTCGGTCCGTCAGCTCAGGATCATCCTGTTTGCGCTCTGTGAAGGTCTGCGGCAGGCATCTAGAGTTTTCTCAACCGACCCACAACATATCCGGTCTTGGCTAAAGGAGGCCAGGAAGCGTTTGAAGCAGGCAGAGCTGGACGAGAAGCTTAATGCTGACGGCGCCGAGCGTATGGTGGCCTGGGCACTGTCCATGCGAGAGCAGCAGCTTCAAATCACTGAGAGCAACCTGTTCAACAAAGCCTCAATCCTTAAGAAGAAGAGGGTGTTCAGTGACTCCTTCCGCATCTCTTATGACTGGGCTGTGAGCTTCATGCTGCGACACCGGCTTGGTGTATGCAGGGTCGGCAGGGCCGCTTCTCTAGCCCGCGTTTCACCGCCTTCCCTGGAGCTCAAGGTCCGGTCTTTCATGGAGTTCACTCAGAAGGTGGTCCGGGTTAACCAGCTGACGGAGCGCTCAGTGGCTGCGATGGACGAACTAAGTCTCTTTGTGGACTTACGGTTAGTTCAGGACAAATCCAGATGGTCTGAGGCCCTGCAGCTCTCTGGCTCCACACCTCTGGTGACAGTTTACCTGACGATTCTGGCCGACGGCACCATCCTGCCGGCGCTGGTTCTGCCCAGCAAGCAGATTAAGGAGAAAGTCCTGCCTGACTTTATCCTGCTGGAGGCCGGTCCAAATGGTCTGACCGTAGAGGAGGCCTTGGATCTCTGGAACACCAAAGTTTGGCTGCGACATCTGTCCAATTCAAGTCACCCCAGAAAGTCCCTGCTGGTCCTGGACCGGCACCGGGAACACCTAGGAGACCAGTTTCTGACCTCCCTCAGCACGTCCCAGACTCTCCCGGCAGTGATACCTGCAGGCTGCTCCTTCTGTCTGCAGCCTCTAGATGTTTGCCTGAAGCCAGTCCTGCAGCGCTTCTTACTGTCCCGCTGGTTAGACTATACTGCCAGAAATCCTCCAGAACTGGAAGATACACCTTCTCACAAGCTTCAGGAAACCATGACTCAGCTGCTGCTGGACTGGCTGCTTGAAGCCCTAACACGCCTTCAGGAACTACAAGAGCTCTGGAGGACATCTTTTATCCTGACAAGCACCCTGCAGGCGTTATCTGGGGACGAAGCCGGTCAGAACCCAGAGGACAGACAGACAGAACTCTTTAGAATCCTGACTGAGATCCTACTGGGACCTGAAGAAAAAGAGACAGATCTATTAGAACTTCAGGAGCTGGAGGACAGAGATGACAAGATGGAGGTTGAAGAATCAGGGAAGGAAACAAAGGACGGGCAAGAGACTGAGGGTAAAGAGGTAGAAATGATGGAGACGGAGGACAATGGAGAGAAGACAGAGAAGGAAGAGAAGGCAACAAACTGTGAGGACACAAGGGAGGAGGAAAAGACAGCAAATGGGGACAGGGAAGACACGGAAAAGGAGACGGTAAAAGAGAACACTACAGACGATATGGAAGAAGAAGAAAGACCCAAAGACGGTATGGGGACAGAAAAAGAGGCAGACCAAGAGAACAAAGACATCGAGACTAAAGACAAGGAAGAAAGTCCTACCCCAGAGGAGGACAGTGAGGAGGAGGGAAAGACGAAGGAGGAGGACACGAAGGAGGCGAGCAAAGAAAGACGGGAGACCAGGATCGTGATCGGAGAGGAGGTCGGGGATGAGTGGAAGATCACAATGAAGACCCGGTGTGAAGGTGCCAGAGCCGAGGAAGAGGACAGCTGAGTGGATCCACTTCTGCTGGGACATTTGGACCTGCTGTACTGAGGCTAAAGAACTCCACCTTCTGTTCCTACGGTGGACTCAGAGTTCTGAACCACAACCATGGCGGATTACTGGGCTTTCTCTAAAACTGTTGTAACTTGATCTTAATCCAGTGGCCGGCAGAGGAAATGCATCTGCCTTCTGGTCGGTTGGACTTTTAATAATAAACTTGTATTTAAAAAAAAAATCATGTCTTTCTATACCTGATGACGTCACAGCCCTGCTTCCATGCCAGCCAATCAGGGTCCAGTTTCTAATGCCACGAAGCCGGGTTTTTTAGCATTGGTCTGCAATGAAAGGTTGATGATGATAATGTGTTCCTTCCCTGATGTTTACAGTCTAAGATGCTCTTAGACGGGTCCTCACACTGTGGGTCTAAGGGTGGGGGGGGGGTGCGGGGGTCAGTGGGTGAAAGAGTTTTCGTCTGTGTTACAGAGGATAAGATGAATCCTCTTCTTTGCCTTTAGCAGGATGAAGAGCGTTCCTACAACAGGAAGTGCTCTCAGTTTTCCTCTTTTGTCATAGTGAATTTTCGAAGCTGATTGGCTGGTTGGTTTAGCTTTACAGGCAGATGGTCCTGATAATACATAGACATTTGTTTTTTAATTGTAACATGTTTGTGAGTCCTGCTGCTGTGCAGAAACCTTCATATGATGTTCCTTTAGAAATAAAACAAGTGTTTTCAGAAACCTGTCTGAACTATGAGGTCTGTGAACTGAATGTGGTTTCATTATTGTCGCAAGCTAAGAATAGGTGTAAAGCGAATAAAAAACAAAACAATTTGCAATCTAGCTCTCACACTTCAGAGAGGGGTCAACTGGTCCCTGTCGCGGTAGGAGTAGGGGTCTGCCCTCACGCACTCTACTTAGAGGGGAAGTAGAAACAACACTTTGAGTCGAGTTCTTATTGGTTTGGTGTTATCAGTTCGGTCTGTGACTCGATTGAGAGTTTTTTCAACAGTTCAGCAGTCCGACGGCAGCGGGGAAAAAGCTTGTCGCGAGACCTTCCGCTGCAAAGCCTCTTCCCGGAGGGAGGCGGGGAAAACGGTCCGTGGCGAGGGGGCTGCAATGACATTGCGGGCTTGGGATGTGCGGTGCCAGGAAGAAACGTCTTTGAAGTTCAAATAGAAAGCACATACTCATAGTTTCTCATTTGATTGTATATACAAAATTAAATACATCACAAGTGAAAAAATGTCCAGCATTTTGTTGTTTACAGCATAAAGTAATTCACCAAGGTAGCAGACGACGCCAAATTCCTCATTCCGTTACGTGAGGCACTGTAGGATGCCATGACGTCAGTTTAGTCAGGAAGTAGTCATTTTACATAGCAAGTCAATATCACCTTTGTGATTGAGTTTTATCCTTTAATGAGGACGAATACAGAACAATCAGAGTCTTATTGGTATTATTAATGCTTGCTGGTTTAACCACTGCTGCTAAATGCCGTTCAAAGTTTATCTTTCAGAACATTTTCCAGATGGTGCGTTATTTTAACTAGTTTAAATCATAGTATAGCCTTTTGTTAGAAGAGGGGATCACAGGATTTGGATGGTTCTCTGGTGGCTGTGTTCGGTTTGGTTGGCAGCATGCTGCTGCGGCCTTGCGTGAAGGCTGGCGGTCAGTGTTGGAGCCTTGTGTCCGTGCTGGCAGTTCTGGATAGCAGGCTGTGCTCCGCTACTGTGCCTTGATGGGGAAATCCGATCACAGCGAGTTTTCATTCAAAGTTTTCTATCTGAGGAAAACCAGCTCATTGCATCGACTCATTGACTCTTCAGCAATCCCTCACACTAAGCATGCTTGTAGCGACAGTGGAGAGGAAAAACTCCCTTTGAACAGGAAGAAACCTCCAGCAGAACCAGGCTCAGTGTGAGCGGCCATCTGCTGAGGCCCACTGGGGTTCAAGGAGACAGAAGCAGACATAGAAAAAGAAGCATAGATACAAAAGGCAGCTGTAAACCAGCTCCACAGGCGGCCCCGTCCAGGAAACACACAGCCAGGCAGACAAGCTCCGAGCCAGCTCCCATGTCAGAGGATGAAGAGAGCACATCCAGTTAGTCACAGTCAGAGAAACAGGACTACAGTGGAAAACAGGCCAAGCTCCAACATCTAGAAACAAAGGTGTTGATGGCAGCAGCACAGCTGATATTTCTCTCCAGGATGGAGTCACAGCCAAACAGGAACAGACCAGATGAAGCTGCTATGAGAAAAAGCAGAGAGAGCAGAACGTTAGAGAAGCAGTAGAAATAAAAATGTCTGCACTGCTGTAAAAGCCAAAAGGATCTCTGTTGAGCATTTTAAAGAAATGCTGGTCAAACAATAAAATCATGATTTTAACAAAAGATCATCAGAGGAGAAAACTGAAATGTCCAGAGAGGATCTGCTTTTCATGAACATTGTTAATAACTCAACAAAACTCGTTAGGGGTCATTATCATATTAACTTACCTTTCAGGAGTGAAAGTCCTAGCTTGCCAAATAACATGTCTGTTGCAGAGCAGCACCTCAAGAGCCTCAGAAGGAAATTTGAAAAGGATGCTCAGTAGAAGGATGAATACACTGCATGTGTAAACAACATGCAACAACGACATGCTGATGCTGTTCCAGCAGATGAGCTACAGAAAGGTGATTCCTCATCATTGAGTGCATAATCCCACAAAAGGCAGATGGCCGCTCACACTGAGCCTGGTTCTGCTGGAGGTTTCTTCCTGTTCAAAGGGAGTTTTTCCTCTCCACTGTCGCTACAAGCATGCTTAGTGTGAGGGATTGCTGAAGAGTCGATGAGTCGATGCAATCAGCTGGTTTTCCTTAGATAGAAAACTTTGAATCAATCAGACTGGATGATCTGGTGAACTGGAAAGTGACCTGAGATGACATGATGTGAATTGGTCCTATAGAAATAAACTGAACTGAATGTTTCACTAGGTTTACGTCTCTGGAAAAAAATGTCAACTTTCTCAGTGGTAGCATGATGGTGACACCTCGGATGAAGAGAGCCAGCAGGGGCGTCTCGCCACCACCGGTCCTTCTCATCCGCATCCACCAGCCCCTAGGCAAGTGTCCCAAAACACTGGTTGTCTTCATCGATTGCCCGTCTTCGCGGTCACCATGCTGCTCAAGTGTTTCTACATCCTCTACTCTCTGGTGAGGTTCAACGACCGGAGCACTCGGGCGGCGAAGGGGCGCACCAGGGACAAGCTGGGGGACTTCAGGAAAATGTGGGACGCCTGTCCTTCCTGCTCCCTATGATGTACGTGCCAGAACTGGAGGTCACATGGACGAGCGTACGGTGCCCTCCAGAGGTGTCTTGTTGATGTTGTCTTCGTTGTTATTATCATTAATAATAACACTAACGTTATTTGCTTTGCACTCCCCACACCCACAGCTTCTCTCACGCTCCCACCCAACACCCCCCCGGGTGGTGCTCAAGGCCATGTGGGGGCTCGTCAAGCGCATCACGTGCAACAATTTTTTCAGCTCGCCGAGCGGCTCCTGCTCCCATCTGTGTCCTATCAGCGCGGCCTCCGCCTGGTGGGCACTGTTCGCCAGAACAAGTCCAAGCCTGGAGCCCCTCCTTACCCACTGCGCTAACACAGACTGCCCGGCCCTCGTCTCCTACGTCGGGGTGGTGGTGGACGCCTGGGGTCAGGGCTGCAAGCCTGAGGTGCTGCTCTGCTACAACGGCAACAAGGGGGGCGTCAACAAGCTCAACAATCTCCTAACCGCTGACAGCTGGATGATGCGCCGCTGGACAGCAGCTCTGTTTCATAACCTGCTCGACGTGTCTGTGTATAACGCCTTCGTCCACTGGCAGCAGACCCACCTTGAGCGCCTGCCTCGCTCTGTTCCAAGAGGGCCTCGGTGGGGCCCTGGTCTCCCCAATGGTGGAGCCACTGAACAAACAGAACAACCCAAAACATGTTTAAATTTTCTGTTTCTAAATAAAGTATAATTATATATACAAGCCAACCAAACAGCTTACCTAACGATCTGACTGACAGGACAGAAAGTGGGATTAAACAAAATGCAGCTCCGCCTTACAAACACAGCCTGACCATAGTTTACTTTAGGAAAACAGAGGGCATTCAAACCGGTACAAACAAACGAAGGCTGTACAGCAGCCAAAAGACCCAGAACAGCCGCTACTATTAATGGATCGGTGATTGGCTGGGAATCAATGACTCCAGGTAATCAGCTGGTTCTCCTTAGAAAACTTTTAACCAATCTGAATGATCTGATTAAACTGTCTCTATAAAGATCCTTGAAAAGTTAAATTGAAACCTGATTTTCAAAGTTTAGGAGAGCAGATCAGTGACACAGAGATCGCTCTGACCCGCTGATTATTGTCTGTAGAACAGAACCTAGAACTGTTCAAATCCATATGGTGAGAGAGGTTCCCTAACAGAACCACATACATTAACTTCTCACCCAGAAGCCTCTGACAATCCCTCATGATATGTTGATAAAAATCTAAACCAGGATGTTGTTTTTATTGTTCACTATTCAGTCAATAAATTAGTTTAGCATAAGGGTGTCATTTAACATTCTTTTAACACCTATATGTGCTTTGTACCAAATAATAATGATAAAGAAAATATTTGACTTCACAATTTACATTTAGTTTTACATTTTTATATCTGTACATACGGGGTTAATAAATAATAATGGAATAAAATGATGGTTCCACTTGAAGAGATTGGAAATAATGTGACCAAATGGACATGTTCGATCAAGGTGTGTCCACTAGTCAGCATCACAGGTCACTGTGCTGTTTGGTGACATGGTGTGTACCACACTCAACACGGACCAGAAGACGCAAAAGAGTTTTCTCAGGAGATTAGAAGGAAAATAATAGACCAGCATGTTGAAGGTAAAGACTATCAGACCATCTCCAAGCAGCTCGATGTTCCTGTGACTCCATCTGAACATATTATTTAGGAATTTAGGATCCATGGACTGTAGCCTGCCTCCCTGGAGGAAAACCAACGACAAATCAAAGAGACGGATAATAGGAATGGAAACAAAAGAACCCAGAAAAACTAAAGAGAATAAAGATAAACTTCAAGCTGAAGGAACATCAGTGTCTGATCGCAGCATCCACCATTGTTTGAGCAAAAAAAATGACCTAATGAGAGACGACCAAGGAGGAACCATTGATGGAAACAAATCATGAAAAGTAAAACTGGAATTAACTAAACTACATGTTGACAAACAGAGAAACATCAGCTCTATGTTCAAGAAAAGATCACCGTCCCTGCTGTGAAACACGGAGGAGGCTGTGTTATGCTCTGGGCTGATTTGCTTCATCTGAATCTACACTGCAAAAACAAGCTAGAAATAAGTACAAATTTCTTAAATTAAGTGTATTCACCCTTAATTTGAGTAGGTAAATTAGATAGTTTGCCAATGGAATGAGTATTTTTACTCTTAAAATAAGATAATTAGATAATATGCACTTGAAATAAGAGAATTCAACTGTGTTTTCTTATTTTAAGTGTAAATTGTCTTGTTCCATTGGCAGAATGTATGTTTTTACCTACCCAATGCAAGAACAAATGCACTTATTTTAAGAAAAAATTACTTATCTAGATTTAGATTTTTTTGCAGCGTATGCAGGGTCCGATGAAATCTCCAGACTATCAGGGATCGTAGAGAGAAACGTGCTGCAGTGTCGGAAAGCTTGGTCTCAGCAGCAGCTCCTGGGTTTTCAACAGGATCAGGAGCCGAAACACCCAGACAGAAACAGCCGACAACAGCTGAGAGGAAAACATTGGACTGTTCTGAAGGGGCCCCTAGGAGCCCCGACCTCAATCCTACTGAGCATCTTTGGAAGGAGCAGAAACAGGCTGAGACGCTTGGAGCAGTTTGCTGATGAGGAGCAGAGGTCTGACTGACAGGAACAGGAACCATTGATTGCAGAAAGCTAATTATTAAGCGAAGGGAATCATCATTTCATTCCAGGAGAGTTTATGAGTTTAGTTTTTCAAATAATTCTACTAAAGCCTGATTTAAAAGAAATGTCTGGATTTATTTTCTGCATTTTATTAGAATTTTATTAATTACTTTTGTCAGATTGAGGCCCCACTGGCCCCCCTTGGGGCGGCCCTGACTTTGAAAAGCACCGTTTAGCAGATTATTGACTACAGGGAACATGCAGAAAAATCAGCCTGGTTCCGGCCGCCTCAGCTGTTTACTGCTGTGCTAAAACAGAACTTCGGACCTCAGTTTGATCTGATGTTCTTCCAGTCACTTTCAACATCCATCTTCAGGAACAATATAAGAATAAGCAGCAGCCTTTATGACTAAGACATATGAAACACTATCTGTTATAATATTTAACAGCACGTAACCTCATTAATGTTAATAGTTAACTTGTATTTTTTAAATAAATATTCCTGAACCAAATTTAAGCATCAGGGGATCAAATACACCTATTTTATGATTATTATGTTTGAAACATAACATAACAATTTTAAAAAATGTCCTACTGTAAATGTACTTTTATAAAAATAAATAAATACCTGTAGTACTTTGATGCAAATACTTCCACACAAGATAAATGTGTTTTAGCTGTAATGCAGGAAGAATAACTAAGAGAACAGATTTTAAAAGGAAACAGAGTTGAATAAAGGAAAATCATAATGGTAACCAGGGGCGGATTTATCATTAGGAAATACTAGGCAGGTGCCTAGGGCCCCAAGTTCCTGGGGGCCCCATAAAACTCTGTTTACATGTATGGTTAATACAACTATTACTTATTTGTGCACATCAGAGATGGCAAAAGTACTCACTTTCCGTACTTGAGTAAAAGTACAGATACTTTTGTTAAAAAATACTCTGGTAAAAGTGGAAGTACTGATTAAACTTCTTTACTCAAGTAAAAGTAACAAAGTACAGGCTTGTAAATTTACTTAAAGTCTAAAAGTAAAAGTAGAAACCACTTTTTTCATGCCGTTGCCTACATTTTAAATGGATGTCTGCCAATAGGACTAGATCTCCGTTGTGTTCATTTTCAATCATCTCGTCGTCCATGCTACTATGCTAACGCCACCGCCACCAAGCTGCAATGATTTGCCGCCAATGAATACCGCCGAATCTGTCGATTCATCTTGTAGTGGTGCGTCAAATGCAACGTAGATTCCCATCCAATTAGATTGAATTTGGTATTGATGACGTGAAAAATAATAACGGTAACTCCATTGAAATGATTCAAAACTAAAGTAACGAGCCAATTTTTTAAAATGTAAGGAGTAGAAAGTACAGATATTTGTGTAAAAATGTAAGGAGCAGAAGTAAAAAGTCGCCATAAAAATAAGTAGTAAAGTAAAGTAAAAATATCAGAAAAATCTACTTAAGTACAGTAACGAAGTATTTGTACTTCGTTACTTCCCATCTCAGGTGCACATTAATTATGTTTTTGATAAAAATCCTTTGGCTAAAATGCCATCAGAACGCTGATAATATTAAGTGTGTCTCAGCCCCCCCCTTCAGTGTCCACCATATTGGATCAGTCCATTTGCTGCACATGTTCAGAAAGGTCCAAACAGACAGCAGCAAACCATTTGAAAACAAACCATGCAAAGAGCAGTGTTGCCAACTTAGCGCTTTAGTCGCTATATTTAGCCACTTTTCAGACCCCTCTAGCACTTTGATTTCTAAAAAGCTCCTAGCGCCAAATCTAGAGACTTTTTTCTGCTACTGGAGACTTTGGAGACAACATCTAAAAGCAGCGAACTCTGCTCTCCAGAGCGAGTAGATTGGTAACCCCGCCTCCTGCTCTCCTCTATCTTGTCTGCTGTCATGATTCATGCAGCTATTATTTCATCCAAATGAAAAATGGAGAACAGATAAGCAGATCATGGCTTGTCTACAGTGAAAAGAAGGACTGGGTTATTTACTTTGGCCTTTTTGGAAACACAGGAAGGAGCAATCAGCTAAGTGAGCTTAGTGCTTGGAAAAATCTTTCATTCCTTTAGAGACAGTATGAAAAGTCAGCTGAGTACAAAACATGGAGAGGAAAACAAGAAGAAAAGGGACAAGAAGAGAGGGACACAACCTAGAACAGATAATGGAGGTCTATTCTATTAACATTTCTACATCTGGAGAAGGGCTCTGTTTGATGTGTTGTCTTCTCCATTCAGAGGGGCCCATGCCTGTCTTTGCATAGGGCCCCACATTTCCTAAATCCATCCCTGATGTCAACAACATCCTCAAAGTCTGCAGATCTTCAACATATTAATCCTGCTTTTCAGGCGAAATCATTTCTGAGAACATTAAACTTTTATCCTATTTGTTGCTTCTGCTTTTTAGTCTAAAGCTGCTTCAGCTGCAATGACTGCATGTGAGGTAATGCCTCATTCCTCTACGGTAGTAAAGAACCCAAAGGTTCATTCTGTTCTGTTCCCTCAGCCGCGCCCAGCTGGACAGGAGGCCAGCCAGAGTGAAGGAGCCCCAACCCCCAAATATCACGGGGGGAAAAAGTACAGATGAGGTCCTGAAAAAAACCCTAAAAGCATTTTTATATCTCTGAGCATCGTCACACCGTCTCTTTCTTCTTTTTACGGCCATAGAATCTTGATGCCTTTTTCCAAAAACGTGAGAGTTTGAACAGACCACTGGGAAGTGGGGGAGGGGGGGGGGGGGCACCAAGGGAGAAAAGTCTCCCTTTTTTGCTTTATTTGCTTATTTATTTGGGGGGGAAAAAAACTTTTTTCTTATCAACAAAAAACCCCTTAAGTTTTTTTTATCAAGCCTGTTTAGTTTTGCCCCCTCCCCACACTTGATGCCCTGTATGCAGTCGGGGGGGCGGAGCCCCGGTGCCGAGTCAGGATGATGAAGCACTTATAGATCCAGGAGGACCGAGTTTAGGCCCTAAAGGCCTTTATATGAAGCTGCTGCAGAAAACAGAAATACCAGATCTCTGACTGCAAGTTCCGACATGTTCTCTATATTCTTGTAGACCTAAAGTCATTTAATGTCTGATAGTTGGAGCCACCAAGCCTGTGGCCCCTGAGGGCCTGATGCTGCAGCAGCTTGGTTTAAAAGAATCTCCAGTGTGAACTAACAGAAAGCTGGAGGGTTAACAGCCTCTTTGCCCCACCTCTGTCCTCTGATTGGCTGTTTCCTGATACACTATAGGACCCCCCCTCCTGCGGGCCCTTCATTATGGACCCAAACTTCGCTGAATCCAGGACAGCAGCTTCAGACTGACCCTGCAGCTCCAACATGGGTAAGTGAGTCTTTGTTTGCTGTGCAGCCGTGCGTCGCTCTCTTCTCCCTGCCTGCTGCATCCTGCAGCTCCAACCTGCTGACAGCTGTCACTCTGAGGGCCAATTTCTCCTGATTCTTTTACCCAGATCTCCTGACTCAGTTAAACAAAAACTGCTGCTCATTTAATCAGGAGCCCTCCAGCTGTCAAATATCTGCATGTGGAAGAAGGAATCTCTGATCTGCACTGAACAGGAGCAGAGATTAAACCGGATTTCTCAGCGTTTACTGATTATAAACATTCCTGGGTTCATTGTTCTGGTTGAGTTGAGCTGTTGTAAAAACAGGAGGTGTATCAGCTTTGATTGGCAGCAGGTGGGTGTGTGCGTGGTCCTCCCTGCTCTGGGATTCAGAGCAGCAACAGAGAGTTTGGAGGATTTTTCCAGTTTCTGTGCAGGGCCAAGGAATGCCTGGCTCTGTGTGGACTTTGGACGGATTCCATAAAGACAAACCGGGCTGGGGGGGGGTGTTATATAAACCTCTCTGTCAAGGTCAGGTCAGCTGAGTCCTGCAGAAACTGGTTCTGGTTCTGGTCTGATCTGGACTGGGATCTGCCGCTGGTTGTTTAGTAACACCTTAGGTGGTTTCAGCTGCGGCGCCTGGGGGCCAAACTGATAGGGACTAATCCTGAGGTCATTTATTGCATTTTGAATTTTGTTTAGTCTCATTTCTTTCCTTTTTCAAGAGTCCCTTTGTGACTTGAGAGGCAGTTTTAAATCAAATCTATTATTATTATTATTATTATTATTATTAAGTTAAAACCACATGATTTCTCATGTGGTTCTACCAGCCAGTGGAGACGGGTTCTTATCCCAAGCAGCTCTCTGGAGATTACTACCTTTGGACAATGAGAAACCTTTAGAGGAAGTTTTAGTTTAGGGGTCTTTAACCTTTAAACCCCAAAACTCATGTAGTCCTGATAGAAGCCAACGTTCTTAGCACCAAATTTTAAATGATAAAACTTATTATTGTGTTTCAAATCAGTTTATTTCTATAGCGCCGATTCACAACACAGGTCATCTAAAGGCACTTTACAGATCATCCAATCATTGATTCAAAGTTTTCTTTTTAAGGAAAAACAGTTGACTTCATTGACTCTTCAGCAATCACTCACACTAAGCATGCTTGTAGCGACAGTGGAGAGGAAAAACTCCCTTTGAACAGGAAGAAACCTCCAGCAGAACCAGGCTCAGTGTGAGCGGCCATCTGCTGAGGCCCACTGGGGTTCAAGGAGACAGAAGCAGACATAGAAAAAGAAGCATAGATACAAAAGGCAACTGTCAACCAGCTCCACAGGCGGCCCTGTTTAACACCTTAACGCATCCATTTTGTTTAGAAACATCAGCGCTCCAACTAGTTATCTCTGGTGCGAGCCAACAGAATTGAGAAAGACTTCTGGATGTGGTGAAATATCTGCAAAAGGAAATCTGTTGCTATTTATTCATATTTTAAGGTTTAGAAATGAGGGAAAAAGAGCATAAAATACTTTAATCTGAGAAATTCACATGAAGAGAAAAGACAATTAGGAGAAATTTATTGGTAGAATCAGACCTCGGCAGGAAACATGGCGCTGAATTTTGATAGATTTGCATGAACAGGAGTAAAGAACAGGTCTGCCCTGGTCTGAAACTGCTGGTGGAGTGGAGATAGATGGAGTTGGTCAGTCTGTAGACTGCTGGTTGGAGAGACGGTCTGCTGAGCTTTATGGGGAGATCCAGTGGACTGCGTGAGCTGATACTAGAGCTTCACTCAGGGACCTGGAAGATGGAAGTCCAGTTGGATAACACAGGTTGAGAGAACCTGTCCATCATGAGCAAGCATGAAGCGACAGTGGAGAGAAAAAAACTCCCTGTTGGGAAGAAACCTCTGGCAGAACCAGGCTCAACATGGCGGTCTTCTGCCGGACCGGTTTAGAGGAGACAGGGAACGCAGTAAGAGTCTGGGAGGAATGACGCTCTGATGAAGCTTTAGCTACGATGGTGGAGGAGGGGCTGGAGGGGGGAGGAAACGCTGTCATCTGAATGACGTCACAGCGCATCGCCGCCGCGCACAGGAGCAGACGGTGCAGATCGGAGGCCTTTTAAGATGAACTTTTGATGGTTCAAAGCTGATTGGCTGTTTCACAGGTGGTTAAGGAAAGCAATCAGTTTCTAGGCTCCATATTGTATTTCTTCTAGGACGAATACAATGTTTTTCATCTAGAATGAATAAAATATTTACAATAGATCTAACAAATAACATTTTATTTGTTCTTTTTATCACTGTTGGTAAAAGTTTAACTCATATTCTTTTAAAAACCTGCTAAACTTCCAAAACAGGCTTATGTTATCATCCCATTTAAAACCATTAGGAGCCATGATGGAGGGTCCAAAAAGCCAGTTGTGGCGTCAGACTCTTGTTCTGGTTGATCTTTTGTAGCAAGCTAATAATTTGTTGCTCTTTATTTAACAGAAGTTAAGTTCAGATGGATACACTTTTTTTCTTTTTGGTTTTTACAGCACTAGTGGCTCATTTTTTCGACATTAGGTCGACAGGAAAGGGGATATGAGAGAGGAGGAGAGACATGCGGCAAAGGACCACAGGCCGGATTCGAACCTGGGTCGGCCACGTCAAGGACTGAAGGCCTCTGTACATGAATCGTGCGCTCTAACCAGTGCCATACCTGCACGACCAGATGGACACACTTCTGTGAAAATAAAAATGAAAAGAAGGAAAAGTAAATCCTGAGCAGCAGGGCTCAGAATATGAAGGTTTGGTTCAGATGTAATAGAGATGAGTCGGGTTAAAGATGCACAGTTGTGTTATTTGACCATCCTAAAAAGACCATTTTATACTATGGAGACACTATATAGGGTTGCTTACAAGTCTTTACCATTCCGCCATCAGCACCACTGCGCTCTGTATTCATCTGTCAACTGGCCTCCCTTCACAATCGATGCAAAGTTCATTTGTTCATCTTTATTTACGAGCCCTTCTCTGCCGTTCACCACCTTATTTAGATCAGAGATGGGAAGTAACGAAGTACAAATACTTCGTTACTGTACTCAAGTAGATTTTTCTGATATTTTTACTTTACTACTTATTTTTATGGCGACTTTTTACTTCTACTCCTTACATTTTTACACAAATATCTGTACTTTCTACTCCTTACATTTTAAAAAATTGGCTCGTTACTTTAGTTTTGAATCATTTCAATGGAGTTACCGTTATTATTTTTCACGTCATCAATACCAAATTCAATCTAATTGGATGGGAATCTACGTTGCATTTGACGCACCACTACAAGATGAATCGACAGATTCGGCGGTATTCATTGGCGGCAAATCATTGCAGCTTGGTGGCGGCGGCGTTAGCATAGTAGCATGGACGACGAGATGATTGAAAATGAACACAACGGAGATCTAGTCCTATTGGCAGACATCCATTTAAAATGTAGGCAACGGCATGAAAAAAGTGGTTTCTACTTTTACTTTTAGACTTTAAGTAAATTTACAAGCTTGTACTTTGTTACTTTTACTTGAGTAAAGAAGTTTAATCAGTACTTCCACTTTTACCAGAGTATTTTTTAACACAAGTATCTGTACTTTTACTCAAGTACGGAAAGTGAGTACTTTAGCCATCTCTGATTTAGATCACCTGCTGCAGCCAAACCCGTCACTTCACACACCTGCTCCTCACTTCATTTATAATTACTTATTCCCCAAACCAGCACTACTTTTGGTTTTTTTTCTTTTCAATCTGCTGCCGCTCGTGACTGGAAGACTCTGCAAAATATTCTTAAACTGGATAGACTCATTTCAATTTCATTCTTCAAAACAATTATATAATCCTTGCTCACAGACACTTGCAGCTGCTTCCCTACATTCATTTTTTGGTTGTTTGTTGTGTTTTAATAGTATTTTCTGAATGTGTTACTAATCTATTGTATTTAATTTAGCCCTACTTCCCTTTTCCTAAGTGGTTACTGCATTTGTCAGGCCGCCATTGTGAATAAGAACTTGTTCTTAATGACCCACCTGTAAAAATGAAGGAATAATAAACCAAAAACCAACAGAAAATGGCCTGGTTAAAACACCAACTGATATTAATAAAAAAAAACAATCTACAGCAACAGAGTCTTCCCTAAAGCCTCCTATCTGAGCATAAAGGAGAAAGAGAAAACAGCATTAAGGTTGGAAATATTTCAATGAAATTAAAGCAAATCTAATGCATTTAAATGTGTTGGTTTGATCTGATGATCTAAGGAAATTTCCCCTCCCCCACCTGTTTATTTATATGAATCACTCTATCATCCCATCTATTTATAATACTGCCTCCATGTTGACTGTTAAGACTGAGAATAATATTTTTTATCACTAGTATCAGCATCACTAAAGATGTTTATTCAAATATCCATCAACGTAGTATCTTAACGCCTTTGCAGCTTTAGCTCCGCCCCTTTTCAAGTCTGATCTTTGGAATCAAATATTCTCTTGTATTTTTTTTAAACCGGATCTTAGACTTTTTTTGCATTTTTTTCACAACTTTGCTAGGAGTCGCTAACTAGCTTAGCTCATTTGCACATGCTCAGTATCGTAATGGATTTGTTTACTAAAAACTGATCAAAAACGCAAAAAAGCATAAAACAAAAATGACAAATAATGCTCTAGCAGGATGTGTTAACTAACAGAAAAAAACTCACATGCAACCAGAGCGGGCTTCTGTCGCATAAAACAGATGATAGAAAATACTTCGGCTTTATAACAGATGATAGTTTATGAAAAGATTTATTAACCAAAATAAAAAAAACGGAAGCCCTGAAACAGAGCCTTGCAGAACGCCTCAGGTTATCCTGGTGAATCTTGGCAGAACTGAGCCTGGTTCTGCTGGAGGTTTCTTCCTGTTCAAAGGGAGTTTTTCCTCTCCACTGTCGCTACAAGCATGTTTAGTGTGAGGGATTGCTGAAGAGTCAATGAGTCGATGCAATCAGCTGGTCAAATTGACTGTATGAACTTGTTGAATTCACAAAGTGGAGAGAAACGAGAAGCATTCCAATGGTTTCCCTCCTGATGCGACTGCGCTGACTCTGGATCTGTTCGTTTTTTCAGCCAAGTGTTCGGGATGTGGACCAGGATACCGCACCCCGCTGGACGCCATGAAGGGTGAGTCCGACCCCACAGAGGTCCAGCAGCTTCAGCAGCTTGTAGATTCAGGTCCAGAACCCTAACAGAGACAGAGTTCATGAGAAGCTTCTGGATCCGGCTCCATGGGAACACATTCCCTAAGCAGAACCTTGGGTCTGGTCCACTGTGTGGATTAGAGAAGCAGGGAAACACCAAGTTTGATCATTTGCATAAAACTGTGACAATAGTTTTGTCCTAAAATTAACCTTCAGGAAGAAAGATGGTGGGGATTTCAAAATAAAAGTTACCAGCCATCAGGATGGGCACCCTCTGCCACAGGATTTCACAATAAAACAAACATATATCTGTATCCATATATTTTCTGACTGAAGGTCCACGAGAGGAGATCGTCTATCTGCCCTGCATCTACCGCACCACCGACATCCAGAAACCCGACTATCTGGCCACAGTCGACGTCAACCCTAAGTCCTCCACCTACTGTCAGGTAGAACAAACCCTGGATCAAGTTCTGCTGGACCTGTTTCTGTGTTCCATCTTTCTAAATTCAGCCTTTGTTTTCCTCTCAGCTCTCTGTTGCTTCAGTTTCCTTCTCAGATGTCTCACCAACTCTTCCTCACCTCCTTCACACTCTCCCAGGTTCCTGTTGGTTCTTTTATCAGTTCCAGAGCTCTGGGAACATGTTCCTGAATTCCTTAATGAGTTCCATCTGTGCAGGTGATCCACCGGCTGCCGATGCCCAACCTGAACGACGAACTGCATCACTCCGGCTGGAACGCCTGCAGCAGCTGCTTTGGCGATCCCTCCAAGACCCGAAACCGCCTGATCCTGCCGTCTCTGATATCCTCCAGGATTTACGTGATCGACATCGGAACCGATCCCAGAGCCCCAAAGATCCATAAGGTCTGCATCTATCCAACATGGAGATAGCGAGCAGGGAACATGGAGATAGCGAGCAGAGAACTTGGAGATAGCGAGCAGAGAACTTGGAGATAGCGAGCAGAGAACAAGGAGATAACAAGCAGGGAACATGGAGATAGCGAGCAGGGAACATGGAGATGGCGAGCAGGGAACATGGAGATAGCGAGCAGGGAACATGGAGATGGCGAGCAGGGAACATGGAGATGGCGAGCAGGGAACATGGAGATAGCGAGCAGGGAACATGGAGATAGCGAGCAGAGAACTTGGAGATAGCGAGCAGAGAACAAGGAGATAACAAGCAGGGAACATGGAGATGGCGAGCAGGGAACATGGAGATGGCGAGCAGGGAACATGGAGATGGCGAGCAGGGAACATGGAGATGGCGAGCAGGGAACATGGAGATGGCGAGCAGGGAACATGGAGATGGCGAGCAGGGAACATGGAGATGGCGAGCAGGGAACATGGAGATAGCGAGCAGGGAACATGGAGATAGCGAGCAGGGAACATGGAGATAGCGAGCAGGGAACATGGAGATAGCGAGCAGGGAACATGGAGATGGCGAGCAGGGAACATGGAGATAGCGAGCAGGGAACATGGAGATGATTTGATTTTCTTCCCTTTAAGTATTTGTGTTGCCTTTATGCCACTTTCTTTTCATTGGCGCTTTAAATCGTTGTGTTGCAGAAATGTGCTACATAGATAGACTTGCCTAAACATAGTTCAGGGTAAATCTGGCCAGACCGCCACAGACATGCAGAACCAGAGGCAGCTGAGATGTTGTTGATAAAACATTGACTTAGAGATTATTGTTCAAAGAGGATCAACATTCTTTTCTTATCGGACCTAATCTGAACCTCTGCCAGGTACAAACACAGCAGAACCTTTGGAGGAGGCTCCCAGAGTCTGTGGTACCATGGAGGTTCAGAGATACTGGGTTCTACTGAGGAGGTTCCTAGATGTTTAGAGCAGACTGACGTGTTCCTGTGTGCTTCCTGTCCTCAGATGGTGGAGCCCGTTGATCTGTACTGGAAGTGCGGCCTGGCCAACCCCCACACCAGTCACTGCCTGGGCAGCGGTCAGATCATGATCAGCTGCATGGGAGAGCCAGCAGGGGGCGGTAAAGGTAAGAACTGGATCAGTAGGCGGGTCAGAACCAGAGAGACCCAGACTGTTTCTGCTGGGCTGAGAACATGACTGCTGCTGCTGCAGGTGGGTTCATTCTGCTGGACGGTGAGACGTTTGAGGTGATCGGTAACTGGGAGCATCCAGGCGAGGCGGCCCCATTCGGCTATGACTTCTGGTACCAGCCACGCCACAATGTGATGATCAGCACCGAGTGGGGAGCGCCTAAAGCTCTGGTCAACGGCTTCAACCCCGCTCATGTAAAGGAAGGTCAGTGCTCGCCACTTCCTGGTGTCCACCTAGTGCTCCCAGTAGGATCCAGACTGGGAAAACAGACCAGAAGAGTCCTTCTTAGAACTTTAGTTGTTTTTGTCTCCCACTTTGAGTCCAGTTTGGGCAGAACCAGGCTCCTAAACTTCCTATGAGACCACAGTAAGAACCTGACCACTGACTAGAGCTGTCATGTCCTCTGATTGTGTGTTCCAGGTCACTACGGCTCGGCCCTCCATGTCTGGGACTGGACCACCCACAGGAAGCTGCAGACTCTGGAACTGGGAGAGGATGGTGGCATTCCTCTGGAGGTCCGATTCCTCCATGATCCAAACGCCACTGAGGGCTACGTGGGATGCGCCCTCCGGGGATGCGTCTTCAGGTTCTTCAGGACCCCGGTCAGAACCAAACGAGGGTTGACTGTAGTTTGGGTTGAGTTGTCTCCATGGGAGTCCTTGCTCCTCTGGTCATGTCCAAATGTCTCAGCAGAACTAACTGATTCTGTTGTGTCTGTTTATTTGCTGATGATTCTCTTGTTTCCTCAGAAAGGAGACTGGGCGGCAGAGAAGGTGATCAGCGTTCCCAGCAAGAAGGTGGAGGGATGGATGATGCCTGAGATGCCAAGTGGGTCTGAAGGTCCACCTGAGGTTGTTTCCTGTTTGTCTGCGAAGCTATACCTCACCTGTCTGTCTGCAGGCCTCATCACCGACATCCTGCTCTCTCTGGACGACCGCTTCCTCTACTTCAGTAATTGGCTGCACGGTGACATAAGACAGTATGACATCACAGACCGCAGGAATCCGCGATTGGTTGGCCAGGTCGGATGACATCACAGCTGTCTGCTGCTGATGGCGAAGAGGTGAGACCTCAGAAAGAGGACGCTTACCTGTCTGTCTGTTCCAGGTGTTCCTGGGAGGAAGCATCATCAGAGACAGACCGGTCAAAGTTCTGGAGGACCAAGAAAAACAGGAGCAGCCCCCCCCACGCTTCATCAAGGTATACAGAGGTGCTACCAGCGATGGTTTGAGCCCCCAGTCTCACTCCCAGCTGACTCTGTCTCCCGTCTGTCTCTGTCCCTTACGTCTATCTCTGTCCCTTGTGTCTGTCCCTACCTTCTGTCTCCCTCTGTCTCCGTCCTTCTCGCCTTTCTCCATCCCTAATGTCTGTCTCTGTCCCTCCCTTCTGTCTCTGTCCCTCCCGCCTTTCTCCATCCCTTACATTTGTCTCTGTCCCTTGTGTCTGTCCCTCCCTTCTGTCTCCCTCTGTCTCTGTCCCTCCCGTATGTCTCTGTCCCTTGTGTCATTTTGTCCCTCCCGTATGTCTCTGTCCCTTGTATCATTCTTTCTCTCCCGTCTGTCTCTGTCCCTACCTTCTGTCTCCCTCTGTCTCCGTCCTTCTCGCCTTTCTCCATCCCTAATGTCTGTCTCTGTCCCTCCCTTCTGTCTCTGTCCCTCCCGCCTTTCTCCATCCCTTACATTTGTCTCTGTCCCTTGTGTCTGTCCCTCCCTTCTGTCTCCCTCTGTCTCTGTCCCTCCCGTATGTCTCTGTCCCTTGTGTCATTTTGTCCCTCCCGTATGTCTCTGTCCCTTGTATCATTCTTTCTCTCCCGTCTGTCTCTGTCCCTACCTTCTGTCTCCGTCCTTCCCGCCTTTCTCCATCCCTAACGTCTGTCTCTGTCCCTCCCGTATGTCTCTGTCCCTTGTCTCATTCTGTCTCTCCCGTCTGTCTCCATCCCTTGTGTCTGTCCCTCCCTTCTGTCTCTGTCCCTCCCATGTGTCTCCCTCTGTCTCTGTCCCTCCCATCTGTCTCTCAGGGAAAGCGTATCCCTGGAGGTCCTCAGATGCTGCAGCTCAGTCTGGATGGACGGAGACTTTATGTGACGACGTCCCTGTTCAGCGGCTGGGACAAACATTTTTACCCCGACATGCTGAGGTACCGACCCCCCGTCCCAGCAGAAGTTGGTGTCTGGTGAGTCCAGCACAGCTGGGAGGAGCCCAGAACCTGACCCCAGTCCTGCTTTGTCTTTCAGCGAGGGCTCTGTGATGATGCAGATCGATGTGGACACTGATAAAGGCAGTCTGTCTGTGAACGAGAACTTCCTGGTGGACTTTGGGAAGGAGCCCGACGGTCCGGCGCTGGCCCATGAGCTCCGGTACCCGGGAGGAGACTGCACCTCCGACATCTGGATCTGAAGCTCCGACTGGATCTGCTCTGTTTCTGACCAAAATAAAAGCTTTTGTCTCTCAGAATTTTTTTATCTTCTGATGATTTTCACACATTTGAGTAACAATTAAATCCCAGGAGGTCTGGACCAGTTCTGGACCATCTCCTCTTAGATCTCAGGGAATTATTTTCCAGTCAGACAGAACCCCCTAAAGTTTCAGGTTCTACCTTAGAATAAAAGAACAACCAACTGTAGCAGAAAGAGGATTTTAATAAAGACAAAATATCTGAAGCTGATAAAAAACTTTTATTCAGATTGAATGAAGCCAAAAACTGATGAAATCTCAACAGAAGAAGACATGAGCAGGAGAAGCTATCAGCCCTCAGAACTCTGAACATTTATGAGAACCCATCCGATCCCCCTGTAGAACCTTCAGCAGAATGAAAGGTTCTGGCAAAGATCTCAGCAACGTTCAGATGGAAGCAGCATCCATCAGAGGAGGTCCCAGCCCCGACAGTCCTTTTTACGGGCCAGTTCTGGATTCTTACACCTGTTGCTCCTCTCCTTGGTTCTGTGTCGGGGTCTCAGCTGAAGCTGCTGCTCATCCAGCTCCCGCTGCGCTGCTGCAGCGGCTGCTTGAACTTCTTTTTCCGTCTCGTCGTCCTGCAGGGACAGCAGCTGGACGTTGGTGCTCAGGTCCTTCAGACTCTGCTGCTGACGGGTCGCCGCACCTTGGCCCTTCTGACCCTGGTGCTGGAGGACCATGGAGAGCATGGAGCAGTACAGCTTCTCACTGGACCCGTCACCCTTCAGGAAGGTCTTCGGTTTTCCACCGGACCTCATGCTGTGGAGCAGCTGGTGGACCAGTTTCCCCTGGTACAACCTGATGCAAAAACACCAGCTTAGATCACAAACCTTCAGAACCTTCATTCTAATCAGTTAAATAATTAAGTTCAGAGCTGATTGCAGTCATATATGGAGGATGAGAAGCATCACAGCGCACCGCGTTTATCTGCATATAACTTTAAAAATGACAGACGGTCAAAGAGCTGCACAATACGGAAAAGGATTAGGGCCACTGAAAAAAAAAAAATTAACTGATTTTTACATTTTATTTCAGTTTAACATAGGAAAAAAAGTCAGAATTCTGACTTTTTTCTCAGAATTCAGACTGAATTCTGACAATAAAAAAAGTCAGAATTCTGAGATTAAAGTCAGAATTCAGCAAAAATAAGTTCAGACCAACACCTTCAATAAATGTGTTTAAAGACAGGATGTGTTTTGTTCTAAATGAGATTTAAAAAGGTTGATATCATTATATACCAGAGGAAATGCTCCACATGCCAGAGAAAAATGGAAAATCCAAACTTAAAATAATTTAATTCCTAAAACTTGATTTAAACCAAACTAAAATAACAAATAATCTGTGAAAAGGTAAGCATTTGAAAAAAATAAAAAAAATTAACAAAATTAAATATGAAAAATTTATTAGGAAAAAAAGGAAAACAGTAAAGGACCTCTGAAAAAGTGTTTTAAAGTTTTACTTTTGGATTGCATTTTTTCTTTCTTTGAACTTCCATTTACAAAACATGCTTTTTGAAACAGTAATGAAATGAAATTTATTTTCCATCAGGGCAACTAAGTGGATTCAAATCCCAGCGATTGATAAACCTCTCCTTGACTTTCCTGCAGGGTTCTGATACGTCTCAGCAGGTAAGAGGAGGTGCATCGCCCACCGTGATCCCTGCATCTTGATCTGTTCTCCGAACAAGAGAACTGTTGGTTCTTCCTGCATTCTCAGATTTAATTTCAGCATAAATAAATCAATCTGGGTTTTCTGCTTTCCAGCAGCAGATGATGTAGCCTGAAGTGACCCAAATCCGATTTTTTTGGCCCATATTTGATCTGGATCTGATCTTTTCATGGCAGTCTGAGCACCACAGAAGCGATTTTTTCAAAATCGACCCAGGCCACTTGGCTCTGTGGTCCTGAATCCGATACAAATCCGATCTTTTCAAATGCGACCTGTGTCTGAACGGGCTAGGTCGCATCATCCGACCTGAACGCCATTAATACCCGACAAAGGTCACTATTCTTGGTCTTGCTATGAAGAAGCGGCAAGAAAAACGTCAACCGTGGCGGATGATGATGTGGAGAGCAGTATTTATGTTTAACCATCTTGAAAAGTTTGCGTTTTTATGGTTAGGAAAGATCGCTAGATGTGCTCCAACTTCCGTAAACACAGAGCACGCTGGCCTGTGATGTCATTGCGTCCTCTACTGCGCATGCGGGACACTTGCATTGTATGACTGCAGTTCACACAAGAGATCACATAGAAGTCGTATATATTTGGAAATGTGAATGGCAACGCGAAAAAAAAAAAAAAATCGGATTTCACAAAAAAATCGGATTTGAGCATCAAGGCCTGCATTCTGAACGTGACCTAAAAGGATGAAATTCCGTCTGAAGGTGCATCTTAAATCGTTCAAAAAGACCTTTTACGTGATGAATACATGTTTAACTTAACACAAGAACTGAAGTTAATGCCCAAGGACTGAATCTCTGCAGGATCTTCAGAAAAAAAAAAAAAACATTTTACAGAAATATTGAAACCTCAGGAAACCGGTTCAGATTGTGGGAAACTTCTCACCGTGCAACATCTGGTTCATCCAGAGGGAAGCACAGCAGCTGGTTCAGATGGATGCTGTCCTGCAGACAAGTCTGCCATTGCTTGAAGGCGGGAACCACATTCTGCTCCAGTTTCTGGCTCTTTTCTGTTTTCAAGGCTGCAAGAGAGGTAAAAAAAAAAAGTTGTTACCAAGCTAAAGAATGAAACCAGAAACATTAAAGAAGCAGAGCTGAAACAAACCTGGGTTGCAATCTGCAGATTTACCACTAGAGGGCAGAAAATCCTTAGATTTCCTGATCAAAGAACCACAGGAAGTAGACCATTGCTTTTCCTTGGCCTATTTCTGAGATCAAATATTTTGAGTGCGCCTTTCCTCTGCCTAAATAGGGATGATTGTTTAGAAGTCTTTTACCAGTCTGCAGTGTTGGGAAAGTTCTCTTTCTACATGAACTAGTTCAAAGTTCAGTTCACACATTTTAAAATGAACTAGTTCAGTTCATAATTCAAAATTTTGAACTAAGTTCACAGTTCCAAAAAATGAACTAGTTCATAGTTCTTTTTTTTTCATATATTGCTCAATTACATCATAGCCTACTGTAGAACCACAGACAGCAATTATTTTATCAGTTGTTACTCTGAAACTGTGCGTCAGATTTCATCTTCATATCCAGTTTTGAATCCTTATCCAACCAGGGTTTACATTAGCATTGAGGGTGTCATGTTCGGCTGAACGTATTTAGCCCACATGCAGAACACACACGGCAACAGGGATCAGTTAACTGTTTATTGAGAGAGAGAAAATGGAAGCAACGGAGTCGACGGGGAAGCCACAGCACCGGGACCCGTTCGACTTCTGAAAGGAGAAGAAGGTGATTAGCCGGAAAGGGCGATCAGGCAAAAAATGAACAGAGGAACGTGAGCTTACCACCGGACGCAGCAACCTAACCGGGGGAGGACGGAGCGGACTCAGGCTCTGATCGATGGAGCTGGTGGCGGGTGTCTCAGTGACAGGTGGGGCTCGGGCTTGAGGGTGACAGAGCTGCGCTTACTTAACAATGATCCGGGGCAGCAGGAGAAACCAGAGTGGCTCGAAGCACCTTGCTTGGAGCCAGGAGAAAGGGAGGACCCTGTGGGAACTCAGAACCTGGAGTAAGCACGAGTGGGACCCTCTGAAAGGCGATCGTGAAGTAACCACTACGGTTAACACTCTGGCGTCCTCCTGCTGTCTGGATGCTGCTCTTATAGTGCGATCAGACGCAGCTCAACCAGCCACAGGTGCGTGCGCCCTGCTCACCCGTCAACTGCAAACACCTGCGGAGAAAGCAGAAAGAAGCAGAACCGGCAGAAACTGCACGGCCCTGTCGGCTGAGTCCTGACAGAGGGGACAGCATTTCCCCATTGCTGCTTTAACGCTTTGTTGCTGTCGATTCACTTCACACTAGTAGCAGCTGCAGCTTTCACCCCTACAGTATATTCTCAAAAACATCAGGAAAAATGTGCTGCTTGAATGGTCTTTTTTATGAGGAATTATTAAAAGAAAAACAGGAAAGTAGTCTTTAAGGTGCAAATGTTTGTTTTTAATTTTAATAATTTTTTCAATTTGAAATCCCATTTCAGTACATACTAAAAAGGAATCCTGGAAAATTATACCAGGCAGGTTTACATTAATAGTAAAACCCTCAAGAACATTTTACTAAAACAAACTGAGGGACCAGGCTGAGGTAGGAATTTAAGGTTACTGAAGTGCGGATTTTTTTACTGAAAGCCGGCGGGCAAAGTTTGCAGAGAGATGTAAGATTGTTGCCATCATCCTCACCGACCACCTGGTCATAAAACTGTTTTAAGTGATCATACTGCTGCTTTGTCGCCTCCACGGTCGCCTCCATGCTGCTGCAGCTTCAACGCTGCATTTTGTTTTGATGACGCACGCGGCTGTAGGCTACGACGCTGGTAGCTGGTGTTGCCAGATTGGGTGTTTTTCCCGCTACATATTAAGGCCTGTTTACGGTGTGATTTAGCCGGGGTTTCGCCTGGAGGGCTCTATAGAAATCTGGCACCCTATTGAACGGAGCTGAACTGAGAGAGCGTGCCGTTCACAGACACCAGAATGAACGAGTTCACAATAACGTTCATCAGGCAGTAATACAGTAGTTCAGTTCACGTTCGCCCAAAATATGAACGAGTTCATGAACTTTCGTTCAATGAACGCGTTCAGGCACAACACTGCCAGTCTGTAAGCTGGAGTCAAGTTATGGAAATAAAGAGTGGGGATGACAGAAAGCAGTTGCCTCCCTACTCTAGTCTCCTTCATGACGTGAACGAGAGACCTGTGCTGAGTGTTTATCTGGCTAAAACTTACGTCCTTGATGAATTGAAGTGTTTTTTTTTTTTTCTTGGGAATAACCAAATGTTCAGATGTGAGAAAGTTCTTTATGCAGGGTGTGGGTTGGTTCCCCAGGAGTGTGTGTGATTTTGTAAGGTACTCTTTCCCAAATGTATGTACTGAAATGCCTCCGTCAGAGAGCTCTATCTCTCTGTCCGAGGTCGTTAAATACATTTGAGCGTTATATCTTGCAATAAATGCCTCCGCCTCAGCTTCCTAACTCCACACTCCCCAAACAGTCTAACCTCTGAATGATTGGAGCCAACCTGCGGCTCGACCCAACTTCAGAACTGGCAGACTGGTTCCAGTTACCTGCTGTGGATGTAGGTGTGTTCTTGATGCACATTCCCAGCAGTAGCGCATCTAGCTCTGTGAAGTCTGGAGTAGGCTGAGCTTTCCGAAACCAGTAACAGGTGACGGCTGCTTGGAGCTTCAGCTCAGGTGGCAGAAGGCTCAGAGACTCCTCGGTCACTCCCAGAGTTTCCAGTAAGACCTGCAGACGGTCCGAGAGCTCTGCCTGGTGTGACGGTGCACGAGATAGACCATAAGTACGTTTTTTTTAATCTACTGATTGACAGCCACAGATGAAAACATTTAAAACAGGAATTGCATAAATGCAGCATCACCTCGGGCAAGGTTTCAAGGTGGAGCCTTTTACTGGTTTTGGTGAATTCTGGTTTTACTTCGATGGATATCAGCTCATTGTCTTCGTTTTTGTCAAACTCCTCCACGTGAACTAACTTCTTTCCCCCGAACAGAAGCCCGTACATCACCTGTCGGATCGGTCTGGAGATCTCATTCACACCAGCACCACGGTCCACTGCCTGCGCGTGAGATAGGTAGAGTTAAGGGAGGACATTTCATAATGAAAAACAAAACGTGGAGTAAGAAAAAAGTTGTGTGATAACGGAAGGATCAGTAGAGGACAACGAGAACGAAGCGCTTATATTCTGAGGCATGGAAGTAATCGGGAGAAATGAGCCGCAGCTCAGGCAGAGAAAGAAAGGCAAGAACAGCTGAAGGAGGAAGTCCAACTTACACAGAAATATATCTAATGATGCATAAAAAAAACAAACACAAAATAATGACCTAACCAGAAAATGAATTTCCCTTCAGGGATTAATAAAGTATAATTTAATAGAAATATCCAACAGTGGTTGACTTAAGATTTAAACAACAATGTCAGCAGCAAAAGAAGAGAATCTACACAAGAAAGAAAAACAAAAGTCAACCACATAAGAGTCAGGACTGGGACGGGTTAAAATGGACCGACTTCACGGTTCTGCAGGGGTTCCTTTCAGATTTTCAGTTTAAAATTATTTCAAACAATTAAACCAGGGGTAACCAATTAAAAATCAGCAGGGTCAGAATAAAGAAAATCATCAACATTTTTAATGATCTGTTACTTTAAACAGAATTTAACACTGAAATTAAGTGAGGTATTTATGCATTCAGTTATACACTGAATTTTTCATTTAAAAAAATTGAAATTGCCAAAAATGGCATCCCGTGCTATCTCAGAGGAGTTCACACTGTATATCCATCAGTAGTTAAAGGACAAGAATCAGCAAATGCTAATTCTGCCTGTAAAACAATGACAGCGTAATTATCACTGTCTGATCTGAAGCCTCATTTGGAGCTTGTAAACAGGCTTTTGAAAAACGTAAATAATTTGCTGCTGTAATATTATATATTATTTAGAATAAAAAGCTAGCAGATGCGCATAATCAGAACAAAAAGAAATACAATTATAGAGAATTCAGTATAGTAAGAAAGCCCACACTGTTTAAATCCATTATTGTATGAGTTAAGTTCTGTTCCGTTTATGTCTCTTTCCTTGTAGGTGTGAAATGTCCCATGCTCCTGAATGCACCATAGTTATCGGATGCTCGTGAATGCATCACACTGGTCTGTAAATGCTGTGCTGTGTAGATGCACGTTTGATTTTCCGCTTCAGACAAAGCTTTGCAGTTTTAAAACCGACGTCGGCATCACTGTTTATTGTTGTGTGTGAATAACGAGAGACTGCAACAAATAAATCAGCCGTACCTCGGACAAAATCTTTGGATTGAATGTTGTTCATAACACCCATACTTTTGTAAATGAATCTGCCAAATAACCACAATTTCTTTTCCATGAGAGGAATATTTAAACTTTTTTATATCATTATTATAACAACAACTAGCTCCATTGGTCATATTTTAATCTATTTTCCTCGTCGATAGTCGCAGTTGTACAGAGCGAGGCACGTTCCCACGACTGGGGATGCATATCTCGGCAGGGACGCACTTTTGGGCATAACACCGGACCGCTGTCCACTAATCCCTGACCTCTGCATTAAACCGAAGTCATGAGTAACGAGGAACATTTGTTTTAAAAATGTAAGGAATAGAAAGTACAGATACATGTGTGAAAATGTAATGAGTAGAAGTAGGAGGAAAAATAAGTAATAGAGTAAGTATATATACCTAAAAAGTGTACTTAAAGGGGAACTTCGGTATTTTTCCATTGGGCCCTTGATTTTAGGTTATTCCATCATGTTCTATTCACCCATATGAGTTTAGTGTCATTTGGAGCCGTTCTGAAGATATTCCGTTAGGTTATATCCAGTAACGTCTTCCTATGGGCAACGACTTGAAGGCACCAACTGTTGCACAACTGATAGACCGCTACCCACCAGGTGCACTAACGTACATTGATATAGATCCTTCCTCCCAGCTGCCGTTAGACTTCAGGACCATGTCTCGTCCAAACCGGCCAAGTGAGTGTTTTCAACCATGCTGTTTGCACAGTTTCAATCTTTATGTGCAGTTACTCCATTTTTTTGTAGATGGGCTGTTTTTACTTTTTCTTTTGAAACTTACTCTCTTTGTTTTTACAACAGTCGTGTTTTTTTATTTACTTTCTAAACTAGCTTCTATTTTTGGTGTTCTACTTTGTGTATTTTAGTCTTGTTTGATTGTGTACGCGTTCTATATTCTGATCCATTCTATTCTATGCTATTCTTTTTTTAGTTGTATTCTATTCTGTTTTCTATTTTAGTCTGTTCTCTTCTATTCTAATCTATTTGGACACGAAATATAGTTTTTATTAATATTCTGCTGTTGGACCATTTGAGCCTTTTTTTATAACATGAAAAAAATACAGTTCTCCGTGACTGAAGAGGTCTGATCAGATGAAAACTTTACTTTACTAAACTCAGGTTCCACCCTTTGTGGACGGCTCTGGTTCCTGTTGGGCTGAATTTGAAATCTGAATTCGTCAAAATTTGAGCTAAAGAAAAAGAAACACTGGTTGCTTTACTCATTCTGGGATATTAGGGAATATTTAAACATTACCTGAGCAGAAGGAAGAGGCGGTTCTTGGGAACGACAATCAGGGTTGCTGGTTCCACCCGGTTCCATCATAGCTTGTTTTACAGCCTGTAGAAGGATTAACAACAATAGAATGTTCCAGCACACTGAAAAACACTAAGAACCTTGTAGAAAAGGATATTTAAAGGTTAAGAATAAAAAGTAATACATAATTGATTTTATAATTCATTTCTTAATTCCTTTATTATGAGCAAATATAATCTTATGTGTTTTAGAAATTAATCTCTTTCTTCCAGAGATTATTAAATCTTTCCATACACAAAATCATTTAAAAAGTTCTCTTCTCCGAGAGAAATGATCAACATTAGTAACATCTGGAATGAATGGTTAAAATATCTAAGATTTTGTTTTATGTGTTTGATTTGATGGGAGAGGTATGTGTCATGATGGGTTTAGGTTCTTAGCCCATATGCAGAACACAAAGGAGGCTGGGTAAAAGTTAAACAAGGTTTATTGAATGTTTCAAAATAAAGAGACAATGTACTGGGTCAGGGGCTGGTTCACAGAAGTCTGCTGAGAAGATAGTTTGATTAGAAGGCAGGCTGATGAGAATGAGTCTTTGATAATTCAGAATTATACCTTGACTGAATCCTGAGTTTGCAAAACCAAGGAATCTCTGAAGCTGTTTGCGGTTTTCAGGTGTCGGCCAGTCCAGAACTGCCTTTATCTTGTCTTCGGATGGCTTAACCTGCCCGCCCTCGAGCACAAACCCCAAAAAAAGTAACAGATGATTGGTGAAATTCGCACTTCTCTGCCTTCACAAAGAGCTTGTTTTCCAAAAGTCTCTGAAGAACCAGACGGACATGTTTCTTATGCTCTGATAGGTTCTTGGAGTAGATCAAAATATCATCTATGTACACAAAAACGAACACATTCAAAAAATCTCTGAGGACGTCATTGACTAGAGCCTGCAAACAGGCAGGAGCGTTTGTGAGACCAAAAGGCATGACCAGATACTCAAATTGGCCTAAGGGGGTCTTAAAGGCTGTCTTCCATTCGTCTCCTTCTCTTATCCTAAGGAGGTGATAAGCATTTCTCAAATCGAGCTTGGTGAAAACTGTTGCACCCTGAACAGGTTCAAATGCTGATGCCAGTAATGGTAGTGGGTACTTATTTTTGACGTTATCTGATTTAGGCCTCTGTAATCTATACAGGGTCGTAGGGAACCATCCTTCTTACCCACAAAAAAGAAACCAGCACCAAGAGGAGAAGAAGATGGACGGATTATCCCAGCAGCCAGAGACTCATTAATATATTTCTCCATGGTCTCACGTTCAGGCTTAGAGATGTTATAAAGTCTACTGCTGGGCAGGGGAGCTCCTGGTAATAATTCTATGGCGCAGTCATATGGTCTGTGAGGTGGAAGAGACGTCGCACTGACCTTACTGAAGACTGGTGCCAGATCGTGATACTCGGGAGGAACAGAAGTAAGGACAGGAGAGTCCATCTCCCCCCTACCTCTAGGGAACTGAACAGCAGGGGCTGCAGGACGTGGACCAAGACTCAATGGGGCGTTCAGCCCAGTTGATATGGGGGTTATGTTGTTCCAGCCACTCGAATCCAAGCACCAAAGGGGAGCATGCAGAAGGGAAAACAAAAAAGGTTAATGTCTCACGATGATTTCCAGAGATCAACAGTTCTAGAGGTTGTGTTTGATGAGTGACTTGATGGAGTTTCTTTCCATCAATAGCAGATACTCTGAGAGGCTTGGATAACGGAACGGTTTCAATCTGTAATTGCTGGACCAGGTTAGAATCAATGAGATTACTCTCACATCCGGAGTCAATGAAAGCAGACAAGGTGAGGTTCTGGTTAGAAAAAAAAAGTGTAGCAGGTAACATCAGATGAGGAGCTTTTTCAGTTTTCAAATGGCCCGTCAGACTCCTCAATTCCTCTGACGGGCCCTGGCTTTTGACTTAGCCGGACATGAAGCTATGAAATTGCCAGTCTCACCACAGTATAGACACAGATTGCCCCTAAATCGTCGTTGTCTTTCCTCAGGGGTTAGCCTTATGTGTCCAATCTGCATGGGTTCGGCCTCCGCTCCATCTGAGTGAGAGACTTGGACAGGCACAGAAAGAGTCTGGTTTTTAGACTTTGGCTTGGAAACAGGTTCAGTGGATCCAGAAAAAACAGAAGCATTATTTAATGCAGGGGCTGACACAGAAAAATTCAGACTTCTTTGTCTAGTGTTGTTTCTAGTTCGGAGCCTGTTATCCAATCTGATGGTTAAACGGATTAATTCCTCCAAACTATTCGGTTCGTCGATTGTGGCTAGTTCATCCTTGATGTTATCATTTAAAATATGCACTTTTGAGAGCACATTCGTTCCAACCAGAGGCTGGGGCTTTGACCCGGAAGTCGATGGAGAACTCAGCCACTGTGGAATTTCCCTGTCTTAAATTCAGCAGGGCTCGAGAGTCAATGGTCTTATCTGTGTCGTGATTAAATACTTGGGAAAACTCTGAAATGAACTCAGAAAAAGTACAAGTGAAACTGGATTCTGAGGAGAACCTTGCCTCTGCCCATTCAAGGGCATGTCCAGTGAGTTGAGAAAGAATAAATGATATTTTCTTTCTATCATTCGGAAAACTGCCAGGAGAATGTTCAAAAAGTAATCGACATTGGAATAAAAATCCCTTACAATCTTTTTGATTACCTGAAAATCTTTCAGGCGGACTGGGACGGAACTCAGGAAGTGACGTCACTGCCGGTGACCTTGGAGGCGGAAGTGAATCCGGAACTGGCGTACCGCTGGCGTGGCGTTAGCATTACCCATGTAGCTGGCAAATGTTTGTAGTATTTGATTCTGATGTTCAAGCTTAGTATGCAACTCACGGAGGATATGCGCATGTCCAAGGATCTGAGCGTCCTGTTCCTCAAGCCTCCTACGGAGGTGATCTGCTGGGCTTTGTGTTTGGCCGCAGTGTTCTGTCATGATGGGTTTAGGTTCTTAGCCCATATGCAGAACACAACGGAGGCTGGGTAAAAGTTAAACAAGGTTTATTGAATGTTTCACAATAAAGAGACAATGTACTGGGTCAGGGGCTGGTCCGGGCTGGTTCACAGAAGTCTGCTGAGAAGATGGTTTGATTAGAAGGCAGGCTGATGAGAATGAGTCTTTGATAATTCAGAATTATACCTTGACTGAATCCGGGCTTCTCTTTGAGAGAGAGGGAACTGTTGGGTCCAGAGACTGTTTGTTCAGCAGAGTTCCAGAGCAGCTGCAGTGTCTAGCTTCTGACTTTAATGGCAGACCTTGATCAGAGTTTCCAGCTCTTAACTAACAGCAGCAGGGGAATCCACATAGGAATCTTCAGGTTTGGCTCTCCAGGGCAGATTGGCAGGTTAAGCTCATCCAGTGATAGCCATGCTAACTATGTAGGGGCAGTGTTAGCCATGCTAACTATGTAGGGTCAGTGATAGCCATGCTAACTATGTAGGGGCAGGGATAGCCATGCTAACTATGTAGGGGCAGCGATAGCCATGCTAACTATGTAGGGGCAGTTACAGCCATGCTAACTATGTAGGGGCAGGGATAGCCATGCTAACTATGTAGGGGCAGCGATAGCCATGCTAACTATGTAGGGGCAGTTACAGCCATGCTAACTATGTAGGGGCAGTGATAGCCATGCTAACTATGTAGGGGCAGTGATAGGCATGCTAACTATGTAGGGGCAGTGACAGCCATGCTAACTATGTAGGGCAGTGATAGCCATGCTAACTCTGTAGGGGCAGTGGTAGCCATGCTAACTATGTAGGGGCAGTGGTAACCATGCTAACTATGTAGGGGCAGTGATAGCCATGCTAACTATGTAGGGGCAGTGCTAGCCATGCTAACTATGTAGGGGCAGTGGTAACCATGCTAACTATGTAGGGGCAGTGATAGCCATGCTAACTATGTAGGGGCAGGGATAGCCATGCTAACTATGTAGGGGCAGCGATAACCATGCTAACTATGTAGGGGCAGTTACAGCCATGCTAACTATGTAGGGGCAGTGCTAGCCATGCTAACTATGTAGGGGCAGTGATAGGCATGCTAACTATGTAGGGGCAGTGACAGCCATGCTAACTATGTAGGGGCAGTGATAGCTATGCTAACTATGTAGGGGCACTGATAGCCAGCGCTAACTATGTAGGGACAGAGATAGCCATGCTAACTATGTAAGGGCAGTGATATCCATGCTAACTATGTAGGGCCAGTGATAGCCAGTGCTTATTATGTAGGGGCAGTGGTAGCCATGCTAACTATGTAGGGGCACTGATAGCCATGCTAACTATGTAGGGGCAGTTACAGCCATGCTAACTATGTAGGGGCAGTACTAGCCATGCTAACTATGTTGGGGCAGTGATAGGAACGCTAACTATGTAGGGGTAGTGACAGCCATGCTAACTATGTAGGGCAGTGATAGCCATGCTAACTATGTAGGGGCAGTGATAGCTATGCTAACTATGTAGGGGCACTGATAGCCAGCGCTAACTATGTGGGGACAGAGATAGCCATGCTAACTATGTAGGGGCAGTGATAGCCATGCTAAATATGTAGGGGCAGTGATAGCCAGCGCTTATTATGTAGGGGCAGTGATAGCCATGCTAACTATGTAGGGGCACTGGTAGCCAGCGCTAATTATGTAGGGGCAGTGGTAGCCATGCTAACTATGTAGGGGCAGTAAAAGCCATGCTAACTATGTAGGAGCACTGTAGCCATACTAACTATTCAGGGGCACTGATAGCAATGCTAACTATGTAGGGACAGAGATAGCCATGCTAACTATGTAGGGGCACTGATAGCCATGCTAACTATGTAGGGGCAGTTACAGCCATGCTAACTATGTAGGGGCAGTTACAGCCATGCTAACTATGTAGGGGCAGTGCTAGCCATGCTAACTATGTAGGGGCAGTGATAGGCACGCTAACTATGTAGGGGCAGTGACAGCCATGCTAACTATGTGGGGCAGTGATAGCCATGCTAACTATGTAGGGGCAGTGATAGCTATGCTAACTATGTAGGGGCACTGATAGCCAGCGCTAACTATGTAGGGACAGAGATAGCCATGCTAACTATGTAGGGGCAGTGATAGCCATGCTAACTATGTAGGGCCAGTGATAGCCAGTGCTTATTATGTAGGGACAGTGATAGCCATGCTAACTATGTAGGGGCACTGGTAGCCAGCACTAATTATGTAGGGGCAGTGGTAGCCATGCTAACTATGTAGGGGCAGTAAAAGCCATGCTAACTATGTAGGGGCACTGGTAGCCATGCTAACTATTCAGGGGCACTGATAGCAATGCTAACTATGTAGGGACAGAGATAGCCATGCTAACTATGTAGGGGCACTGATAGCCATGCTAACTATGTAGGCGCACTGATAGACAGCGCTAACTATGTAGGGACAGAGATAGCCATGCTAACTATGTAGGGGCAGTGGTAGCCATGCTAACTATGTAGGGGCAGTGATAGCCATGCTAACTATGTAGGGGCACTGATAGCCATGCTAAATATGTAGGGGCAGTGATAGCCAGCGCTTATTATGTAGGGGCAGTGATAGCCATGCTAACTATGTAGGGGCACTGGTAGCCAGCGCTAATTATGTAGGGGCAGTGGTAGCCATGCTAACTATGTAGGGGCAGTAAAAGCCATGCTAACTATGTAGGAGCACTGTAGCCATACTAACTATTCAGGGGCACTGATAGCAATGCTAACTATGTAGGGACAGAGATAGCCATGCTAACTATGTAGGGGCACTGATAGCCATGCTAACTATGTAGGGGCAGTTACAGCCATGCTAACTATGTAGGGGCAGTTACAGCCATGCTAACTATGTAGGGGCAGTGCTAGCCATGCTAACTATGTAGGGGCAGTGATAGGCACGCTAACTATGTAGGGGCAGTGACAGCCATGCTAACTATGTGGGGCAGTGATAGCCATGCTAACTATGTAGGGGCAGTGATAGCTATGCTAACTATGTAGGGGCACTGATAGCCAGCGCTAACTATGTAGGGACAGAGATAGCCATGCTAACTATGTAGGGGCAGTGATAGCCATGCTAACTATGTAGGGCCAGTGATAGCCAGTGCTTATTATGTAGGGACAGTGATAGCCATGCTAACTATGTAGGGGCACTGGTAGCCAGCACTAATTATGTAGGGGCAGAGATAGCCATGCTAACTATGTAGGGGCAGTGGTAGCCATGCTAACTATGTAGGGGCAGTGATAGCCATGCTAACTATGTAGGGGCACTGATAGCCATGCTAACTATGTAGGGGCACTGATAGCCAGCGCTAATTATGAAGTTCTACTTTAAGGTGCCCTGGTCAAAGTCAATGACCGTACCTGACATGTAACAACCAGACCATGCATATTGCTTTAGGTCAATAGACAATATTAATTAGGTTATGTATGCTACAAAAAAAAAAACAACAAAGTCCAGCATGCCCCCTATTTTTATTTTTTTTTACAAGACCACTGGTTAAGATAATCTATTTTATCATCCATGCTGATGATATACAGCTGCATTGTTGTTTTAGAGCCTCCAATCATTATAAATAATCTGACCTCAGCCAGTGTTGAAAAGAAATCAAACAATAAACAACGGCTTAAAAACAACCTCTGGTAACTAAATGTGGCAGTATGCCCTGCGGGCTTTGAACGCACCATACAAGTGCCGATCCAATTGGTCGTGGCGCTGTCTGTATATAAAGGGCCCTCCCTCACCTGGTCATCATGTTGTCCTTCCGGTTCAGACCTCGGTGTGTGCTGGCACAGCACGCCAGCTGCATACGGATGCGCGCTTGAATGATGCGCTTTAAACTAAACGCTGATCAAGCCTTCTTGTGGTAAGAGTTATTTTATACTCTAATTCTGTTAGCCTAACCGTAGCTCAGTTTTACTGATATATATGCAGGTGTCCCATACAAGCTGCCTGATTCTTCTCCTTGCCAGAGGCACTACATAGAGCTCAGTGGTAAGTGAAAAGCTCATTCTTCACATACAGAGACCCTGATTATTGCTCCTGATGGTATAATCTCTATTAGCAGGCAACATTTCAATTGCTTCGCACCTTCTCTCCAAACCAGCATAAAAGACTGGGGGACATTTTCAACTTTTCATTATCCTTTAATCCTCATTTTATTTTTATTTTTTTTTATTGGTCCCGATGTTTTTTTTTGTTTGTAAATAAATTGTGGAACTCATTTAAGTACTTTTTACCTCTCCAAATGTCTTGAGCATTTTGTCCAGAATAAATCGACTGAGACAGACTTGGGCCAGGGCGAGTAGCATCCATTTTGGAACGCGATGCGCTACCTGCAGAAGAGAGATTGGCTTAGAGATCATTGAGAAGAAGATTCACTGAAAACCATTCATCGGTCTGTGGTCTAGATCAGATCAAATCTGATACACTCACACAAACTCTCCTAAAAACATAGCCTCCTGGCCTGGAGTCCTAACAAGCTTTTGGTTTTTGGGTCATTTAGGTTTTGCTACAGGTGTTCTAGAACAGGGTTTAGAAATAAGGATTTCATCACCTGTGCTGGAAACTCAGGCAGCTCTTTATGAAGGAAGAACCTGCTCAGAGCACTCGGTCGCAGCTGATAGGCCTTCATCCCCAGATGTAGTCTTTGGAGGACCTCCTCTTTTTTCTCGTTCGGTTCTCCCATCAGGTCCAGAGCTGCCTCCAAGGCTTCCTCTGGTTCCTGGTACCTCTTCAGCCAGTGAAGCAGCCCTCTGAGACGACCGTGGGGCTCTGTGCCAGGTGGGACAAATTGATCCCAGTTGATCTCTTCCCACTCTATGTAGTCGTTACCAGCCAAGGCAGCAAAGGTAGGCAGGAACTGGGGCTGGAGTCTAAACAAGCGACAGAACGTGGAGGACTTGTACCTCCTACAGGGGATGAAGCTCAGAGAACCGTTCTGTTTCCACTGGAAATCAGAGAAAGGCAGGAATCCCTTTGGTAAGTCAACAATATAGAAGTCACTGTCATTAGACAGCGCTGGGCACTCCCATTCCGCTGCCAGGGCAGCTATCTCCTGGTCAGACTCGCTGATGGACTGGGCCACCGGAACCTGTAGTTGGGCCAACTTCTGTCTGAAGACTATGTCTGCCAGCTTGGGGAGGATGTCTTTGTGTTCCCCACTCATGCTTGCTCTGTTGCTTTTGTGGATTCGGTTTTTGGCTCTCTTTACTGCAGTTTTCGCCTTCGAAATAACAGAACCTCCATCTAGAACCACAAACGGAGAGATTTTACAGGTTCTGAGAGCTGTGATGAATCTCTCAATCAGGTTCTCATAGGCGGCATACTCCCCACCATGATTCTGGTCCAGACCTGGATGGAATAACCCAAGAACAAAAAGATTAGACTGCTGACTCACCAGGACCAGAACTCTGTCTGTTGTCCCAACAGGCTTCTTTAGCTTAACAAGCATTAAATGTTTTCACATAGTCTTTATAAATATGCTATATTGTGCCTCCATGACACCTGCTAATGCTAAGAGAATTCAAACTTCTGAAAGTACTTTAAATATGAAATTTTTACATTTTATTTAATAAATGATCAGTGTTTTTAATTGAGAATATTTTCATGTGAATGTGCTTTACTGGAGGCATGTTAGTCAAAGAACACTACTGCCACCTACTGGTTTGTGACGTCACGGTGCGGTATCGGCTGTTGATCAAGTCCCAGTGCTGTATCTGGTGTTTGTCACAACGCGCTATTATCCAAGTCATCTTGAAAACATTCTTCTTCCAAATGTTGGCTACATATTACGGGTTACCGCACCGTGACGTCACTGCCGGAAGATGGCAGGAGGGAGGGGCTACCATATTTGGGGGAAAATGGCCACTCCCACACTACTGATTAACGCTAAATCCATTAAGTCACTGCAAACGTATTAGTTTTAGGTATACACTCACCGGCCACTTTATTAGGTACACCTGTCCAACAATAACTAGAGTCAGACATGGTTATATTTTTGTATTTAAAGCTATAGTTTGTACGTTTCAATGACATCTAAGGGTCAGAACGCTGACTGCTGCAACAGTCACCAGTTCTCCCCCTCCAACAATACCAAGGCCCTCATGGTACAACATCCGTATGACATATCTTGTCAAGTGATGACAAAGTCTTTTTACATAGATATTTTTCTAAAAATGATCTTATACGTCTGTGTAGGATATAGATTTTATATTGGTCTAACTTGCCACAGTCACATAGGAGCGTAATGATGATCTCTACAGTCAGTAGTTTGGCAGCTCTGAGCTGCCGTAGCTCAAAGATGTCTGGCTCCATAAATGCAAGATCCGCCCCTGTGTTATTCATAAATTACAATTTCTAAAGCAACACAAACATGAAGATTTAGACTTTCAGTTCGTAGACGAAAATAGCATATTTATGGATGATATATTACATTTCCATCCCTAAATGCCTGGAATTATTACACACTGGAGATTTAACATCTTAAAAGTTAATATTTTATCAGAAAGTTAAATCTATTAAGCATTTATCACGGTATTTGCCGCTCTTATCCCCCATTATTCTTCTATTTGACAGGTAATTAAGGATAGGATAGCTCATAAAGCCCAGTGTGGAGCCATCCTGAAAATCTGGGGAAGACTGGGAGCATTTATTGGTTGTATTTGACCTTCTGAATTTGGTCAACTCAGTGTGACCTCACTAGCCTATTAACGTGGCTGGTGACATTTATTAGCCTCGTGAGACCATCCTGATCTCGCGAGCTTTCAAGGTTTCACCCGCAGATCAGTCTGGAGACTCTCCGTTAAAGAAAATTTGGAGCCGTTCACCAAACGAATGTCCAATCAGCGTTGGCTTTGAGGCGGGTTGAGGTGTGACGCAACGAGAAGCGTGACAGTTCGGTCTAAAGAACATGGCGGCTTCAGCCGATGAAACTAGCGTTAGCGTGGCTATCGAGCAAGTTTTATGGGAATTACAGAGTATTACTTCACTGAAAGAAGAGCAAAACACTGCTCTGGAGGCTTTTCTCAGAGGAAAAGATGTTTTTGCTCTTCTCCCGACTGGTTTCAGCAAGAGTTTGATCTATCAATTGGCTCCTCTTCATCGTCGCTCTGTTAGTAGGCAACGTCATATCCTACGTTGATCTGATTGGTTTATTTGGCCCGTCTATCACCAACATAGGCCAATCAGCTAACCAGTATTTTTGCCCCTTCCCAAAATTACTTCAACGGAAGGTTTCCAGATGGATATGCGGAGGTTAAGCCATTTATAGCCCCTGAATTGGCCACAGATTTTGTCTACATTAAGGCTACAGGTTTAAAACTAAAACTAAAAACTAGCTATCAACAATATTATCTGTATTGAATTTAATAAATAGCTTTTATTATTACATTATCTATAAAATTATCATCCTATTTTAATTAATGGGAAAGTGAGTAAAAACATTTTTGGTAGCAAGAATCAAGTATTGCTCTCATTACTTGTTATGCTGCTATAGGCTTAGGCTGCTGGAGGAAATAGGGACGTTCTGCTTCATTCTATCTCTGTTCTCACATTCTGCAGTGTTTGTTAGTTCAATCTCTAACGTTATGCTCTCTTTCTCCATCTCTAAACTAAGAAAAAAGGTACCATCTTAAATTGATTTTTGTTGCTCTTTGTGTGAAGCGACCGATAAGTTTGTGGTCTTTCTGCTCCAAAGCAACACTCAGGCCTGCAACAGTGACTTTTAAGTTAAAGTAAGGGGACTTAAGGGCGTGACTGGGGGTGAGTGGGCCCACTTACTTAAGGTCTGACGAATGCATTGTTGATATTGAAAATGAATGGCAAGCTTTATGTGGATTTATTTAAAGGAGAATTTTCTAGCCCAGTAAATCCTAAGTTGTTCAATTCATTTTAGAGTGTTTATTTCTCCATTTTATTGTATCAATACCTTTAATGCTAGAGTAGTGAATAATGACATGTTATAGGATCCTTCAGCAGTTAGTAATTAAGTTAATATATGATTCTCAGAGTATTTACATTGGATTATTACCTATTGGGTTAAAAATAACTCTGGAGCCCCTATCTGCACTGGAAAAAACGAAAACTAGATAAGTAATTTTTTCTTAAAATAAGTGCATTTGTTCTTGGATGAGGAGGTAAAAGATACATTTTGCCAATGGAATAAGACAATTTACACTTAAAATAAGAAAACATGATTGCATTGTCTTATTTCAAGTGCATATTATCTCATCTTATTCTAAGAGTAAAAATACTCACTCCATTGGCAAACTATCTAATTTACTGACTCAAGTTAATGGTAATTATACACAATTTAAGACATTTTTACTTATTTCTAGACACTGTGTATAGGTATGTTACATGTAGATTACTCGTTTTCTTATTAAGCCTTTAATTGGACTTTGATGAGCTTAGTTAAAAAGCTTGACTGATGCATTTTAACAGAAAGTAGAAGTATATTGTTTATAAGTTATTGTATTTTGCAAGTCCTTTGTGTTTGTTCTGTGCAGGTTGCTGTTTGGGAATACTGGTAGATAAATCCAGTCATCTATTGCTCTATGATGGCACGACTCAACAAGCCATTAGAAAAACAAGAGAAGGTGAAACCTGCTTGGTTATTATTTCTTGATAATTGGTTGGTGCCCAGACCTGTTCATACTTAATGAAATGAAAAACTTTCTCATTGCATTTTGCATTAGAATCGAAACATTTCTGATTCCACAGAAACAGAAACTTTGTTTACTACTACTTTGAATTCTCTTGGCAGGGAATTGTGATATACAAATAAACTTGCCTTGCAGCACTGTAGAGTCATATGATGAGAGATGGTATTGTAAGTGCAATGCAACTATAAATCCTGAGCTATGATAACCAACGTGAAGTTATTTTCTTTTGTCTCACCTGAGCTGAAGTACAGCTGGTAGGTCAGGCTGCAGCCATCGATCACCAGTCGGCTGCTTCTAAACTGGAGATTTTCATAAATCCCATCCTGACTTTTTAAGAAGGAGTCCAAGCCTCTAACCCCCATCTTCAGTTTGTGTTTGAAACATCAAGCAGCACAACAAGCTGCTCTAGTTTCACTTTCCTGACATCATTTTTTTTTTTTTTTTTTACACCCATTAGACTGCTGACTGTTATGGGGTTGTTCCATTTGTGTCAAAAATAAGCAGATGTAAAATGTCTAGATGTTGTGCTGTTGTTGCATATATAGATGCTGCATATGTCTATGTTGCATATGTAGATGCTGCATATGTCTATAATGCATATGTCTATGTTGCATATGTCTTTAATGCATATGTCTATGTTGCATATGTCTATAATGCATATGTCTATGTTGCATATGTCTATAATGCATATGTCTATGTTGCATATGTCTATAATGCATATGTCTATGTTGCATATGTAGATGCTGCATATGTCTATGTTGCATATGTAGATGCTGCATATGTCTATGTTGCATATGTAGATGCTGCATATGTAGATGCTGCATATGTCTATAATGCATATGTAGATGCTGCATATGTCTATAATGCATATGTAGATGCTGCATATGTCTATAATGCATATGTCTATGTTGCATATGTAGATGCTGCATATGTCTATGTTGCATATGTAGATGCTGCATATGTCTATGTTGCATATGTAGATGCTGCATATGTCTATGTTGCATATGTAGATGCTGCATATGTCTATGTTGCATATGTAGATGCTGCATATGTCTATGTTGCATATGTAGATGCTGCATATGTCTATAATGCATATGTAGATGCTGCATATGTCTATAATGCATATGTCTATAATGCATATGTCTATAATGCATATGTCTATGTTGCATATGTAGATGCTGCATATGTCTATAATGCATATGTCTATGTTGCATATGTAGATGCTGCATATGTCTATAATGCATATGTCTATGCTGCATATGTCTATGTTGCATATGTAGATGCTGCATATGTCTATAATGCATATGTCTATGTTGCATATGTAGATGCTGCATATGTCTATAATGCATATGTCTATGTTGCATATGTAGATGCTGCATATGTCTATAATGCATATGTCTATGTTGCATATGTCTATAATGCATATGTCTATGTTGCATATGTCTATAATGCATATGTCTATGTTGCATATGTCTATAATGCATATGTCTATGTTGCATATGTAGATGCTGCATATGTCTATGTTGCATATGTAGATGCTGCATATGTCTATGTTGCATATGTAGATGCTGCATATGTCTATGTTGCATATGTAGATGCTGCATATGTAGATGCTGCATATGTCTATAATGCATATGTAGATGCTGCATATGTCTATAATGCATATGTAGATGCTGCATATGTCTATAATGCATATGTCTATGTTGCATATGTAGATGCTGCATATGTCTATGTTGCATATGTAGATGCTGCATATGTCTATGTTGCATATGTAGATGCTGCATATGTCTATGTTGCATATGTAGATGCTGCATATGTCTATGTTGCATATGTAGATGCTGCATATGTCTATGTTGCATATGTAGATGCTGCATATGTCTATGTTGCATATGTAGATGCTGCATATGTCTATGTTGCATATGTAGATGCTGCATATGTCTATAATGCATATGTCTATAATGCATATGTCTATAATGCATATGTCTATGTTGCATATGTAGATGCTGCATATGTAGATGCTGCATATGTCTATAATGCATATGTAGATGCTGCATATGTCTATGTTGCATATGTAGATGCTGCATATGTCTATAATGCATATGTCTATGTTGCATATGTAGATGCTGCATATGTCTATAATGCATATGTCTATGTTGCATATGTAGATGCTGCATATGTCTATAATGCATATGTCTATGCTGCATATGTCTATAATGCATATGTCTATGTTGCATATGTAGATGCTGCATATGTCTATAATGCATATGTCTATGTTGCATATGTAGATGCTGCATATGTCTATAATGCATATGTCTATGTTGCATATGTAGATGCTGCATATGTCTATAATGCATATGTCTATGTTGCATATGTAGATGCTGCATATGTAGATGCTGCATATGTCTATAATGCATATGTAGATGCTGCATATGTCTATGTTGCATATGTAGATGCTGCATATGTCTATAATGCATATGTCTATGTTGCATATGTAGATGCTGCATATGTCTATAATGCATATGTCTATGTTGCATATGTAGATGCTGCATATGTCTATAATGCATATGTCTATGCTGCATATGTCTATAATGCATATGTCTATGTTGCATATGTAGATGCTGCATATGTCTATAATGCATATGTCTATGCTGCATATGTAGATGCTGCATATGTAGATGCTGCATAGATGCTGCATATGTCTACAATGCATATGTCTATGTTGCATATGTACTGCTTATGTAGATGCTGCATATGTCTATAATGCATACTGTATGTCTATGTTGCATATGTAGATGCTGCATATGTCTATAATGCATATGTCTATGCTGTATATGTCTATAATGCATATGTCTATGCTGCATATGTAGATGCTGACATATGCATTGTATGTCTACAATGCATATGTCTATGTTGCATATGTCTATGTTGCATATGTCTATGTTGCATATGTCTATGTTGCATCTGTAGATGCTGCATAGATGCTGCATATGTCTACAATGCATATGTCTATGTTGCATATGTAGATGCTGCATATGTCTATAATGCATATGTCTATGTTGCATATGTAGATGCTGCATATGTCTATAATGCATATGTCTATGCTGCATATGTCTATAATGCATATGTCTATGTTGCATATGTAGATGCTGCATATGTCTATAATGCATATGTCTATGTTGCATATGTAGATGCTGCATATGTCTATAATGCATATGTCTATGTTGCATATGTAGATGCTGCATATGTCTATAATGCATATGTCTATGTTGCATATGTAGATGCTGCATATGTAGATGCTGCATATGTCTATAATGCATATGTAGATGCTGCATATGTCTATGTTGCATATGTAGATGCTGCATATGTCTATAATGCATATGTCTATGTTGCATATGTAGATGCTGCATATGTCTATAATGCATATGTCTATGTTGCATATGTAGATGCTGCATATGTCTATAATGCATATGTCTATGCTGCATATGTCTATAATGCATATGTCTATGTTGCATATGTAGATGCTGCATATGTCTATAATGCATATGTCTATGCTGCATATGTAGATGCTGCATATGTAGATGCTGCATAGATGCTGCATATGTCTACAATGCATATGTCTATGTTGCATATGTCTATGTTGCATATGTCTATGTTGCATCTGTAGATGCTGCATAGATGCTGCATATGTCTACAATGCATATGTCTATGTTGCATATGTAGATGTTGCATATGTCTATAATGCATATGTCTATGTTGCATATGTAGATGCTGCATATGTCTATAATGCATATGTCTATGCTGCATATGTCTATAATGCATATGTCTATGTTGCATATGTAGATGCTGCATATGTCTATAATGCATATGTCTATGTTGCATATGTAGATGCTGCATATGTCTATAATGCATATGTCTATGTTGCATATGTAGATGCTGCATATGTCTATAATGCATATGTCTATGTTGCATATGTAGATGCTGCATATGTAGATGCTGCATATGTCTATAATGCATATGTAGATGCTGCATATGTCTATGTTGCATCTGTAGATGCTGCATAGGTGCTGCATATGTCTATGTTGCATATGTCTATGTTGCATATGTCTATGTTGCATCTGTAGATGCTGCATAGGTGCTGCATATGTCTATGTTGCATATGTCTATGTTGCATATGTCTATGTTGCATATGTCTATGTTGCATATGTCTATGTTGCATATGTCTATGTTGCATATGTCTATGTTGCATATGTCTATGTTGCATATGTCTATGTTGCATATGTCTATGTTGCATATGTCTATGTTGCATCTGTAGATGCTGCATAGGTGCTGCATATGTCTATGTTGCATATGTCTATGTTGCATCTGTAGATGCTGCATATGTCTATGCTGCATATGTCTATGCTGCATATGTCTATGCTGCATATGTCTATAATGCATATGTCTATAATGCATATGTCTATGCTGCATATGTAGATGCTGACATATGCATTGTATGTCTACAATGCATATGTCTATGTTGCATATGTCTATGTTGCATCTGTAGATGCTGCATAGATGCTGCATATGTCTATGTTGCATATGTCTATGTTGCATCTGTAGATGCTGCATAGATGCTGCATATGTCTACAATGCATATGTCTATGTTGCATATGTCTATGTTGCATCTGTAGATGCTGCATAGATGCTGCATATGTCTACAATGCATATGTCTATGTTGCATATGTCTATGTTGCATATGTCTATGTTGCATATGTCTATGTTGCATATGTCTATGTTGCATATGTCTATGTTGCATATGTCTATGTTGCATATGTCTATGTTGCATATGTCTATGTTGCATATGTCTATGTTGCATCTGTAGATGCTGCATAGGTGCTGCATATTTCTATGTTGCATATGTCTATGTTGCATCTGTAGATGCTGCATAGGTGCTGCATATGTCTATGTTGCATATGTCTATGTTGCATATGTCTATGTTGCATATGTCTATGTTGCATATGTCTATGTTGCATATGTCTATGTTGCATCTGTAGATGCTGCATAGATGCTGCATATGTCTACAATGCATATGTCTATGTTGCATATGTCTATGTTGCATATGTCTATGTTGCATATGTCTATGTTGCATATGTCTATGTTGCATATGTCTATGTTGCATATGTCTATGTTGCATATGTCTATGTTGCATCTGTAGATGCTGCATAGGTGTTGCATATTTCTATGTTGCATATGTCTATGTTGCATCTGTAGATGCTGCATAGGTGCTGCATATGTCTATGTTGCATATGTCTATGTTGCATATGTCTATGTTGCATATGTCTATGTTGCATATGTAGACGCTGCATCGGTTAATGCCTTTGCTCTCAGCCGTTGGTCCTTGTCGTTGGTCTTTGATGCCTGTTCCCCTTTGCCATTAGAAAAAATGGAACTAGATTTTTTTGTGCTTATTAGAAATTACTGAAAGGTTGTCCTTTCATTATCAATAGCTCCAAAATGTTTAGATTTCGGCGAATCTTTTTTTAATCTTATTTACTTCAGGCATTAATTAGGAAGGATTATAATGGGGTGGGGGGGGGGGGGGGAGGTAAATTTATAGGCTTAAAACTTTAAAATAACCCCAAGGGACCCGCCTCTGTCCTGTGAATAAACGTGTGCTCACATTGGCAGAATTGAAAGTGCTTTAGATGGTATATAGTGTCTGGATCACCGTGGTTTTCAATCGCGGCTCATCCAACCGAACAATTTTTCCGACACTAGGGGGCGTAATAGTAACCTGACAACAGCCAGATGCATGTCTCGCTCCGCCCAGCTCCACTCACATACATCTGGGAACCCGCTCATAATTTTTTTTAACGTGAGATTAACGCTATGTGGTTTTATGGTACAATTTTCCAAGTACAGCCCGCTGCAGCCTGCGGGAAGGCGGGGCCATTTCCCCCCAGTCTATGCATTTTCCATAGGCTTCGAGAGCGGAGCTCCTCAAGGGAAAAAGACGCTCATACACTGGGTGGCGCTAGTGCCTTTTCTTTAAGCCCCACCACCAACAAACAAGTTGAGTGTCTGGTGCCTAGTAGCAACCTGAAATATGCTGAGAAAACAGATTACTGAGGTGAAATGGAATCTGCTACGGCACTCTTGCTGTCTGTGTACGCAAAGGTCAGTATCGTGTGAGTGTGTGTGTGTGTGTGTGTGTGTGTGTGTGTGTGTGTGTTCTCATTTTTGTTAAGAGGCTGAAAAGTAACTTTCTAGAGCATAGACTACCTCCATCTAGTGATGTCGGTCTATTGATTTTGATGTATTGATTGAAAATTGTTCATTATTATCTTGGTTAATTAACATCTAATGTTAACTCTACTACATTTTATAGCAGTAGGGTAAAATGCTTGTCTTTGTTCAAAAGACTGTATTGACCGTAAAGACTGTCTTTTACATCAGCCTGTTTTCAGGGCCTTTTTTTTTGGCTACATATTTCTTATTTTTCGCTACATGCTTCCCATCTTCTCGCCATGTTTCTATGGCATAAATCAGTGTCTGTGACCTGTTTTCATTTAAAAAAAGAACATTGGCACAAACCAAGCCTGTATGTATTTTTTGTATGTCATCAAGACTATTTAAAGGATTTTCAATCAGAAAAAAAATGTGCGATTAAAATGCGATTAATCGCGAGTTAACTTAGGCATTGATGCGATTAATCGCGATTAAAAAAATTTAATCGATTGACAGCACTAGTTTAAAGTTATCAAAATGCCACCCTTTTTTATTCAGAGGCCCTGGGGGATGGAGGACCAGTCCACTCAGCAGCCCAGCAGCAGCCTTCCACTTCACTTTGATAGCTGATATTTTAATTGCTTGATAAAAATGTACTTTTAAATTTTAAGTTTTAAAAACAAGATAATAGGCAATTTCACTAAAGTTAACACGCAGTACAAAGACATACCATAAATGTACTTCAATAAGTAAAATTATTTCAAAAAGAGAGGTTAGCTACTGCATATTATTCACATTTCCAACTCTCTACCTTTGTAATTTCAGGCTTGGCCAAACTAACTTGTTCACTAATGACACCCTGAACTGAATCATCCTGTGACTATTTTCTGTTGCTTTCTGCTTCGATGGTTTTATAGGAATCTATTGACCTAGAATACGCTGAAGCGACAATAACATAGGAACAAAAATGTCAATGTAATATTGTTAGAATTTACCTTTCATGCCACTGTAGAAAAGCTCAGAGCCTTATTTTCTGAACAAATATCTTTACTTGGGAACAAACAATGTATGTGGAAAACGATTGAGAAACAATTTAAAACTTCTTGTGTAACGATTGAAGCACCCCCCCGTAGAATAACTGCAGGGGTGGGGGACTCTAATGTTCCTATCATCTTGCTCAGTTGTGCAACGCGGCCTCCCACTTCTATTTCTACTCTGGTTAGAGCCTGTTTGTGCTGTCCTCTGAAGGGAGTAGTACACACCGTTGTAGGAAATCTTCAATTTCTTAGCAATTTCTCGCATGGAATAGGCTTCATTTCTAAGAACAAGAATAGACTGTTGAGTTTCAGATGAAAGTTCTCTTTTTCTGGCCATTTTGAGCTTTTAATTGACCCCACAAATGTGATGCTCCAGAAACTCAATCTGCTCAAAGGAAGGTCAGTTTTGTAGCTTCTGTAACGAGCTAAACTGTTTTCAGATGTGTAAACATGATTGCACAAGGGTTTCCTAATCATCAATTAGCCTTCTGAGCCAATGAGCAACACATTGTACCATTAGAACACTGGAGTGATAGTTGCTGGAAATGGGCCTCTATACACCTATGTAGATATTGCACCTAAAACCAGACATTTGCAGCTAGAATAGTCATTTACCACATTAGCAATGTATAGAGTGTATTTCTTTAAAGTTAAGACTAGTTTAAAGTTATCTTCATTGAAAAGTACTCTGCTTTTCCTTGTGTTTTTCCACTTCCTCACCGCCTCGGCCGTATCTAGACCCACAGCTAATTCCTGATTGGCCCTCTTGCGTTGTGGTGTGGAATAACATAGCACAGACCATGCTTCAATATTGGGCATAAATCAAAATATCTGCGACACGCTCACTGCCACAAACTGCTGTGGGAGGATAACCAGGCCTTAAGAAGCAATGGACTCTGTCTACAAACGTGGTTAAAGGAAGAGGAAAGGTGATGCAGAGAGCAGAGAGACAAAAAAAGAAGGCGCTGGAGAAGGAGCATGCAGCCAAACAGATTTATTTTTGCAGTAAAGTTATTGTCAGGGTTTGGTTGAGGTTTTGAGGACCCAAATGGAGAGGTCAGTTCTTGAAGATTTAATTGAGCACTCACAGGAAACTGAGGCAGGAATCCAAAAATCCAACATAACAAAAATACAGAAAAACCAGAACCTTGGAGACTTTAGATAAAACAAACATGAGGAGCCAGGAAAAGACAAAGAACCAGCACTGACGAACTGCACAGGGAGTTGGGTTGGGTATTGATAAGATTTTTATGATTCGATTCTTATCGATTCTCTAATCGATTCTGTTAACAATGAACTTGGTAACTGCACGGTGACATTCGTCTACCTTCTTCTGGGACGTTCTATCTCTGCCTGCCTCGGTGAAAACAAGGCAGTGAGCGGGAGCTTCAGCCTCTGGTCCAGCCAGGCTACCCATCTCCTTATAGTCATCTAGATCTAATGGAGAAGGAATCAGTTTATTAAAAAAGAATTACTGTACAATTTCGGGCAATAAACTCATCTCCCCCTGATTGAAATAAACGAGCGTCACCTTTTTCTCGCTCCCTGAACTGCGGAGCAACTTCGTAGCATGTTTAATAACCCAAAGAGAGGAAGAAAATGGGTTTATTTCCAGAAATGGCATCGGATTTACTAGGAACCACATTAAGCACAGCCAGTGACCTAAACTAGCTACTAACCACCAGAGTTGCCTTCCATGCTGGTCGTGACTTTAGCTTCTGTCCAGAAGCATCAAAAACACGGCATTCATTAAAATGTATGCCATGTTGTGTGCACAGGTGTTTCTGCATGTTGGACGTATTTCCTCCCGCAGATGTTATCGCCACTTTGCAATGATTGCAAATCGCCTTGTTGCTTTCTCTTCCTTAAAATGAAGCTAAACTTTTTGCTTTTCGAGACTTACGCCTGGTCACATCGTACTTGCTTACTGAATGCCGTGTGCGTAACTTGCGTAAAAAACATGACGTAAGTCGTCCTGCCCAGCGCTAGGCTCTGGTGCTGCTGGAATCGTTAAGAGAATCATGAAGCGAGCTGCCAAACGGTGCCATGGAATTGGAACACATGGAACCGGTTCTGAACAGGAACCACTTTTCGATTCCCATCCCTAACTGGGAGAGTATATATGGCTGACTGAACAAAGACGGGACTAATGAGCTGACTGGGAGCAGGTGTGAACAGAGGATTCTGGAAAGGTATTGATATCCAAAAGTGGAACGTACAGTAAATGAAATAAAGACTATTTAACGTCATCTTTTAATTTGAGCATTTCATTTTTATAAATGTATGCTTTCCTTCTCAAAGACCAGGGCGGCCTGGTCACATGATTGACTCCTGGCTTGAAAAACTCTCCCAGTCCAACTCTGAAGTCTACAAATAAAATCATGAAGTTCAGGAAAAACTCACATGAAGGGCAAAGAAATGACAAGGAACCAGACTGACCAGGAGGAGTACATATGGGAGACAGAAACAATGGGAGGACTAATTGGCAGATGAGTAGCAGGTGTGGAAAGAAGAATCTAGGAGGGAGCTAGTTGGTAGAGACTGACACAAGAGGGCAACAGAGGGTAAACAAGAAATACATAAGAACTCAAATACAACCAAAAAATAACTAGATAACAAAATGGAAATAAAACCAATGAAAACTCAAAGAGAAAATTTAAACAGAACCAAAACCACGACATACATGTTCAGTTTAGCTTTTAAATATGCACACTTTAATTAACAGCAGAAAAAATAAATTCAAGTGTTTAACAAGGTGGGAAATAAACGAGATTAAAAACTGGTTCAAAAAACATAAAATATACATTAAAACTCTGATTATTTATCTATTATTAAAAGCCCCATGCCTTTATGTGCGTTATCATTCACAATCATCTATAAATATGCTAAAAATATAACTTCTCCCTTCAGCTCATCAGCTGCTTCATACTTTAGAAACCAAAACCAGAAGAAATGTTTTTCTCAGTTCATAGGATTATTGCAGATTAATTCAATTCTATTCAGTTTATTTCTATAGCTCCAATTCACATCATGTCATCTCAGGTCACTTTCCAGTTCACCAGATCATCCAGTCAGATTGATTCAAAGTTTTCTATCTAAGGAAAACCAGCTGATTGCATCGACTCATTGACTCTTCAGCAATCCCTCACACTAAGCATGCTTGTAGCGACAGTGGAGAGGAAAAACTCCCTTTGAACAGGAAGAAACCTCCAGCAGAACCAGGTTCAGTGTGAGGTTAGGTAAATCCTTGAATCCTTGCCTTGCAGCAAGAAGGTTCAATTCCCAAACTTTCTGCATGGAACCCTTTGTTGCTACTTGAGAGATCCACTCAGACTACAAATACAAGCCCGGGTGTCCGATTCAGTCACACTTGATGGGGAATAAATCCATCAGAACCCATCCGATCCCCTAGTACAACCTTCAGCAGAGTGAAAGGTTCTGGAAAAGATCTCAGTAACGTTCAGAGGGAAGTAGTGTCCATCAGAGGAGGTCCCAGCCCCGACAGTCCTCTTTACGGGCCAGTTCTGGATTCCTACACCTGTTGCTCCTCTCCTTGGTTCTGTACCGGGTTCTCACCAGAAGCTGCTCCTCCTCCAGTCGCAGCTCCTGCTGCACCTCCATGGCTGCCTTGATTTCTTTTTCTGTCTCCTCGTCCTGGTGCTGCAGGAACAGCTGCTGCATGTCGATGCTCAGGTCCTTCAGAAAATGCTTTTGCTGCTGCGTCGATCTCTGCTGCTGACTGGCTGTCACTCTCTGATGGTCGTCTGAGGCCAACACCAAGTTCTGAGCCTGGTGCTGGAGGACCACAGAGAGCAGGGAGCGGTACATCTTCTCACTGGACTTGTCACTCTTCAGGAAGGGCTTCAGTTTTTCACCGGACCTCATCTTGTGGAGCAGCTTGTGGACCAACGTCCCCTGGTACAACCTGATGCAAAACATGGACTTAGATCACAAACCTTCAGAACCTTCATTCTAATCAGTTAAAGAAGCATTAAGTTCAGAGCTGACTGCAGTAACACATGGAGGATGTGACGGTAGGCGACTCACTAGCTTTGAACCTCAGAGTTCTTTCAGATGCGAAACATAATAGAAATAAAAAGTCTTGATTCTGCAACTTGAGTTTGATCTATTTCTTTAGTGAAATTAAGAAATGTAAAATCAAAGGATTAATTCTTAACTTCTTATCTAAATAAAATTCCTATGTGACGGTCAAAAGGCTGTGATGCTCCCAGGGGCGGGTTTAGGAAATTTGGGGCCCTAGGCAAAGACAGGCAGGGGAAGAAAACACATAAAACAGACCCATTCTACAGAAATGTTAATAGAATAGACATCCATTATCTGTTCTAGGTTTTGTCCCTCTCTTCTTGTCCCTTTTTCCTTTCTATTATCAGCGTTCTGATGGCATTTTAGCCAAAGGATTTTTATCAAAAACATAATTAATGTGCACAAATAAGGAATAGTTTTATTAACCATACATGTAAACAGAGTTTTATGGGGCCCCCAGGAACTTGGGGCCCCAGGCAAATGCCTAGTATTGCCTAATGGTAAACCCCCCCCTGGATGCTCCTAAGGCTCCCAGCTCCTGTTGTGATGGTGTTTGTGTATCCTGACAGTCCCACTCCAAACCAGCAGCCCATCAAAATGCACCGCAGTATCTAAATAAACATCTATATATACTTAAATACATTTCTTTATTACTAAATATGAATAATTTAGTTCTCACTTTCTTGAATTAACTCAAATTCTGCAAAACATAAGAAATGGCTCTAACAGAGGATGCAGTTTGTTTCGTAAAAACATCAGAGCAGAACACCACATTTATCTGCATACTGATTAAAAACAAGGGGTTGGCCAAAGAGCCGTACAACAGTGAAAACGAGAGAAAGTACGTAAAAAAAAAACCCACCCAAAAAAAAGAAAAAAAAAGAAATGAAAGCATTGTTGGGATCTGGAGGTCTGTCCACTTTCTCCACCAGAGGGCGTACGAGATCTCCTGGAGCCTGAGCCGACCACACCACCTGTCTCCCATCTGCTCATCAGGAGATCTGTGCTTAAGGAGGCGGAGGGCTTCACTCCAGTGCCAGTGTTTGCCAGTAACGGTTAGCAAGCCTGAGCCAACCTGCCTGTCTGTGATCTCTGACTTTTGTGAACCAAACCTGATCCCGTTTTTCTCCTCTCTGCTTCCCAGGTTGATCCTGCCTGAATACCTGAAACTCTGGAGAGTTTCTCTGCCGGTGATCTGTCTGCTCGTTCTCAGTAGAACTCTGGAGAGCAGCCTCTGTCAAGTATCTGCCTGCCCACTCTCAGCAGATTACTGGAAGGAAACTTAATGTGTGATCTGCCTGCACTCTGTAAGCTCTGCCTCCGCCTCTGCCCTCAGCCTGCCAACAACCTCTGGACCCTCAAGGTTCCCCCCCTCTGCAGCTCTGCTCCACTCCTGAACAGGTACAGACCTGAACACTCTCAACCTGCAAAACACCCGGACCTCCACTGATCTCTCTGTCCTCCTCAGCAGTGAACCCACTCGTGACCAGTCAAGTCCCCTCCTGGATCAGATCAAACTTTGTACATTTATTGTAAATAAATCTTTGAACTTTTCTTCTGCATGTGGGTTAGACACCTTAATCCGAACATGGCAAGCATCAAGGAAGCACAATAAAAAACAAAAAAAAAACTCCATCAGTATTTCTACCAAAATAACCTCCAGATGATTCAGGAAGAATTTGGGAAACTCACTCTGCAACACGTGGGTCTGGCAGAGGGAAGCCCAGCAGCTGGTTGAGATGGATGCTGTGCTTCAGAGACACCTGCCACTGGTTGAAGACGTAAGCTGCACTTATGTCCATCCTCTGTTTGCTGCTGTTTTTATGCAAAGCTGCAACAAAGACATACAAACGGTTAACCCTTTATAGGGCAATCAGTAAAATACTTTGAAAATCTAAATTTGAAGCCAATAGTGTCACTGGGTTCCAGGACAATACCTTATTACCTTTGTAACATTCAAAAAATATGGATATTTTGATGGCTAACATTAATGTCAATGTAATAATAAGAAACACCAACTTTCCTGAAATATATTAAGAAAAATAAACACGTGAAAAACACTCTGAGATTGATAGAAGCACATTTTTAATTTTGGTCAAACATAAGCTGAATATAATTGTTAAGAAGGCTTATTAACCTCGGAACTTTACTTTTTAACTTTTCAATTAGCTTTTTACTTTTCTTGATTTATATATCATTCAAAGGCTCGTTTAATTGGTCAAATGCCAAAAGAAGACGTACAGTCATGTAGCAGTATCTTTGCTGAATGGCTGGATATAGATGTTGTGCTTCTAGATCTCACTGAGGGACGGGGGTGGGACTCCATTTGTAAGGTGGATGCAAGTGATCAAAAATGGTAACTAGCCCTATGCGAACCTGTTCACATGAAAAATAAGAACTTAAAAAAAAAACACTTCTAAGTTCAGAATCAACAACTACATAAAATGACTGTTGTTGAACAGGAGACCCAACATGCATGTCACTGGACTACATTTACTTTAGCTTGTTATATAATTCAATTCTATTCAGTTTATTTCTATAGCTCCAATTCACATCATGTCATCTCAGGTCACTTTCCAGTTCACCAGATCATCCAGTCAGATTGATTCAAAGGTTTCTATCTAAGGAAAACCAGCTGATTGCATCGACTCATTGACTCTTCAGCAATCCCTCACACTAAGCATGCTTGTAGCGACAGTGGAGAGGAAAAACTCCCTTTGAACAGGAAGAAACCTCCAGCAGAACCAGGCTCAGTGTGAGCGGCCATCTGCTGAGGCCGACTGGGGTTCAAGCAGACTGGGGTCCATGGATGGATGGATGGATGGATGGATGGATGGATGGAGACCTTAGCCTTTAGGGGGAGGCTCAGGGTAAAGTTGCTGCTTTTCCTTAAAAGGAAGAAGAGTTAGCTGAGGTGGCTCTAACACCTGTTTTGGATGCTCCAGGGACCCCTACCTGAGGAAGGAGCGGAACAGAAAGAGGCTGAACCCTTCTGTCCTGGGCTGCACTCTGGACTCAGTGGAGGATTTCCTTATTTGTCAAACCGATGTCAAAGCATAACGTCACATAATGCTTGACATTCCTTATTTTAGGGAAGAAAGTGCTTCCTGTTGGAGTTGTCAAAATACAACTTTATTCTCGTTGTGACTTTCTTCTTGTAAATTACTTTATTTCTTGTAATATTACAACTTTATTCTCTTAATTTTATGACTTTATTCTCTTAGTTTTATGACTTTAATCTCGTTGTGACTTTTTTCTTGAAAATTACAAGTTTATTTCTTGTAATTTTACAACTTTATTCTCGTAATGTTATGACTTTATTCTCTTAATTTTATGATTTTAATCTCGTGACTTTTTTCTTGTAAATTACGACTTTATTTCTTGTAATTTTACAACTTTATTCACGTAATGTTATGACTTTATTCTCTTAATTTTATGATTTTAATCTCGTGACTTTTTTCTTGTAAATTACGACTTTATTTCTTGTAATTTTACAACTTTATTCACGTAATGTTATAACTTTATTCTCTTAATTTTATGACTTTAATCTTGTTGTGACTTTTTTTCTTGTAAATTATGACATTATTTCTTGTAATTTTACAACTTTATTCACGTAATGTTATGATTTTATTCTCTTAATTTTATGATTTTAATCTCGTGACTTTTTTCTTGTAAATTACGACTTTATTTCTTGTAATTTTACAACTTTATTCACGTAATGTTATAACTTTATTCTCTTAATTTTATGACTTTAATCTTGTGACTTTTTTTCTTGTAAATTATGACATTATTTCTTGTAATTTTACAACTTTATTCACGTAATGTTATGATTTTATTCTCGAAATAGAAAAAAAATCTCTAGTCTGGCCTAATACTCTGTCGTAAATTTGAAAAACTAAATATTTAGTTTGGAGCTAAATATTTAGCTCCAAACTAAATATTAATATAACAAAGATGTTTATAAATGAAAAAATGACTTCGAACAAAATAAACCCTTATTTTTCTCTTAAAACATGCTGTTATATAACCCCATGCACATTCTTCTTCTTTGACTATTTGAGCTGATGGAATGAGTACATTTCTCCACAGGCTGATCAATCAATCAATCAATCAATCAATCAATAACCTGGTCACAGTTACCTGCTGTGAACTTTAATGTGCTCCTGTTGCACATTCCCAGCAGCAGCGCCTTTAGCATTGTACGGTCTGGAGTAGGCTGAGCTTTCTGCAGCCAGTAGCAGGTCACGGCTGCTGGGAGTTTCAGCTCAGGTGGCAGAAGGCTCAGAGACTCCTCAGTCACTTCCAGAGCTTCCAGTAAGACCTGCAGACGGTCTGAGAGCTCTGCCTACGGATATGGTAAAGGAGAAAGACCATTCGTATGGTTACTCAATGGAATCTCTAGTGAGGGAAATATCTGAAAACAAATGGCAGACTTGATGCCTTCAGTTGAATGAAATCACCTTGTGCAGTGAGCTTAGTACAAGCTTCTTGCTGGTTCTGGTCAATATTGGTTTGACTTCTATGGATGTCACCTCCAGACCATCTCTGTCGATTTCGTCCACTAGGTTGGGCTTCCTCCTGCCCAGCAGCAGCCCATACAGCACCTGTCGGACTGGCCTGGAGATCAGGTTGGCGCTAGGCAGCGTTTCATCCTCAATGGAAAAACCAAGACCCATCTTATGGAGCCGCAGCACATCCAGGATATGCGGAGATAGCCGGGCTTGAGTCAGAGGCAGCAGCATCCAATTTGGGACAAGGTCAGCTTCCTAGAGAACAGAACGCTTGAAAATCAATCTAAAAATTGGTTTCTGGTCAATGTTAGCATAATTACTTCTGACTTCTACTCAGATCTAGAACTTCTAGAATGATCTTACTTGTCGAATATTCTAACATTAGGTCTTTACTTAGAGTGTACAACTGGCATTTAGGTATAGATCTAAATCAGTCCTAACAAGCTCTGTGTTTTTGGGTCATTCAGGTTCTAGGTACAGGTGTTCTGATGTAAACAGGGCTTAGAAATAAGTATTTCATCACCTCATCCAGTGCTGGAAACTCAGGCGGCACTCCATGAAGGAAGAACCTGTTCAGAGAGCTCGGTCGCAGCTGATAGTCCTCCATCCCTAGATGTAGTCTTTGGAGGACCTCCCTTTTGTTCTCGTTCAGTACTCCCATCAGGACCAGAGCTGCCTCAAAGGCTTCCTGGGTCTCCTCAAAGTTCTTCAACCAGCAGAGCAGCCCCTCCAGACGGCTGGGGGTCTCTGTGCCAGGTGGGGCAAAGTCATCCCATTTGACCACTTTCAGCTTCACATAGTCGTTACCAGCCAAGGCAGCAAAGGTAGGCAGGAGCTGAGGCTGGAGTCCAAAGAAGATGCAGAAGCTGGAGGAGTAGTACCTCCTACAGGAGATGAAGCTCAGAGAACCGCTCTGTTTCACCTTCTTCCAATGGAAATGAGTATAAGGCAAAAGTCCACCTGGTAAGTCAAAGATGTAGAAGTCGCTGTCATTGGACAGAACCGGGCACCGCCATTCTGCTGCCAGGGCAGCTATCTCCCGGTCAGCCTCTTCAAAACACTGGGCCACCGGAACCTGTAGTCGGGCCAATGTTTGTCTGAAGACCAGGTCCGCCATTCGAGGGAGGACGCTCATCTGTCTGCCACTGACTGCTGCTATGTGTCCCCTTATCACCCGGTCCTCAGTCCTCTTCGCCACTGTCTCCACCTTTTTATCAGTTACATCAGAACCTCCATCTAGAACCACATATGGAGAGATTTCACAGGTTCTGAGAGCTGTGATGAATCTCTCAATCAGGTTCTCATAGGCGGCATACTCTCCACCATGATTCTGGTCCAGACCTGGATGGAATAACCCAAGAACAGAGAGATTAGGCTGCTGACCAGGACCAGAGCCTGGCTTTCTCAATAAATAGAACCAGTACTCTGGTGACAAACTGATCATCAGAACCAGGAGTCCAGGGCTATGGCCATGCAGGTCCATTCTGGGGTTGGGGGGAATTAGAAGGACTGCTGCTGGACATTTCATCATCTCCTATGGATGATCCGCCTGGTCTTGTCTCTCATTGGTTAATTCTGTCTGTCTCCAAAATAGAGTGATCAGTTCCACTTTTACTGCTACTAACAGTACGTGTTTTCGTTTCTTTTTTTGACTTGAATGCTTGCTAATATATAAAGCCTGGAACTCAACGCTATTCCTGGGATTTTGAATTGAAAAAAGCTTCCTGGATGGGAAGCGAAACATATACAGTCATATGTTTACATTTATCACTGCTGCACTTTAAAAAAAGCAAAATGCCTTGAGAGCTGAACTGAACGAAATTTCTTTTTCTATACACTCTGTGTGTACAAAATGACAATAAAGTCTGTCTAAGTCTAAGATTTGATCTTAAGATATGGGTGCAATACCTTTTGTCAAAGTGTCATTTGTTGACCTCATAAGAAGGGGCAGGGCCCCAAGCAGATCTGGTACCTACACCTGTATTTGAGGGTCTGAGCGGCTCCCACAGAGAAATGGTATTTGAAGGCAGGATGGTAATCTGGATGAACTGGACTTTCTCATTTAAAAATATATCAAACCTACTTTTTACCCACTGATCACAGCAAATATAGCTGCCATTGTTAAAGGCAAAGAAAGGAGAGGATAGCTCCGCCCAATTTGCATCAAACCCACTTTTCGACGGTGCAGCCAGAGCACCAAAGATGCTTCAGCCGCGCGTCAGAATTAAACTTGTAAAAGCATCAAAAAAGAAGCATGCGCGTTTTTGCTGCTCCTGCTGCTTGCGGTTATCCTGATAACCAAGACTGAATGTGAGATAAATGTGTAGTTTAGTCTGGCCCCGAGGAATGAGACGTCGGAAGATTGTTGATGAGAACAACCCGTTGTCTTTCAAACCATGTCTGTGCCTATTGGCCAACGCTCTGACCAATGAGCGCAACTGACTGTGACATAGTCAGCACAACAGAAAGCTGGTGGGGGAGTGTAAACACACAGCCCGTCGGTAAAACGGCGAATACGTCCTTAAAAATGAATGAGCGTAGATCCTCTTCCTGCTGACATTTCAATGAAAACCCAATGTCTAATCCTTCCAAAACTGATTCCAAAGCTGAGTCAGACAAGAACTCTTCAATAGTTGTTACCATCTTCCTCGTTGTACTTTCTCCAGCGTGGCATGGCTTTGTTGTCCCGCCCTCAAAACCCCGCCCGCCTTGCATCCAAAAATTCAAAACACATCTCTGCGCTGTGATTGGCCCGCCAGTTCTAGGCTAGACCACTCGCAGGCAAGAATGATTTTGGCCGCCGGCGGGTGGGGCTAGTTACTAGGCTAGCATTCAATCTGAACGTAGCATAGCAGGAAACCCGCTCACCTGTAGTTCTGACAGTTCTGACAGTATATTAAATGTATTGAGTATGGTATCGAGTTTCGGCCAATGGGCTTGATGCACAACTCCACTACTTCCTGAACTTACTGGATGAACTGGATGAACTGATCAATCCAGGTGTGCCCAGCCATGGTTACCGAGGTCAGGCACACCTGGATTAATCAGCAAAGTAAGACAGAAAACAAAAGGTAAACAGGCCTATTTAAAGCACTCGGCTGTCACCATGTCTGTCACCACAGCAACTACACCCCATGTGATGCAAACACACCTATTATTATGGATCCTACATAATCCATTCACCAACATTCACGTTATTGCTTACCCCTTGATTGTGATTGACTGAATCACTTAACTTTAACCTCCAATTACACTTAGAAATAAATTCATAATTCACTGCTGGACATTGGCCCCTACCGCCCTAAACTCTGGCTGAGAAGCCACTGAAGATAGATGTATATAAATAATCTCAAAACAATTTGTGTTTTTATTACTAGGCTTCAGAATAATGATTTTAATGATGTTGGCCTCATTGTTGGGGAATCATTTACTTTTTCTAAACTCAATGCTCGCAGTAATCATTAACCATGTTTTATATTCTCTATGCTTTGATAGGATTCAACCGATTCAACTAGTCATTTGGGACAGTTGTGGGGAGTGGCCGACTCGTAGTTAGGGCATAGAGTTTGGAATCTTGAGGTTCTGAGTTTAAGCCCCGCTCCCACGGACTGCCACTCTGGGTCCCTGAGCAAGACCTTTAACCCCGAACTGCTCTCCAAGGGAATGGGTTAAATGCAGAGGTACATTTCTCCAATTTGAGATCAATAAAGTTCAATTATTATTATTATTTCCTCTCAATATCCCTCATATGATGCTGGATTTTAGAGTAAATTAGAGCCTGTTGGCCTTCTAGCTCCCCTGGATCAAAAGGCAAGCAGTTAGAGCACCTCTTTATGGTTTTTAGAGGGACTTAGTCAAAGTCTATACCTGATTATTACTCTTTGATTAGATATTTATACTATGACCGCCTCTAGTTTTTCAGTCTTGAACGAATAAGAAGAACCAGCCGCATAAAGAGTTAGAATCAGACTCAGACTGGGAACGATTTTCAGCCCTGGCATTTTTCCATCTACCACACATGGACAACCCCCCACCCCCCGAAAACGAGACAGTGAGTGCTGCTGCCAGACAGCCAGACAGCCACTCACACATACTCACCACATCAGCAGGGTTGCCAGATGTCACTGACTCACGTTTTCCAGCCCAAAAAAATTTTCATACGAATATGGATATACAAATAAGGCCCAATTTGAACCGAAGGCTATTGATCTCTTAGGCCATAAATCTAAAGAAAAACATTTTCTACCCATAGACGGCCATCCTAAACTGCCAGATCGGGAAACATCCCAACCTGGCAACAATGCACGTAAGACGGGAAACGTTAGCCTTTAGATGCACAACCCCATCATGCACTGCAACATTGTTAGGTTTATTCAATGATGATTATAAAATTAATGTGTGCTTATAAAACATTTGTGCAAGGGGATGCTCCACTCCTGTCTCATGATTCAGTCAGGAGACCAACCTGCCTTGTCATTCTGATGGAGCATCCTGTCTTTAGGAACTGATCAATTGTTCTGTCAGAACAATACTCTGTTTGTAACCATGCGTCATGTTCTGTTGGGGTTCAACTGTCTCTCCTTCCTGCAGAAATTTTATCCAGAAATTGTGTATTTCAGTTCTTCTTAAGCAAAAAACCTACATTTTATGAACCCGACAAACATATTTAAGCAAAATATTTGAACATAAATTCGCCAAATATAAGAGGAAAATCGTAGCTTGGTTTAAAAAAAGCATTTTAGTTTCATTATAATTTAGTTTGTTGCAAGAAATAGGATTTTACAGTTTGAAGAAATAGAAAATTACACCAAATGCCAACCGTCACAAAGATGAGCATAACAAGGAAGGGCTTTATATACTGCATGTATCACTAAGGTAGTTAACATTGGATTACTTCTTGAGCTCCTTGAGTTATTTACTGTCACAGGCAGGAGCCTCGGGTGGAGAGGACGTGTTTGGGCCGCTACGATTTAAGGAGAGCCGACCCTCGCACGCTTAAAGTAAGACCGGACCTATCACAGATCACCAGTCTGATCCTGGTTGGAATAAACATCAAAACACAGTGAGTTATGAGATGGATAAATTAATAACTTCAAGTTTTGTCCGGATGTGTAAACTCACTAAAAATCTCAAGATTTAAACATCTTTAAAAATTAAAATAAAAAGACTCATCTGCAGCTCAGAGAGGCGAGTCTCACCTGAGCCAAAGTACAGCAGGTAGTTCAGGTTGCAGCCGTCAATCACCAGCCGGCTCCTGTTGAACTGGACCTCACGGTAAACCTTCGGGTGTTTTTCCACGAAAGAAGCCAAGCCCTGGACGCCCATCTTCACTCTGTGCTGCTGATGTCTCAGTCAGCCTTTATATAGCAACTCCGCCTCTGTTTCATTAGGTTTCATTTTCCCAACATCATAACAGAGTCACACACTGACTGCTGCTGGGTTAAAAATAACATCAGCTGGACTGTGACCGCCTATAAACCGCCTATTTGTTTATGATCACAACAAAAAAGGTCAATAAAGGCAGGATCATTTCTCTGTGGACCTGAATGTCTGGTTGAGATCTAATATTTGTCGTTTCCTTACATAGTTGCATGTATTGTTTGGCTGTGACTCCATCCTGGAGAGAAATATCAGCTGTGCTGCTGCCATCAACACCTTTGTTTATAGATGTTGGAGATCAGCCTGTTTTTCAGTGTAGTCCTGTTTCTCTGACTGTGACTAACTGGATGTGCTCTCTTCATTCTCTGACATGGGAGCTGGCTCGGAGCTCGTCTGCCTGGCTGTGTGTTTCCTGGACGGGGCCGCCTGTGGAGCTGGTTGACAGTTGCCTTTTGTATCTATGCTTCTTTTTCTATGTCTACTTCTGTCTCCTTGAACCCCAGTGGGCCTCAGCAGATGGCCGCTCACACTGAGCCTGGTTCTGCTGGAGGTTTCTTCCTGTTCAAAGGGAGTTTTTCCTCTCCACTGTCGCTACAAGCATGCTTAGTGTGAGGGATTGCTGAAGAGTCAATGAGTCGATGCAATCAGCTGGTTTTCCTTAGATAGAAAACTTTGAATCAATCTGACTGGATGATCTGGTGAACTGGAAAGTGACCTGAGATGACATGATGTGAATTGGAGCTATAGAAATAAACTGAATAGAATTGAATTATTTTAATTTTACAGGGCAAATTTTTGTTTTAACAAAAGATATTTTACGTCAGTATTTTCTGTTGTCATTAGCAGCATAAAGTCGAGAAGTTCAATGTAAACAATTGATCTAAAAATAAGTTATTTTCCTAAAATAAGTGTATTTTTCCTTAATTTGAACAAGTTACATATTGTGCACTTATAATAATAAGGGTTTTTTGTGTTTACTGTAAACATTGATCATCTTTTTCCAAAGGCAAATTGTCTTACTCACCTGCTCAAGTTAAGGGGAAATCCACTTATTTTAAGATAAATGGACTTACTTGTTACTTTTGTATTTTTTATTTTTTTTAGGGTTCCTCTTGGCTGCTTCTAGGATTAATTTCCTCCCAGTCTGTAAATCTAACTTGTAAACTCAGATTGCAGATTTTCAAATAACCTGATCCTCCTTTAAATTGAACCAGAACTTTCTTTACTGGGTTCCTTAGTCTTTGTGGTTCTGACCGTTCTCCTCCTGCTAATAGCCTCTGAGGCCAGAAGCAGCAGCAGTTGGATTCAGATTTAGAGGCATCAGAATGTAAGGATGGGGGTGGGGCTGTATTGCGTTTCATGCCATGTTTTTATCCAGTTCAGGTTTCGGTTCCGTAAATCCTTCCCAGTGAGGCTGGAACAAGAGAAAGAGAAAATCTGGTTGGTCTGGAAATGGAAAGTGAAACTTAAGGAAACAATGAGCTGGAAAGAAAGCAGAAAACAGAACCAGATGAGAACAGAACCAGATGAGAACAGAACCAGGTGAGAACAGAACCAGATGAGAACAGAACCAGGTGAGAACAGAACCAGATGAGAACAGAACCAGATGAGAACAGAACCAGGTGAGATCAGAACCAGATGAGAACAGAACCAGGTGAGATCAGAACCAGATGAGAACAGAACCAGGTGAGAACAGAACCAGATAGCACAGAACCAGGTGAGAAGAGAACCTGGTGAGAACAGAACCAGGTGAGAACAGAACCAGGTGAGATCAGAACCAGATGAGAACAGAACCAGGTGAGAACAGAACCAGATGAGAACAGAACCAGGTAAGAACAGAACCAGATGAGAACAGAACCTGGTGAGAACAGAACCAGATGAAAACAGAACCAGGTGAGAACAGAACCAGGTAAGAACAGAACCAGGTGAGAACAGAACCAGATAGCACAGAACCAGGTGAGAACAGAACCAGGTGAGAACAGAACCAGGTGAGAACAGAACCAGGTGAGATCAGAACCAGGTGAGAACAGAACCAGGTGAGATCAGAACCAGATGAGAACAGAACCAGATGAGAACAGAACCAGGTGAGAACAGAACCAGGTGAGAACAGAACCAGATAGCACAGAACCAGGTGAGAACAGAACCAGATGAGAACAGAACCAGATGAGAACAGAACCAGGTGAGAACAGAACCAGGTGAGAACAGAATCAGGTGAGAACAGAACCAGGTGAGAACAGAACCAGGTGAGAACAGAACCAGGTGAGATCAGAACCAGGTGAGAACAGAACCAGGTGAGATCAGAACCAGATGAGAACAGAACCAGATGAGAACAGAACCAGGTGAGAACAGAACCAGGTGAGAACAGAACCAGATAGCACAGAACCAGGTGAGAACAGAACCAGATGAGAACAGAACCAGGTGAGAACAGAACCAGATGAGAACAGAACCAGATGAAAACAGAACCAGGTGAGAACAGAACCAGGTGAGAACAGAATCAGGTAAGAACAGAACCAGGTGAGAACAGAACCAGATAGCACAGAACCAGGTGAGAACAGAACCAGGTGAGAACAGAACCAGGTGAGAACAGAACCAGGTGAGATCAGAACCAGATGAGAACAGAACCAGGTGAGAACAGAACCAGGTGAGAACAGAACCAGATGAGAACAGAACCAGGTGAGAACAGAACCAGATGAGAACAGAACCAGGTGAGATCAGAACCAGATGAGAACAGAACCAGGTGAGAACAGAACCAGATGAGAACAGAACCAGGTGAGATCAGAACCAGGTGAGAACAGAACCAGGTGAGATCAGAACCAGATGAGAACAGAACCAGATGAGAACAGAACCAGGTGAGAACAGAACCAGATGAGAACAGAACCAGGTGAGAACAGAACCAGATGAGAACAGAACCAGGTGAGAACAGAACCAGATGAGATCAGAACCAGATGAGAACAGAACCAGGTGAGAACAGAACCAGATGAGAACAGAACCAGATGAGAACAGAACCAGGTGAGAACAGAATCAGGTAAGAACAGAACCAGGTGAGAACAGAACCAGGTGAGAACAGAACCAGGTGAGATCAGAACCAGGTGAGAACAGAACCAGGTGAGATCAGAACCAGATGAGAACAGAACCAGATGAGAACAGAACCAGGTGAGAACAGAACCAGGTGAGAACAGAACCAGATGAGAACAGAACCAGGTGAGAACAGAACCAGATGAGAACAGAACCAGGTGAGAACAGAACCAGATGAGAACAGAACCAGGTGAGAACAGAACCAGGTGAGAACAGAACCAGATGAGAACAGAACCAGGTGAGAACAGAACCAGGTGAGAACAGAACCAGATGAGAACAGAACCAGGTGAGAACAGAACCAGGTGAGAACAGAACCAGATGAGAACAGAACCAGGTGAGAACAGAACCAGATAGCACAGAACCAGGTGAGAACAGAACCAGATGAGAACAGAACCAGGTGAGAACAGAACCAGATGAGAACAGAACCAGATGAAAACAGAACCAGGTGAGAACAGAACCAGGTGAGAACAGAATCAGGTAAGAACAGAACCAGGTGAGAACAGAACCAGATAGCACAGAACCAGGTGAGAACAGAACCAGGTGAGAACAGAACCAGGTGAGAACAGAACCAGGTGAGATCAGAACCAGGTGAGAACAGAACCAGGTGAGATCAGAACCAGATGAGAACAGAACCAGATGAGAACAGAACCAGGTGAGAACAGAACCAGGTGAGAACAGAACCAGATAGCACAGAACCAGGTGAGAACAGAACCAGATGAGAACAGAACCAGGTGAGAACAGAACCAGATGAGAACAGAACCAGGTGAGAACAGAACCAGGTGAGAACAGAACCAGATGAGAACAGAACCAGGTGAGATCAGAACCAGGTGAGATCAGAACCAGATGAGAACAGAACCAGATGAGAACAGAACCAGGTGAGATCAGAACCAGGTGAGAACAGAACCAGGTGAGATCAGAACCAGATGAGAACAGAACCAGATGAGAACAGAACCAGGTGAGAACAGAACCAGATAGCACAGAACCAGGTGAGAACAGAACCAGATGAGAACAGAACCAGATGAGAACAGAACCAGGTGAGAACAGAACCAGATAGCACAGAACCAGGTGAGAACAGAACCAGGTGAGATCAGAACCAGATGAGAACAGAACCAGGTGAGAACAGAACCAGATGAGAACAGAACCAGGTGAGAACAGAACCAGATAGCACAGAACCAGGTGAGAACAGAACCAGGTGAGAACAGAACCAGGTGAGATCAGACCCAGATGAGAACAGAACCAGGTGAGATCAGAACCAGATGAGAACAGAACCAGGTAAGAACAGAACCAGATGAGAACAGAACCAGGTGAGATCAGAACCAGATGAGAACAGAACCAGATGAGAACAGAACCTGGTGAGAACAGAACCAGATGAAAACAGAACCAGGTGAGATCAGACCCAGATGAGAACAGAACCAGGTGAGATCAGAACCAGATGAGAACAGAACCTGGTGAGAACAGAACCAGATGAAAACAGAACCAGGTGAGAACAGAACCAGGTGAGAACAGAATCAGGTAAGAACAGAACCAGGTGAGAACAGAACCAGGTGAGAACAGAATCAGGTAAGAACAGAACCAGGTGAGAACAGAACCAGATGAGAACAGAACCTGGTGAGAACAGAACCAGATGAAAACAGAACCAGGTGAGATCAGACCCAGATGAGAACAGAACCAGGTGAGATCAGAACCAGATGAGAACAGAACCAGATGAGAACAGAACCTGGTGAGAACAGAACCAGATGAAAACAGAACCAGGTGAGAACAGAACCAGGTGAGAACAGAATCAGGTAAGAACAGAACCAGGTGAGAACAGAACCAGGTGAGAACAGAATCAGGTAAGAACAGAACCAGGTGAGATCAGAACCAGATGAGAACAGAACCAGGTAAGAACAGAACCAGATGAGAACAGAACCTGGTGAGAACAGAACCAGATGAAAACAGAACCAGGTAAGAACAGAACCAGATGAGAACAGAACCTGGTGAGAACAGAACCAGGTGAGAACAGAACCAGGTGAGAACAGAACCAGGTGAGAACAGAATCAGGTAAGAACAGAACCAGATGAGAACAGAACCAGGTAAGAACAGAACCAGATGAGAACAGAACCTGGTGAGAACAGAACCAGATGAAAACAGAACCAGGTAAGAACAGAACCAGATGAGAACAGAACCAGGTAAGAACAGAACCAGGTGAGAACAGAACCAGGTGAGAACAGAACCAGGTAAGAACAGAACCAGGTGAGAACAGAACCAGGTGAGAACAGAACCAGATGAGAACAGAACCAGGTGAGATCAGAACCAGATGAGAACAGAACCAGGTGAGAACAGAACCAGATGAGATCAGAACCAGGTGAGATCAGAACCAGGTGAGAACAGAACCAGGTGAGAACAGAACCAGATGAGAACAGAACCAGATGAGAACAGAACCATTAGGCAAAACTAGGCAGTTGCCTATAAGGCCTTAAATCTCCTTTTACATTCATGGTTATTATTACAGCTATTACTTATTTGTGCACATTATTTATGTTTTTGATTAAAACCCTTTCATTAAAATGCCACCAGAACGCTTATGTCATGATGGGCCTAATATTTTTTGCCCACCTGCAGACACTCAGAGAGATTTTAAAAGTTAGAATGTTTATTTACAGTTAAGTAAAAACAGAAACCAGGCCAACACAGCTTGGTGGGACCTGCGGCCAGGAATCCAGGTGCGACTTCACATACAGAGGGAAAAGGTGAGATGACAGTTGGTGGGGAAATGCAGAAGAATGATGCTCTGTTCTTACTTGAATAGCTGCCAGAATTGGAGGGTGGTACGTGGTTCCAGTTTGTGGGGGGGTTGGCTGGTTGAAGGTGGACGAGACGCTGGAAGGCGGACAGGTAAGTTTATGGTAGCACAGAGGAGCAGCGGAGCAGACTGTCAACTGGAGACTTTGATGAGGCCGGTGCTCAGAGGAGAGGAGTTGTGGAACTCTCTGCATCTCGAGAGGATTTCTTCCAGGGCTGGGATGACTCAAAAAATCCCAGAGGGTCTGAAGGTTTCCCAAAACAGGCAAAAATCTGGCGAAGAGATGATGACAGTCAGCTGCTCATATGCTCCTCTGAGGCAATGATGATTCTTTGCAGGAGTTGAAACGTGTCAGCAAGCCCTCCAAGACAAAGTAACTAGATGGCACCCTCTGGTGGACAAACGGTGGAACTGTAAAGGAAAACTAACCCCGCAAACTGGAATCGGAGAAAGATCTGACAGTTTATCTGTATTAATTAAATTTGAAGAAGGGCATTAACCCATTAAAGTTTTCATTGGTTACATGAGCTATAATGTTAAAATCTACAATCCTCCACCTTTGAGATGCTTTAAATGCCAAAAATTCTGAGACATAGCAGCAGTTAGTAAAGGAAAACAGAGATGTGGAAGGTGCGCAGGAGAGCATGAGTACGGAAAATGTGGAAAAGAAGCTCAAATCAAATGCTGTAATTGTGGTGGAGAACATACTGCTGCTTATTGCGGCTGTGTAGTTAGCAAAAGGTCTAAAGAAATAAAAAAATAACTTCTGCTGAAGCTGCAAAAAGGTTCCCATCTCAGTTAGAAAAAAACAAACCAACAGTTCAGCACATGGCAAACTCAAACCTCTGGAGAAATGTCTCATCATTGAAGAAGACTCACTAATTGTTAAAAAGAAAGATTTTGTTCTTTTCATGGTGGAAGTGATCAACTGTAGTGCACAGACGACAAGAAAAACCGAAAAAATCTAAATAATAGTGAAAGCTGCAGAAAAATATCTGGAAGTTAAAGCTACAGTGTGTAATAATTACAGGCATATAAATTCAGAAATTTAATATATTATACATAACTATGTTATTTATCATCACCTATGAGCTCAGCCTTTTAACCATAATATTTGCGTTGCCTTAGAATTCGTTATTTATAATTACATAGGAGCGGGTCTCGCAGCCATGGAGGCTGACATCTTTGCGCTACGGCAGCGCAGAGGCAACAAACTAGCGATTGCGAGATCTCCCATGACGCTCGAAAATAACTACGGCAAGTTGAGAGAGATGAACTGAGACGGTACTGAACAGTAGATGGCAGTATTATGCCTGAGAAGCGTTTAGTCTGCCTGAAACCAAAGAAGAAGAAGAAGCAGGTATACGGCGCTTCAGTAACAAGAAAGGTGAACAAGGCGGCAGGCGTGAGTGACTTTGCAAACTGTTTGGCACTGTGTGGCCAAACATCAGACGAATGGAGGATCATGCCTACTCTGTATCACAACGAAAAGCGGCGGACACCGAACCCCCGTCATCTAAGAAGCGGAAACACGACGAGAATAAACGCAAGAGTGACAAGAAACGACAAAAAACACGGATCAACATTGGCACGGCATTTACACGATGGAAGTCACTGATGGAGGAAAAAGGTTTTCAAAGTGACGCTCAAGTTGCCAGTTTTCTCATGGACAGGTAATTAATCCTACACACACAATTGTCTAATATCACTGCAGTTTTTGGAGTACAGGATGCTCAGACCTGTCTAAAACAATAACATGCTGCGTGATGATGCTGTTACTCTCCAGTACACTTATTCAGCAACGTCCCTGACATTTCACAGGTAATGATTCAGTAATTTTCTGTAAAATAATTTTCTGGATATATACCTCGGTTACTTCTCTCCGGCTCCTTTGGAGATCTTCAAGCCTTTCCTCCTCTGCTCTCACCCCGCTGGCTCCCCTCTCTCGCCTGGCCCCAGCTGCACGCTCACCCCGGCCTCTCTGCCCTCTTCCTTTCCCTCTTCCTTGCCTTGTAACCCCCGTGCCACAAACAAGACTTGGACTCTGTAAACGGGGAATATATATTCTTCCAGCGAACACAATCTCGCTGTTAAACTAATGACTACAATTACTTCGTCTGTTTATATCACCATGCAAAGCAGCTCACCAAAACGTCACAACGACGTAGAAAAAATAACGGGTATATTTATTATCTTAAGTCTACATGAAATCTATACCCTACACAGACTAATGAAATACTATCTGTAAAATTATCTATGTAAACAAACCTCATCACTTGAGAAGGTAGGTGATGCGGACGTCGTGGAAGACATTTTGTCCCGTAACGCTCGCCGTACTGTTGGGGGGGAGAAGCGGTGGGGGGGAGACGTTCATGTTGCTGCAGTCTGCAGTCTGACCGCTAGATGTCGCTGAAAATTACACACTGTAGCTTTAAAGATTTCAACTGGGAATTGGTGGAAAATATGATGGGAAAACAAATAGGACCACCAGAAACTGGCAGAGTGACAATGACTTAAAGATAAATTAAAATTATGAGGGCAAATTTTATTAAGTATTTATTAGGTTGGGTTAAGTTACAGTTTTTTTTCTTCTGTTTCGTTTCCTGTTTCCATGCTTTACTCCTTACCAGTTGGTGGCGGTAATGCACTTCTCACTAGTTTGCCAACCGCGATAAAAACTCTCAAGAAGAAGAAGCGCAGCACGCTCTGATCTCCAGCTGCAGCTCCGCAGGATAACCTCCTCTGCCGTCCACCTCGGAGCTCCTTCTGCGCCTCCTGCTCTCCAGAATGTCCGCTGTCAGAGTCCTGAGGAGCCGCCGGCTCCTCCGGCAGCTTCCCTCCGGCCTCCCGGCCTCCCTGCGTAGACACTACAGCTTGGACGTCCCCGCTGCGCTGCTCCGGACTCAGGGCTACTTTGGCGGCCGCTGGGTCTCTGCAGCCTCGGTGTTCCCGGTCCTGGACCCAGCCACCGGAAAGGAGCTGGCCCAGGTTTCTGACTGCGGCCCAGCAGAGGCCAAACAGGCGGTGGATGCCGCCTATGAGGCGTTTCAGTCCTGGAAGCAGACCACCGCCAAGGTAGGAGGCTCCTGGCTGCTCTGCAGAATTCCTTTTAAAATATACAGTTTTTAAAATAATTCAGGATATTTAGCAAATAAAGGCACAGAACCACCTGTGCATCTGGCCTCTGGTTTATTATTAAACACTCTTTAATTCGGCTTCCACATATTTGACCACAAACGTCTTTTTGATTTAAAATTTAGCTTTGATCAGCAGTTTCTCCCCAAAATAAGTAACATTCGCCCAGATATTGGACGCTTGAAAATTTAGGGAAAAATGTAAGAGATACGGAGGGGATAGGGCCACTGAAAAAATAAAAAAGGCTTATTGATTTTTAAATTTTATTTCAGTATAATATAAGAAAAAATCAGAAGTTTGACTTTTTTCAGAATTCTGACTTTTTTCTATATTATACTGAAATAAAAATTTAAAATGAGTTAAGCTTTTTTATATTTTCAGTGGCTCTAATCCTCTTCTGTATTCAGAGGATGGTAAAAATATAAAGAACAAAATAAGATGTGGCTCATTTGATCAGTCATGTTATCATCATTCAATTAATAAATTGATTTATATCACATTTACAAACTTAATATTTAAGTTGTTAAACTTTTTATGCAACAAAATATTTAGCTTCAAATAAAAAAAAAATCCAATTTAAATATTTATGTCCAATTTAAATGTTGAGATTAAATGTTTATTTCACAAAATAAATATTTGGCTTTAAAACTGGATATTTAGTTCCAAATAATTTACTTATATTGATTTCTGAATTTAATAAACAGAGTTTTGGTTTGTAAGCTAAATATTTCAATTGGAGGCAAAAATCTAAATTGTAAATATAAAAATATTTGGCTTGCATTTAAACATTTAGTTTAGAGCAAAATATTAAATTCAAAGTGAATAATATCTGCAGGTCACTCTGATTTCCAACGGGTATTTAATTTATTGTAGTAAATAAAAAAGTAATTAAAAACTTAGATCATTTTTATTTTACATATTTATCCATCCATCCATCCATCTTCCTCCGCTTATCCGGGGTCGGGTCGCGGGGGCAGCAGCTTAAGAAGGGAGGCCCAGACTTCCCTCTCCCCAGCCACTTCTTCCAGCTCTTCAGGAGGAACCCCAAGGCGTTCCCAGGCCAGCCGAGAAACATAGTCTCTCCAGCGTGTCCTGGGTCTTCCCCGGGGCCTCCCCCCGGTGGGACGTGCCCGGAACACCTCACCAGGGAGGCGTCCAGGAGGCATCCTAAACAGATGCCCAAGCCACCTCAACTGGCTCCTCTCGACGTGGAGGAGCAGCGGCTCTACTCCGAGTCCCTCCCGGATGACCGAGCTTCTCACCCTATCTCTAAGGGAGAGCCCAGCCACCCTACGGAGGAAACCCATTTCGGCCGCTTGTATCCGCGATCTCGTTCTTTCGGTCATGACCCAGAGTTCATGACCATAGATGAGGGTAGGAACGTAGATCGACCGGTAAATCGAGAGCTTCGCTTTTTGACTCAGCTCTCTCTTCACCACGACGGACCGGTACAGTGCCCGCTTCACGGCAGACGCTGCACCAATCCGCCTGTCGATCTCCCGCTACCTTCTTCCCTCATTCGTGAACAAGATCCCAAGATACTTAAACTCCTCCACTTGGGGCAGGACACCCCCCCTGACCCGGAGAAGGCACTCTACCCTTTTCCGGCTCAAGACCATGGCCTCGGATTTGGAGGCACTGATCCCCATCCCGGCCGCTTCACACTCGGCTGCGAACCGATCCAGCGAGAGCTGCAGATCACGACTTGATGAAGCCAACAGGACCACATCATCTGCAAAAAGCAGAGACGCAATCCTAAGGCCACCAAAACGGATCCCCTCAACACCTTGGCTGCGCCTAGAAATTCTGTCCATGAAGGTAATGAACAGAATCGGTGACAAAGGGCAGCCCTGGCGGAGTCCAACTCTCACTGGAAACGAGCCCGACTTACTGCCGGCAATGCGGACCAGACTCTGACACCGGTCATACAGGGACCTGACAGCCCGTATCAAAGGGCCCGGTACCCCGTACTCCCGGAGAACCCCCCACAGGGCCCCCCGAGGGACACGGTCGAACGCCTTCTCCAAGTCCACAAAGCACATGTAGACTGGTTGGGCGAACTCCCATGCACCCTCCAGGACCCTGCTGAGGGTGTAGAGCTGGTCCAGCGTTCCACGACCAGGACGGAAACCACACTGCTCTTCCTGAATCCGAGGTTCGACTATCCAACGGACCCTCCTCTCCAGCACCCCCGAATAGACCTTGCCGGGGAGGCTTAAGAGTGCGACTCCCCTGTAATTGGAGCACACCCTCCGGTCCCCCTTTTTGAATAGGGGGACCACCACCCCAGTCTGCCAATCCAGGGGGACTGCCCCCGATGTCCATGCAATGTTGAAGAGTCGTGTCAGCCAACACAACCCCACAACATCCAGGACCTTGAGGAACTCCGGGCGGATCTCATCCACCCCCGGGGCCCTGCCACCGAGGAGCTTTTTAACCACCTCGGCGACCTCGCCCACAGAGATTGGAGAGCCCAGCCCAGAGTCCCCAGGCCCAGCTTCCTCAATGGAAGACATGTTGGTGGGATTGAGGAGGTCTTCGAAGTATTCCGCCCACCGACCCACAACGTCCCGAGTCGAGGTCAGCAGCACACCATCCCCACTATAAACAGTGTTGGTGCTGCACCGCTTCCCCCTCCTGAGACGCCGGATGGCGGACCAGAATCGCTTCGGAGCCGTGCGGAAGTCTTTCTCCATGGCCTCTCCAAACTCCTCCCACACCCGAGTTTTTGCCTCAGCAACCATCCGAGCCGCATGCTGCTTCGCCCGCCGGTACCCATCAGCTGATTCCGGAGTCCCACAGGCCAAAAAGGCCCGATAGGCCTCCTTCTTCAACCTGACAGCATCCCTCACCGGAGGTGTCCACCAACGGGTTCGAGGGTTGCCGCCACGACAGGCACCGACAACCTTGCGGCCGCAGCTCAGATAAGCCGCCTCGACAATGGAGGAACGGAACATGGTCCACTCGGACTCAATGTCCCCCACCTCCCCCGGGATGTGTTCGAAGTTCTGCCGGAGATGGGAGTTAAAGCTCCGCCTAACAGGGGACTCCGCCAGACGTTCCCAGCAGACCCTCACAACACGTTTGGGCCTGCCAGGTCTGACCGGCATCCTCCCCCACCACCGGAGCCAACTCACCACCAGGTAGTGGTCAGTGGAAAGCTCAGCACCTCTCTTCACCCGAGTGTCCAAGACATACGGCTGCAAGTCCGATGAAACGATGACAAAGTCGATCATCGAACTGCGCCTAGGGTGTCCTGGTGCCATGTGCACATATGGACACCCTTATGCTTGAACATGGTGTTCGTTATGGACAATCCATGACGAGCACAGAAGTCCAACAACAGAACACCACTCGAGTTCAGATCAGGGCGGCCATTCCTCCCAACCACGCCCCTCCAGGTCTCACTGTCATTGCCCACGTGAGCGTTGAAGTCTCCCAGCAGAACAAGGGAGTCCCCAGGAGGGGCACCCTCCAGTACCCCCCCTAAGGACTCCAAGAAGGGTGGGTAATCTGAACTGTTGTTCGGCCCGTAAGCACAGACAACAGTCAGAACCTGTCTCCCCACCCGTAGGCGGAGGGAGGCTACCCTCTCGTTCACCGGGGTGAACCCCAACGTGCAGGCACCGAGATGGGGGGCAACAAGTATGCCCACTCCTGCCCGGCGCCTCTCACCGTGGGCAACTCCAGAGTGGAAGTATGTCCAGCCCCTCTCAAGGAGAATGGTTCCAGAACCAGAACCATGTGCCGAGTTGAGACCAACTATTTCTAGCCAGAACCTCTCAGCCTCACACACTAGCTCCGGTTCCTTCCCCACCAGCGAGGTGACATTCCACGTCCCTAGAGCCAGCTTCTGCAGCCGAGGATCGGACCGCCAGGGTCCCCTCCCTCGGCCTCCACCCAACACACATTGCACTCGACCCCTATGGCCCCTCTCACGGGTGGTGGGCCCATGTAAGGGGGGACCCATGTTTCCTCTTTGGGCTGAGCCTGGCCGGGCCCCATGGGTAAAAGCCCGGCCACCAGGCACTCGCCATCGTGCCCCCCCTTCAGGCCTGGCTCCAGAGTGGGGCCCCGGTGACCCGCGTCCGGGCGAGGGAACGCAGGATCCAAGGGTTGTAGTCATCATAAGGGTCTTCGGGCTGCACTTTGTCTGGTTCCTCACCTAGGACCTGTCTGCCTTGGGTGACCCTACCAGGGGCAAAAAGCCCCAGACAGCATAGCTCCCAGGATCATTGGGACACTCAAACCTCTCCACCACGATAAGGTGGCAGCCCAAGGAGAGGTTTTACATATTTAATTTTTTTAAAATAAATATTTCATTTATAAATATATAATGTATTAAACATAAAATAAAATGGAAATAAACTAAAGAAATACATTTTTTTTTCTTATTCCAGGCTAAATAGCTCAAAATAACTTTCCAAATGGTTCCCAGTACAGTTCAATGGGCTGAAACAGACCCAGCTTCATCAAACCTGGAACATCAAGTTTATCTTGTCAAGAAAAAGAAAAGACGTTAACTCTGAACTTAAAATTAAAAAGAAACACATTTTTTTCATTTGAACAAACTAGTTAAATAGTTAGACAAACTAAATTTATCTGTACTTTCTGTAATTCCCTTAGTCCTTGTAGCTGCCAGTGTTGTTGAAGGTAACAGTCTGTGTTTTGGTTTTATAGGGTCAGAATATAAAGGTTTTTTCTCCACAGTCTCGTGAATAGAATAATATCTGAGGTCATGCAGACGCCAGAAGGTCTGATGTGATTGTTGTTCTGCAGGAGAGGAGCCTCCTGCTGAGGAAGTGGTTTGATCTGCTCAACCGCCACAAAGAAGACTTGGCCAAGCTGATCACGTTTGAAAGTGTGAGTGAAGTTTTCCTTCAGCAGTCAGAACAGGCGAGGTCTTCAGTTCCCCTGTAAAGGGGTTGGGAGAAGGAAGCTAATCTTAAATCTCTGCAAAGGGGAAGAAGCTAACCTGACGTGTGTGTTTGCTGCAGGGTAAACCCATGCGGGAGTCTCTCGGAGAGATGGCGTACTCCGCCGCCTTCCTGGAGTGGTTTTCAGAGGAAGCTCGGAGAGTTTACGGAGACATCGTACCGTCTCCAGTTAAAGACAGACGGATCCTGCTGCTCAAACAGCCAGTAGGAGTGGCCAGCATTATTACTCCGGTGAGCAGATGGGTCACAGGATAGAGATTTATGGGGAGTTTGTTCCAGATTGTTCCAGATGCTCCAGTTTCTGATTCTTTAAGGCACGATAAAAGACTGAAGTTCCTCTGTGTGATCTTTATTAAAGGTACACTATGCAACCGGTGTTGATTTTCCAGCGAGGCTCCCCCCAGAGGGCGAAAGTAAAAGTGCACTGTCATAAATATGCTCAGCTGTTCTCCTGGTGTCTCCGTCAAGCCAGGCGCGGTTGTTTTGAGCTTAGCAGACAGGCGAACGCAACGAATGACTAATGCTGCGTTCACACCGCAGCTGGCGCGACAGAAGCAGCGAGTTTACATGCAAAGTCAATGGTTGACGCGCGTCAAGGCGCAGCAAAAGGTCCTGCAGCGCGTCTGAGCAGCTCAAGCAGCGCGTCGGGCGCGTTTAATCATCTGACGCAGGGAGAGAGACACAGCGCTGATGATCAGAGGCTATGATCACTCCTCTTAAACAGTTTATTGACGCCTAAATTAACTTAAAATGCAGAAATCTGCCGGCAGAATATGCAGTTTGGATTATTTAGATGAAAAACACCTACCAGCTGCCGCGGTGAACCGCTGCTGATGAAGGGATCCATACTGTCGGCGCACCGCTGGTATGTGGGGGTCTGAGCGTCTCCGACAGAAAAAATATTGAAGGCAGGATAATAATCTGAATGAACTGACTGCACTGATTACGTTTTCAGGTGGATTTTCTCACTTAAAAACATAATAAAACTACTTTATTCCCACTGATCACAGCAAATATAGCTGCAAGGCAGAGAAAGGATAGTGAAGCTCCGCCCAACGCGCCTCAGACACACTTTTGCACCGCGCAGCGAGAGCAGCAAAGCTGCTTCAGCCGCACGTCAGAACTAACTGGTACAAGCAGCAAAAATGAAGCAGCAGACGCGATTTTGCTGCGTGAACGTAGCATAACTGCACAAAGATCGCCACTGCGCTAGCAACGAGCATGCTTTTAACTGGAGGCGTGTAGCGGTTCTCGCCGTAAAGCAAGACTGACTCTCACGAGACTTCTGAGCCTGTGAGTGCGGGTCGGTGCTCCTGCAGTTGCAAGTGCGGTATTTCCCCCACAGACCACCAGGGCGGCCGAGAAAACCTTTGTTCAACCTGAAATGACTCATTTAATCATCCATAACGTTATGGAACACATTAATTAACTGAAAAATGTTGCATAGTGTGCCTTTTAAACACCGAGCAGCAGCATCCTTTGGTTGTGATGAAGACCAGCTGGTCTTCATTCAAAGAGACGGAATCAAATCATAAAATCAGAGGAGACCTTTTTTTTTTTTTGGTTTTGGAAGCTGTGGGCAGCTGGTTTCCACCCAGATTTAGATGTTTCCTCTCCAGCGCAGCAGAAGAAGATGGTTGAACCTCAGCTTGACTTTGAATCCAGGAGGAAAGATGTCTGAGTGATGACGGACCGCTTCCTTCTTCCAAATTGAAAACGTGTTCTTGGTTTTTCCTCAGTGGAACTTCCCGAGCGCCATGATCACCAGGAAGGTTGGAGCCGCTCTGGCTGCGGGCTGCACCGTGGTGGTGAAGCCGGCCGAGGACACGCCGCTGTCGGCTCTCGCTCTGGCTGAGGTCAGCTTCCTGTTCTGGTTTGATCCGGTTCAGACCAGCTTTCGATCCATCCTCAGATTCCTTATCAAGAAGCTGGAGCTCATTCATGACGCTTCCTGTTTCCTGCAGCTGGCGGAGCAGGCGGGGATCCCTCCAGGCGTGGTCAACGTGGTTCCTTGCTCCAGAGAGAAGACCCCGGCGGTTGGACACGTCCTCTGCACGGACTCACTGGTGTCAAAAATCTCCTTCACTGGATCCACGGCCACCGGGAAGGTGAGATCCTTCAGAGACCGGAGCCCGTTCGGCCGGAAGCGACTCCGGGACACCGAGTCATCCCTCTTCTCTCATCCCAGGTGTTGCTGAAAATGGCTGCCGACACAGTGAAGAGGGTTTCCATGGAGCTCGGCGGCCATGCTCCCTTCATCGTGTTTGACAGCGCAGATGTCGACAGTGCAGTGGGCGGAGCCATGGCTTCCAAGTTCAGGAACTCCGGGCAGGTGAGGCGAGAGAATCTGTGCGTGCTGCTCCCCCTGAGGCCGAACTCGCTGACCGTTCCTCATGTCCCCGCAGACCTGCGTATGCTCCAACCGCTTCCTGGTTCAGAGCGGAATCTACGACCGCTTTGTGGACAAGTTGGGTCGGGCAATGGACGCCGAGCTCCGTCTGGGTCATGGATCAGAGCCGAACACAACACAAGGGCCGCTGATCAACAGCCGAGCTGTGGAGAAGGTTGGGCTGAAACTACCTGATCCAAAACATTTTACAGTTTCCAGACGTTCTAGCATCAAAATCTTGATCCTGGGGCGCGCTTTGGTGGCGCAGTGGTTAGCGCACTCGTATGGGAGAACTATCCTGCCGTAATGCAAGAGCACATAATTTCAATTTGAGAAAAGAATTTCATCTTCTCACACTCAAAACTTATAATGCTCACACTCAAAACATGCGCTCTCTCTCAAATATTTTCTCTTCTCTCTCAAATCTTTGTTTCTTCTCTCAGATTTAATGCTTCTTGCACAGATATTTTCTCCTCTCGCTTGCCTCCTTCTCTTCACGCTCGAGTCTCAGATATGCTCGCAAACCCGTAGGCTCTGCTTGCGGATTTGTTTTTGCTCTCTCTCAGATTGGATCGGATTGTCGCCTAGCGACCTTTCCAGCCAATAGAACGACAGCCTCGGAAAGGGTGCGCTTGTCTAACTCTGAGTGTGCCTGTGATAAACCTTACCGACAATAAAATTGCTTTTTAATTTAAAAGCGATCCATTTTCAGACGTGATGTGAACAGAAAACTCCCGCCTCAGAGTTGCTCGTTAGAAAAAAAAAAAACAAGTTTGCTAGTCGGGGCAGATGCTAATTCTGCCTCCAGCAGAAATTAAGTGACTTTTCATTGGTGATTCTTGAATTGCCCTTTATTATTTCCTTTGTTTTATTTTCCTGATTGTTGTTGTTTTTCAGCTTCTTATTTTAATAGCTTTTAAATTAAAAAGCCATTTTATTGTCGATAAGGTTTATCACAGGCACACTCAGTAGAGTTAGACAAGCGCACCTTTCCAGAGGCTGTCGTTCTATTGGCTGGAAAGGTTGCTAGGCGACGATCCGATCCAATCTGAGAGAGAGCAAAAACAAATCCGCAAGCAGAGCCTACGGGTTTGCGAGCGTATCTGAGACTCGAACGTGAAGAGAAGGAGGCAAGCGAGAGGAGAAAATATCTGTGCAAGAAGCATTAAATATGAGAAGAAACAAAGATTTGAGAGAGAAGAGAAAATATTTGAGAGAGAGCGCACGTTTGGAGTGTGAGCATTATAAGTTTGGAGTGCAAGAAGATGAAATTCTTTTCTCAAATTGAAATTAAGTGCTCTTGCATTATGGCAGGATAATTCTCCCAAACACACGACCCATGTACGGAGGCCGTAGTCTTCGACCCGGCTTCAAATCGGACCTGTGGTCCTTTGCCGCATTTCTCTCCACCTCTCAAATTCCCCCTTTCCTGTCAGCCTACTGTCCAAGAAAAAAGAGCCACTAGTGCCGTAAAAAGATTGGATGACTCTGGGGTTCGGTTAGTTGGGTTCTAGGACAGATGGTCTTGATTAGATTTCAAATGGTTCTGATGCTCCTGGAAGAGACGGTTCTACATCCGTCTACCATCAGAAAGTTCTGCTGAGGCCCACTGGGGTTCAAGGGGACAGAAGCAGACATAGAAAAAGAAGCATAGATACAAAAGGCAACTATAAGAGGCGGCCCTGTCACAAACAGCCAGGCAGACGAGCTCCGAGCCAGCTCCCATGCCAGGGGATGAAGAGAGCACATCCAGTTAGTCACAGTCAGAGAAACAGGACTACACTGGAAAACAGGAAGATCTCCAACATCTAGAAACAAAGGTGTTGATGGCAGCAGCACAGCTGATATTTCTCTCCAGGATGGAGTCACAGCCAAACAGGAACAGACCAGATGAAGCTACTATGAGAAAAAGCAGAGAGAGCAGAACGTTAGAGATTGAACTAACAGATTCTGCAGAGTGGGAGAATAGAGATAGAATGAAGCAGAATGATGAAAAAGGGGTCCCTATGTCCTCCAGCAGTCTAAGCCTATAGCAGCAGAACTATAGAGATAGCTCAGGATAACCTGAGCCGCTCTAACTAGAAGCTTTATCAAAAAGGAAAAATGATCTGAGGTCAGTGTTCTCCTAATGTTCCGCCCCTCAGGTCATCCACCAGATATCGGACGCTGTGTCTCAAGGAGCCAAAGTGGTGAAAGGAGGGAACCGTCTGGACGGGTCCTTCATGGAGCCGACCCTGCTGGCTGACGTCACTACAGAGATGTTGTGTACCAAGGAGGAGACGTTCGGACCGCTGGTTCCTGTCATCAGGTCTGTTTGATCGCAGAAACCAGGAAGAGAAGCAGTTTCACATGGGGGAGGGTCGCAGGTGTCTCCGGGTGTGGACCAGTCAGCAGCTGTGTTTCTGATTTCCAGGTTTGAGACGGAAGAGGAAGCTCTGGCCGTGGCTAACTCTGCACAGGTCGGGCTAGCAGGTGAGAAGTTCTGCTTTTATCTAAACTGGGTTCACTTTTAATCAGAGGCGTCAAAAGTGTTCATGTTTATTACTGCAGCAGAAGTAGAAATCCTACTGTTTAAAGGAAAAGTCCGGTCAGCAAGGAATGATCAATGGATCATTATCTATACCTAAAACTAAAACATTCACTGTGATTTAATGTCCATAGCGTTCCTTGACAGCGTCGTTTCTAAGTCACCAATTTAGTGCTACTTGGTCCCAATGGAATTTCCCATTGGGAACCTGCTAGCACTAAGTTGCTAACTGGTTAGCAAGATGCTTCCGACAAACCGGCCACAACCAAATAGCTTGTGAACCTTCCGCAACAACAATCCCGCCCCCTTGATAATCGACCAATCACATTCACTTTATTCACTCGTGTAAAGTTGGGCACCACTCGAGAGAATTCAGAAATGATCACTGAGTCTGGGAGCGGCCATTTTTGCTCAAATATAGTAGCCCCTCCCTCCTGCCATCTTCCAGCAGTGACGTCACGGTGCGGTAAGCCTAGCGCCATTCTCCCCGCTTTCCAAGCTAAATCAATGGGAACTACTAGACACATCTGCAATCAACAACAATTATTGAAGATTTCCAGAGGACTTCACCATTGAAATTCACCAGAGCTATAGTGAAACTGACAATGCCCACGTGCATGGCAGCTGGATGCTGGAATACATCGGGTAAAAGTGGAAAAAAGAGTTATTCCACCTTTCTGATTCCTGATCCTCCACGGACGGGTTGGTCGTTGGATCGCCAACTTGAAGAGGGAGGATTTGCCATCGAACTTCTGGCCAGAGAAAAAACCCGTAATATGTAGCCAACATTTGGAAGAAGAATGTTTTCAAGATGACTTGGATAATAGCGCGTTGTGACAAACACCAGATACAGCACTGGGACTTGATCAACAGCCGATACCGCACCGTGACGTCACTAACCAGTAGGTGGCAGTAGTGTTCTTTGACAAACATGGATGCCTCCAGTAAAGCACATTCACATGAAAATTACTCTGAATTAAAAACACGGATCATTTATAGAACAGGATGGAATCATTTCAGATTTAAAGAACTTTCAGAAGTTTAAATTCTGAATATCAGCTGATTTTTCCTTTAAATACCAACAGGCCATAATGGAAATGGGGGAAAAAACAAGTTGCCAAAAAAATTAAAAATACTGCAGTAAAGTATTGATAGCCAAATTTTCTACTTAAGTAAGGAAGCAAAGTATTTCTACTTGACACCTCTGCTAATTATTCAGTCAAAACTCATGCAGGTTCCCCTGAACCCAGGAAACGGTCCAGAAGGTCCATCTGGACCTGAAGCTGTAAAAACACACAGTCCTCACCGACAGAAGGTCCATCAGAGCTCAGGAGAAGCTGCTGCTGCAGAGAAACGTTTTACTTTCTGATGTTTGAAGCATCTGAAAACATCTGCTTGGTTGAACTCATGGTTCCTGCTGGTACCAGGTTAAACTGGTGTCAGACCAGTTAGAGCTTTTAAGACTGTTGATTAATCTAGCCGGGCACACACTGTACGATTTTTATACATTTTTTTGCCCTTTGTGGGACGATTCTCTAGTCGTGCGAGAATTTTTTCTATCGGGTCGACTCTCAGCCTGATGTTGTGTGGCGTAGTGACCAGGGGGTAACGAGGGCGATCAGCCTCTAACGACCGCCTCCCCATCAGGAATCGTAAGGTTGGGAGAAAATCCAACATGTTTGAAATTCAGTCGGCCGTCGTAAGGTGGTCAGGGGCAAATCGCTCGGTGGGAAAACAAGGATTCTTCTTATTCTTCCTCTTTGAAATGGAGTTCTTTCTGTCAAACTGACAGACCGTAGTAGCCATGTTAGCTCAGCCATGTCTTTGTCCAAATACGTCGTCTCCTTTTCTTTTTAGGGCTTTCAGCACTAAATTGCCCAAATATCCAAGGCAGCGCGTTTCACTCTAGTGAGCTTCATGTTCCTCTGCTACTGGTTTGGCTTCCAGATAGACGAGTCAGAGTAGCGCCATCTCACTGCGGAGCTGAGTCCCACCTGGTTTTTAGACGTACACCGTGACCAGGTAGATCGCATCAGAGCGTCGGGTCGCACAGCGTGAGAACAAACCTCGTGAGCTGGAAACTTTTAAACCTGCAGTTTCATCGTACAGTGTGAGCTGTAGCTGCGAGCAACGATTGGAAAAAATCGTACAGTGTATTAGGGATGCACGATATAATCGTCCCCCTATCGGTATCGGCCTTAAAACTGAATAGCGGACATCGGCCACCCCACCGATATTTAACCCGATATTTGATCAGCTTCTGAGTTTTTTTTAAAGTCTAAAAAAAAAAAATAATAAATAATACTACTTCTTCTTCTTCCTCAAAAACTTCTTTTTTACAGACTTAAAAACTTCTAAAGACGAGGGAAAAAATATTGATCCATTAAAATATCCCAATTTCTTCATATGCTGATATATTGCCATTTAAAAACACCATATCAATCTCTTTTACTAATGAAATATTGCTATATGTCATCGTTATGCTACGAAATCCCCCGAAAATTCACCAAATGTTGCCATATTTTTATATGTTGATATATTGACGCGGTATCGATCTATTTTACTAACAAAATCTCACAAGAATTTGCAAAATATCACGAGAGTTTGTAACAGAACGATGAAATTTCACCAGATTTTGAAAGTAAAATAGATCGATACCGCGTTTTTAAAAATCTATTTGATATCAGCATATGAAAATATATTTGAGTTTATTATTTTTCAAAGTGTCAGAAATGGATAACAAAACTGCTATTTTCAATGACTACTTATTTTTGTCCAGCTTTAACATCAGTATCGATATCGGTTATCGGCTACATGAGTTTTAAAATATCGGATATCGGCCAAAATCCCAATATCGTCCCTAATTTTCTCCATGGCTAAAACCAGGGAACATACATGAGGCTCAGTGGATTTTGTGCAAGAAGTCATTCAAGCTCAGAACGATGGGAATTAAGGCAGTGGAGTCGCACATGCGAAGCACGAAACACAAAGCGTCAAAATGGAGTTACAGAGAAACAGGCGGTATTTCTCAGTTTAGTTCCACCCTTGTCTCTGCAACGCCTCCACTTATCACCAAATCAAACATACTAAGAAAACGAAACAAAGAAAAATAGCTGCAAAAAGACTTAGCGCTGGTTATGTTGGGGCTTTAAAACTGATTTGTTTTGTTCCCTGCTAAAACAAAGTTTGTGAATTCAGTTAAATAATTGTTCAAATATATCTGTCATTTGTGTGTTTTTAGCTTTCTTCAACATTTGAAACATTAGTGCAGTGGTTTATGTTAAAATAAACCTTTGGGTTAAGTTGTCGCAAGCAGGTTTTTCTTGTGTTTCTTGTGAATTTGGTGTTAAATTTTTATTTCAAGTTGCATTAAAAAGTCTTGAATTTAACTTGGAATGCGTACGTCGATCAGAGAAACTCCAGCAGGAATCTGAAAAGCTTTTGAGTTCAATGCATCTCTGCTTGCAGGCTACTTCTACTCGCAGGATGTGAGTCAGATCTGGCGGGTGGCCGAGGCGCTGGAGGTGGGGATGGTCGGGGTCAACGAGGGCCTCCTGTCCACCCCTGAGGCCTCCTTCGGCGGGGTCAAACAGTCCGGTTTGGGCCGCGAGGGTTCCAAGTACGGCATCGACGAGTACCTGGAGGTGAAGTACATGTGCTTCGGAGGACTCAAACCCTGAACCGGGACGGTGCCGATCAGCCGGTACCATAAGCGGGTCAGAGACTGTGGTTTGGACCAGCCTAACTTTGAGTGTTGGAGATCAGATGATTAAATGCTGCTAATTAACGTGTCAAAGGAAATTAACTGCTGGTTGATCAGAACAGAACCTGGTTCTGTTTGGTGACATTAACATTTTCTAATCTGAGACAAGGCTGTTTTTGCACTGATTAGCTGGGAATAAAATTAACCTAAACCCTCCAGATTACAGCATCATCAGCAGAAAACAGTGCTGGTTCTAATCTGACCCAGAAACTCTAAAAGAACCGGATGTTTTGTTCTGCAGGGGGAAATAGAAAAACTAGAACTAACCAATCTGCAACAGCGACCGCCTTTTATAGCCGATGGTCTCTGCTGAGTCGGTGGAACCGTCACAGTTTTACCATTACGGGCCTCCATGTTCCGACACCAACATCATTCTGGACTTCAACTGGCCGTTAGGCTGAAGCTCGCCTCATGTGCTGAACCCATAAAACTGGATCAGAATCCCTTCAAAGTCAAGAACTTTCTGGTTCCATCATAACTGTCCTGGTTTCTGGTTCCACGAGTGGAAACGGACCCGGAGTCTCTACAGGAACATCAAATGATCACTATTATTAACGGACAAAGGTCCGTTCCTTCATAAACAGCCAAACCTGAAGGATTTAGGCAGAAAGGAAAACAAGGAAAACACTGAAACAGCAGAAGCTTCCTTAAAGTTTGATCCGTTTGTGTTCTTCCTTCCCATAGGAGCAGCTTGATTTAAAACATTCATATAAGCTGTTTTCCACGTGCATTTAAGTATTTATATTCAGCACAACTGAAAACTCTGAAGCGTTCTGGTTGGTTTTAGATCTAGTCCCACAGTACCAGCAGACCCCGGTATGTTAGATGTACGGTTCTCGCTCCTGGTCCAGCTTTCCACACGTCTCTGTAGCGTCGTCTAGTCTCCTGTGGACCTGATTCCAAGTCATCGTCTCAACTGTTGTCAATTAGACGCTGGAAACAACTAGTAGGCTGGCTGTGATTGGATACTTTACAGGAAATCCCGCCTCTTTAGACAGCGTTCTGTCAGAACAGCATACATCGTCAGATCAGCATACATTGTTCTAAACAGAGAATTATTCCCACTTTGAATTTTAGCAGCAAAAACGGTTTAACTTAAAACAAATAATAAATCACCTTTGATTGTTATTTTTTGGATGTAGAAACAGTCAGCCAAGATTTTTTTGTTTTCTTTCTTTTTTTTTAACAGTGTCCTGTCTGGCAATGTGGCAAAAACAATGATTGTCTTGATGCCAAAAAGAGCCCAACAGATTTTACTTTCACCAGTGGAGCAGTACGGCTATCGCCTAGCCTGACGTAGTCCGACTCAATTCTAGTCAGAATGAGTCTGATGCTGCTCCATAGAGCTGTGATTATGGGGCGTGTTTCGAACGAACCGGGAAAAAAAATGCCTCTGCACTCAATTGGATAGACCTACAACCAATAAGAGCAACGGAGTGCGTGACGTATGTTAAGTGACGCATAGTTGTTGTCAACAAAAATCAAAGCGTGCAGTTGCACGCCTAGAATAAGAAGATGAGCCTTGATCGCGTTTCTCTGTTCCTCTTTTAAAATTAATTTGCTGTCGATATCTTCTAGAACAGACCTAATAGCAGAATCTACTCACCTCAACTCTCCAGCGGCAGCCATTGTTGTTGTCACCCAAGCGCGCTTTGGTCACGTGGTTGATTACGTTACTGTTGACCATCTGTCCATCATCGTATAAAGCCCGCCCTGACAATTTGATTGGCCCGCCAGATATTGTGCTAGCATACTCGCGCTACTACTGAGCAATGCCACACCGAACTTCCCGACCTCAAACGTTGTGGGTGGGACTAAGTTCGGAATGGCACCCAGGCTAGTTATCGCCATAGTGTTCCGCTTGATTTATGCATATAATTAACTTTATTATAATCATGCAGGGAGTTTTACCGATTATATGGACACTGCAATGTAAGTAGAACAGGAAAGGAAAAAGGAGAAAAGATGAAAGAAAGAGGAAATAAAAGTGAGATAATAACGAGCCACACGATTGAGAGAAGAAGCTTCTATAGATAATTAGTCAATATTCATTTAAATTAAGTAACTTTAGTAGTAAAAAACACGCTTGCAGAAATTTAAAGTTGTTGAAAATCATAGAAAATATTGGCTGTGGTTTATATTGTGACTAAAATATTTACGTTAGATAAAAATTAAATGTATATCGATCAGACAGCGTATGCTGTGTTGACAGGACACCGTTTTTTTATGTTAGTAAAGCATCTTCTGGCTAATAGTTATGTTTTGTCTAATAAGTCGAATTAAACAATCATCTCCTTCAGTAGCTCATAATTTTATAAACGCAGCGCAACAGATGAAAGGATGAAAGGAAAGCCTGAGGAGATCCCAGACCACCAGAGAGACAAAGACCAGATGGTCCCTCCGTGGTGTCGCCCCCTCCTGGTGGGACGTGCCTGGATCACCTCAGATAAAGATGTCTGATCCTCCTCAGCTGATTCCTCTGGATGCGGAGAAGCGGCTCTACTGAGCCTCTCTCTAAGGGAGAGCCCAGCCTCCCCGCAGAGGAAGCTCAGATCCAGGATTTTGTTCTTTAGGTCCTGATCCAGATTAATGACCGTAGGCGAGTCGGAACGTAGACCGACCGCTAAATCAGAGCTTTGCCTTTTCACTCAGCTCTCTGAACCACAACGGATCAGTACAGCGTCTGCATTACAGCAGCCACTGATCAGTCCGTCTCCATTCTCCCCTCACTGATGAACAGGATCCCAACATTCCTGAAATCCTCCAACCTGAAGAGGACCGGCTACCCTTTTCCAATCCAGAACCAGAACCCTGGAGCCGATTCTCCTCCTCAGAGAGGTTAATATCTGTGATTCATAGATGTTGATCCATTAAAATGTGAATTTTTTCCATCATTGTTCTGGAAAACTTGGATGTTTTGTTTCTGTTGGATCTTAAATAAACTGGTGGATTAAAACATGTCAGGATGATCTGTTTTATTTAATTGTTTTCCTGAAACTTACAATCAAAGCAGAACTTTCAGAACTTCAAACTGGATTCAAACGGGAACTTAAGCTGGTTTGACTGACTGGTAACCAGTCGGTCCACCTTCATCCGGCTGCTGGGAGCAGCTCGTGTTCTATTACTGGTTCTTGTCTTTAAGCGCAGCTACAGGTCCAGAAAATGAACGTTAGGAAAAATATTTCCCATCTGTCAGTTTAACATCATGGAGGTCGGCACCAGTTGGTTTAAATGACCAGAATCGCTAAAGGAAGTCCAACAGGTGCAGGAAAGACCCTGAATGCTGGGTGCCGCCCCCTACAGGCTGCAGCTGTTAATGACGGGTCAGATGAATGGATGAACCGCGAGCAGCTGTGAGATGACTGGATGGAGGTCAAACCATTCTCCATAAGTTTATCTTATCTCCCATTTCTCTGGGAAGAAGGTCCGACTCGTCAGAACCGAGCCTGAAAGCTGTTCTGTCATAGAAACCTCCAGGAAGACCCGCTCAGCGTTCCCCCTCCACCCCTCTGAGATCCTGTCCACGTCTGCAGAACCCCCCCCCCCCCCCCCCCCCCCCCCTCATCCGAAGGCGTTCCCGTTCCGATCGGCCCGGGATCCGACCCTGTTCCTGTTCCGGACCGGGTGGCTGAAGACTGAGTCCTGGTCGCTGTCCAGCTCGGACTCTGACATCATCAGGCAGGTGTTGTGTTCTGTGCTGCGGTGCTTCAGACCTGCAGAGGACATGAAGGGGTTAATGAGCAGAGAAAAATTTTTTACCTTCTTTACCTCCTATGACCTCACATCTATTCATTTGGGTTTATAAAGTCCAGAGACCAGAACAACCGGGACAAACTTTGCTCCTGCCTATTTCTCAGGGAGGGGGTCACCTTTAGGGGCCCCATAAAACTCAGTTTACATGTGTTGTTAATACAGCTATGGCATTATCGATAAAACGCCATCAGAACGCTGATAATATTAAGTGTGTCTCAGCCCCCCCCTTCAGTGTCCACCATATTGGATCAGTCCATTTGCTGCACATGTTCAGAAAGGTCCAAACAGACAGCAGCAAACCATTTGAAAACAAACCATGCAAAGAGCAGTGTTGCCAACTTAGCGCTTTAGTCGCTATATTTAGCCACTTTTCAGACCCCTCTAGCACTTTGATTTCTAAAAAGCTCCTAGCGCCAAATCTAGAGACTTTTTTCTGGAGACTTTGGAGACAACATCTAAAAGCAGCGAACTCTGCTCTCCAGAGCGAGTAGATTGGTAACCCCGCCTCCTGCTCTCCTCTATCTTGTCTGCTGTCATGATTCATGCAGCTATTATTTCATCCAAATGAAAAATGGAGAACAGAGAAGCAGATCATGGCTTGTCTACAGTGAAAAGAAGGACTGGGTTATTTACTTTGGCCTTTTTGGAAACACAGGAAGGAGCAATCAGCTAAGTGAGCTTAGTGCTTGGAAAAAATCTTTCATTCCTTTAGAGACAGCATGAAAAGTCAGCTGAGTACAAAACATGGAGAGGAAAACAAGAAGAAAAGGGACAAGAAGAGAGGGACACAACCTAGAACAGATAATGGATGTCTATTCTATTAACATTTCTCTATCTGGAGAATGTTTTATGCGTCTTCTTCTCATTTCATAGAGCCCCTAAATGTCCTAAATCCGCCCCTTAGGGTAATGCTGTTTAACTTTTGACAACTAGGGGCGTTATACCTGTTATTTCCAGGTAAACCCTAAAGGCCACAGGTTTCTAAATGAACCAGGGTCCCCCTGTTTTCTAGTTCTGACAGCAGACCCGTTTGAAACAGCAGCAGGTGAAAGGGGAACGCCGTTTTGTTTTTTTACATTAGCCCCTTGATTTTACATTATTCCATCATGTTCTACTCACTTATATGAGTTTTGGAGCCGTTCTGAAGATATTCCGTTAGGTTATATCCATCCGTCATACACACTCCGCTTTGTTTTTAAAAGATATAAATATAAAAAATATAACCACGGATGTCTGGGGGACAGTGATTGGCCTCCATGTTCTGAATGCTGGCGTACCATAAAGAATAAATGATGAACAGTTTAGTTTGTGCCTTCCAGTCGTTGCCCATAGGAAGACGTTACCTGGATATAACCTAACGGAATATCTTCAGAACGGCTCCAAATGACACTAAACTAATATGGGTGAGTAGAACATGATGGAATAATGTAAAATCAAGGACCCAATGTAAAAAAACAGCGTTCCCCTTTAAGATCTGGAGCTCCTGATAAAGACGAGGAAGCGTCTCCATCAGAGAAGCAGCTCTGCGGTTTAGCTCGGGCTAACTTAACGGGAGCGCCACTCTTAATTTACAGAGAGTTATAGAGAAGTGCATCAATATGCCCAGTGATTCATTTTGACTAGGGATGCAGGATATTGGGATTTTGGCCGATATCCGATATGCCGATATTTTAAAACTCATGTAGCCGATAACCGATATCGATACTGATGTTAAAGCTGGACAAAAATAAGTAGTCATTGAAAATAGCAGTTTTGTTATCCATTTCTGACACTTTGAAAAATAATATACTCAAATATATTTTCATATGCTGATATCAAATTGATGTTTAAAAACACGGTATCGATCTATTTTACTTTCAAAATCGGGTGAAATTTCATCGTTCTGTTACAAACTCTCGTGATATTTTGCAAATTCTTGTGAGATTTTGTTAGTAAAATAGATCGATACCGCGTCAATATATCAACATATAAAAATATGGCAACATTTGGTGAATTTTCGGGGGATTTCGTAGCATAACGATGACATATAGCAATATTTCATTAGTAAAAGAGATTGATATGGTGTTTTTAAATGGCAATATATCAGCATATGAAGATATTGGGATATTTTAATGTATCAATATTTTTTCCCTCGTCTTTAGAAGTTTTTAAGTCTGTAAAAAAGAAGTTTTTGAGGAAGAAGAAGAAGTAGTATTTTTTCTTTTTTAGACTTTAGAAACTCAGAAGCTGATCAAATATCGGGTTAAATATCGGTGGGGTGGCCGATGTCCGATATTCAGTTTTAAGGCCGATACCGATAGGGGGGCCGATTATATCCTGCATCCCTAATTTTGACCCAATCATATTTTAAATTAAGCTAACATTGGGGGCAACAGTTAGTGATTTAAACAGAAAACGACAAGAAAAAAAGACAGATACAGCAGTGTAAAGAATATTAACCCTTTAAAGCCCGATCCAAGAATAAAACAAAACAGAAAATTACTTTTTTTGTTTGAAAGCCTTATTTGCCCTTTTAACAAAATATGTAAAAAGAAAAAAACAGAAATACATTTTTGATATTAAGAATTTATTACTATGTGATAAGTCAAGTTTATTTTTTGTGTAGTCTTCTACTGGCTGTTATCAGGTATATCTGATTGTGTACAATCGGATTTTGAGCAAAGTTTTTACCATTAAATAATGCAAAAGGTGTCAGATGCAAAACATTTCAGAAACCCTATGTATCAAATATGATACATTTGGCATTATAGGGTTAATAAATACAGTAGAGCTGTAAAAAAGATGGAGTTAGGCGACATTCTAACAGTTATTAGAGTCAAAAGCAAATATTTGGAAGAGCTGGGATCTTCAGAAACACGTCAGCGGTTCTAGATGAGCTGGTTTCAGGATTTAAGTGGACGGGGTTCTGGACCAGTTTCTGGTCCATTTCCACCCGTCTGAACCCTCCCAGTGAAGGACTCACTGAATCTGGGTCGGAGCTTCAGCTTCTCCTGCTCGTCCATGTCATCCAGGATGGTGTAGCGGGTTTTCTTCCTCCCCTTGGTCTGCTTCCTCCTGCAGACACAGAGGACATGTGGCTCAGACCCGGCTGCTCTGGGTCGGGATCACGGCCTGCAGGTTTAAGCTCACCTCCTGCTGCAGCAGATGAAGGTCCAGCTGAGCGACAGGATGAGGACCATCATCAGGAAGCTGCTCAGGATCACGTACAGGACTCGCCATTCTGAGAGTGGGATCAAAGGGCTGCATCAGCGTCGGACCAGAGGGAACATCTGAACATCTCCTCACGTCAGCAGAACCCAGAGATCCTCAGAGAGCTGCTGGCTCCGCATAAACCTTCCTGTTAGTTTGAGATTCAGCTGCCAAGAGACTCTAAGGAGACAGGAGGTGAGCCTGTCGCTAGGGGCAACCCTGTCTACAGAGAGCTGTGATTGGTTGTTAGAAGAACCCAGACGTTCTCCTGGTACCAAAAAAACAATCAAAGAATCCAGACTAATAAATGTAACTATAAATAAATGTTGGAACTTTATCGTCTCATTGTGGTTCTGATCTAATTAATGTTTTTTCCCACATTCTGCTCATTTATCTGCTTTGTCTGTTTTTAAAGGAAAAGTCGGTCATTATTTATACCTAAAACTAATACAGTGATTTAATGTGATTTAATGAAATTAGCATTAATCAGTAAAAAAATAAAAACAATTTTCATCATGATCACTGAGTCTGGGAGCGGCCATTTTCAACCCAGTCTCATGGGAAAATGTACCCCCACTACGTTGGTCCACACGGCAAAACGTAGTGGAGGTACATTAATGGCCATTTTTTTGTGGTACTGTTACGTTTCTTCTGCCTATACGCTTTCTATTGTTTTACGTCCTAGTCACGTGACTTTCAAGATTCCAGCTGGGAGAAGAAAAAATATATATATATGGCCGACATTCGCTCATTTTTTTGTGGAAAGATTAATAACTTGAGTTTGTTTTTGCATTAAAATGAGTTTTGATTACATTTCTAGTGAGAAATGTATAGTTTGTTGCCAGAATATTTACTCAGGGAATGTACATATTCACTTGCTTGTTCGTTTCTTGCAAAGATTTTTCAAGATAATGTGAAACTGTAACATTTTGGTATAAACATGGCTGAGATTTCTCTAACTTTTAGTGGGAAAATCAATAATTTCAATCAGTTTCTGCATTTAAATGGGTTTTGATTACATTTATAGCGAGAAGTGTAGGGTTTATTTACATAATATTTACCACCTTTTTTTTGTTGTTGCCATTTTTCAATTTCTTTCCTCTTTATAAATGATTTTCCTTCCCCTTCCCCCCTGATCTGAAAATCAACCTCAGACGCAACGCACGCAGTGGCGAGGGTTTGATCCGTCAGATGGAGTTAAATTACAAAGGATTCAATGTTGAATCGGGGCGGCAGCTAAATGCTAGGCGATGGGTAGCAGCCAAAACGTTGCAATTTCACATAATCCTGACGAGATCCGAAAAACGTAGCAAAAACTAGCAAGCGGGTGATTATGTATGTTCACTAAGTAAATATTATGTAAATAAACCCTACACTTCTCGCTATAAATGTAATCAAAACCCATTTAAATGCAGAAACTGATTGAAATTATTGATTTTCCCACTAAAAGTTAGAGAAATCTCAGCCATGTTTATACCAAAACGTTACATTTTCACATTATCTTGAAAAATCTTTGCAAGAAACGAACAAGCAAGTGAATATGTACATTCCCTGAGTAAATATTCTGGCAACAAACTATACATTTCTCACTAGAAATGTAATCAAAACTCATTTTAATGCAAAAACAAACTCAAGTTATTAATCTTTCCACAAAAAAATGAGCGAATGTCGGCCATATATATATTTTTTTCTTCTCCCAGCTGGAATCTTGAAAGTCACGTGACTAGGACGTAAAACAATAGAAAGCGTATAGGCAGAAGAAACGTAACAGTACCACAAAAAAATGGCCATTAATGTACCTCCACTACGTTTTGCAGTGTGGACCAACGTAGTGGGGGTACATTTTCCCATGAGACTGGGTTGCCATTTTCCCCCAAATATAGTAGCCCCTCCCTCCTGCCATCTTCCAGCAGTGACGTCACGGTGCGGTAAGCCTAGCGCCATTCTCCCCGCTTTCCAAGCTAAATCAATGGGAACTACTAGACACATCTGCAATCAACAACAATTATTGAAGATTTCCAGAGGACTTCACCATTGAAATTCACCAGAGCTATAGTGAAACTGACAATGCCCACGTGCATGGCAGCTGGAATACATCGGATAAAAGTGGAAAAAAAGAGTTATTCCACCTTTCTGATTCCTGATCCTCCATCAAATTTGCTCTAAGCTCATTACGTCACCGTGAACGAATTAGTTTTAGGTATAAATAATAATCCATTGATTATTCCTTGCTGACTGGACTTTTCCTTTAAACCTTTCTCGCTCCTGAAACTAAATATTTCCGCCTGATGATAATAAAGTTCATCTTCTCTCCATATTAATAATTGTTCTAGAACTTTCTGTCCTCTTTTCCTCCTCTGTTTAGGTGGTGGATCAGCCAATCAGCTGTCTCCGTTTCCTTTATAATCTCTAACATTTATTCTCCTTAGGAGCTCTGAAGGTGTTCTGGCTCTGGCTTTTTTTTTTTCCTAAAATGGCGCCGGTCCCGAGCCTCGTGAGACCATCCTGATCTCGCGAGCTTTCAAGGTTTCACTCGCAGATCAGTCTGGAGACTCTCCGTTAAAGAAAATTTGGAGCCGTTCACCAAACGAACGTCCAATCAGCGTTGGCTTTGAGGCGGTTGAGGTGTGACGCAACGAGAAGCGCGACAGTTCAGTCTAAAGAACATGGCAGCTTCAGCCGATGAAGCTAGCGTTAGCGTGGCTATCGAGCAAGTTTTATTCTTCACTGAAAGAAGAGCAAAAACACTGCTCTGGAGGCTTTTCTCAGAGGAAAATATGTTTTTGCTCTTCTCCCGACTGGTTTCAGCAAGAGTTTGATCTATCAATTGGCTCCTCTTCGTCGTCGCTCTGTTAGTACGTCATATGCTTCGTTGATCTGATTGGTTTATTTGGCCCGTCTATCACCAACATAGCCCAATCAGCTAACCAGTATTTTCGCCCCTTCCCAAAATTACTTCTACGGAAGGTTTCCAGATGGATATGCAGAGTCAGGTTCGCCAGTCTGAGGTTCTTGGTAAAAATGGGTCCGGATCATTCTAGACGATGGAAATCCAGGAGTAAAACTCAAACCGTTACCACAGTTACTCTCTCCATCACCGAGGTAGAGGCGGATCAGGTTCTCCGTCCAGAACGGGTCACAGGAACACTGCTTGGTGATTGGATCACACTGGCCCCGCCCCGAACAGCTCAGCTCACAGACTATCAGGAACAGAAGAACAGAGACACCCTGAGCAGGAGCGGAGCTAGAAGGGGGGCCAGGGGTGGCCAATGATTGGCTAAGGGTAGCCATGGCCACACCTACCAATTTTCCCCTCTAAAACAGACGCTGGCTGCAGTAATACTCTCATTTTTAATATTCTAACTCATTTAACATTTCAATTTTTCATATGTTAACAATAACTTAACAACAGAAACGCTGTGGTTAATTATGCACATCAAAATACTAACATTAAAGATGATGAATACAGAACTCATGCTCTTTTCAGAACTACATTTTGTCTTATCTTAGGTAAAGAGAAAATTGTGTCTCTGCAAGTCATCTAGGAATGTAAATATTAATTTTATATAGAACGATTATTGATAAAAGTAGGTAAGTAGCGTCAGTAAATAAGATGTTCTCCTAGAACTCAAACCTGAAAGATTTTTTTCCACTACACCTTTAATTTTGACAGCATGGATGTTTAAATATATGCATCTGTTTGTTAGCAAAGGCTCCTGGAAAGTATAGTTTGTCTTTATTTAGAAAATTAGGATGTTGTAGTTGTTTTCCTGTTTGAACAGTGTAAATTGACCCTGAGGCTCTGGTACGCATTCAGCCCCCCCCTAAGTCTACATTGGTTATTGCCTGGCCGCCCTTATTAACATTTCTGGCTACGCCCCTGCTCCTGAGGGACGAAGCACAGTGACCCCAGGACTGGAAGCTGTGGGAACCCGGTTACCATAGCAACTGACATCCGAACCTGGATCTCTCTGGAATGAACGTCTGAATTTGCAAATGCAAGTCAATAAACATATATTTCAGGATTTTATTTATTCTTTGTCAACTCATACAAACATCAGATGATTTATCTGTGAAAATACAGATGAAACGTCCGACTATTAGGAAATACTCATTTTCAAGTTCAACCACTGATAAAGCTGTTCCACTCATTACCAGGTGGGGGCAGTAAAGGTTCTTCACCAACCAGTGTTGGGTTTATTCAATGATGATTATAAAATTAATGTGTGTGTGCTTATGAAACATTGGATTCAGATGGTGGAGCCTCCTGTCTTATGACCTGATCAATTGTTCTGTCAGAACAATTCTGTTTTGTAACCATGTGTTATGTTCTGTTAAAGGAATAGTACACCCAAAACATGATTAGCCTTCATTTTCTACTCACCCTCATGCTGAACAACACTCTGGAGTACTTTTTTGATATCTCAAATGCATCTGGAGATCTGGGAGGCTTCTTGCTGTCTGCTGACATTCAAATAATGGAGGTCTATGGCGCCCGAGGCAGAAAGGTCCATAAAAGTCCACAAAAACGTGTCAATATTCCTCCATACTGCTCGTCCAATGTATTCCAAGTGTCCTGAGTGGGTAGCATCCAGAATTTACTCGAAACGAAGTCATTTAGAATGTTTTTAGAGCATAAACAGTAGTGTATAGGATTTCCTAAAAGCGCGTTCACGAGTCTACGGAAACCGGCAGACCAAACCAGATGAAAGTGCGCATTCAGCTCGGCAAAGAACTCATGCTCTTCCTCAACACTGAAGTCCTCAGACATTTTTCTTTCGTTGTTTCTTTCTTTGCACAGGTAAACAGCACATTTCTTCTTCTACGCTTGCATTATCGGCAGAGCAGACGCTGAATGCGCACTTTCATCTGGTTTGGTCTGCCGGTTTCCGTAGACTCGTGAACTCGCTTTTAGGAAATCCTATACACTACTGTTTATGCTCTAAAAACATTCTAAATCACTTCGTTTCGAGTAAATTCTGGATGCTACCCACTCAGGACACTTGGAATACATTGGACGAGCAGTATGGAGGAATATTGACACGTTTTTGTGGACTTTTATGGACCTTTCTGCCTTGGGCGCCATAGACCTCCATTATTTGAATGTCAGCAGACAGCAAGAAGCCTCCCAGATCTCCAGATGCATTTGAGATATCAAAAAAGTACTCCAGAGTGTTGTTCAGCATGGGGGTGAGTAGAAAATGAAGGCTAATCATGTTTTGGGTGTACTATTCCTTTAATAAAAGAAGCCTGCAGGAGGGGGGGTCGGAGAAAGAGTTGAAAGTTGGGTTGGGCTCTTTCCACTCCTGCAGAAGCTGTTTGAATCTCTTTCCTGTGTGGACTCAGTTTCTCTTTTACGAACCTAACAACCATCACTAAATGAGAAGAAGATGAAAACAACCGTTCGATTGTAACTCTTTAGGACTTGCTGCTGTCGAAGGAGGAACAGCCGGTAGGTTAGTCAGGTTTAGGGGCTCTTATTATAATAGAAAGCCACTTTGTTTCATTTAACCCACGTACAGAAGTAGATATTCAAAATTTCCCCATTTTCCTTGATGGATCTTTGGCTGGTCTCCTACAATTCCTTATTAAAAATCTAAAATATTCTTTCTGTCATGATTTGTAGACATTAAAACCTAAAGAGAAGCATCATCTCCTGGTCAGACCCTGTAATTTTCTGAAAGGGTGGAGTCAGAGTAAAAAATATGCACCCCAGGAGGAGGCCGGTGGCTGGAAGTTGGAGGGGATTTGGCCGCCGATGGCTTTGAATTAATATAAATATTTTTGATGATGTGAAACATTGAAGAAAAAACTGAAAAAGGTTTAACTTTAAGGGTTTGAAAACTTGTGTTCAGGTTTTGGTGTCTCCAGTCAATTTAATAAAGTAAAGCTCCAATCAGAGTTAAAACCGCCACATGACCCACCAGGGGGCAGTGTTCTAAAGTTAACATCCGTCTCTGGTCCAACAGAACTGACCCAGTCCTCAGCTTGAGTCTGGTTCTCCAGAGTTCTGCTAGTGACCCTGTTATTTGGCCCGGATGTGTTTGAGCAGAGACATCCGGATGTTGGGAAGAGAAGGGCCCCAGAGGACCGCAGTTTTACAGCTGGGGGGTCTAAGATAGGATGGAGGGGATAGATGGTCCAGATGGTTCTGGATTGTGATGGCAGACTGGTCCGTCAACAACTCACCGACAGTGTCGACTCTCAGGACTTTAAAGAGCAGGAAGTCGCTCTTTTCGCGGAGCAGCTGCTTCCTCAGCAGAACCACCAGGCTGGAGGCAGAGAGGGGCCCCGAGGGGCCCTCCACGGAGAACCGCAGCACCGTACTGAAACAGAGCAAAAGCAGAGTTCTGGCTCTACGAACCGTTTCATCCGGTTTGTGATTTTATCGGTTTGTTCCGGTCCGGTTCAGAGTGACTCAGTCTCAGCTCTGGTACCTGAGATGAGTCCTTCCCTGCAGCGCCCGGACCCGAATGTCTCTGTCCAGGACGTGGATCAGTGCGGCGAGCTGTCGGACCACCGTGTCCCTCTGAGCCACGCTCACCTGAGACACGGACACCAGCATCTCCAGCTCCACCTGCTGGCCGCCACCAGGTTCTACACAAACAAAGAATTCTGCTTAACCTTAGAACCTCAGCAGAACATCTGCAAGAAAGGCATCCGCCCCACCTGGTCGGACCTCCACGGTGGCGGTGGCCGAGTTGGACCGACCCTGAGCGTCCGTCACCTTCAACTGGAACAGGTATGTTCCTTTCACCAGGTCAGACAGGTAGAGCGACGGCTTGGTCTCTGAGCCGAACAGAACCTCCTGCACAGAACCCTGCGGTTAACCAACCCGTTCTGTTTTCACTCTGCCTGAAACCTCTCTGAGGGGCCCCTACCCCGGCAGCGGGACTCTGGCTGTCTCTCGTCCACAGGAACCGCACCTCGGCCGCGTCTCCGTCACTCACAGAACCGTGGAGGACCAGAGAGTTGTTGGGCAGGGTGAGAACGTGGCTGCCGCTGGCATGAGCGACCGGAGGGAGACTCCTGGCTACAGGAGGAAGGAAAGGACAACCGTCCTTATGGTGGGACCAACACCATCAGAACCAGCAGTTCTGGAACCATGAAGCTGCAGCAGAACTCACCTTCCTGAATCCTCACCAACAGCAGGGCGCTGTCCGTCGCCCCCTCCTCGTCCCGCACCGTCAGCCTGAATGTGTAGCGACCTCCTCTGAGACCCGTCACCATAGCAACTGCCCGATCAGCATCCTGCAGCTGCAGCCCAGGAGGACCGCTGCAGACACAGAGCAGAGCCGCTCCTTCAGGTACAGAGCAGCTGCTACCGGATCAGAACTTCCACCGCAAAGCTCCGCCCACCTCACCACCTCCCAGGTGTAGCTGCTGACGCCCCGGTCGTCCGTGCTGCCGCTGCCGTCGAGCAGGAGGCTGCCCAGAGGGAGGTCCAGTTTCCGGTCCGGACCCACCACGGCCACCGGAGCTTTGTTGGACCGCTGGAGTTCTGCTTGATATCAGAGGAAAGACGGGTTGGTTTTATGGTTCATGGATGGGACAGAACAAAAACACAGAGCGGTCAAAAAGAGGAGAAGAGCTTAATAAAAGTCGTAGTCGCTAAGCCTAAGAGGCTGAAGCGGAACCAGCTCGCCAAACGTCAGCTATCTGAGGTTCTCAGAACCACATCTGATTAAAGTTTCTGCTGAGTTTTCCAGGACCAGAACTGATTCTAAAGCTGTACGGCTCAGAGATGGACCCCACGCTGCAAAACCATCAAGAAATAAGCCAAAATGTCTTCAATTATAAATGAACAGTGAGTGGCTTTACTCTTCAAATAAGTTAATTAGATAATATGCACTTGAAAGCAATTGCTTTTTTCTTACTTTAAGTGTAAATCATCTTTTTCCATTGCGAAAGTTTATTTCCAGTGCAGACATACTTTTAAAAAAGTTGCGTAGCAAATATCAGCTATTATGTACCAGGTAGCAGCTAGCATGTGGCGGGTAGCAGCTAGCATGTGGCGGGTAGCAGCTAACATGTACCAGGTAGCAGCTAGCATGTGGCGGGTAGCAGCTAGCATGTGGCGGGTAGCAGCTAGCATGTACCAGGTAGCAGCTAGAATGTGGCGGGTAGCAGCTAGCATGTACCAGGTAGCAGCTAGAATGTGGCAGGTAGCAGCTAGCATGTAGCAGCTAGCATGTGGCGGGTAGCAGCTAGCATGTAGCAGGTAGCAGCTAGCATGTACCAGGTAGCAGCTAGCATGTACCAGGTAGCAGCTAGCATGTAGCGGGTAGCAGCTAGCATGTACCGGGTAGCAGCTTGCATGTAGCGGGTAGCAGTTAGCATGTAGCAGGTAGCAGCTAGCATGTGGCGGGTAGCAGCTAGCATGTAGCGGGTAGCAGCTAGCATGTACCGGGTAGCAGCTAGCATGTGGCGGGTAGCAGCTAGCATGTAGCGGGTAGCAGCTAGCATGTACCAGGTAGCAGCTAGCATGTGGCGGGTAGCAGCTAGCATGTAGCGGATAGCAGCTAGCATGTACCGGGTAGCAGCTAGCATGTACCAGGTAGCAGCTAGCATGTAGCGGGTAGCAGACCACCAGACTTTTGCTCGTTTTGTCATTGCCGTCAGCCAGAGCGCTCTGTGTCCTTAAATGGTGGATAGCTAACCACAGTGAAATGGAAAATCTGTAGGGCTGAAACAATTAATCGGATGAATTCATCCATCCATCCATTTTCTGACATGCTTAATCCCAAATGGGGTCATGAGGGGTGCTGGTGTCTATCTCCAGCTGTCTACGGGCGAGAGGCGGGGTCCACCCTGGACAGGTTGCCAGTCCATCGCAGGGAAACACCGAGACAAACAACCATTCACACCTAGGAGGATTTAGAGAAGCCATTTAACCTAACAGTCATGTTTTTGGACTGTGGGAGGAAGCCGGAGTACCCGGAGAGAACCCACGCATGCTCAGGGAGAACATGCAAACTCAAGCATGTCATTGCATGCATGGAAATCGAACTCAAAACCTTCTTGCTGCAAGGCAGCAGAGCTACCCACCGCCCCACTGAGCAGCCTCTTAATCGGATTAATTGATTATTGTAATAATTTAGTGATCGATTCATTGTTAACTGGAGTATAGAGACTCTAAAACATGCCTTTTTTATTTTATTTATTTATTTATTTATTTTTTCCTACTTGCTTTGATTCTATTTTATTTTCCTATATTTAATCATGTAAAGCACTTTGCATTGTCTTTGTACTGAATTGTGCTATACAGATAAATCTGCCTTGCCTTGCCTTTAGCTGACAGAACGACCCGCTTAGAGCAGGAATTAAACCAAGGTTGTAAAAGCATATAAACATTTTGCATTTAAGTTTTAAAAAAGTATAATCTTTTGAGATGCTCTATCCAAAACTCTTCAAGTGGAAAAGTTTGAGTTTCACCTGTTTGAGTTTGTAAAAAATATTCTTTAAAAAAACCTTTAGCTATCCTATTATCAATCAATTAATCTAAAAAGTAATCGACAGATTAATCGATTTGCAAATAATTGTTACATTCAGCCCTAATCTACGTCTCCACCTGCTGATCCAGAGATTGGATGCAATCAGCTGGTTGATCTGACTGAACTAGATCTATAAAGTCAAATGTGTTATAAACTGGGTCTACAGTCACTGTCACTTAGGAAATCTGCATCCTGTCAAATGTCAGATGGAATTAATCAATTATATTTTGAAATTTAAAAAGTCAAATAGCTCCTTTTAAAAAAATATTATTTCTAGAGGGAAAAAGACAAAAGATACACCAAGTATAACTTTTAATTTATATGTTTTCCTTAAATTTAATCTGTAAATGTTTTCATGTTCAGTCATATTTCAATTTTTGCCAACATTGTCTGAATAAAAATAAAAAAAGAAAATTGAAAAGAAAATCTCTGAATCCAGAAGAGTTTCCAGAAGTTAGGAGACGTGAAGAATCTGAGCTTTCATGCATCTGAGTCGGCTCTGAAACAGAACCAGAACCTGATGGACCTGCTGGAGAACCGTGTAAACAAACCTGCGGTAGCAGCAGCCTCTGATCTGACGGCTGGAGGGAGAGTAGCCGGGAGCGAGGCGGAGAGGTCAGAGGTCACATCCTGGATCAGAGGTTCACTGCTGGCTGGTGAAGACTGGAGAACCTTCACCGGGTCTGTCAGAACAGAAACATCTCAGCCCCTCTGCTCACAGAAAGTGGACTCAATCATCTCAGCTAAACTTTGCATCTAACAGCAAGTTAATGGTTCTGTAACGCTGAACCAGAACTCTAGATCGGACCTGATGTATGCGTGTTTGCAGCTTCAGAGGGACCGGTCCGTTCAGATGAATCAGCGGCGTTTTCCAGAGGTGGCGCCACGGTAGAACCTGCAGAAAAAGACCGAAAAACCGAAACCAGACCAAAGAAACGGGCCATGGTTCTGACCCACTGGCAAAGACATTCTATGTCTCTGAAGACTCAGAGGACCCAGTTGCCATGGAAACAATCACTTCATCTGAGCCGGGCTGTTTCCGGTTCTACCTCTGAAATCGTTCAGTTTACCATCGCATACCTGGACTCCCTGTGGTGCTGATGATGTCATAGGGCGTGGTCACGTTATCTGTGGGGGCAGAGTCAGCGGCAGGCGTCCATGATGGAAGAACTGCAACTCTCAGCATTTCTGTCTGAAAAAGTAAAAAAAAAAAAAATCAAGTTGCGCAGAAATCCCGAATGCAAGCTGAGGAGGAACCACAAAAAGGTTCTGGACGAAAGAACCTCCAGCAGTCCCTAAAGTTCCCCTCAGAACTTCCAGAATCATCTGCTTTTTGGTGAAACCTGCAGAAAAATGTGTTTTAATGGAAAAAGAAGGCATTAAAGGAAAGTCCGGTCAGCAAAGAATAATCAACGGATCATTATTTATACCTAAAACTAATTTGTTGGCGTGATTTAATTAATTTAGCGTTAATCACTGAGTCTGGGAGCGGCCATTTTTGCCCAAATATAGTAGCCCCTCCCTCCTGCCATCTTCCAGCAGTGACGTCACGGTGCGGTAAGCCTAGCGCCATTCTCCCCGCTTTCCAAGCTAAATCAATGGGAACTACTAGACACATCTGCAATCAACAACAATTATTGAAGATTTCCAGAGGACTTCACCATTGAAATTCACCAGAGCTATAGTGAAACTGACAATGCCCACGTGCATGGCAGCTGGATGCTGGAATACATCGGGGAAAAGTGAAAAAAAGAGTTATTCCACCTTTCTGATTCCTGATCCTCCACGGACGGGTTGGTCGTTGGATCGCCAACTTGAAGAGGGAGGATTTGCCATCGAACAGATTAATATAGAAAAACAGATAATCTTTACAATTTCATTCCTTTCCACAGATTCATGGACCAACTTTTAAACATAGAATAATAAAAAAAATAAAATCTGGCAAACATTTCGCGAGTCGCGTGTCGGTGACGTCACTTCCCCATTCTGACAACTCTGGCGTTTTAACTGCTGACTGAGCGTTGATTGGGTTTGAACCCAGCAATGAGGCCAACTGACTGAAGATGGTAAGTCAGCATAGCGTACACACACACACACACACACACACACACAGTGTATTGGTCCTCACAAGCTAGGGTGACCACCTGCTAATAAGCCCAAGGGGGGACCAGGGGTATGTTTCTGGGGGACAAAGTGGGACACTGCTTGGTGCAATGGTGCCCCCACCTAACGGGCAGACTCACTGATAGAGGTTTACACATTTCTAGCACATATCACCTTACATGGTATATTAATAATGTCCTATTCCCATAAACATGTGTAATTGCTGATGTATGCTCATGAATAGGCCAACCAATGTGTATTTCTTTCTAAATAAAGATTCATAATACTTTGAACATTCAATGAACAGATGCACTTCCAATTTCGATTTAATTTAGCTATTCAATTTTATTTATTTTTTATTACAATTCATTCACTTTAAATAAATTATAATTTGAAATTAAAGGATTAACAGGAATTGTAGTTGCTCTACACCACAGGAACTGTAAAAAAAAAAAAAAAGGCTTAACTCACGACTCCAGAGGTTCACGGAACGAGAAGGGGGAGGAAGGATGGTGAACTTGGATGTTGTTTAAAGCAGGAACAGGAAAAAAAAAAAAACTGTTCAGTGTTCTGGGGACACCTTTACCATTGCTGGTGGAGATGCCTCACACTCAGTCTCTTTCTCCATCTTCTAATTGGAAAGCGCGCCTCTAAAAGTTTCTTCCCAGTTAATGCGCAGTTCCAACTGATATTTTCCGCGAGCGCGCTTTTTTTTACGTCACCGCGCGTTCTGGCTGCATTCTTGAAAAATGTGTAGACCGGCCACTGATGATTCAAATCACAAAAAAAGTGGTAGACAGACGTTTAAAAATTGACTTCAAACATTTTATCTCATGAATTTGGGCTTTCACTGCCATCTACTGTCATATGAGAGTAAGCACAACTTGACGACCATAAGCTTTTTCATATTTCATATTGATTATGCGTGACACGGTCTCAATTTGCGGGACGAATGAATTGGGCTTCAAACGCTGTGCGCGCACGCGCTACGCGGGACGGGTGGTCACCCTATCACAAGCATTGTACTACTTGAATGTGTGTGGGGCACCAGAGGTGTGCACAGACATTTTGGGGGGCAGCTGCTCAGGAGGGGGGGGCACTTTTTAGCGCACGTGGAACACTTAATTATAAAAAAAAATACACACGCATGTTGAATGAAATTTGACTTTTTCAATGGAAAAAAGTCACACCACCAATAGAACAGACTAAAGCGTACTACTTTAAAGTAGTACGCTTGCTCATCTTTCTTCTTCTTTCATCTGGTTCATCTCCCTGTTTTCCCTCACCCATCTGCTCTCCCTCATCCTGGTCTTTTTCTGTCTCTGTGTCTTCCCTGAACTCTTCCTCATCTCCTGTCCTGGTAGATGTTGATGGTATAGAGCAGGGGTGTCAAACTTATTTTCACTGAGGGCCACTTCAGGGTAATGGCTGTCCTTGAAGGGCCAGTTGTAACTTATAAATGTAACTAAATGTAATTTAATGTAATGTAAAATAAATGTAACTACTCCTTAATGTTAAATAACTCATTATTTATTATAGCTTATTCAAGTGACAATTACAGTTGCATAGAAAACATATGCTTGCTTGTTGCTCTAACATAAATCCTTTTAAATTTAGTCAGCTTATGAAAACCCACATAACTTCATTAATGAAGGATCAAACTGTCCAAGTGAATAAAGAGATATAACATAAAACTGAGCTGCAAAAAACATGTATGACACATGTAGCATTTTACAAAAAAAAGGCCATACACAGCTTTGCATCCAACTGATGGTTTGATGCATACACACATAAGACCTGCAAACATTAAATAATTAAATAATTACAACAACAGAATCATTCAATTTTATTTACATAAATTGAACGATTACCCCCAAACATTTCCCGCAGACCATCTTTTCACATTTATGGCAAACGTAATATGGGCGTTTTTTTGCTGAAGCTCCTGCGGCTGTTTTCTGTGCCTCGCCAAGGCTGCTCTACTGCGGGGGCTGGAAACTTGCGGATTGTCTGGAACTTTTTTACCAGTTCAAGGATAAAATCTCTGCGTATATAGCTGATATTTCCACAAGATTATATATTACAGCCACAGGTCACCTTCGCGTCGGAGCTTTTACAGAATCCTTTCTAATCATCTGATCCAAAACATCCACCCCAACCTGTGTGTGGTTATAGTAGACTACTTTTTCCATATTAGCTAAAAAGTTCTAGGTAGAATGTTGGTTGCTTGGTAACGGTACCGAACATCAATCAACCGCGGGAAGAATTTACAATGCAACTAATAGAGCCGTCAAAATGAAGGTTGTGGGCGATCGAGGTAGAATTAACCATATTTATTTTTTATGTTTTAATTTTATTTTAAAAAACTATGTGAAAATGAAGGAAATATAGAAACAGGAGCAACATGAGCAACATAAATTAAATTGTTCCCTTTAAAATCTCAGAACCGTCAAAATGACGGCTGTGGGAGTTCTAGCGGGCCACATAAAATGACAAGGCGGGCCACATCTGGCCCGCGGGCCTTGAGTTTGACATATGTGGTATAGAGCTTCCCTGCTGTATCAATATACAATTAAGAAAATAAAGAGACCAAAATGTGTTAATTTATGGTGCCTGACAAAACCTATACAACAGAAAACGTTTGTCTTATGTGGTCGTCCTCACGTTATCTGTCATTGACTTGGGCTGCAGTGTAAAACTTTATCTAGCCTGACTGGTTTATCAGGTGACCAGTCGGCAAAAATGCGTGTTTGGTGCTGCTGAATGAGACATTTTAATGCACAACAAAATGATTTAGCTTGATCTGTATATTACCTGGCTAATGGGGCACGGGAGAAGCAGCCTGACAGTGAGCGTTCCTGCTACCTGAAGACGCTTACTGAACTGCTATGATGCTGTGCATCTGGCATGCCCTGCGGGCGACCGAGCGAGGTCACATGACAAAGGAAGAGAGAGAGGCTGGTCGGGTGTGCGCAAGGAGGTGGCTCATTTCGGGGCATTGTTTCAGTCGTTTTAAATGGCTCAGGTTTTCAAAAGATAATTTCAAAACCGACCTCAGTAAAATCTTAATAATATTAATAATATATTTAAAAAAAAACGAGTTTCAAAAGGGCATTTTCGTTGATAAAGGGCAAACTTCCTAGTGCTTTAGCACCACCTAGTGTCTATGTATGCACGCCCCTGTGGGGCATGCGAAGTGAGCAAGGTGGTTTTCAGTGACGAGGCGGATTCGTCCCACTTGGAAACAAAGTCCAGTGGATTCGGTTTCTAACTTTTTTGGAATGACTATGACCTGGATGACTGAGAATCTTCACCAGCATTTTCACTCACCGTTTTTGGTGGAGCAGGCGGGCCGGTTGGTTCTTGGGTTCCGTTCTCTTCTCTCTGACCCACCGCCCCATCAGACATCATCGGGGTTCGGGTCCCGCTGCTCTTGGGCCCTGCGCCTTCGAGATCCTCTTCCTGGGATCGATTGAACGGTTCAACCTCCAAGTCGAGTCTGTCCCTCAGCTCCTGGCTGCCCTCTGTGTACTCCACATCCACCATCCCAGGGTCCGACTGGCTTGCTCGGGGCCCATCAAAGAGGGCGAGGCCCCTAAGTGGCTCCAGGTCCCTGTTGGACCCCCAGCTACCGCCGTACGGCTCTCCTCTCACCAGAGATTGAAGCAGCAGAGACTGCGGGGACCTCTGCAGGAAGGCCAGCACAGAGTCGGCCCCGGGCCTCACCTGGGGCTGGCAGTTCGCCCCCTGCTGGCAGTTCAGGACGTAGCAGCGGCCCTTAAAGAGCCAGGCCAGGTCGTAGCCGGGCAGGTCGCAACACGCCGCCACACACTGTTGGAGGGAAGCGACGCCCGGGACACGCATGATCCCGCTGCTCTCCACCGCTGGGGAAACAACTGCCTCGGGAAAGGTTGCCCCCTGCCAGCAAGGAGAGGCCACTGCAGCTGGAAAAGGAAAGAGGGAGATATTCTGCCCTGAAGGACGGAGACGACTCATTTCCTTCTGCTCTAGACCCAAACTCTTACATCAGAGATCTGATTGTTCCTTATGTTCCTAACAGAGCACTTCGCTCTCAATCTGCAGGTTTACTAGTGGTTCCTAGAACTTCTAAAAGTAGAATGGGAGGCAGATCTTTTAGTTCTCAGGCTCCTCTCCTGTGGAACCAACTACCAGTTTTAGTCCGTGAGGCAGACACCCTGTCTACTTTTAAGGCTAGGCTTAAAACTTTCCTTTTTGATAAAGCTTCTAGTTAGAGTGGCTCAGGTTATCCTGATCTATCTCTATAGTTCTGCTGCTATAGGCTTAGACTGCTGGAGGACATAGGGACCCCTTTTTCATCATTCTATCTCTATTCTCCCACTCTGCAGAATCTGTTAGTTCAATCTCTAACGTTCTGCTCTCTCTGCTTTTTCTCATAGTAGCTTCATCTGGTCTGTTCCTGTTTGGCTGTGACTCCATCCTGGAGAGAAATATCAGCTGTGCTGCTGCCATCAACACCTTTGTTTCTAGATGTTGGAGCTTGGCCTGTTTTCCAGTGTAGTCCTGTTTCTCTGACTGTGACTAACTGGATGTGCTCTCTTCATCCTCTCACATGGGAGCTGGCTCGGAGCTCGTCTGCCTGGCTGTGTGTTTCCTGGACGGGGCCGCCTGTGGAGCTGGTTGACAGTTGCCTTTTGTATCTATGCTTCTTTTTCTATGTCTGCTTCTGTCTCCTTGAACCCCAGTGGGCCTCAGCAGATGGCCGCTCACACTGAGCCTGGTTCTGCTGGAGGTTTCTTCCTGTTCAAAAGGAGTTTTTCCTCTCCACTGTCGCTACAAGCATGCTTAGTGAGAGGAATTGCTGAAGAGTCAATGAGTCGATGCAATCAGCTGGTTTTCCTTAGATAGAAAACTTTGAATCAATCTGACTGGAAGATCTGGTGAACTGGAAAGTGACCTGAGATGACATGATGTGAATTGGAGCTATAGAAATAAACTGAATTGAACAGAAACTGAATTGAATAAATGTAAACATTTGCTTTAAAGTTGTTTTTTACATCCTTGAGTCTAAAACAGTAAACTGATCTAAAACACTTTTAGAGGAAAATTGAAAAAAGGTGCAAATGCAAAGTCTACTGGAAGATCGTCACTCAACTCTGCTTCTTCCTTCCTAATTCAAAGCAAACTGAGGCTGTCAGTGGTTGCTATGGTGATTTCATCCTACAGAGGGGCATCCCACAGCAACACTTTTATTCAGACAAGAACATAAGTCACAAGCGGTCTTTGTTTGAAAGTTTTTCAAAAGTATTCTGCTGCAGAACAATCTGTTGGCCTTGAATTTAGGATTTTATCAATCTAAAGGTCATTGAACTTTACAATCACACCCCCTGAAAACTAGACATCCATGACAGAGAAATTAGAACCTAGAAACTAGCTGAATAGTGATGACTTGATTCAGTGTTTTAACAACCAGAGGATCATTTATGACTCAGAACCACATGAAAAAAATGAATTTCACCCCATTTCTGTTTGAGAAACTCCACAGAAACCTGAAATACTCTTAAAGTTTTTACCTTCCAGGATGCTGATCAGCGTGATGACCGTTTTCCCCCACATGATGGCGCTGTGTTGATCTAAGGACGGAATGGGAAAGAAAAAGTGGGAAATACGGACTGATAAAGTCTGTTATTTACCTAAAGGCACATTTGTGCTCCGCGTTGACCTGCAGGTTTAAGCAGAATCGAGCTGCGCTGCAGTTTCAGCACCACCGAGATGGACAGCGCCACATTTAGCCCCGCCCCGCTGCAGGACTGAGGCTGCGATTGAATTAAAATCAAACCTTCCCAGCTCTAAACCGTGTAACAAACACGAGTGGGTAATCAGTAATAACAATAAACATCTAGAAATATCACTCTTTTATTCTGCATCTATTTATAACAGTAATAAATAATAATTAATAAATCGTACTTCTTCCTAAAAACAAATCAACAAAGAAATATTTCTGGCTTTTATTTAGCATATATCAAACCATAACAGCATCATGACTGGATAAAAATAAGGCCGAATTATTTAATAAATAACACTTGTTTTAGGTTAGCAAAGATTTAAAAAATTTCTGACACTTAAAACTAATTAATCAAAGATTTGTGAAAAGAGCCTCCCGCGCAGAGGAACTTCTGCCAACAATCCGCCATTTGCATCAACGTTCCTGTCAAGATGAAAGGTTCCAGCCGTCCTCTTGCAGTCGGTGACCCTTTCATCATGCAGCGGCACGTGCAGGTTTATGAAACCTACCTGGAGGAGCAGCTTCCTCCCAGTCCTCCCAGTATCGCAGCTCGCTGGTTCTCCTCTATAATCCCGATCAGCTTCAGGCTCCTCAGACTGGAGGAGTGAAAGAGAGGAGTCATGACGGTGCAGAATCCAGGGGCGGAGCTAGATGGGGGGCCAGTGGTGGCCATGGCTACCCTTAGCCAATCTTTTGTTTTTTGTTTTTTTACAATTCTTTCCCTCTAATTCAGACGACGGCAGCAGTAATACTCTCAAGTGGAATGTTTTAACTTATTTAACATTTTAATTTTCTATATGTAAACAATTACCTGACAACTAAAACGCTGTGTTTAATTATGCACATCAATAAACTAACATTAAAGATGATAAATACAGAATTCATGCTATTTTCAGAACTAGATTTTGTCTTTTATTGGGTAAAGAGAAAATCATCTAGGAATCTTCAATGAAATCAGAGATAAAGAACTATTTTAATAAGTAATCCACCTAATGTAGATATTAGAACATATAAATATTTTATGCAGAATGATTATTAATAAAAGTAGGTAAATAATGACAATAAACAAGATGTTCTCCCAATAATTCAAAACTGGAATCATTTTGTCCACTACATCTTTAATTTAGACAGCATGGATGTTTAAATAAATGCATCTATCTGTTAGCAAAGGCGGTAAGGAAGTATAGTTTGTCTTTATTTAGAAAGTATGGATGTTGTAGTTGTTCATTTTCCTTTTGGAACAGAATAGATTGACCCTGAGGTTATGGCACCTATCCACTTTCAGCCACCCCTCAGTTTACATTGGTTATTGCCTGGCAACCCTTATTAACATTTTCTGGCTACACCTCTGAGAATCACCTGTTCAACTTCTGGTCTGGACTTCCAAAATAAGACAAAAACAGACCAATAGAATTAAACCTGAACAACTTTCTTCCTTCTTCATGGAGCAGTTGGTCCATCTCTACAAACCTGGGTTCCCTTCATCAGAGAAGAAGCCTGATGTTCACCTCATGGATCAGATGAATCGGTTCTTCACACCTTTGGAGAGGAAAGGAACATCCAGCCTTCTCCATCAAAAGCTCTTCTTCTACAAACGAAGCAGCGCATCTAGAATCCTGGATCTGATAAATGAGGAAAGAACACAGATGGATCTCCGTCTCTAACCCCGTCCTTCTCAGGAACACTAAGAGACAGAACATCCTCCATGATCTTCAGGCTGTCAGTCCTGGATCTAAAGTCACTTTTCTCCAGTCGGTTGAAGGATCAACATCTGAACATCTGAAAATGTGTTTTCATTTATTCATCTTGGTTAAATTCCCAGGTTACCTGAGTCATGGTTTTTAGTTTAGTCTCTTGGAAGCGCCTGTGGCTAGAAGCTCAGCACCGGCCGCTGCAGGTGATGTTCCTCCTTCAGGAGCAGCTCAGGATCCACCAGGAGGATCTGGAGAGGATTCCTTCTCCTGTTTACCAGCTGGATTCCAGATTTACATGGATAACGGATAAATGGATAGATAAGGATGGAAGAACTGACAAATGACAGGATTAATAAATAAAAATAGAAAAATTAGTGGAGGAAGAGATGGATGAATGCATGAAAGAGTGAACAGATGAATAAACACATTAATGAATAATAAAAAATAGACGGATTAGCAGAAAGATGGATCAATGTGTGGATAAACAGACAATTGGATGGATTAGGAGATGAATGAATGAACAGATTAATAAATGAGCAGATAATGGATGAAGGCATGAATGAATGAACAGATGATGGATCAACAGATGAATGAGTGAACATATGAATGGATGAATAGATAAATGAATGAACACATGAATGAATTAGCAGATGAATAGATGAACAGATGATGGATGAAGGGATGATTGAATGAAAAGATGAATGGATGAGCAGATGAATGAACCAGCAGATGAATGGATGAACAGATGATGGATCAACAGATGAATGAGTGAACATATGAATGGATGAATAGATGAGAATGAATGAACAGATGAATGAATTAGCAGATGAATAGATGAACAGATGATGGATGAAGGGATGATTGAATGAACAGATGAATGAATTAGCAGATGAATAGATGAACAGATGATGGATGAAGGGATGATTGAATGAATAGATGAATGAATTAGCAGATGAATAGATGAACAGATGATGGATGAAGGGATGATTGAATGAACAGATGATTGAACCAGCAGATGAATGAATGAACAGATGACGGATCAACAGATGAATGAGTAAACATATGAATGGATAAATAGATGAATGAATGAATAGATGATGGATGAAGGGATGAATGAATGAACAGATAAATTAATGAACAGCTGTTGGATGAGCAGATGAATGAATTAGCAGATAAATTAATGAACAGATGAATGAGTGAACATATGAATGGATGAATAGATGAATGAATGAACAGAATCAGTCTTCTTGTTCTTTGACGTCTTTTATTGATGTTTTCTTACAAAACAAAAACTAATGTTCCACGTGACTCACAGTCAGATATAAATTAGACAAACATCCAACTTAAATAAACATCTGTGTGTCGGAGCAGCCGGGAGCTTCTGGCCTTCAGCTTATCAATCAGAGCTGGTGAACAGAACCGACCCAGAAACAGTTTACAACAGGTTTAGGAAGTTCACACAGTCAGGGCAGGGTTCCTGTATTTGGGTCGGGAATCCTGAGTCGGTGTTCCGATGGCAAGATTGGGCCTGACAGAACCAGATAGATCCGTTCGTTGTCCTTTAGGATCTCCCCGTGTTTCAGCTTCTACCTCGGGTCTAGTTGGTGATCTTTGTTCTTATTTTATACTCAGAACATGACTTCCAGGATGCAGAGCCTGGAAAATGCTCCTGATCAAATGTTCCGCTGAATTCTGGCGGCTGAAGCAGAACCGGATCCTTCCTGGGAAATCATTCAGTAATCAGAATCATCTGGAACTTCTCATCCCCATCATATCGTTCATTCCTAACAGCCGGAGCCATTTTTAACCCCCAGTGAAACCAGACCTGATCTTCCCCGACAGGAACCGGGTCAGGAGCTAAAGTCTAAGTCGAATGAGACCGATCCGATGCTCAGCCTGCAGCTCGGGTTTGGATCCGGACGACCCGGAGTAACAAGGAATAATTTATGGATACATTTTTGTTCTGAAGTCAAAGTTCTGGTCTTAAAGTTAAAAATAAACAGATAAGCGAGTTCAGAACCAGCATGTTATTCTTCCTCACTCGTTAATAAAAACTCAAAGCCTTTTCTGGGTTCTGGCTTGTATTCAACCAACCAATCGCTCCAATATTTTACATTTTCTTTTGGGAATTTTCCAGTGATTGGCTCTAATGGAGAAGGAGAACAACACTTCTCAGTCTGCGTATCACTGCAGCCTATCAGGCGGCCGATCCGGTTCTGTTCTATCTGAGCTGAACGGAGCCCAAAAGGAAATTACAGATGTTCTGTGATCAGCTGCTCAAACTGCATCCACGACAGGAACTAAAACTCTGGAGGACTGGAAGCGTTGATGTTTAGAGACCGAAGAATCTCTCTGGAGAAAATTCACAGGAAACATCACTAAATATAGATTCATGGAAAAAATGTAGCAGCCGATCCAAACAAACTCCGCACTTATCAAACAGGTTCTGAGGAGTTTCGACAATAAAGTCCTTAAAGTCTCCCTGTAGGGAAAACAAACGTCCCATTAGAACTCCAGTTCAGGAAGACAGCACCTCCAGTTCAGATCCGGGATGCAGCTGATCCCTGCTCTCGTGCAAACACGTCTTCCATCCTCTGTAGAACCGATCCGAGATCGGTTTACACTCCGATCCGATTTCTTCGACCGCTTCTGGACCTGCTGAGGATGAAAGGAAGGCGCACGTTACTCTGGCCTCCACCAGGAGGCAGCAGAGAGGTGAAGCAGGTGGAGGCTGCGGGGTTGGGTCTGCCACTGTCCCCTCTCCCAGGGTAGGGAACCCTCAGCACTCCAGCGGCGGGTGGAAGCTTCTTCTGCAGTCGATGGCTTTGGTACCAGGAGGCTGAACCTTCTTCCTGCGGAGCTCATCCCGACCCAGAGAACTGCCGAGGCGCAGGTACGCCGCCTTGTACTTCTTATCAAAAGCAACTGCAAACAAAGACAGGAATATTTCAGAGGCTTCGTCTGGAGAGAGAAGCCGAGTCAGAGATCAGGGATGACCATGACGAGCCTCGGCCCCAGGATCACACATCTGATTGGCTCTGGTTTAAAACTGGAACAAGGAAGCTCCTGGAATCTGAATTCCCCTCCTTCCCATTTTGCCTGGCAAAATTGTGCAAGCGTAATTTCTCTGAGATCACTTAATAAAAAAATATCCGACCCTGAATGAAATCAACTTTAAAAAAATGTTTTAAGTTATTTTCAGTATTTCTAATCTGTTTAATTTGTGTCTTACAGATATTACAGTCTAAAGATGCTAATAACTACAAACGCTAATAAATGCAGATGCTAATGAGTACAAATGCTAATAATTAGATAAACTAATGACTAATTATGCTAATAACACTAAATGTTATTGAAAATGCCCTAAAGTCTCTGCTTCTGGTACAGGGCTTGATGTTAACCATCGCCCGATCTCCCGGGGCAAGTAGTTTTTATTGGCAAGAGAGTACAAATTTCATCGCATTTGCCCGCCGGGCAAGTGCAATGATCGCAAAAAATATATATTTATCACTCAAAATTACTTTAAAAACACCAACATTCGATGAAAACGACCCAGAAGCGATGAAAACGACCCAGAGGCGCCATTTTTGTTCTTATGTACACATCCTCACATGATATGAAAAAGCCGCGTGATTTGAAAAAGTCGCGTGATTTGAAAAAGCCGTGTGATTTGAAAAAGTCGCGTGATTTGAAAAAGCCGCGTGATTTTAAAAAGTCGCGTGATTTAAAAAAGTTGCGATTTGAAAAAGCTGCGTGATTTGAAAAAGCTACGTGGTTTGAAAAAGTTGCGTGATTTGAAAGCCGCGTGATTTGAAAGTCGCATGATTTGAAAAAGTCAAGTGATTTGAAAAAGCCGCGTGATTTGAAAAAGTTGCGATGTGAAAAAGCTGCGTGATTTGAAAAAGTTGCGATTTGAAAAAGCTGCGTGATTTGAAAAACCTGCGTGATTTGAAAAAGCTGCGTGATTTGAAAAAGCTGCGTGATTTGAAAAAGCTGCGTGATTTGAAAAAGTTGCGTGATTTGAAAGCCGCGTGATTTGAAAGTCGCATGATTTGAAAAAGTCGCGTGATTTGAAAAAGCCGCGTGATTTGAAAAAGTTGCGTGATCCGAAAAATCCGCGTGATTTAAAAAAGCTGCGTGATTTGAAAAAGTTGCGTGATTTGAAAAACCTGCGTGATTTGAAAAAGCTGCGTGATTTGAAAAAGGTGCGTCATTTGAAAAAGTCGCATGATATGAAAAAGTCGTGTGATTTGAAAAAGTTGCGTGATTTGAAAAACCTGTGCGATTAGAAAAAGCTGCGTGATTTGAAAAAGCCGCGTGATTTGAAAAAGCCGCGTGATTTAAAAAAGCCGCATGATTTGAAAAAGTCGAATGATTTGAAAAAGTCATGTCATTTGAAAAAGTCGCATGATTTGAAAAAGTCGCATGATTTGAAAAAGGTGCTTGATTTGAAAAAGTCGTGTGATTTGAAAAAGTCGCATGATTTGAAAAAGTCGCATGATTTGAAAAAGTCGCATGATTTGAAAAAGGTGCTTGATTTGAAAAAGTCGTGTGATTTGAAAAAGTCGCATGATTTGAAAAAGTCGCATGATTTGAAAAAGTCGCATGATTTGAAAAACCTGCGTGATTTGAAAAAGCCGTATGATTTGAAAAAGGTGCGTGATTTGAAAAAGCCGGGTGATTTTCCGCCAGATGGCGTAATTTTTGTCCACCTAGCGGTAATTTTGATGTAGTTACCAAAACGACAAACGGCTGCATTTATTTTGTCAGGGAAAACTAATCCTAAGTACGTTAAAAGTCAGGGAATTCTGAAATGATGTCAGACTGTGGAAACCCTGAATAAAATAACTATGTTTAATGATTCTCTAGAAAAGTCACATTATATTAATAGTATTATCTTGTATAAACATACCGTGACTCTAAAATAAAAGTTATTCATTTGTGACATTGACTTCTGTCTGTGATTTATCTTAAGTTTTTAACCCGTCAAGTTTTTTTTAGATTTTAAACATTACAATTTATATTTTTCCAAGCACACAACAGTTTAAAGCAAAGTTTAGTTTGAAAAGAATGAGCAGGAAGGATTGAAAAGCATGTTAACACGGTAATGTAGGCTGGAGTTCATTATCTGACGCATGCAGATACACACCAGGAACCTGGAAACTTAAAAAATACTGAATTGCAAAAAACTTTTAAAAAACAAACATGTTTCATTGATATATATACAAAAATGAATATTAGGAACTATATTTATCAAACGTTATACTGGGCAAGTAAAAATAGTTTCTGGGCAAATGAAATGTGAAAGTCACTTGCCCAAAGTGACATTAACGTCAACCCCTGTGGGATATTGCGTATTGCAGTTTTATTGCCCCGTATTGTTATTGTGGTTCTTTTATCTTCTGTCTACTTGTTTTCGCTGCTGTTCCTGCCAGATTCCTCCACTGCTGGATAATAAAGGTATTGCTGTTGTGTTTACAGTCTGTGTGTAACGTCTCACCTATGTGGTCTTTCCCCATCGCTGCCATAGTCAGAAACAGGAACTCTCTGTAGAGACTTCTGTCGATGAAAAAAAAAAAAACACCAACATCACCTTCGCTCAACCACACAGAGAGAAATATGACATTTCTATCAAACGGCATCCATCTTGGATCAGGGACGCACCTCTGGATCTGTGGAGACCCTGGCTGTTTCTCCAGGGTGTCCAAGAAGAGCGTGATGGCCTTGTGCACCTCGTTCATGCCCACCCAGCGAAGCACCTCCTCCAGGAAGGACAGGGTGAACGGGTGGTTGTGTCGCCTCCAGCTGTAGCTTCTCATTTGGACGCCACCTGGTGGAGGAAAAGCTTAAAGCTGCTGCAGGGACTTTAAACTGGCTGGTGCAGATTTCTGGTCCTTACTGTGGATCCTCCAGAGGACATAGAGCGGAGGCCACTGGTCTGTGTCGGGGCTCAGGGTGTCCCAGAGGAGCCGGACCCTCACTGCACAGTTCTCTGACTGGGAGACATAAAATCAGGCCATCTATTCAATTTCAATTCAGTTTATTTACATAGCTCCAATTCACATCATGTCATCTCAGGTCACTTTCCAGTTCAACCAGATCATCCAGTCAGATTGATTCAAAGTTTTCTATCTAAGGAAAACCAGCTGATTGCATCGACTCATTGACTCTTCAGCAATCCCTCACACTAAGCATGCTTGTAGCGACAGTGGAGAGGAAAAACTCCCTTTTAGCAGGAAGGAACCTCCAGCAGAACCAGGCTCAGTGTGAGCGGCCATCTGCTGAGGCCGACTGGGGTTCAAGGAGACAGAAGCAGACATAGAAAAAGAAGCATAGATACAAAAGGCAACTGTAAAAGGCGGCCCCGTCCAGGAAACACAAAGCCAGGCAGATGAGCTGCGAGCCAGCTACCATAGAGGACGAAGAGAACACAAGATCTTATTTTAATAAGATTATTCTTATTTCTAAAGAATCCCATAAAATCATCACTGCTAAGAGGCAGGTGGGATGGACGGTTCAACAGAGCTATGGCTCTAGGTGAGTTCAGCAACTGGATTAAAAAGAAATCAAGGATTATTCCTATTCTCCTCTATTAATGAGGAGAAGTTTGCTGCTCTTGCTTTTTAAAGAGTCCTCTTATACAGCAGTAAACTATTTTTCCAGAATAGGTAGGATTCCTGTAGGGCGCGATTTTCTCTCCAGTTTCCCAGTATTTTGCGTCAGAGTGCGCAGCTCTGCATTAAACCAGGGAGCCAGCTTTCTATTTATTTTTGAGGTTTTATGGCACTAGTGGCTCGTTTTTCTGAGAGTAGGCTGACAGGAAAGGTGGTATGAGAGAGGGGGAGGGACATGCGGCAAAGGACCACAGGCCAGATTCGAACCCGGGTCGCCCACATCAAGGCCTCCGTACATGAGTCGTACACGCTAACCACTGCACCACCTGCATGCCCAGCTTTCTATTTTTAACATTTTAGTTCACTGCTAAAGATATATTCAGAAAATGTACAAGTTGACATGAGTCACCTGTGTGAACTGGCTGAGCAGCGGTGAGCTGCGCACCAGCTCCAAAAGGTTACTGGGCAAGCCGAGTCGCTGGAAGAACCAGAACAGATTCCAGAAGATGATGGAGTGGCTGTCCAGGAACTGCGGCTGGGCCAGAACCGACTCGCCCTCGTTCTCCAGCAGACTCTCCAGCTCCTTTCTCAGAACCAGAGGACTCAGATAGGCCACCGTCACCTGAGGAGTCGCTCCCACCGATGACACCTGAGGGAGGGGGAGGAGCCTGTCAGTGCCTGAGGACCAAAAGAGGAACGGCGATGGGGGGGGTTAGATGTTACCGTGGTGGCCTTGCTGGTCTCAGAGTAGGTGCTGGTTTCAGAGCTGGAGTCGTCGCTCAGTCCGTTACAGTGAGGTCGCAGAGAACCCTCATGACCACCAGGGGGCCTCACAGCACTCTCCACCTCGTCCTCCAGGTTCATGTTACAACGCTCCGCACTGAGAAAGAGCAGCAGAACCGGTAATGCTACAGAATCTGGAGCAATAGACCGAGCTTTTCGTTCTCCTGTTTCTGTACCTGCTGACGGGTCCCAGGTCGCAGAATTCTGCGTTCAGGAACGGGACGAAGGAGGCGCCGCAGAACGGGCAGGCTGAGTTCAGGTTGGAGTCATCAGAGGTCCAGCCCGCCATGATCTCCTCGTCGTAAACCAGCGAATTGCAGCTGCGGCACAGCGAGCAGCTGGACATCAGAACCTGGACACAAAGCAGGACCATGAGGCCGTGACCTAAGAGAACCACGCTCACCGATCGTACCATTACCTCCATCCCAGCCCCCTCCTGGTTGGCGTCCCACGACCTGCGCAGAGGATATGAAGAGGTTGGCGTCTCTGTAAGGTCCAGGTCACTTCCTACAGACAGCGAGCTCTGGGGAGAGAAACCGCAAATCATTCTGGACCTTAACCCTTTAAACCTGGCCGGCCCGGTACCGGGCCCAGCTGACTCCTGCTCATGTTTATCTTTATAGAAATGGCCAAAACTCAGTCACATGGGGTTTCATCCACACGCCTTTATAATGCGGCTTTAAAATTTGCAAAACATGTTTCAAAATTATTTTTTCACAAATACTTTTTGTTTTATAGCTGTGTAAACAAATAAAATGAGATTTAAAATTGCACCTGACATTTGAAACTCTGCGGGAGTAATGCATCAGCAGGGATTCATTTTTAGCCCCGCCCCTATTGGCCGACATCATTGGAAACTAGAGGCTCAGATCTTTCCAAGGAGGGGTCGGAGGTCATTGTGCGACCGTTTCAGGTGATGTAACCAACATAATCTTACTCTGTTATTCTTATTTATCTCTGTAGTTCCATTTGTAGATCACTAAAATAAGATTCTTCCTGATCAAAATCACGCTCCTAGACCTAACTCTAATAATTTATTTTCTAAATTACATTTTTGCAGCAGAAACTAAATTTTTGAAACTAAAAATAACAAAATTATACTAATAAGAATTAAGTTTTATATATCTAGAAATGTTTAAAAATGTTAATGGACCGTTCTGAGATTTATCAGCTTGACTAAAATTGTATTTATGATATCTGAAAAAAAAAATCTTTAAAATAATACAAATGCTGACCATTAATATTAGGTATATAGAGATCTAAAATTAATTTCTGGACACCCAGAATCTTCATTCTAGATGTGGAGAATGACATTTTGTTTGAAATTCTCATTTAGACAAAGCAAAAACAAATTTTCTTTTTCAGATAATAGGAATACATTTCAGTAAAACTAGTAAATATCAAAATGGCTTGCCGTAGCCTGTTGTTACAGTGAAAATATAGGATTATTTCTTGAATGGTAGTAGATCAATATATCTATTTAGGTGAAATCTTAGGGCAGCAGATGAGGATGAAGAATAAAAAGGTTCTAATATATAGAACCTGTGGATCATCTCATGGGTTCCTCCTCATGTTGATTCTTTTACTCAGTAAAGTGGCTGTTTGCAGACAAATGGCCGATATAAGTGGCTATCAGTCCCATAGAATGGCTTCGGATTGTGCCTGTAGGCTCATTAGGTTGTTATCATCGAGTGAATCCTAATCCTAACCTTAAAAATTCTTAATTCAATTTTTTTTTTTTTTATTTATATTTATTTTTTTTATTATTTTTTTCTTCATTTTTTTAATTTATTTATTTTTTATTTTTTTTAATTAATTTAATGTTTTTATTTTTATTTTTTTTTATTTATAATATAAAAAACATAAAATAAATAAATAAGCGTAATTCCATTTCCTCATGGAATTAATTAATCCATTTATGTGTAATCTTAAAATAATTTTAGTAGTTCTTCATGTACTGTAAATATAACTAAATAAAAATAAAATCATCTGCATCTCGCTCATCTTAAGCAAACCAAAACCAACTAAATCTCATGCCCTGTCAACTGAGTTGTAGAATCCTCTCCCTATAAATATTTACAGATCATTATTTAAAGCTACAGTGTGTAATAATTACAGGGATATACAGTCAGAAATGTAATATATTATACATAACTATGTTATTTATCATCATCTACGAGCTCAGCCTCTTAACCTTAATATTTGCGTTGCCTTAGAATTCGTTATTTATAATTACATAGCAGCGGGTCTCGCAGCCATGGAGGCAGACATCTTTGCGCTACGGCAGCACAGAGCCAAAAAACTAGCGATTGCGAGATCGCCAAAACGTCACAACGATGTAGAAAAAATAACGCGTATATTTATTATCTTAAGTCTACATGAAATCTATACCCTACACAGACTAATGAAATACTATCTGTAAAATTATCTATGTAAACAAACCTCATCACTTGAGAAGGTAGGTGATGCGGACGTCGTGGAAGACATTTTGTCCCGTAACGCTCGCCGTACTGTTGGGGGGAGAAGCGGTGGGGGGGAGATGTTCATGTTGCTGCGGTCTGCAGTCTGACCGCTAGATGTCGCTAAAAGTTACACACTGTAGCTTTAATGAGATCCTCGTAAAACAGGCACGCAATGTCTGTTTTTAAAACCTAATGTGTGTGATGGACCTAGTGAATGATATATACCGTAAAGTCCGGTCTATAAGCCGCTACTTTTTTCCCGCTGTTTGAACACTGCGGCCTATAATACAGAGCGGCTAATATATGTTTTTTTTCATGGCGCGAAAAACAGACCAATAAAATTGATGAGTACGCCGCATGCGAAGGGCATCTTTCGCTGATGTCTGTCAGTGGTAGGGCTGCAACAACGAATCGATAAAATCAATAAAAATCGACTTTTAAAAGCGTTGGCAACAAATTTCATCATCGATTAGTTGTGTCGCGCGATTAATGCGTCATCCGCCGCCGCCATCACTTGACTGAAAACGGGGGAAGAAAAAAAAATTACGGCAGAGCGAGCCAGCGCCGCAGGTGCGCAGTGTTGCAAACTCAATGACTTTGTCGCTATATTTAGCAACTTTTCAGACCCCTCCAGCGACTATTTTTCAAAAAAGCGACTAGCGACAAATCTGGCGACTTTTTACGGTGTCACTGGCGGCTTTTGGAGACTCTTACGTGAAAGCATGTATCGTTCCTACTCTTGACCTCCAGCTGCAGCTGCTGCCGTGGGGCGCCTCCCCCATCCCAACCCCGTTCTCCCGCAGGAGTCCCTCTCAGCGCTGCAGTCAGAGAAGCAGGATGTTTCAGCGTCCAGACTGCAAATGAAGCGCGCATGCGCCGGGATTGACGGCGCAAATTGATCACAATAATTAAAATAGCCTTTATAAATAAATTAACTTGCAAATTTGGGTTCTCAATGCGGGGAGCCGTGTGAAAACATCCAGCATCACCGGCGGGTTTGGGAAGGCTGGGCTGCTGCAGGATGAAGAGGACCGCGAGAGCGACAAGGATGAGACTGAAGTCAGTGACGGCATCCTGAAGCTGTTCCATTCAGACACCGAGGAAGAGGACTTTGAGGGTTTTAGTCCGCAGGAGGAAGAAGAAAGTGATGAATGACTTTTCCTGGTCGGCTGCCATGTTCTGTGCTTTGTTCAATTAAAAGTACCGGTATATGCAGCGTTATCTGCGTGTTACCGACATTTACGTATATTTAAATGTGTTACAGGTAGTTTGAAAAAAAAGGATTCGTTATATGTACCGTATTTGTTTGTTTTATCATACGGATTAAATCAAACATTTAAAAAATGCTCATGTGTAATATCTTTATTTGTAAATATCTCATACAATGTGGGAAACCTGCGGCTTAAAATCCGGTGCGGCTTTTAAAAGTAAAAAACTGATTTTCTTTCTAAAATAAGAGCGTGCGGCTTGTAATCAGGTGCGCTCTATAGTCCGGAATTTACGGTATATATATATATGAACGAAACTACAACAAAAATCGGACTAAATCAGGAAATAAAACATGATTTAAAGTTAAAAAAGTTTTTTAACTTTTTTAACTTTAAATCAGGAAATAAAACAAAGGACGCTCCGAGTTAACTGAAGAAAACCTGCTGCTGACTATGGTGTTAAATTGCTGCCAAAAATCAGACGAGCGTATTAAGCAATCACACTAGTGCAATTATTACTCACAACCGCGCATTTAATAATGGAAAAAGCGCATAGCAGTTTTCGTAGGCGTGTATGGTTATATGAGCGCCCTTGAATGCAGCACCGCGTGCAGAAAAACACGCCCCCTCTACCCAACTGTCCCTCGCTCTGTTTGGGGGGAGTTTCTTTCAGTCTGGGGGAGTTTCTATTCTGTACCACAGGGATCAGTGCTAGGACCAATTCTCTTTACTTTATACATGCTCCCAATTGGTAGAATTATTAGACAGCATGGGATTAATTTCCACTGTTATGCTGATGATACCCAGCTATATCTGTCTATAAATCCAGATGAAGCTAACCCATTACATAGATTACAGGCATGTCTTGAAGACATAAAAACCTGGATGACTCTTAATTTTCTGCTTCTGAATGCAGACAAAACAGAAGTTATAGTCTTTGGACCAGAGTCTCTGAAAAAGAAACTGATTAGCCAGTCACTTCATTTGGATGGGATTAAACTGATTTCAGATAATAAAGTAAAAAATCTTGGTGTTATTTTTGATCAGGACCTGTCATTTAAATCCCATATCAAAGAGGTTTCTAGAATTTCCTTCTTTCATCTGAGGAACATTGCATAAATTGGCCAAGCTCCATCTTATATCAGAGATCTGATTGTTCCTTATGTTCCTAACAGAGCACTTCGCTCTCAATCTGCAGGTTTACTAGTGGTTCCTAGAATTTCTAAAAGTAGAATGGGAGGCAGATCTTTTAGTTATCAGGCTCCTCTCCTGTGGAACCAACTACCAGTTTTAGTCCGTGAGGCAGACACCCTGTCTACTTTTAAGGCTAGGCTTAAAACTTTCCTTTTTGATAAAAGTTAGGGTGGCTCAGGTTATCCTGAGCTATCTCTATAGTTATGCTGCTATAGGCTTAGACTTTTGGAGGACATAGGGACCCCCATTTCATCATTCTGCTTCATTCTCTCTCTGTTCTCCTATTCTGCAGAATCTGTTAGTTCAATCTCTAACCTTCTGCTCTCTCTGCTTTTCCTCAGAGTAGCTTTGCCTCGTCTGTTCCTGTTTGGCTGTGACGTCATCCTGGAAAAAAACATCAGCTGTGCTGCTTCTATCAACACCCTTGTTAATAGATGTTGGAGATCGGCCTGTTTTCCAGTGTGGTCCTGTTTCTCTGACCGTGACTGAGTGGATGTGCTCTCTTCGTCCTCTGGCATGGGAGCTGGCTCGGAGCTCGTCTGCCTGGCTGTGTGTTTCCTGGACGGGGCCGCCTTTTACAGCTGCTTTTTGTATCTATGCTTCTGTCTCCTTGAACCCCAGTCGGCCTCGGCAGATGGCCGCTCACACTGAGCCTGGTTCTGCTGGAGGTTTCTTCCTGTTAAAAGGGAGTTTTTCCTCTCCACTGTCGCTACAAGCATGCTTAGTGTGGGATTATATTTGAGTCAATGAGTCAATGCAATCAACTGGTTTTCCTTAGATAGAAAACTTTGTATCAATTTGACTGTATGATCTGGTTGAACTGTAAAGTGCCTTGAGATGACATGTGTTGTGAATTTGGCGCTATATAAATAAACTGAATTGAATTGCTGGATCTGATTTTCAGCTAATATCCAGCGGAAGCTAGCAGATAGCTTGGTGTCTCAGAATTATTTCTCGTAAGCAGTTATATTTGAAGCAGTCAAATAAAGTAAATTAATTGTGTTAACCAGCTTATGGTGTAAAATTGCTGTCAATTTTTGGCAGCAATTTAACACCATACAGACCAGGTTAGCTCTGGGGAGAAACAGAGATTGAATAAACTCTCTTGTGAACCGGAAAAGTCAGTTTTTTAAGTTTTCGGTAAACCTGCTTCATGAAACGGACCCCTGATCACCAACCTGCATCAGACAAGGACAGATTTCTATCACATGACCCTGCAGTCACCTCAGAGGTGGCGTTCACCAGCCGCTCCTTTGCCCTCAGGAGAGATTCAGCCATTTGGGATTTCTTGGACTGCCTCTGATCCGACGCTCTCTGGCCAATACCTCCGTCGTCTCTTCCTCCTCTTCCTGACCGGCGGTTTTCAACGCTGGCGGCTCGCCTTACCGACCCTCTGTGTCTGGTTGGTGTTATAAGCTGCTGCAGTTTTCCTGCCAGACCGGCTCGGCTCGGAGACGCGACGTGGTTGGAATTCTCATCTACGACGCCGTCCTTGTTTCTGTCACTAGAACGTCTTGTTCTGTCAGACCTGCAGTCAGAACATGAATCCTCTCAGATCAACCAGAGCAAAGCTGGGAAAAAACGGGGAACCAACACCGACCTGCTGTATCTCTCCTCTGGATCGCCACTGGAGTCCAGCTCCGACTCCACACACTCAGCGTAGAAGGTGGAGAGGCAGACGTCACTGCGCCGCACCACCGCTCCTACAGAGGGCGCTGCAGGTGGAGCAGATGCCTCTCTACGACCCAGCTGCGGTTTACGGAGAACGGCGTCCCCATCCGTCCCTGAACCGTGGAGGAGGGACGACTTCTTACAAGCTTTGATCTCTAAGGGAAAAAGACCAGAACTGAATGAAGGTGC